CTGTAACCTGTAACCTGTAACCTGTAACCTGTAGCCGTAAGCCGTAAGTTGTACATATGTGATGCGCATGAGTCATGAGGGCCCCGCAGGCTCCAGCCACTTTAGTAGCAGGAGAAATAATAAAGAAGTAAAAAGAGAGAAAAATAAATAAGTAAAAACGGAGAAATAAAAAGGAGTCAAAACTGAGGAAAATAAAGAAGTAAATAATGGAGAAATATAAACAAGTAAAAAACAAACAAACATAAAGAAGTAAAAAAATAAAATAAAATAAAGCTTGATTCAAAGTTGAATAGTTACATTGTAGGTATGTAATGATCAATTAATGGTTGGGGTACTTGGTGACACAGTAATATCTTATATATCAAGTATTGTACTATACTATTGTATGGGTATATATATACCTTATGTACAATACCGCATTGAATTGAATTACATTGCGTTGCATGTAGTCATGCATCATGATGAATATGATGCATGAACATGATACAGTTAGGGTAGAAGAAAGGGCATGCGTGATAATGGAAAGAGTGATATGAATTATATATGTAGGAGAGAGACAGACGCAATAAGGAAAAAAGAAATGGTACGAAATAAAGGACGAAATAAAGGACAAAATAAAGGAATAAGAATAACACCGATTAGACAAATGAAAAGGAAAAAGTATATAGATGACGGAGAGACGGAGATATAAACAGGTGACGAAGAGTGGGAACATAAACAGGCAAACAAAATGAACATGAACAGGCAAAAATGAATATTATACTCAAAAAATGACAAGACAGAAACGTGAGTAACATGAAAGCTATAATGACAATTGCGTACTATCTATTGCATACTGTATACTGTCATTCCGGGCTAGCAAAGCTTACTCAACGCTGACAGAATAGTATACTGGGGCGGCTACAAATGCTCAATGGGCTCTTCGGGCAACAACTCGACCCTCGTGGCGCTCGGATGGCCGAGCCAGCGCTTCATTGGTGGTTCGACGATATCGTTAAACACAAAGGTGCCGTAGACGAGCAGGGCAAAGCCGACGACTTGCAGCCACTTGAACGTTTCCCAGCCGAGGCCGAGCGAAACGACCCAGATGAACAGCGTGCGGCAGGTGTCAATGGTGGAGCGCGAGGTGGCGCTGACGGTGCGCGTCACCGACAAGCCGAAAAAGTTGAAGCCCCTATTCCGGTGATAGTATATTTTAGTATTATAATTTTCCCGTATTGTACGTATTATTTACGGCGGTAGAAGTGAGGGGAATAGGAAAGAAAAGAGAGGTCGGGACGTACCCAATGCTAATCATAATCAAGATGCTGGAAACGGCAATGGCACGGTTATGCGTCATTTGTCGCCAGCCTTCCTTGACATCAAAATAGCCATAGCGGCCAGCCGACGTGCGGCCAACGGCAAAATACAGTATGATCATGCCGAGAATGGTCACGACGAAGCCAAACAGGCCCTCCCAGGCAACGACCTTGAGCGGCTCCAGCGCATAGTTTTCGAGAATCCATTCCTCGGACACAAACTGCGTGGCGGTAAAGATTTGCGCGCCCGCAATGAGCAGCACGCCAATCACAGCGCGCACCGCCTCGGGCGTACGCACAGTAGCGTCAACCTCGGACGCTGCACGGCGGATCAAGAAGAGACTGGCCTGTGCAAGGCTATCCGTGTCCTCGGGCAGTCCGAGTGAACTTCCGCCGCTTTCCTTGACATTGTTCGCGATCCAGCCAGCCAGACCGACGAGCGCGACGCCTGCAACAACTACAAAGAGAGCCAGCCATTGGTATAAATGCAGTTTGCGCCGAAGGAACAGAACGCTAAACAGCCCGACAAACAGAACCAAGGCGCCGCGAGTCATTTGGTAGATGCTTGCCACGACAAACAACAGGCCCACGTTCATGAGCGTTGTGGCCGCAATGTCGCAGCATGCGGGGAGCGCAAGCAAAACTATCCGTAGCCCGCGAAGAGGGACGCGGCCTTCCTCGTCAGTACCATCGTCAGCGTCGTCAGCCAACGCTGCCTCTGAATTTCCCTGGTCATCACCTGTCACCACCCGTGTGTCGTCGGACTCGGGCGAGTCAGCGGATGCGGCGCCTACGGGCTGGTAGCCCCGACTGGCGGAGGCCTTGGAGGCAAAGTGTTTGTAGACTGTCGAAGCGCCGATCAGGAGCCAGCAGCCCATTTCACCGACAAACATTTGCGCTCTGTGTAGTCAGTCAGTCAGCCAGGAAACTCCTTCTTTCAGTTCAACTTTTGAGATACACGTACGTCTGTAGGATAGGCTGTTCAAAGTATCGTCGCCTATTGGGATCCGACGAGTGGCAGTGTCTGACGCATTGCATATCCTAAACAGTCAGTAAGGACCACGGCAAGAGAAGATCAAGTCTGGTAATATACCTGGTATTTGCTCAACAATGTATTGCAGACACCAGTCAACAGCATCATCCCCACTAGGAACGGTATGAGTGCGCGGATCGTCATTGTAGCGTTTGTATTCTGAAGTGCAAAGCTCCCGAAAGTCGTATCGGTTGGAGATTCAAATAAGCGTCTCTTGGGGTCGTTAGGTAGTTACAGTGTTTCCTCCGTATTGATATGTGTAGTTCAGCGGTATCACTATCTGATCCAAAATCCAAAACCCCAAAATCTAAGCTTGCATCATCATTCGCATAGATCGTCCTCAGCTTCAACAACGATAATTCTAGGTTCGCAGTAACAGTATGATTACGGTGTAAGAGCTCAGACTCTCATAACGTATAACGGCCGTGGCTAGAAAATTCAATCTATATCAACCAAAGATACGGTGCAAAAACACCACGAAAGAAGATCAAGTCTCTGCGTAGATGAGTTGAGAGTTTGGAGTGAGTGACACTTATGCGGTGTCAGCTCCGGCTGGCTGTTGTTGGGTTCCGAGGGAGGAGAGCTCCGATAAAGAGACTCCACCTATCCGGGCTCACTATTGGTAATTCAGTTAGTTATACGGATAACTCCCTTTGTATTAGCACCCACCTGACCTTTTTGCTTGAACAAGGGAAAGACGGGCACTAATTAAGCTATTGATGGGCTAAATTAGGTCTAGTCTCCAATCCTACAGGGGGCACCTACAACCTTAACCAGCACGCCATTAAAGCACAACCACCAAGTCACAAGCCGCAAGGTGGCTTGGGTTCTCTGGTGTCCGAAGCAGACTTTTTTTGGCAGCCCCTGTGGCCGGATATGGCCTGTGCCTCATGATGCCCATGCGCTCACCTGCGCTGTACTATCGACAAGCTGCCATCATGGAAGACAACAAAATAGTTACGAAAGATGTAATAGGATAAGAGATGTGCATACATCGACATGTTTAATGATTGAACTGGTAAAAAAATCAATCTACTCGCAAGTTTCAAAAGCAGTTGATATAGACATGATCTCATTGTAATCTAAGACTCTAAGCCACAAAGGCGATGTGAATAAGAGAAGAGCAAACGGCTGTACTTGAAGGTCGCCACATATCTGCGAATGATGATAACGACAAGGTGGACCAAAGACGACAAAATGTGGACAAAACTACATGGGGAATAAAGTTTTGAGCCCAACAAAAAAAAAAAAAGCATAGTCAACGAACATGCCGCCTCCCATACTGAAATCAATAATGAAAAAGGACAACAGGAAAAAGAAGAGACCGCATGGACGAGCGGCAGGGCGCCAGACACCATAGTTACGCCAAAGACCGGGAATTAACCCAGTCTCAGTCCCAAACCAAACCAATCTTTTCCACCGAGAATTTTCGTGACATGGTATATCTGTTGAAAAGAACAGCAAAGGGGAAAAAAGGGCAAGGTCAATTAAAACCAATCAGTTCATCGCCGCCCATTTCCAGCATACGGAAAAGAAGAAAGAAAATAAAGAGAGAAAATTCCCCACAAGGCACAACGCCAGAAATGATCAAGGGGGAAAAACGCAGCAAAAGAAGAAAAAAATATGAAAAAGAAAGCAGACAGCCACTCATGCATTCATAATTAATAAGTCACGGCGAAGAGGTTCGGGTCAAACCCAGATCCCTTGGCCCAGCCATTGGCTGGATTGTCCACGAGTCCCGACTTGGCTCCAAACGTCGTGTCCCAGTCAAGATCGAAAATATCCCCGCTAGGATCCATTCCCAAACTCTCCATGTCATTCGACAAGCCGCCGTCGGGGAGGTCAAACGGGTTCCAGTTCAAGTCAGCACTGCTGTTGATCTTGATTTGCAAATCGTCATTTTCAGAAATGTCGCTGCTCTTGCTGCTTTCATTGTCTTTGCTTGACGGCGTAAATGCTGGCGTCGAGGATCGCAAATTATCGTAAGAGCAGATACTCTGAAGACTGTCAAGGTCTTCAAAGTATTGAATGAGCTTCTCGGGGGCAAGCTGGCTATCGGCCCAAGCAGAAGCAATAATTGGTGACTTTCCAGTTGCACCAACCGTTGCAGTACGAGGTGACTCAGCCTTTGGTTCGGGGACCTTGCCAGTTTTGCTCAACATCGCCTTCATGCCCGAAGCCCCAGAACCAGGAGTCTTGGCGTTTGTCAATTGAGGAGTCTTGAGAGGATTGGACGCCGGGGACGCAGACTTGATCCGGCTCGGTGCAAGGCCATTGACTGCAGGTGTACCCCCCGAGCCGACCGGAGTTGCGCCGCCTTCAACCTTGGCTTTCGGTGTTTGTCCCGATTTAGATGCGGCCGCTTGCATCTTCTGGGAAGCCTCCACAGAGGCCGCCGCCGCAGCTTTCTCGGTAATAGGCGATGGCTTTCGTGTTCCGTCCTTTTCAAGGCCAATCGCCTCAGCCAGACTTTCAAGTACATACGAGACTGGGTCGTCAATATGCGATTCCTTGGCTTCGTGCGCATCAGACGTATGCTTGGCCAGTTCAAGGCGTGAGGAGAAGCCCTTGCCGTGGAATTCGCAGGTCGGTACAGGGCACTGAAAAGCAGGCGCCGTTGGCATGGCCGCCTTATCTGCCAACTGTTGCTTCTTGCTTTCGGGAGAGCCTGCCTTGACCAGCTGGGGAGAAGTTGTGGATCCCGGAGTGGTCTGAACTGCAGTCGGAGTGGACACGTTACTAGCTTGATTACCCTTTCGTCGTTTGGCCGGCGGGAACTTGAGTTTATCAGGTGTGAGTTCGGTTGGGCCGTATGCCTGCGGGACGCCATGTGGAGAGGCAGCGCCCAGAGGGAACGGAGGCTGTGTGGTGGTCGGCGCCGCAGGTGGACGATTGGAGTTGTTCGACTGCTTCGAGACTGACGCACGACGAGCCATCTCCAAAGCCTGCTGCTGTTGCTGCAGATTAGCAGCATTAAGTTGAGGTGTAGGTGCCTCTGTGGTCGGTGCCGGAATGTCTGCCGCCGTGGGGCCTGCCGGTTGCTGAGCTGGTCCACGATTCTGGCCGGCGGGACCGCCGGCGGCGGCGGCTGCCATCTGCTTCTGCTGCACCATCTTGGCCATGTTGTTACAGTACCGTCTCAGTTTCATGACCAAGTTGTCGAGTTGATCTTGCGTGATGCTGAGATCCTCGCGCACATGATACTCCTTGCCTTGCACCGAATATTGTTGCACTAAAATCAGCCGCTAGTCCCAACCGTTAGCATATCTCAATAGAAGAGGGTTGGTGGGTGGTGGGGAAATCATAAAAAATGGTGAAGCTCCCTTACCGTGGCGATCAAATCTCTCATCATGTCCTCTTGGCCGATCATACGGAAGAAAGCAGGAAGCGTCTGTTCTAGCCTATGCAACATGTCCCGCGATTCGCGCAGCTTTTGCATCATTGCGTCCTTGACCGGCGGCGGAAGCGGAAGCGGTGGACCGCGAGGATGGCTTTGAAGCACCTCTGACACAATTTGACGAAGACGAGCATCCTTTTTGGCCGCTTCTTGTCGTTGTTGCTGGGACTTGTCCATAGGTGTAGGCTGACCGGCGTTCGTTGGTGGGTTCGCCATCTGAGCCGCTCTAGCACGCATTTGCGCCTCAAGTTGAGCTCGTCGTTGAGGCGGCATCTTGGCAAGCATCTCCGGAGTAATCTTTGGCATAGCGGCCGGTAACGCTGGCTGCATTGGCATAACGTTTGGATTCGGCACCTCGACAACATCATCACTACTGGGCCGCTTGACACCTTTCTGAGCTGCCTGCACAGGACTGGGAGCACTGGCGCGGCCCTGCTGGGCCTGGCGACCACCTCGAGTGGCGGCCGCCTGGTTGCGCGCTGCCTTCACCTCTGCCGGCGTCGGCGGTTGCTGAAGTTGCGGGCGAGGGACCTGTGGAATTGCGGGAGCTTTGGCGGCGGCGGCGGCGGCGGCTTGATTCGCTTGCTGCTGTTGCGTCTGTTGGGCAGCGACTGCCGCTTGCTGCGCAGCCTGCTGAACTGCCATCGGCTGCGGTGCCCCGCCAGCCTTGGCAGCTTGAGCGCTGAGAAAGGCCCGTAACTTTGTCTGTACAAGTAGCCGTTTGACATCCTCATCGCTGGCTCCCTTGAGTCGGTCACCGACCTTGAGTCGGACTTCTTGAATCTCCTGCACGGTGGGTTCAGGAATCGGAGGCATTCCGGGCGGGAGCCGCATCTGGCCCATGCCCATTTGTGATACTGAAGGAACCATGGGTGCCGGAGGGGCCGCAGCAGGGGGCGCCGAGGCCGGCTGAAACTGGCCCGGTAAGGCATTGGCTGCTTGTTGTGCCATTTGGCGCTGATTGAGTTGATGCCAGTGCATGCTCTGGAGGCCCTTGAGGGTCTCAAGCCCACGTGCCGGCAGCGTTTCTGGATTACGTGCCACCCACTCCTTGAGCTGACCCCATGTCTTGACAGTGTCTGGTACTTGCGATTCACCATTGGCCCCCTTGAGTATCACTCTGGGAAACGGCTTAGCGTCCATTTCCCGAACACGCTCGGGCGTCATGAGTTGCATAGCCTGCTGTTGCGCGTTTGCAGCCTGCTGCTGGCGCTGCAGCTGTTGTTGGCGTATGATCATCTGCTGCTGTGCGGTCAATTGGGGCTGTTGGGACACCGGCTGACCAGGCATCTGGCCGGGCACCTGCTGAGGCGCAGACAGCTGTCGTTGTTGCATATTCAATGCCTGATTGCCAAGCAACTGATTATTCATCACCGGTTGTCCAGGCATACTTGCTTGAGGGAACATGGGCTGACTTGCACCCGGCATCATTGCTTGTTGTGGCATCATACCGGGTTGTCCTGGCGGCCGGGAAGCTTGTTGCTGCGGCTGTGGCTGCTGTCCAGCTGCAGCTGCCGCGGCCGCGCGCTGTTGTTCTTGCCACTTGTTCAGCAAAGCGCGAACTTGATCATCAGAGAGATTGGCCAGCTGTTGCCTCACTGCGGGCGGCATATTGGGCGGCAGCTGAGGTCTTCCCATGGGCGCTGCTCCAAGGCCATTCTGGGCGGCGCGTTGCTGTTGCACCTGTTGTTGCAGCTGTTGAGCGAATTGCGGGTTCATTTGGGGATTAAGATTAGGTGTCACTTGCTGGCGCTGCTGTGGGGTACCTTGGTTCGGTTGCCCTTGCGCTGGAGGTCCCAATGGACGGTTGAGCATGGACATTGCTGGACTTTGTTGTGGTGCGCGCTGACCGAGGTTGGTATTGATACCGCCCGGTTGGCCTTTGAGTGCCATTTGCTGAGCCTGCGCTTGTGCCTGTGCCTGGGCGTTAGCCCGGGCCTGAGCCTGCGCCTGTTGTGCATTCAGAAGTTGCTGCTGCTGCTGCTGCTGTTGTTGTTGTTGTTGTTGTTGTTGTTGCTGAAGCTGCTGTTGCTGCATCATTGGAGTTGGGGTCTGCATCGGCCTAGGTACATTCACTTGTCCCGGCTGGGCTTGCTGAGCCTGCTGCGGCTGCGGCTGCTGCTGCTGCTGCTGCTGCATCGGTGCCTGGCCGGGTGCACCGCCAGGGTGAGCCATACTGCGGCCGTTACTTGCGGGCACCACCAACTGACCAGCCTCCTGGGAGCGCATGGCATTGGTTTGCTGGTCGAGAAAATTCTCGACGCTGCCGAGAAACGAATCAAAGTTTGGATTGCCGGCTGGCGCCGCGCCAGCAGCGGCGGTCTGTTGACCTTGATTATCCAATGTCGTCGTTGTCGGAGGCGCAGCCGATCTCTGTTGCGGCATCATGCCCGCCATACCCGCCATGTTCTGACCTTGCTGTTTGGCTGCCAGTTGAGCGGCCTGCATCTTGGCCTTACTCATACGAAACTGACGAATTGCCTGATTCCGAAAAAAGTAGTGGAGTGGGTCGATATTCTGACGAGCAAGCATCTGCCTTTGCTCCTGCGGAAGATTTTGCAGACCGGCCTTGATCCTCTCTAATTCTTCACGAGGAGTATTTTGAGCCATGTTGCGGGCAAGCAAGGTAATTTGCGCAGTCTCCTGTGGGGTAAAAGGCTCGGGTGCGCCCATGGGTGGCGCGGCGGGCGTCGGTTGCTGTTGCATGCCGGGTGCAAACTGCTGGAGAGGTTGTTGGACTGTCGGCGGCACGGCGGCGGGCTGTGATGGAGCCGCGGCCTGAGGCTGCGGCGTTGTCTGCTGGGGAACTTGAGGGGCCTGGGGCATCTGGAGGCTGGAGTCGTCCAATCCGACGCCAAACGGATTCTGAGGCTGAGGCACGCCAAGGTTGGGCATTTGCATTTGAGGTTGCAGCTGAGAAAAGGCCTGCTGGAAGTTGTTTGGCCCAGGACGAGCCATACCAGCAGGCAGCGCGCCTTGTTGCGTCATGGCCATTTGAGCATTTGGATTTCCTTGCGCTTGCTGCGCCATGGCGATCTGTCGTTGACGGGCTTCTTTGATCTGGCCAAGCTTCTCCCTGCATTTTGCTTCGTAGGTCGGCTGCAGGTCGCGTCAGTGAATGTATCGATGAGGTAAGTCGAAGGGAAACAAGAAAAAAAAAAAGGAAAAGCAAAGTCGTCGAGAGAAAACGGCAGGAGCGGCTCACCTTGTCGTTGGCTTCCTGAAAGGATCGTGTCTCGTATCGAATGGCCATATCAATTACATCTCGCGTCTCTATCGACTGCCTCATCAGTCGCAGCGACGAAATTCTAGACACACAGAGGAGCTCAGGTCAGCCTCGCACGCTCATGAATATAGGATGGATGTTACTGTGCTCGCTCCCATCCCTCGATCCACTATTACACATAAACACCCCCTCACCGGGGGGGGGAAAAAGGGCAAGGAAACGAGGCGGATGCGACCCACAATTGGTATACCCATTTTGCTCGTTCGTCAACCCCAACTGCTGTTTGCCACCCGGGCGGATACTGTTGTCGTCGTAAGACGTTTAAGATATAAATGTAGACTTGGTTGGGTCCATTGCGAGGTTGTTGCCCAGCACCGGCGACGCCGGCGGCAGCAGAATTGGGAAATCCTGCCGGATTCATTTCGACGTGTGGTGAGAAGAAGAGGTCGCCTCTGCCAACGGCGCCGCCCGTCTATAATTGTCGAGAAGCTTGGTCAACGGGCGTGCCACGGCAGGCAGGTCACAATAGCCGTCACTTGGCCGACTCAATGTCGTTGAGAAGCAACACGGCCAGCAAGGTCTGTAGGAGGAAAGCAGGCTGAGACAAGGTCAAAGGACGGACGGTGGTCAATCGGTGGGCGGGTTCACAAATTTTCTGTCTTCGAATTTGTCACTGCTCGGACGTCGTGACTGACAAGATGAAAAGAGGAGGACGAAAGAGGAGGCAAGGCTCGAGGCCAGAGTCGTGGTGTTTCGAAGTTGCTGGCCTCGTTCCAGGCAGACTTTTGCTGCTTGCCGGGGGGGGGGGGCCCGGAGAGGCAGGAGGGCGGTCAGGGACCGGGAAAATCCATGCGCGGATGATGGGAGCTGGGGATGCAGATAATCCAGGATGGCTGAGCCCCACCAGACACAGAGACAGGCAGGACAGTTGCACTGCGACAGCTGTTGCGCTACAATGCACAGCACCGTCGGGCACGGCAAAGAAAAACGGTGCTGGTGGTGGTGGTGATGTTGCTGGTGGAAGGGCGCCGGAAAGAGAGGCGAAGAAGCAAACAGCAAGAGTCCAGAGGAGAGGCCGTCAGACAGGAAGGGCTGCAACGACGGCGGATAAAAACTGAAGAAGAGGGAGAGACGAATGGCCGCGAGAAGAAAGAAGAGAGAAAGAGAGGTGTTTCTTCTTGATACTGAGTGGATGTGAGAGGCAGGTGGGCGCCTGATCGGCGAGGGTCAGCCGTCAGTGTGTGAGGCGGACCAAGCGACCGGGGGCCCGTTCAGTAATAGTTAGAGAATAGTGGGAGCGTAACTAGGCCAGGGTGTGTCTATGTGTGTGTGTCTGCGTGTCTCTATCACATAACTCTAGCTGTGTATCTACCTCTACCTACCTGTCTTCCTAGCTAAGGTACTTCACTACCTTCCTACCCTATGACTGTATTGTCGACCGTTACTCTTTCTACTCTCTACTCTTTCTCTTTCTCTCTCCCAATCATTGAGGCATGTGTTTCTCACATTGACTACTTCTCGTGAAGAGAGGGGAAGGAAAAAAAGGTACTACAGAAAGTGATGGCTGAGTGGTGGTTGTGGTAGCTACTTGACCAGCAACCTAAACTTGGCCTAGGCAGGGAAATAGTCGCTCTAGAGGCAAAATCGGTCCAGGCAATAATGGCGATTGGGGGGCAAGGAGGGGAACGTGGCTGTCGCGGGAACCAAATAGAAGAACCAACGCACCCGCCGGAACCCACACACCATTTTAACTCCCCCCGTTTTGGGCTTGTCGACCTTGTCCATCGGTGCGATGGGTCGACCCTTGGGCCACACCCTTCTTCCTCCATCTGCCATTACTCTCAATCTCGCAAAAAAAAAAAAAAAAAAAACACAGGCTCGCATTCATACAACACAAAGTGTTACCCAGTCCCTTTTCGGTAGAGAAAATTATTGAATGGAAGAAAAAAGAAAAGGGAGCTCGGCTCTTTGTAATGAATTGTCGAAAAAGGCCATCTCAAGTCATGTATGGGGGTTACGAAGGGGGTGAAATGAGAAGTGTGGGGGTTGCGGTTTTGATAAGTAGAACGCAGTACAGTGGTAAGTGGCTTTCGCTCGACTTAAATCAGGAATCAGGTGTTTCCAGGTAATTGCTGGCGCAGGCACAGGAAGAAGAGGAGGATAGCGATGATGACGGTGGATTAAGAAAGAAGATATTGAATATTGTTGATTGCTGCTTCTGCTTCTGCTTCTGCTCCTGCTCCTGCTCCTGCTGTGCACGGCGAAGTTATGCCGACGGCTTCAAAATGACAAGATGAAGCCGTAGGACCAAGTATACATTGTGTCAAACATAGTAGCAATGGGGCTGAGGTTCATTTCGTATCTCACCATCTCGTACCATAAAGGCTTGCTGCGTATCTACCTACCTACCTTTACCGGGGAATGTAAACGCCAGGCGGGTGCATGCACGAGATTGCCTATGGGGGATCCTACCTGTTTTTGACTACCTTTGGGGTCCATCATTGCGTGATTATTATTAGCCTTGAAAGGACAAGCATCAATACCTCTCGACGAACCGCATCGAAAGATAACCATCTATATTGTCTGCTACGGGCAACAAGCATGGCGGTGTGACCACAATCAAGACTCGTGCTTGAATTGCAAAAGATGTGTCCTGTGGTGTCGAGAATGAGTGGTAGAGAATGAATTCAATGAAAAGGGTCGGGACCAGGGGGACGATGTGTGATGACAACCTCGAGGCAACAGGGATTATTACTGCAAGAAGGGAAAAATGAGGAAGAAGGAGAGAGAGAGCAGGGAGAGTGGTGAGGGTCGCGGCATCGATTAAGGTACGAAGCAGTAGCTTCTCCCGGGCCCCACTTCCCTCCCCTTCACCACAAACATATCACTGTACTAATATCCTAACGGTAACTCAGGTAATATCTGCTATCATCTTAACAGCATGCCTAGCATTAGCATACCTCATCTGCTCGGAGCCATGGCATACTGATGAATACTTTGATTTGCCAGTTATGCAGCACACCTTTGACAGTGTTTCAGCGACAAGAAATCACTGATACCTTGCGATCGTAGTAGCCCTGCCGTATATATCTCTTGGCGCTCCCGATACACGACGGGTGTGAGAAGCCACGATGAATGGGGGTGTAGTTGTCGTGCGACCCATGCAGAAACCGATTGGGGGGTCCCCTTTGGCTTTTCCTCCCCATCGGCCATGTCAAGCCCAACAAGCAAGCAGAAAGACCCAAAAGAGGGTCTCATGGCTTGGATGAATTGGGTTTGGCTTTTGGCTTTGAGGCGTCGCGGCGTCTGGACCAAACGAGGGAGCGAAATCTCCCCTGTCCATGTCCCCGAATCGATTGTCTCGCAAGGGTCTTTCTTCTCTCTTTTCCCTTCTCGCCTGTCTTGTACGAAGTAATCCCAAGGTATTTCAATATTGTACTCTCTATTGTACTGTACCTCTGGAACCAGTACTAGATCAATGATGGTTGCAGTACTTGTACTTTCTCAGTGGTCGCTGCTGCACTAGGTAGACATGAAGTACCTGCCATGGTAGATGTTTTCTCCTTATTGTTCTGTTTGCGCATTTTGTTTCCTCTTTGTTGTCTCTTCCCCTTCTGATATTGAGCTAAGTTACTCTCCAACTGATTCACTTTTCTTTCTCTTATTTTGCCCCTAGATTTTCTTCAGCTCCCAAAATCGGTCCGTTTTCTGACACGGAATGGCGGCTCCCCTGCGTTTCAGACGGACAATTTATATATTGCAAGGCTAAGCTGCGATGGATATACCCTGACACACGTCAAACATGCCCCTGCCATCGGTGTTGACTCCCATGAAACCTCACTGAAGAGATTATTTCTTTTCCTTTTGCCCTACGGTATTGTCGGATCTTTTCTTTGTTCTTCCTCTGTTTTTATTTTGCCGTTATGATCAAAGTCGTTGTCTCTTTTGCACTCTTGAACTCGGCAATTGGCTGCTCGGTTAATAATCCCGTTACTAGCAGTGCTCGTCTCGAGCTTCCCTTTTGAGCACAATCTACTCAAAATTGCCGTCACTCGCACGCTTCATCTCTCTTATCGAAATATTTCCATTCTGCATGCCACTTCTGTGAAGGGACACTGACGAGAGTCCACCACTGTCGCCACCTCCTTCAATTCTAGCAACACAGTTAAAGATTGTGCTGGCCCTTTTCTGACCTTCTTCGGGCGTCGGTCTCGTCTTGTCTTGTCTTGGTTCCCCTTCGCTCCACCGTGGCGCCTTCAGCCATTTCGACCACGGTCAGGGACCACGTGGTGCTGCCGCTATCCCAGACGCTGCGGCCGTATCTGTCCGACATCACTTCCTCTCTACAACAAGCCTGCCTCTACTTGCCGCCTCCATTGAGACAGAACCGCCTGATCACGCTGATCACGAACTCGCCCTGGTTGCGCGAGATCGACCCTGAACCTCTCATTGCTCCCTTGGGATTGGCTCTGATCCTGACCGTTGTTGTGCCCATCATAATGTCCATGGGTGGCTGGGGCCGATCGCTCTCGAACTTGGGGGGACGCTTTTCTTCGTCTCTGGGACGTCCCTGGACTTCTAATGCACCTCCACAAGTTACCGACGACGACTTCTCCTACATCACTGCCGAAGACCTAGAATCACCAAAGCGCACCTATGATCCACAAGATGCTCCTCGCCAGCGTCGTACTGATGTGGGCCCCGATATTCTTGTGTTGAAACATCGTGGCGTGGCCTACCCGATGCATTTCCCCGGATACAGCATCGATGATGGCACCCTGAACAATGGTGCTCTTCGCGAGCGCGCTGCTCTTGAGTTGGCCATTGACGATCCACGACGCATCAAGCTGCTCTACAAGGGAAGAAATCTCAAGGATGATCACACACGATGCGTCGATGAAGGACTAAAACTGAATTCGGAGATTCTGGCGGTGGTCTCAGATCCGCTGGAGCCGACCGTCGACGGCGAATCGGAGAGTGGTGATGAGGCGCCCGTTCAGGACGGCGAAAATGGCTCCGCAGCAGGAAAACGTAAGCGCATCCGGAATAAGAAGAAGAAGGGCAAGAAGTCTGCTGGCGCTACGGGTGGTGCATCTTCGACTACCACCGCGCCGGCGCCACCGGCCTCTTCGCAACCACCACCACAGCCTGCTGTACGCAAGCCAACCACGCCACTCGAAAAGCTCGAGGATATCTCGTCGGCACTGCATGCCCAGTATGTGCCCATGTGTCAAGCATTCATTGCCAGTCCTCCTACCGAGCCGGCAAAGCTCGAGTTTGAGCACAAGCGTCTCAGTGAAACCCTCTTGGCCCAGGTCCTGTTGAAGCTGGATGGCGTCGAGACGGAAGGAAATCCTGAGCTGCGGCAGCGGCGCAAAGATCTTGTCCGCGAGACGCAGGCCGTTCTCGCCAGCATTGATGAAGTCATGCACTAGATTTTAGATTAATTGAATGATCTTTGGACGGGTGCCTTTTTTTTTTATTTTCTACTCTATCATCTGGTTGAAGTCCCGTTGCTTTTGAAATTATACAGGCTCGGTTCTTGTTCGCTTGTCTGTCTGTCATTTCCATGATGTCTCGTCCTTTTTCCTTTCCCATGCTCCCAAGCCATGTTTGTTGCAGGCTGTTATCATCATCTGTGGAGTTTTGCATGTGCATTCATCTGCATTAGTAGGTGTTGGGAGCATCTGCCCGCCTGAACCTTTACCGCAGCCGAGACGTGAAGATTTTTAGACTGTGACTTTTCGAGATGTATGAATGACTTGTGGGATTACGCATTGACGATATGCATGGTTCATATATTGTTGCATGGACAGATGGTCATCGGGAGAGCACAGATTGGAGTTTTTGGTATTTTCGTTTGACGGATAAAATCTTCTAGATGGGCTGCTGTTCTGAGATTGCACATGTTGCTTTGGGCAATGTGGGGGAACGATAGATTGTCCTTTTGAGTTATGTGCATTGATATTCTCAATTACCTATGTTTGTGCTCTGGAACTCTTCACTAATGTTTGCCATTCCTCTTTATTGTTTCAATGTTTCTGGAACATTGTTCAATAAAATTATACATAATTTTGTGAAATGTAGGCACATACCAAGAATATTTCATACACTAATTTTTTTGTATTCTGACTTTGATAATTCAAAGCTCAAATTAGAACTACAGCAAATAATCTAGTCCCATTTCGACCAGTGGACTACGGAGGTATATCGGAGTATGCGTCTGAAACATGGTAGTAATGAAGTTTATGAGCCAAACTGTAATGTCCAAGTTCCAAAGGCTGTCAACGGCACGCAATTGCCCAACACACACGAGACACGCATTATTATCGAGACCTACCTAGACTGTTCACGCGTTGTTGTGGGTGGATCCATGATAACTCCTTCTGACGCGGAGGAGTTGGAAACAATGGAGCGGAGCGGGGCGGAGGGGCGGAAGGATCCGACAACGCCTCGTGCCACACTATTATGAGGTTCGCGGCTCTCGCTTCGCTTTCGTCTCGCAGAATAGGCCAATCCAGTTGAATTATTTCCAAAGGATATGGGGCGCCAGATAGCGCCCAAAATGACATTTGGACGGGGGGAGACCCTGACGAAGAAGAACGGGTTTAGTTTCTTTCTCTTTTTGGTGACAATTTCATACCGACGCGTTTGACAGGTTACCCTACGCACAGCACGTCGTTCCCTCATAATTGCAGAAGACGTGTGCGTGTGTCAGTCTAACCTACAGGTATCCTCGTACCTACATTCGTTCGTTTAGCTCGTTTATTCCACAACACTGGCGTGCACGATACACGATACACGACCATACACGAGCACGCTCCACCAACAACAACTCGTCCAACCTCCCCCCACGTCTCCTTCGTTGGCTGTCGTGTCTTGGACTTATCCGACGCGAGGTCTGGTCAATCTAACACTCTCCTTCTTGTGTTTTGCCTACCACTTCCAGGAAACACGAATTAGGAAATCATCTCAGCTTCTTCTCTGTGACAAGCTGCTTGTTTGTTTGTGGCTGAGGCATTGGCATTGAACGTGATCATACCTGAGCTTTTCCACGTTCTCTTTTCCAACTCGTCTTACTTGACTGGGCATTTGTTTGTTTGATCAACTTTGTCTGCATTTGCATTTGCTAGAAAATAGCATCCTTCCTGCAAACACGGCATCTGCTTGGCGTGCATACATTCGCGCTGGATATTGCATTCTGCTCGCGTGCTTTGCTGTCTACTCTCTAGACTGACAGCGTACTCTGAGAGACCACATTTGATCCAAATTGCTGTATCGGCATCAATTGATTCCAGCATTGCAATACTCTGTGATTCTGGTCCAGGATAACCCCAGTTTCAACACTCCCTTGGACTGGCAGAGTGGCTTTTACGCGTGTGTATTAGCCAATTGACATTGCTGCGGAAATATTCATCCAACGCCTGACGGCTATTTTTCCTTTTTCCCGATTTACGAATCGACAACCGCGAAAGAACCGTCGGTCACCTTACTATATCGCGTCTCTCGATCCCTCATTCGTCATGGCTACAACACCCAGCAAGACAGGCAGACGCGTCCTTGGTGACATCTCTGTCAATACACCTTCGAAATTACAAACGATTCGTACCGCCGAGAAGGGAGGGGCATCACTCGCTGAAAGGGAGAATTATGCTACAGAGTCGAGCGTGTTGGGCGCGAAGAATATGGGGCACACGTCGAAACAATTGCTGTTCGCACCTGGGAAGGATGGGAGCACTATTGGCAAGAAGCGAAGCATTCATGAGGTAGAGGGCATCGAGCAATGGTCTGAACCGCGTGAGGCGCCATTGTCAGAATTGACGCGGTCAAGACTGAGCGAAGAACGCGTCACTTTGCAAAGACAAGAGTCGCGCGAGAATTCGCAAATTGCTCAGACACAACAAACAAACGAGCAACCATTGGATCAAGCCCAGCTCAATGATGAGCGAGTTTGCTCTGAAGACTCGACTGTACGCTGAGTACTCTTATTGGTGTTGTTATGATGAGTTTATACTGATGGATGGGGTACTAGCCAAAGCAAACGACGCCAGCACCAACTACAGAACATCTTGCACCCAATTCAGTTCCCTCAAACAATGATGCTTCAACGACATCAACTCCCCCACACAACCATGCGACGCCGCAATATCACCCGAACGGTCCGGAGTCTGTAACGCAGGATTCGTTTTCGTCGGTCATCGACTATAGCCCACCCGACACGAGTATCACTGAGCAGCGGCAGCAGCAACAGTCTACTGAGTCCGCTCAATCTGTTCCCAGCGTCGCATCTGTACGTTTTCTATTCCCCCCTTTGTCTCTTTCCACATATCCTCTCTCTCAATGAATAAATGACTAACAACATCTTCACAGCCCGCTGAAGCCTTGAAACTGCGACTACGAGTAGCCATGTTCAAGGTCCAGACCAACCAAACCAACGTCCCCCTCTCAGAGCTTCAGGTCACTCCCCGCACGATGGCTGCCCTCCTCACCGCCCGAAAGGCAATGAAGCAGTCTACTTCATCATCTTCCTCTTCTTCTGCCATTACAGAGACACCTCAGACTCAAACTCAGACTAAGAACACGCCCTCTCTTCAACCATCTCCCGACTTTGCCACCGGCTCAGCGCTCCGTCGTCAGACCACAACGACACTTGCATCTGCACCTGCACCTGCATCCGAGATACCATCCTCACCTCCTGCCTCAACGGCCAGTAACGAAGCTGAGGCCGAAGCCGAGGCCGATTCCGAGGACAGGTCCAACGACCAGCAAGAAGAATATCGCACGCCCGTTGCCAAGAGGCAGCGAACGCCCAGTGGTGCCGGAGCCGAACAGCTCAGCAGTCCACCAGATAGCCAAGAGAGAAGAAGAGGAGGAGGAGACGGAGGAGGCCGAGGTGACCAAGATCGGGACCTGGATTATGATGCTCACCTGACCAGTAGCGTCGTAAGAGGAAGGGCCGCTACGGGTTTACTCGACCTCATGACCATGGGATGATGCATGACTACGGGATAGATGTTCTGTCAATGCCTCCTCTTTTTTTTTTTCTCCTCCTTGACACTGTTTTCTTTTTTTCTTTTCCTTCACGCTATCTTCTTGTCCTTTCTTCACGATGAACCTGTGTTTACTCGTTCCAATACACTAGCTCGCATCCAACGTCCTCCGCACACTAAAAACGAGCTTGATTTCTATGGGTCAATATTATGCAAGAGATGGGCTTATCATGTCAAATTTCCATCTATCTTCTTTCCTATTTCACAAGATCTTTTTGATTTTCCATTTCGAGGAAAAAGAAATGATACCGCTGGTCATCTTGACGCTTGGCTTTGCTTTCTTGAGATTTATCTCTTGACTTTTTTTTTTTTCCTTTTCTCAGTTCCATCCCTTGACCTCTTTCTATCTAAACTGTGTTACTCGGCTCGATCCGATTCGATTCGATTCGATCCGCTTGACCTTGGGCGTTTTAATTGCATTTGGACTGGCGCATTAGGCATAATCTCTCTTATTCTTTCTTTTTTCTAAATTTAGACTGATGATAAGATCCTTGTACTATTATTTCACGCTTACTTTACCATTAAGTCTATTACTCTCTTGATTTATCCATTTTACTTCTACTTTCGTGATCTTCACTTTCATCTTCGAGTTGTAATTTTGTGTCACTGTCATGCATGTTCCCACTTCACTTATTGCGAGTCTACTTGTGTCGTGCGTATTCGGCCGTCGATCCCTTTTTCTCTTTTGCTTTGGTATCTCGTGCTCATACCTCTCAAAGACTCTTGAGGCAAAAGTTGTAACTTGGACAGTGGACATCATCGTCGTCGTCATCAACAACATCATCAACAACATCATTAGCATCGACATCGTCTTTGTCTTCCATATAACGCATCCTGTTTTCCTCTGTTTCGCTTGAACCTACTCCATGTCTGGACATGAAAGTGGCAGTGTGGCAGAACATTGTAGAGTACCAGAGCGATACTACATTGTGCCAGCATTTCATCATTCCGTTTTTTCTTCTTCTTTCATGGTTCTGCCATTTACGACAAGTTACTCGTCCAATGTACGATATGTTAATGAAACTCAATATGACACCAAATTAGAAAGGGGAGAAAAACCATTTCAGCAGAATGTAGACGCAGGTCCGCAGATCACACAGGTCCACGGGTGCAGTATTCAGTAGATGCAATTTGGCTAAGTACAGTGGAATTGGATGAGTCCATTACTTCTGATTTGAATTGAATGTGCTTTACACGATAGTATCATGGTCATTTGTGTCCATGGAAAGGTTTATGCCTGGTTCTGCTGCAAAGTATCATGAAAGCCATCTTCGCCTAAACGTCATGTCTGCTTTCTGCAAGGCGTTATGAAACCTTTCAGGCGAGGGTTAGGGCCTCATGGAATCTCCATTTCTGTATCACAAGGGTTTGGTATTCCAGGGCCGGCTAGATCTCAAAATGAATACCATCGAGCAGTCAAGCAGCGAGTCCGTCCTCTGGTTAGAGATAGCAAGCCGGAACTACTCTCTTAGTAGAGCGGGGAAGGTGATACAAAAGCGCGAACCGGGGTTCTTAGTTTGCAGGTTGACAAAATGATAGACACCTTCTTGGATCAGCTTGATGTGCCTGGACTAACTTGGCTCGAGATCGTCCTTATGCTCATTTTCCGTGCCATTCGCTTCGCCATCCGCTTCGCCATCCGCTTCGCCATCCGTTCTTCAATTTGATCCAGCGTTTCATAATCTCTGTAACGAGGTCGGTCCTCGTCGTCATCTTCTGATGGCTTTGCACCGCGAGCGAGCAATTCCTCCTCAATCATTTCGAAGTGTTCCTTAATCCAGTTTTCCCACGTATTCTTAATAACTTTTTCTTCAAATAACTTGTACAGCCGTCGTACTTCGCCTAGAATACTTCTGCGCCCACTGGCTCGTAGATTGACATCAGCACCAGCTTCTATTAAGACTTCGGCGACTTCCCACTGGCGATTTGCTATTGCTTGTTGAAGTGCAGTCCCATAATCTTCGTCAATTTCATTGATGTCAGCCCCGGCCTGCAGTAAAAGCCCCAAGTTTGTAGGCTTTATACGGTGACATTCGCATGAGGCTAGCGCTTGAAGGACTGTCCCATATTTTCCTGCAATCATGTGAACATCCGCACCGTTTTCTAACAGAAGCTTGATGATACGTCCATGGTCCCAGTAGGCAGCTGCATGAAGTGCGGTCCCAAATTCTCCGGCTATCCTGTTGATATCGGCACCAGCTTCCAAAAGAATTTGAACAGCCTCGAAATTTATATCTGCTGCGGCTGAGCAGAGTGCAGTGCCTTTGTCAGCGTGACATGCATTGACGTCAAAGCCCTGACCTAAAAGATTGATCAGACAAGACGTGCTGAAGCGTGGTGGAAGCAATAATCCATATGATCGGATAAGGCTAAAGTTGGCACCGGCTTCAATGAAGATTTGTATGGCTTCCAAAAAATTGAAGCTTATAGCTTCTTCAATGATTGGAGAGGTTATTGGAGCACCCTTCCTAGTCAAGAACCTTACGAAAGTAGCATTGCACTTTTGAACTGCCAGTTTCAGAAGGCTTTCACCTCTTGAATTCGCAAGATTCGAACTTGAATATTGTTCCATCAAGAAAGATACATCTTCTCTGTTTCTGACTAGCCAGATCTCTGCCAACTGGTCGATCAATTTCGGTTCAGCTTTGTCCTGAATTGCGATCTCCATAAGCGTACGGCCCTTCTCCGAAAATTGATATTCAAATCTTTCAACATATTGCAATGCTTCTTTAAGCACCTCGTTGCCAATTCTCGTCCTCGCAGATCGGAAGAGCTCCACCTTTAGGCGCCAGTCTTTTTGCGAAGAGAATGCGCTTCCCAATAGGATTTCGCAGATACTCTCGTGACTCTTATTCGGTATTGTGGCGCCTCTTTCAAGTAGGAGCTGTACTGATTTGAAGCTGGCGTATCGCGTCGCTACCTCAAGCGGATAATAAAATGAGCTTTCGTACCTCGGATTCAATCGGCTGCTCAAATTAACATCCGCTCCTGCGTGGAGCAGGTTTTCGATAGCCTCGTCATCGCCAAGTCTGCACGCAAATAATAAAGGACTAATATATTCTTGATTTTTCTGGTCTTTTCGTCCGTCGGGATCATCGCCTCGTTGAAGTAGAAGTCGAAAAAAGCGAGGAAGTCGAAAATATATCGCGGAGGTAAGAGGAGAGGAGAGCCATATAGAAGTGTAACATACTTCCAAACTACACATTGTCCAATCCATATCGAGAAAAGTCATTATCAGGTGATCCAGCTGTGACGGCTTGTTTTCGCTGTAGTTGACCATGTAGAAAGTCCAAGATGTTATAGAATGGATAAAGAACGAACAATCTGATGCAAAACCATAGATACCAACTTCCCCGAGCTTATGTATCATGTAAATAATACAAGTTTTCGTCATCGCTTTGTATGCTTCTTTTTCCTGGATGCTGTAACGTTTCGCTACTGGCAATTTGCGGATACGATCTGATAGCAGAAATTCCTTGACAGAAAAATGCGCCAGTATTAATATTGGAATATGTCTCTGTTCTTCTAGTTTGACCAGACTGGAGCAAATTTCTTTCAATTGCTCATCTCTGAAATACCGTCGTCCCTCATCAATTTGAGGTGTCGAGTCTGCATCAGTAACAAGGATTGCTTGAAGATTTCCAAGAGTCAGGGAGCACTCGGAAAAGCAGAGCCACTGAAGAATTCTGAAAACATCTTTAGAATATTCTTCCGGGATACTATTCAAGATACGAGCATATGTCTCATCCAAGTCTTTGGGCAAGGAGTGCAGTGCCTTGTTGATTTGGTTGATATTTCTACACCTTCGAAGGGTATCTAGCTGGCATGCTACCCAGCGGAACCTGGCAGTGTATCAGTCCCAAGGGGCGATATCTAAGCAGCAAGGGGGATCCGTACATGCCATTGGCCTTTTCCATTAGAGTTCGCCGAATCTCCAATTTAGAGTTCTTTGGAAAATCCTTCATCTCCTGGTCAGACTCGAGTTGCTGAGAGACATATATTTCAATGTCAGCATCTACATCATCATTTTGAATAGACAACTGCAAGTTCGCCCGCAGTCCTAGAGTATCTTTGATATCCTGGAGATGTCGGCTTGTGATGATGATGTGTAATCCTTGGACATCCCAATTGCTCGTTTCCACTAACGTATTCAAAACCTCCTTCCTATTTGTACATTCATCAAGAGCATCAATGACAATAAAGCAATTATCAAGCTTTGTCACAACCTTTTTGAAAATCTCAGCCGCTTTTCCCGAAGAGAGCCGTTGGCCACCGCTTTGGCAATGTATAGATAAAAGAATGTTTAAGACATCCTTTGATTGGCGGCAAAGTTGAAGCAATATTGAAAGAATCATTTTCCCCCAATCTTGTTTTTCTCTTTCATTGAAGTCAAAATAGAAATAGGCCATAAGTACCGTGGAACTCGAAGCGATTTTTGTAAGATCCTCAATGATCGTCGAGGACAAGATGGTCTTTCCGCATCCCGCCATACCATGCAGCCAGAGGACAGAGTTATGGTTTGTTTTCCAGTCTCTGTATTCCATACTTTGAAGAAACCACGTACCCGTTGTAGGCTGCCACCTCTTTCGAGCGGCCTCGTGATTGAAGGAAGGATCCGGAGCATTGAGCCACTGAATGATTACTTTCCATCCATCCTCATGCTGAAATGATGCAAAGTCCGTTTCCAGTTTTGCCATGCTCTGGCTGGTGGCTGCCACTGCCGTGTCCACCGCAGTCAATCTGCAATTTGTATCCTGCGCCAACAACCTGAATAAAAATCAGCACTAGTTAAGCTCTCCAGCTATCCTAGAGGGGAGCCCCTTACGTATTATCGACCGTCAAAGCCAAATTCAAGTTCTCTTTCAGTCGCCGGATCTTTTCGAGTCTAGCCTTAATTTCTTTCTCTTTGAAAGGCCATACGAGAGCTTTGGCTGTAGATTTCCAGCTAGTACCTGGTTCCAATCGCGACTTCAAAGATTCTAGCAAATCTTTGCATTTTCCAAGGGATCCGTCGGGTGTACTCATTTCTTCAAGTAGTGGCATCGAAAAGTGGGCCTGAGAACTTGCATGTGCTTGTGCTACCTTGAGCAGCTGTTTGAGAACATTATCCAAGTCACCGAGCTCGTCGATAAGCTCCATCGGCCCTTTAAACCCATCTCGAACACCCGTTACATAGTTGTAGCTGAGCTGTGTGACTGCTCCAGTAATTTGCAGAACTGCAATTATGCTTGAAACACCGCTGAGGGGGTCCATGGATGTCACTGAGCTGTAGATGGAAAAGCAATCAAACTGTTCACGGAGTCATGGTTAAGAGATAGCAAAGGATCAAGGTTATCAGGTATTCACAGTGAGGCTGAGCATCGAGGAACATGCTCGATGCTCAGCCTTGTTCCTGGCCAAGTTGGTCACCGCAAAGGTATGCAGCGGCTTGTTCCAGATGATGGTCTGCGAATCCCAATGATTGGTGGTAATTTGCAATGCATAGTTGCAAGGGTATAAGAGGGTACATCATGTGTATTAAGACAGACAAAATGTATAGTCAATTGTAGAATTTGCTCTTTGAAGTTATCGAAATCTTGATGATATTCAGGTGTATGAAATGGTCAGTTATCATTCAAGGACAACAATAAATCGATTAGCAAAAAGGGCAAATGAGAGAGTGAGTGAGACCATAGAAGGGAATGGTTACTTTCCACAGCTTCCGGTACAGTGGATTTGGAGGTAATTTGCTTTGTTATGCGGAGGTGTTTTGCTCAGGTCGGGGAATTTAGCTAACCTAAGTTGACATATCTTATCTAAGATTGCTCTAGTAAGTCACCTTACCTTTCTTGGTACAGTGTGTTTAGCAAAACTCCGACGCCTCCGAGTAGCGGAGTCTCGACATCATATCTCTCTTCTTCCACTTAATAATCTGTCTCTTTGTCATCAGCACCATCATCATCATCGCTGCCAATCTCACGCAATCTCGTCATCCCCGCCACCTTTCCTTTCCCTACTTGTACCTCATATTCTGCCCTACTCTCCCTCTCCACAACACAAAACACCGTCTTCATATTTAAAGTCCCGCCATCTCCCCGCGCGTGACTTTTTTTCTCAAACTCGCCCACCATTTCCTCCATCACTCGAGTCGGATACTTTTCCTTTGTCCAGCACCAACGCCGACAAGGATACCGAGCTACTCTTCCATTATTATCCTCGAAGCCTCTTACCACAACTACCAGGGGTACTAGGTTGTCGTCAATCGCATCAGCTACAAGACCAAACACTCCAACAGGAGCGAAGACAAGTCTAAGCTTCGCGCCGTTTGGAATTACGTTATTTTCAACTGCAGCAACAAGTGCAAAAGAAGACGAAAACGATATTGACGAAATGGCTGCCGCTGCAAAGACCAAGGCTCTTAGCATTATCGAGGAGAACCCTGTCGGTATGTCGATTTCCAAGCCCATTAGCACCCCCACCCTTGACAATATCCCTTTTCGATTTTTTGAAATTAATGCTAACATATGCTCTGTGTAGCGGTCTTCTCCAAGTCGTACTGCCCGTACTGCAAGGCCGCCAAGGCCCTCCTGACGCAGCTTGGCGCGCGCTTCTTCAGCATTGAGCTCGACCAAGTCGGTACGTTTACATCGTCCTATTTTCATTTGGATTGTCAAATATCATATCCCGAGGCAAATTGAGAAACTTGCCTCCCTTGTATTGCGATGAAGCAAATTACTGACTGACTATGACAGACGACGGCGCCGCGATCCAGGACGCTCTCGAGGAAATCACGCACCAGCGCTCCGTGCCCAACATCTTCATCGCTCAGAAGCACATTGGCGGCAACTCGGACCTGCAGGCCAAGAAGAAGGACCTGCCCAAGCTCCTCAAGGAGGCTGGCGCTCTTTAAATTAGATCATGGTCATTCTTGTCTAGAGCATTTACAATAAGGAGTTGCGAGTGGGGCGTGGAGTATTTCTGTGATAGATTAGTTGTGGGTGCAGGTGTGTGGAGTATACTAGAAACGAATGTATTAATATCCAATATTCAAGAACATTTTACTTGAGATGACTACTCACGCACTGTCTTCACTCAACAGATTCTCATGTCTCACGGCTAGCCGACAAACAGACAGTAGCAGATGTATAAAAGTTGTAAGACGAGTCCAAAGTTTTATGTAGATGTAGTCGTGGAAGCTGGAGTGGGGAATACTATACAGACCCATATGAGTTCCATAAATGAACCGGAGTTAAAAGAATCAAGAGATGAAAAGAAAACAATATAAGAAAAGCCAAAGACCATAAGTCACAAAATAAAGCCTAAACAACCTGCGTAGCAACCGTACCAATTGGCCGCTCTACATACTCCATGACACCATGCACGACCGACTCGCGGGCGCCTTCGCTGGCGACCGTCTTGCCAGCGAGATAGACGAGCCAGAGCAAGTTGGCAACGCGGGGATCAGACACGCTTCCCATTTCGACCGGCAGAGCCTTCTTCTTCTTATTGTTGTTGTTGTTGCTGTTATCAGACACACCGGATCCGGCAGCCTCATCGTCGTCGTCACTGAAAACGTGCAAAGCGCCAGTCGAATCACGGGCCAAGAGCAACGGCGAGCCCTTGGCGAGGTTCTTCTTGCCGCCGCCCGAGAAAATGGCTTTGAAGGACTGCATGGCGTTTGCAAAGGCGTCGTCGTCAAACGCGGCCATGGAGGCTTTGTGCAGCCAGTTTGCGGGTGCCGCTGCTGCTGCCGATCCCGGTCCATCTGATCCTGGGGACGCAGCAAGCGAGCCGAAATGTGCAGTGCGGGCAGTCATATTCCTGACCCAGCCGTCGCGGAGATGCTGAAAGTCTGTTCCACGGGTGGGGACGACACGAATGACGGAGCGCACGCCCGTCTCGGCCAAGACGCGGGTCCAGATTTCTTCGCTGTGGACAGGATCGAGAAGGGCATCGCGCAGTTTCAATTTCTCAGGCTGGATCAGGGTTGTCGCAATGCCGTTGGGGTCCACGCTTCGAATGAGGGCTTGTTGGAGTTTCGCCACGTCGTCCACGGCAACGTAGACGCCCACGACGTAGACTTGGATGCGCAGGAAACTGACGGTTCGGATGCCGAGACCCATGAGGTGGTATTCATTGCTGGAGGCGGTGGCAGCGGCGGCTGGTAGAGGCGCAGAGGCTGGCGAGGGAGAAGAAGAGCCATCGTTGAGAGAAAGATGGATAGTCTTTGGGAAGACAGGAACATGGCTTGTGCCCGTAGGGACGACCTGAGCGGATTGTTCAGCGGCACTGGCACCGCCAGGGACGCCGGTAATGACGGGTGTGCTGCGGTCTAGTTTCCGCATGGGATCGTCCTCGGGAGCATCATTCTGCTGAGGTTCCGGCGGGACTGGGAAAACTCGGGTGAAGATAAATGTGCCGAAGATGGTGAGCGTGAGGCCGGCAAAGGCGAATTTCATGCGCCGCCGCCAGTACGCTTGGTGCATGTGCTCCAGCCGGTGGAGGGCAATTGGGTCCAGCGAGGCATTGGCACCAGGAGCCGTAGTTGTGCGTGTACGCCGCGGGTGGTAGTGTGCGCGTTGCTGAAATGGCTGGATGATACGGCTTCGAGGGCCATTCTTCGGTGCTGTTCTTGGTGTTGTTGTCCACGTCCGGGGAAGTGCGGTAGCTCGATGGTGTCGGCCCAAGCATTGGAATTGGGGCAATGCCAGTCCGGGGAGGCGAGCTGTTGCTGCGTTGTTCATAATGTGCGGGAATTTGGGAACCTCGTGGTTATTCTCTTGTATGGGTAAAGTCCCCTAGAGAGGGACTGAGATTGAGGTTACCAAGCATACATCGGGTGATGATGCGATGGCAAGAGCTCGCCTGAGGTAAAGCCCGGGATTTCCTATTCAGGAAATAGATCAATTCTAAGCTTTGCCTTACGTACCTTTGTCGATGATCGCAGAACTTAAAGTATCACCAACGCATTTAATTTCGGAACACTCTCCATTGCTTTATCTTTAGGAGACCATCTAAAAGTGAAACATCTGATTTTATCAGTGGTATCTACATCTCAGACCTCTTGAACTGAGCTATATGTGAAATGAAAATGCAAACGAAATAATTTCAGCTGCAGGCTTTGCAGGATGAGCGAAAGACCGCCTTTAGGTCAGGATAGAAAGAAAAATATGCTGCTTCTTAAAGCTCCAGGAATGATTTAAAATGAGATATTTGCCTTCGAGGCTGAAAGATTTGACCAATGAAAGGGAAACAAAGTAACAGAAAACAAATGAAAGGGAAAAAAGGAATGAATGAATCGAATCTAGTCGAGATCGAGAAACGCCAAATCGCTAAATTGCTTCTGAATGAATTGGATAGGCCGAGACTAAACTCGCTGTGCACGTGAATGCTCTTTCAATGAAAACCGAGCGCCAGGTTGGATATAAAGATGATCAAAGATCGACGATTAAGTGAGTGTGTATATCTGTGTCTTGTAGAGTGATTCCGGCCATGCACCATGTCGTTCCCGTTCTTGTTTCCACCGCCAATTGGCATTGGAGGATAGAGACCATATGCCGTGAGGGATTTGCTCACATGACAATACAACAACCACCGCAACCTCCCTTTTGCTTTCGTGGCTCAGGTGAGTCGATAGGGTGCAGCCTTGTTGTTTGTCTAGTAGAAACCTGCGGAGGTGTGATCTTTCTTTGAATTGCTGGCATAACCGTGTATTGGTTACGCTCGCTGGCACTTGTGGTTGGTCTAGCCCCTGGAGTTGAGCTAGCGCTTCGCGATGGAGCTGGACGAACGGCGGCCGGCTTCTCAGGGAGATCAGCAGGCGGTTCTCCCGCCGGTTGCGACGATTGCGGCGTCTTTTGAAACTCCGACATCTCTCTTTGAGGTGTTGCAACCTTTTCTTGAGAATTCTTCTTGGGGCCCCTCGTTGCAGTTTGTTTTTCCTTCTGTTCGGCCTCTGCAGCCTCTCGTGCCAGCTGCTCCTGGTGTAACCGTTTCGCGTGCGTCGGAATAATCTGCTGATCAGGTGGCAGACGCGGGTCTGGCTTGTACATTGTCGCAATCCATGGCGCTTCTCCTTCCGGGCGATTGATGGCAGTCGCTGGTCTGCTCTCGCCACCTCGTGTGCCTGGGCGAGAACTAGGGCCATCGCGAGTGGCAAGAGACCTTGAGCGGCGCTTCATATGACCTTTCGTGCCCTGTCTGATTGAATCATTCCGGTGCCCGGTGGAAAGAGGAGCTGAAGGGGTCCGAGGTTTCGGCCTGATCGTTGACGGCTGAGGCGTTTGCGTCGATTTAGCGGGCAAGGGATGAGATGCTTGTGTTGTCAGAGGTTGTGTTCCGCCAGCGGAATCGTCCCCACCGTCGTCAAGCAGAACCTGTGTCGCTGCACTATGGCTGCGACCACGGGGCTTATTGTACACCAGATTGCCATCCGCCAGTCCACTCCAGGCTCCACTCCCATGTCGACTCCGCGGGAGAGGTGTGTGCCTCTCAATATAATCTTGAGATAGAGGAGCGGGACTGGACTTTGAGATTGGTATGCGCGAATAGCTGGTTTTCTTTACCGGTCGTTTTGGGATGTCCTGAGGAGCGCTGTGTATGTCATCGCTACTTCCTGCGGGCTGGTAATAACCGTGCTCCATGTGCCCATCATCGGTATCCGCCATCGAATTCCGTTGCAAATTTTGGTAAGAATCCATTTCCGCGTACATTGGATCTCGCTGAAGAACATCCTCCTCATATGCATTTTGCTCCAATTCATCTTGAACAACTGGCTTTGCGTAGTGTCTCTTGTGCCATGCAGGCAACCGAATGCCCGCCTCTTTCAGCTCCCGACTTTCAATTTCGGCCAACTTATCACGATGTATCCAGTGCGAGCTCCCGGGGTCAAATTCCATGTTTAAATGATGGTCAACATCATCCTGTCCCCCAAAATTCGCAGTGCTGCTGACAGCGCTTCTGTTTCTGGAGCTCGAACCGTAGAGGTCCAGCAAACTATCCCTATCGCTCCCTCTTCCGCTCATGTCACTCTCCTTCCGGTCGAGCGCATGTACCTGTCGCTGCGGTAAAGGATAGGCTCCGGAATATGCATTTGATCTTGCATAAGTGGGGCTATTCTCGTCTCTGCCACCTCCACTGGGATTCATCTCATAGCTCTGATAATGACCTGAAATGCGCTTGGCGTTGTTTGTGCGGGGCTGTTTGTATGAGCGATTATCGTAAGGAGGTACCACGGAGTCGGATGACTGCTCTGCGGTAGACAAGGGCCGGCCGTTCTAACAAACAAACAAATAATCAAGTCAGTGATTTGAGCGCATGAACAATTTCTCGCTATCAACAGAAGGAATCATTAAGCCCAAGAAGAAGGTTCGATGGGTGCTTGAATGTGCCACATATGGTGAAAACTTCTTCAAAGAAAGATCACAGTATACCATACCTGATAACTGAGCGGTACTGCATATTCCCACGAGCTTCTTCCGCCCCTTGACCTGCTTCTCTGGGGGAGCACACCTACAACTGCTGGTTGGGAGATGGCAGCCATTTCAGAGTCACACGGACAGCCTGAGAAAGTAGAAGGCACGAAATGCGAAGCTAGTGTTTATGACGAAACTAGAATTTGGTGTTTGAGGGCAGAAGATGGCGTTTGAAGGCGGGGTAGTGTCGGGATGACGGCTTAGGTTTATATGCAAACAAGTTTGTAATAAATTCGGGTTGAGACAAGGAAATATAGAATCATGCGTAATTGAAGCGATTGTATGTTGGCACTCAGTAGTATTTTAGCACAAAGGCTGCTGCAACATGGCTCTCTCAGCCCGAAAAAATTGAGGTGCCCCGAATCTCAGGATAAAAAAGGCCGAGAAAGCGTGCCAGCAACCTTCGTCAGGCCCGCCAGAGATCAACGCTTGCATGTCATATTGACGGTCCAGAACGAGAAACAAAACACAAATACAAGGGTGAAAGAATTAGGAGGAGAGAACCCAGGAGGTGGCCCAGTGAGAAAAAGGGATCAGGGTTCTCTTGGAGCGAGAAAATGAAATCAATAAGTTAGCAGGTCATGCCCAAAAGGGGAGATTCAGACGTTTCGGTCGGCGGACCCCGTTGATTGGTCGCGACCCCAAGTTTCAGGTTCACTGGCCCATGCCAGCCCTCTTTACATCTTCAACTCACCTATGTCATCTGTCGATTATTACAATCTATTCCACATGATTTTGAAAATGGTGAATGATTTTAACTGAAAATGATGCGAGACTTGGGGTCTCTCGATTCATTGAAGAAAATATCTTTTTCGTCTTCCTATTTTGTCTATTTTCTGGAAACATTCTATGCAAGGGCGTTCAGATGACTATTTCTAGACTTCAATCCACCGAATTCCTCAAACTGCTACTACCTAATCTGAAAGGCTTTCCCTTCCAATTCTACTTTTGCTTGGAGATGACACTGATATACTACAATATTTTATTGTGATTGGTCAACTTTTCCAACACCAATTCCGTGAATGCTCAATTTTTCTCAAATTCTCGGATTGATTTTTTACCTTCCTTGCTATGGTTTTGATTTTCCCTTTTTTCTCCTGTGTCCACCTGATCATTTCATTCTCGTAGCTCTCTTTATCCCACCGCTCTTCCCGATTACTTTACGCGCTTTGAGTCAAACATAAAAGAAGGCCTTTCTCACAACATTTGAACTTGCTCAGGTCGCGCTTACAGAATGAAGACTCCTTGCGATCTCAAATTATGCATACAGAACCCCTCCTCGCATTTCTAGCAAGACTATTCATGGCAACAACGGGTAACATTCTCGAGAAGGACTTCAGAGAGAAGTCACAGAGGCAACAAAACGGAGATTTCTAATACGCCAGATGCACGTCTGGCTCTGAGCTGGGTAAAGGCAACAATAGGCATACGGGCATAGACCGCAGGGGCTATTACTTATGTATTGGCCAGTGGAGCTGGATGGCCGAAGAGTTCTGCAAAGGTGGGGACGCGAAAGAACCAGTATAGGGTCAACACTGGTTCACCGACTATCATTCGACACACAGTGGCATTTAAGTCGTGATATCAGTGGCTTTCCAAAGTCGAAGCAAGGTCTCACATAGCACTTCTCAAGGTAGATTTTCGCTGACAGTCACTCCTTGTTTCCGGTTATATATGTGTGTACCCGCCAGTGTTACAAAAAACTAATGTGCAAGGTCAATATATTCCATGTATATTATAATTGCATTCGGCCATATTCAAATATCATCCATGCCATTTTCCTTATTCTGACACTTGCATGATACTGAAAACATGTCCGTCATTTTGCATACACAACTTGGTTTCACGCGTTCCGGCGTTGTTGCCGGGGGATTCAGGGGAAAGTACTGTGCCATACAGTTTTGCAGCGTCGATACATCAAGCCTCGCATAATAGTGTAAACACAAGGCAAAAGATGTCATTTCCCCTGGAGTCTCGAACTGGAGCTTCACAATAATACGTGTCTGAAGCTCGAGCGATGAACCCAATCATCCATGATCTTCCCAAATCACGTAAAGTACGATTAGTCTGCGTGTCCGACACGCATAATGCATCGGCTTTGACAGGTGCATTCAAGCTTCCCAGAGGAGATATCCTCGTCCATGCGGGTGATTTGTCCAACCAAGGGAGCTTATCCGAGCTTCGACGAGCTGCAGAATGGATCGAGAAGACGGAATTCCAAGTTAAAATTGTGATTGCTGGTATGATCAAGGCTCTGCAATGAAGCTTCACAGATGTTGCAATTAGAATGATGCAAATGCTAACCGTGAAAGAGGCAATCATGATATTACTCTTGATCAAGAATTTTATCAGCAATATGGACCTTATTTCCACAATCAACACCCACAGGATTCTCAGGAATGCATTAAGCTATTTACAGAATCACAAAACATCACCTATCTAACCCACTCTGCGGCGACTGTTCGAGTGCCTTATTTAGACGGAACAGAGGTCAAGCTCAAAGTCTTCGGGTCACCATACTCACCCGCGCGAGGACGTTGGGCCTTTGGATATTCGCCTGAACAAGCAACCGCGCTCTGGGATGAGGTGCCTCTGGATACAGATGTTCTAGTAACGCACACGCCACCAAAATATCATTGCGACGAATCGCGCGACAGGGGGGCTGCCGGCTGCGAGACTCTTCGCCAGACGCTGTGGAGAGTCAGACCCCGGCTTGCCATCTGTGGCCATGTCCATGAAGGGCGGGGTGCGGAGACGATCCGATGGGATCTCGAATCACCGAACATAAAGTACAAGGAACATTCGACTAGGTACTGGAACGATCCAGGAGTAGGGAATAAGCAGTCCCTCCTGGATCTGTCGGCTAAAGGCGGTGGCCCCCTTGAAAACGATGGACTGACCGGGGATTTGATCCCCAGCCATGTTGACGTGATCCGGGAAAATCATACAATTCCTACAGCTGGTCATTCGACCCTGTTCTCGAATGCGCGGGATCTCCCTTCCCGCCCTCATCCTACCGATGACGGGGAGCGGCTTGCGTCCTTGGAGCACCCGAAGACAGCCAATGAAAGCCATAATAATTCACAAATTACAAATGACACTTTCGATGCCGATTGGCGCACGCGTGGTCTTCGAAAAACCACCCGAGGTCAAGGTGGCCACCCTTTGTCAGGGCGCTCCGACATGGAATCCCTGGCTGGCCGGCTAGGAAGGAAAGAAACTTGTGTCATCAACGCCGCCATCATGGCTACAAGTTGGCCACATAATCTTGGCGGAGGCAAGAGATATAACAAACCAATCGTCGTCGATATTGACATGCCTGTTACGCCTATCGGCACTGAAGAGCAGCGGCGTTGATCGTAGCGAAGGCATTTCCTGCGAGCCTTTTAAAAGTCAATTGGCCCGTTTCTTGGGCTGATTATGACTGCTCAACTGAAGGGCCTACACACATGGTTCTTATGTTGGCTCAGATCATTGCATTCAAGAAATTTGTACAAGTGCAGGAGTTCTAGGCATGTTTCTGCCAGGCGCGTGCATTATGGGAGGCGAATTTCAGCCCAATCTCCAGGTGTAGTACCGAATCATTTTACGCCCTGAATGCAGTCTGACCCGGCGGTTCTTCAACATGTCGTCATTGAAGACGAAATGATAGAGCCATCACATATCTCAAAATTCAGTAAGATATGCTGTCTCCAGTGCACACGCCTCGCTCCGTTTGCAAATTCTGATCGAGATGAATGAGAACTTGAGTTGTTCCACCACAAATGCTTCACGGCTGCGTGTGTGCTGTGTTTGCAGTGCAGTGCAGAGCAAGCATGTTGCTGAGAAATGATCAGATGTGTTCAGCCTAGACAGATCATCAAGCGCACGGTCCATTTTTAAATGAGTTACTTTTGGCCTAATCCCTGCGCCACGACACCGTCCAACAGTATCTTACCCCGTTTCCCAGTGCCGTAAATCAAAAACGGCTGGAGTTCAGGGAAATGTTTTGAAAATCAATTAGTGGGGAAATTGTAGATCCTGCTAGATTTGCTACGTAGTAGGAAGAATTCCTTTCAATGATCAAGCGTATCGCAGCTGCGGTATCCAGTGATACATGTAACGATTCAGTTTCGGTGTTGGTGTTACTCATAATAGCCTTTCCCCTTGAGCTTCTTGCCAAACCTCGAAGAGGTCTTTCTGCCTATTCTTTTTGATGTCATGTACAATAGTATCAAGGTCGAGGAGTTTCGAGGGCTGGCTTTCCTTCGGGAGCATCTTACATATCAGAGTGAAGCTCACAATTCTGAAGTGTAAGAGGAAGCGACATCATGCAGACTGTCCTGTCCACCGGATGCTTACCCAGCGCCTCGGGAAACAGTGAGACAGCAGCAGCACTCTTGACGATGATGATGGAGTCACTTTCAAATTCCATGAGGGTGCATCCAATCCTTGTTAGGGTTGGCTGCCGCAGACCCGAAAGTGAGGCTTGGCTGATGTTTACAAAGCGTGGAAAGACTATTACGCAGTGGAGAACGGGCCCTCTTAGAATATTCGAGGTAGAGAACATCTTCTACGCAACAACTTAGACAAAAATTCAATTTCGCGCGCGATAACTTTGCCAGGGAATTGTAGCCTTGTGCCCAGCCGGCTCAGCTGTTTCAGCATTAACGTACGGAATACGAACTCAAAACTTAGCTGAGCGAGACGGGCAGTGATCTGAAGCAGTAATCGTAGCAGAACAAGTAACGTTTGGATGCTCTTAAGATTCTGGTCTCTCGATGTGCGAAATCTAGACGGTGAGTTAATAACTAGCTCCGCATTTCCGTGATCAGAATAAGGGAACATGGCTGATGGGCGAAAGCATAGAAGCGCTGATTTGTCAAGATGGGTCGGGCTGTCGACAAGCTTGAATGCTGAACCCAATGATGGCTGAACACTTTGCACAACTCGAGCCGCCATTCTCAGGCCCACAGAACTATCTATCGGTCCTTGTCAACCAAGAGTGGACAGCACAACAGTACGAAGCATAGCATAGCCTCTATGAAAAATGGGGCCAAATTGAGCTGTCGAGGCAAGGCTAGCCTGAGGCAAGCAACGTTCTCCTGCGTCGTCGCCAGCAATCTTCATGGGGTCCCGGCTTTAAGCAGCGTGGCCATGACATGTTTCGGCTACGATTCACAAGAGATGGTCGTGCCGATTACCATGACCATGACTATGAGCAGAGGACCCCGGAGCGGGCGCTTTGTGACCGTCGCAGCTGTGTTCCCCCCCACAGCGCACCACATTGAAATGGCTAGGACATTGAAGGCAATGGTGATGAACCATTGGCTCATCGCAGCCCTCTGGTGCAAAGCGAACTCGGGTGCTACGCAGCGGACAGGCGTTAAGCATCGCCTATAGGGAGAGAATCTCAGACAGATACACATCTACGACGCCCTAAGTCAGCTGCAAACGCCAAGCGGCCGTTTTGTTGCGTGTCCCAAAAATGCGCCTCGTGAGTTTTATAGTGGGTAACCGCATTCTTGTTTGAAAGGTCGTGCTGCTGCTATATGCTGTTCGTTGACCGATCCAAGGGGTCTGACATCAATAATAGCACCCGTGATGCAGTAGCGGTTGTATTACTTGACGCTTTCCCATCCCATGCTGCATTCAAAAAACCCTTTCGGATTTGGTGAGGTACATGCAATGCCATTTCCCGTTCTTTATTTTGCCTTCCTGCTTGCTTTGCCATCTTTTTCCACGTTTGAAACTCAACATGACGATCCTTTGGTGATCGCTTCCCCTCATTGTCTCGATCGATCCAAGCCTTGGGTTCCCCACTCAGTTTCGTGGGTAGTCTCGGGTTGATCCCCGATGCACGGCAGTAACAAGGAAAATCCCCGTCGCTCGATCATTTGATTTCATCATTTGGCATTGTCTGGCTGGATTTAGAAGTGTTTTGATTTTCGCTGCGGTACATACTTCGTGACTGTCTCGTCGGGCAGCGTTCCGGTGCCGGAAGCGCAGCTTTTACAAATATTTTTGTCTGGTACCCGTACCTTACACCAGAACCTGTTGACTTTTGACTGGTGCTTAGCTCCTCCATTTGGTCCCTCTGAAGCCAAGGACGGATTGGAGACGAAACCTTCCTTCCGCAAGGAACCAAACGGGAAATCCCCACTATTCGCGGCAGGAACCAAGGGACACTGACCGGACCCTACTTCACCGCCTCGAGTCCCTCCGAATCTGTCTCTCTCTCCTCTTTTGCACTACTCGTCAAGCCCATCACCACAACAACAGTCATCGTCGTCATAATAAGCCGAATCCTCGAAGCCCTGACACAGTTAAACATACATACTCATCAACCGAACCAGTCCAACGTCAATCAATCTAGGATATCACACTTTGCAAGAAAAAGCACAAGTTTTGAAGTATTCAACCCCCCCGAGCAATTCACGTGTTTTTACCCGCAACCTGTGACGTGAGCGCTACACCTGACTAAGCCGTCAATCACACCCTGCAAAGTTACACTCCGAGCCTTGAAGAAGGTAGCAGCATCTTAGTGGCGCAGTGGCTGTGCTCTCTCGCAATTCTTTTCTCTCCGATAAAGTTAATCGATTTTTCAGTCCACAGCGGGAGTCTCATTCATTTTAAATTCATTGCCACTCGTCGCTGCGCTAGGGTCTTCGCCGAAAAAGGCCCGGCCTTCACTGCTTGGAGAGCGACTTGGGATAGTCCGCTCAGGAGCAAAACTGGGATCGTTCCTAATCACTCGACGACTCCGAATTCTGATGCCATCTTTCAGCGAACACCGTAGTAGCAATTCTGGCTACTCCATCAAGAATATATTGGGGAGTTTGTAACGAGGAGAGCCCATCATAAAGGATGTCATCACAGTTACCGCCAGATCCCTACAAGATTCTTGGAGTCTCCAAGGACGCCTCCTTAGCGACTGTCCGAACAGCATACCGGAAATTAGTTCTTCAGTGCCATCCGGACAAGGTACAAAACGAGGCGCTGCGATCGCAGAAGATCGACGAGTTCCAGCGGGTGCAGCAAGCTTACGAGACTCTCTCCGATGACCAAAAGAGACAGCAGTATGACCAACAGGTCAAGTTGGCCGAATTACGGAAAGAAACAACGCAGAGACGGGGACCGATCATTGAGGTTCGCACAGCTGCGCCTCGAGCAAGTTATAGTTACCGAGACTCGCCCCGTACTGTCTACGAAGATAAGAAACCATCCAGACCGCATGAAGATGACATTAAATTTTCTTCGACCCAGATATTTGAGGACACTCGAGCATCCTCTCGGAAATACGATGGTTACAGTGCATCAACGAGAAAGCCTCAGACGAGGATGCCAGAAGAGCGGAGAAGCACTAGAGCGACAGAAGATGCTCGAGGAAGGGAAAGAGAGAGGGATATTGAGCGACAATTAAAAGAACTTATGCGCGAGAAAGAAAAGACTACATACTCGGAGCGAAAAAAGATGAGAGACAAGGAGCGCAAACGTGATTTCGCTGACAAGTACTCCAAATCTCCGTATGTTGAGTCGGACTCTGGCTCAGATTCCGATCATTCCTACACTTACAGGAATGATCGACGTGCCGAAGAAGAGGGCCGAAGAGAGAGGGCTCGTTTTGCAGAGGAAGCTCCTCGGTCTCGGAGAGAAAGAGAATATGATGATGAACATGCGAGGAAGATATACGCCCAGGAATCTGAAGCTTTCGATTATATTGCGCAGTCGAGAGGTGCCAGGGATGGCCGCCCGGCAGATCCGTACCGAGGCAAGACTTCGAATTCATACTACGAAATGAGGCGAGAACCATCGCCGCCAAAAGCTGATGCCCGACGTTCGTCTGTTCGACCCCGTGAACGAGTTCGAGAGCGAGCCGTTAGTCCGGTGCGTGCATCACCCCGGGATCGGAGAGGTACAGCGGAAATTGTTGATCCGCCCTCTGGATACACTACCAGAAAGCCTCCGACGTTGCAAACATCACAGTCTTCACCAGCGAGCATAAAAATCCCAGTCAATACAAGACCTGCACCTGCGCCGCAACGTGCCAGTACGATGCAGTATCAGCGCGACTCAAATTTCGAAATACCCGCCTTCCAACGTTCAAATACTACCCCTATTACCAACATTGGATCAACTTCCCGAAGAAAGGAGTCCACTCCTATGTCTGGCTCTAGGCTCAGAGAGCAAGACTCTGGGTATTCCAGTCATTCAGGATATTCAAGTCCTGTAACCCCAGGAACATCCTATGGCCGAGAAGCCAGCCCCAACCCTCGTTACACCAAATACACCATTGTTGAGGAGCCCGACGAGTATCGCGGTGGTGGAAGTCATCGAACAGTGAAGGTTGTTGACCCAGATAACTACCGACGTGCTCGAAGTATTTCTCCTCCACCTGTTCGTCGTGCTACCGTCGAAACCGAGCGCCCCCCACTTGCAACACATTCTTCTTCTAGCGCGCGACATAGTACCCCAACCCGAACTTCGTCATACGCCTATCCTGCTGAGCCAATGTCGGCTGGTAGTCGCCCGCCCCCGCCTCCGCTCTCCCGAAGCACGTCTACATCAACTCGTCCCTCCCCGATGACGTCTGTGCCTCGAACGGCACCGCCCCTTTCGCGCGGCGAAGCTGCTCGCTCCGGTCGCATGTTTGGCGACTATGATGTTCGCTATTCGCCAAAACTTGGCCCAGAAAGCGTCAGCTATTCCTATGGAAGCAACCGTCGAGGGGGTGGTCCCGAGGCTCTTGCCCGCGACGGCGCTGCATATCTTCGAACCTCGCATGCTGATATGCCTCGACATCCGGGCATGGCTCGTTCCGAAACGTTCAGTTACTAAGTTATGACGCGATTCTGCATGATATTACCTTTTCCGCATTATGCATTACATCTCTTTTTTGCACCCTGTCGCACAAGGGCGCCACCACTATGCCGGATGACGTCGGTTCCTGCCGATCTTGCATTCATGCATATAAAGAATGCACATAATCAATAGATGCATTAGACTCTAATTACGATGACATGCCTGTTGCACTTGGTCTGGGCTAGCTTCTCCATGGGTTTTTCGTTTCCTGCTCTTACTTCATTTATCTCGGATAGGCGTCCTAAGCTTTCTTCCCTCTGGTATTCTTTTCTCGGTTGTTTGTCTTTTTCCCTTCTCCTCACCTCTCGTCTTCCCTTCCTCCTCCTTGGTCTTCACTGGGGTACATGGCGAGAACTGCAACAAGTCTAAATCACTTATGGAGCAATTTTGCCTCCCCCTCATACTGACCAGGCATTATGCATCCCGGTGTTCGCAGTTCGTCTCTTGTCCCAGATATCATGAAGGACTCATCAAGAACCCTCGACCGTTTCCTTGAGTTCTCTGAGCATTCTAGCTTCGTTTTCCCACGTCTCACCGATTTCTACTTCCCCTCTCTTTCCCCTCTCGTCTCCTCTGGTTATTGGGGCCACAGGTCGGCCTATCACTTATTTTATTATCCGCCATGAGAGCACCGCGCCTGCTGCGCTGGCATCTTCGTTGCCGACGTTTCCCGTCTCTACTCCGCATGACGTTATAGCCAAGCCTTTACCTTTCCCCCCTTTATATCTCGTTTCTCTATTGATCTCTATTTTTTACCTCTCAATCTGCATCGATTTCTACTTTTACCTCTGGCGTTAATCCAAATGAATCTCCAAACGGAAGACGAAAACGAAAGATATGATCAACGACGACAGTACCTAGATAAATCAGATATGTTAATAGGCTTTTTTTTTTTAATTGTTTTATCTTGTTTTATCGATATATCTAATACTACGGCACTCATGGTAGTATAGCATGGCACTTGTATCTTAGGTAGCTTTCCAATTACATTTCTCTCACAGAATCATATGGTTATGAAGGTATCCACCGCGTCTCTTGTGAATCAGTTTGTATATTTGTTACAGTGCTGTTGACATTACCTGCTTAGTAGAGTCGCGCTGTTCCAGTTAAGCTGCCCTTACCGTGAATTATCTGCAATTGTCAATCGACGTCGCCTACAGTCATGCACACTTGAGAGTTTGGTCAAAACAAGGCCATGAATATAAAATAATAACGAATTATTTGACTTTTAAAACAGAAATAAGAATTTAAAGGATTTAGAATCTCCGCAAAAAAAAATCTAAAAAAGAAGGTCCTACTGGGGATCGAACCCAGGTTGTTGGAATCAGAATCCAAAGTGCTACCACTACACCATAGAACCGATTGTTGATGAACGTTGGAATTTTGCTTACTATATTCCTTCCCAGCGACTTAGTCCATTTCTGTACTAGACAAACCGGGCCGGCCTATCACCAGCAGCACCATTTATCGACGCGCTGGATGATATCTCCGTCATCAAAATCATGCGAATGAACAAGTTCAAGCACTGGTTCCTTCCAAATGATAGAAAATTGTGCATACTTGTGAATTGATTTGTTTCTTTGTTGTATTTCAATTAGAGAATTGAAATGGAAAGCTTTGGCATTCGATGTGGAAAGAATTCTTAAATTGAAAGTGGTTGTTGATTGGTAATTGGATGTTTTGTCTTGTGAAGATATAGTCATTCTCGCGTTGAAGAGGCTAGATTTCGTCGACACCTCTTCCCAGGTTCAAAAGGAGCATGCTATGGAAGAATCCATCTAGGACAAATTTTCGACATTCTTTGGGGAATTAAAGGTTGGAAATAGCAGCCAATATGGTTGGATCGAATTCGACAGGTTTCTGAATGCCGAATCTGGTCTAGAATCTCTAGGGACATGGCGACATGAAGTTCTGAATAGCACAGATTACTCCACATTGAAGCTGGTGCTGATTGAAACGTCTACCGTATCTTTAGCTTCCGGTGTTAGATTTATCCATCCAACAACATTATGCCAAATCCACACACTAATATTAATGCAACCACGCTTTTGGGTCCAGGGCCGCGGACATGCTTCCATCCCTTATTGGGTTGCATGTCTGCTCACAACGACAGACTTGACTTCTTCGAGGTACTGCAAACTCTGCAGCTCGTCAGTCTTCGCTGTGCGATTGAGATGTGGCTTCTCAATACCCACCACCAAACAGAACCTCACTAACGAATAACACCAGTCAGTTTTCAGTTCACCATAACAAACAGGATAGGTCTGAAAGGTGACAACAACGAGTGTAGTCTACAATGAACTACTCCAGGATGCACGGATCGTGTCTAGTACGTACTTGCTTGACTCCGAGCTTGCAGTTAAGTTTAGACTGCATTCATCTCACGATGCTTCAACATTTCCAATTCGGGTCAAGAACAGCTTTTGAAGAGTAAGATACGTATTCTGTCACCAAAGATGACTCCCACAAATTTGACATAAAAAGAAGGGTCCCGGAGGATGGATTGCCTTTTCTTCTGCTTTATTATTGCTCGGCCACATGGAACACAATCATCAGCTTTGCTTCTCTTGAGAAGATTCTTCTCACTTCTTGTTTCTTTTGGCTGATGTTTGATCGAGTGAGCCATTGGCAGCGTCTTGTCATCTTCTAACCTAGCATACAAAAAACTTTTTGTTTATTTCGGCGATTCAGCGCTGAAAGTATCTTCAGCCTTGTACTCATTCACAGCGTGAGAGCTATCAAATTCAAGCACAGCTTTCGAGGTACGATCAGTCACTTGAAAATCCCTATTTGAATGTTTGTTGACACTTGGGAACACAGGGACGATCAACACCAGCGGCAGCACCCAGTGCATTGGTTTCTGTAGCTCTTTTAGCACAGAAAGTAAATTCGTCGTCCTGGCACGGCTGTTCCTTTTTTGTTTCTTTAATTCCACAGCCGCAGGGGAACCCTAGCAGGTGTAGGTGGACCATTATCAGGGTGCCAAATTACCTTGAAAGTAGCGCGTTGCCTTCACTGTCGATGGCTGCCTCGCAGTGCCGTTGCAATCTAGTGGCCGCAGATCTTGAAGGTTACTTTCCTCTTCCACAAGGAGCTCCGCCTCTAGGGGACGCCAGGTGGAGTCTCTCGCGCTGGGCCGAAGCGCTGAAAGCTGCCATCACTCTCATGAAGATGAAAGAAGAGGACGAAAAGTTAGAAGCTGCCCGTGCCCTGATGGATATTTCTCAAGAAACCGCTGAGCCCCGAATGCAAACTGATGCGGCTTTGGTGGCAAACGAAAATGGGAATGCATCTAATTGCCTCAATGCCAAATGCCATAGATGGGACGCGGTCATTGAGCACAGAAAAGCATTTGAAGGAGGGCCGCATCGTGGTATGCACCTGTTGCAGCAGCATGCCTACTCTTGTCCAAATCATCCCAGAAACATTTTGGACGAGACAGAGGATGAGGAAGAAGACTCGGATTCGGAAGTGGAGCGGGAGCTGAGAGAGGAAGAAGAAATGCTTCTTGCTCGTCCAGTGCGAAAGTCCATTGGTAATCAGAACCCATATGCTCTTTCTGGCCCGCTTCCAAGACCCATTAGACCGCCGAACTTGATGGATATTCATATGCCACCGGCACAAAAAACGAGCTCATCAAGAACAATCCTAAATCAGAATGGCGGTTCTGATAATGAAATAAATAACATACTTCCTTCCTCTGGGCCAAGCGTCAATATGGAAGACCAACCGAGTATCACCGCCAACGGTAATCCTCCGGCGCCAAAGAAGGATAAACCATCCACAACATCCCAACGAGAGGGAAATTCCATAGCCGGCACTCCACCTGTGCCCTCCTTTACTGAAACTCCAGTAAACGGCAATTCCTCCTCCCCCTTCTTCTCCTCTTCTTCCTCCTCGTATGCAAAGCCCAAAGGCCAACTGCAGACAGCGACGAGAAACAAAGGCAAGGCTAGAGCCGATTCAAGACCTACAATGCATACAATGGTAATTTACTATCCCAGCCTCCCCAAATGAGGCATTTTCAACCCCCTAGAACGTTCAAGAATTGCGCCAACTAACCAAAAGACACAGGCAACCTGCAAGCAAAATTCAAACGGCAACAAGATCCAGAACTCATTGCGTGTCAACAAACCGGGCCCTTCCTCATCCAAGGCAAAAGGAAAATCCAGAGCAGCAATAAACCCGGCAGCTGCGGCCGCTTGTATCTCTCAAATAGACCGCGCTGATGGCTGTTCAACGTCTTCCACCGCACATAACGGCGCTCCCGGTTCATCGTCAAGTCCACAGAGTCTTGTGGTCAAGTTAAGGTATCCTGGGAATAAGTCTAGCAGTGGACATTCCATGCCCAGCAGCTCGACAAAAAACGGGCCAAACGCTCGTACCAATGGTCGACAATCCAACGGCGGCACCAATGGCCATTCTTCGCATAATGGACGCAAAGACAGTCATGACACCGACGCCGACGCCGTTATGGTCGATGTTGCACAACAGCATACACACCCGCGTCGATCCGTCGAAACATCTCAGGTTTCCGGCCCGTCTTTGAACGGAGAAGATACTCAGTCTTCATCCTCTACTTTTTCTAACAACAGCCGAGACAGCCAAGGATCCACTCCGACCCACGAAACAAAAGACACGTCGGTGTCGCCATGCCCGCTTCGACAAACGAGATGCGGTCGCGTGGTCAAGTCATCGAAACGGTATTCTGGCTAAGTTACTCTCGGGGACGGCATTGCAAAAAGTCTTGTCAAGATGGGAAAATTTTGCCAATACTTGGTTATACATTTCTCCTTCCTTTTTTTTTTTTCAATTGGTAGTCCTGGGAGTTCAGGACAAGGTTTTGGGAAGCTCAGGGGATTCTTGTTGGGGGAGAGGATCATTTTGTTATTTCAGGACCAGGGTTTATGGCGGGAGGAGAAAAGGGACAATTGGCGTCTGGGTGGGAAAAACAAAAAGGACACTGTAGAGAACACAAGCAGTGTAAGATACCTAGGCTTTTCGTGATAGATAATTTAAGGGGTCGTATTGTATCATTTGAATGAGAATAAGCTACCACTTGCAGCATTCGGGGCTCCTAGAAGCCTGGCCCCAAGTGATAGCGTGACATGCAAACATTGAAATCAAGTACAACCAATGCGATGCATCTCGATTGGAAAGTTTCAATTTAGTCATCTTCAAATGCACGATATGTCCTTTTAGATTCTGGAAGGAAATGGATACCGAGGAACTTGTCCCGGACACTAAAGACAAGACCGGAAAAGGGGAAAAAAGACCACAAAAAGGAAAACTACAAGAAAGATTAAGAAGTTTGGGAAAAGGCGTATTCAATGGTTCTTTATTCTCCATGCCAAATGTTGATTATTACACACACACACACACACACACAGAAAAGTCATCAAAGGGACCTAGGCGACATATTATCTCAAAGGTGATCGGGACAGCAGGGACCGGTATGACAACAGAGGAAGATCGGCAAGGCAACCAGGAAACAGGGCCAAAGCTCCAGAGAATGCAAAATGAAATGGGAGGATATGCTGCTCAGGCGGGACTTGTGAGGTGATGATCGTGATGAATTCTCGGTACAAACTCCTGCTGGAGCCTTATATTATATATGCCATGTATAATGGGACCCGCATCAAGGGATTTTCTTTTCATTCTAATCCTTGTTCCCAAGAATATTTTGTTGATGCAAATGCCACTTCGTTTCCCTTTCCCCCTCCCTCTCATGATGGTTCCGACCAATCGACTTGGTCCGTCACAGGCGGTTGGCCTTCCTTGGTGTAGTTTACTTTTAGACGAAGTCGGAGCTTTGGTGGCGCAGGCTATAGGGAAAAAAGGAAATTGTTAGAATGGGAAAGTCTAATGGGCAGAATGATAGGGCGGGGACTCTATCAAGGTGACAAAACGGGTTCTAAACTTACTCCATTGACTCCAATGATTCTCATCTGCTGCGTCGCTTCTTGTCCGGCATCGAGCGTGGCGCTGCTGATGGCTTGCAATTGCAGTTTCTGCGTCTTGGGCACTGCGGCCTGGATATTGACCCCGCCAAAGCGATCAAAGTTGCTGGTGTTTCGGAAGCGGGCTAGGACTTGCGCGGCGCCCTGGTTACGCTGGACCTGCAGCGTAACGACAAGGTCATTTTTACCGTATGCTTGGTGTGCTGCCGCACCTCCTGCCGGGGCAGGAGACATGGACTGCGGAGGTGGTGATGACAGACCACTGAATAGATCAGCGGATGGCGTCGATGATGGCGGCGGGGCTTGTGCTGCAGCTGTCGGTGCTGGAGTAGATGTTGCGCTGGGCGTGTCAAACAGGTCCATAATGGAGCTGATGTTTGATTTGGGGGCACCGCCGTTAACAGGAGGCGGCGAGGAGGTTGTGGACGGTACTTGAGGAGCAGAAGGGATAGAAGGACCACCGCCAAGGATATCGGCAAGGAGGTCGGCATTATTTTGGGTCCCATTCAGGGTGCTGCTAACGTCGGTGGCGGGAAGATCGGATCCTCCCATTAGATCCAAGAGCATGTCTTGCTCAGACTGCTTGAAGGGCTTCTTCGCCTTTGACGCTATTCTCGTGTGCCGCTTGTTGGCAGCTTCACCAAGAACACGCTGTTCCTCACGAATCTCAGGTGGTGGCATCTTCTCGAGCACGCCACGCTTGATCTGGTCGTAGCCGAAGAGGTTCCCGTATTCGACAGCACGTTGCTGTACCTCAATGTTCAGATTCGTAGAGTTGGTCTGCATAAGCCGGCGTATCCGCTCAATCTGCGCTGGATCCGACAAGCGAGTTGTGAGTTTCATTGCAGAAGTGATGATATATTCAGTCACAATTTGGGTGGAATAACTGCTATTGAGAATCATCAAGAAAAGGTCGACAACATCACTTTCCTTGACCTCCCGAACAAGCTCTTCCTCCTCGTACTGGCCGCCGCGAAGAAGTGCATCGCCGTATTCGCCAATGACCCAGGCGCCGGCCACTGTGAGGCCTTCCTGCGTGATATCAGACTTGAGACTCGAGTACAGCTTTTGCACAGAATATGTCTGTAATTCGGGAGACGTCGCAATCAGGCGAACAAAAGACGAGAGGATTTGTTCTTTGACGTAGTTTCCGGCCTAGGTTACATTAGGACAAGGATCAAGTATGCAGGGAAATTGATAGACTCACCAGCTTCAGAACCCGTAGCATCGTGTCAATGTGCCACCGCTTGTTCGGCGCAAAACGATCTGCGGCAATGCCAATCTGACTAGTCATGATCGGCTTGAATTCATTGTCTGCAATCTCGAGGAAGGCAAGTAATTCTCGAATAAGCACGCGCACGTTCCCTTCGTTGATCAGAGTGAAGCTGAGATCCAGAGCACGTCTTCGAATGGAAATGTCAGGGTCCCTTAAGCACTCCAGAATGGTGTTTCGGTGCCGTTGCACAGCATTGGGTTCGACAGCTACTACCTTGATCAAGGTGTTGAGCGCGACGTAGCGGATGTTGTTGTCCCTGTTGGCGAGGAACTTTCCAAGGATATTGACACCGAGCACCCGAAGACCAGAGTCGGCCTCAATGTCAAGGATTGTGAGGACAGCTTCATAGAGAATTGCGTTTCCGACATTCTTGGATGAATCCGTGTTTGTAGCAACCTAAATGCTTATTAACGTCGCAAGCCAAGCAGGAAGAGCGAATTGAATCTATTTACCTGAGCCAAGATATCGTTGATCTGCTCGCTTGTGTGAGAATCACCGCGGCCGAGAACCCTCAGAAGCCTCAATATCTTGCTTTGTAAGAAGGGATCCGTAATGCCGCTAACATCATGCTCCGGTGCGTAGCCTGAACTCGCAAGCCCCTTGAGAGTGCGCACCAAGCCAGGAACAACGGGCCGAAATATGTCAACGACACCCAATTCTCCCCCCTCAGCTTCATCTGCCTCGCACATGCTCGTAACAAGGGTCAGGCCACAGAGAAGGACGCCGTGATTGCGGTCTGCGAGAAGTAGCTTGGACTTCTCCACGAAGTGCTCCTGCAAATCGGGCACCTTTCGACATATGCGCATAGCGCATAAAGCTGCCTTTCGGCGAATGTATGGATTCGACGTAGACATCAGAGTCTCAACCTCACCGAAAAGATCTCGAGACATTTCGACGGAAGCAATGTTGCCTAGCGTACAGAGAGCGAGCCCGACCACGTATTGGTTCGAATGATTGAGGTCACTATTCGGTCAGCCTTGATCACACCGCCGAATAAAGAAAGACTACCATACTTTTGTAATGAATTGGTAACCAGCGTAAGGACCTCTTGATTTTCATCCAGTAGCAGCATTGTCCCTAAATATCCCAGACGCTTGTCGGCGAACCTAGGAGAGGCTAACAACTTGAGGCATTCTATTTGGCCAAAGTGTGTACGCTCTCCAAGAGTGAAGAGATATAGCAGCTTGGCCACATTGTTCCTCCTATGTATACAATGAGTAATTGTGCAATCTGCGCTGGAACATTTTCAGGAGTTACGAACCGAATGTTGGAGTCTCCGCTCTCCTCCCTGAAGCTGGCACGAATTGCGGCACTTTCCTTCTGAACAACAGCTCGCTCGTCGGCAATAGTCTTGGCTGCACGGACATTGCGAATAAATTGCTTCACTGGTGGCGCGGGTTAGTTGGGGAGAGTTGGAGTAAGGAAGGGATGATACGCGTACAGGAGCTCATGGTGTCCCCAAGGACGCCACGACGGCGTTAATGATGAAGCAGCAAGCGGTCTCCGATCAAATGCTTGGCCACAAAGAAGCCACAAAGTGATCAAAGTTATCTGGTCAATGAGACCGAGAGCTATTTCAAAGGTGATGGGAGCAGAGGGTATAAACTGAAATGGGTGGAATATCATCACCATCCATCATCGTCAAGTTCCAACTGAGATTACATCGGGTGATTATCTCGCGTACCGTACGTGCATGCTATTATAGCTTTCTTGGACCACCGTAAAAAATCAGGGTTCGAGGGGAACTTTTTAGAGATAACAAACCAAAATGATGGAAATTGTTAAGCATTTTTTTAATATTAAAGGGGAGAATTCTCTCTAGTCATTTTTTTACCACCTGGACTTCTACCTTAGAGATGCTCTGCTATGGGTAAATTTGTACTGTCGTGGTCAGTGCAGTGGCTGATGTCTTCCGCGTCACAGCATAATTAAGCCACATCAGAGCAGTAGCAACAATGCCCCGCCAAGAGCCCATGTCCTGTACTCATCTACTCATGCAAGCACCGCCCTCTTATGTGCTTCTTCGTTGATCTCCTCAAGCATGTAGCAGCCCTTTTCGAAATTGAACTTATCATGGCCTCACCATTGGATGATTTATTGACACGATCTACAGCCACCCTAACTGGTGAAACCGGATATCTTGGCCCTGACGCAACGCCAAGGCAAGTTCCGCTGCTACTGTACGGTCTAATGGGCTCCCGTATGTTTCTTTGAATGGCGATAAGTTAGCTGATATCTCACAGCTCACAGCCTCACAGCCAACAATTTTCCTGCTGGAATATAAATGATCTTATCTGTCAGAATGTTTGTTGTCCATGATTCCCTTTACTTTTCTTTCAATTGCCAATGACGACCAAGAGTTTTTCGACTTGATAGTTTCAACTCCGCTATCGAGAACCTGCTGACCTCGAGTTGCGATCAACACTAAAGCGATTGGAGCTCCCAACATACCATTCTGCGAGATTCTTCATGTGGTGAACCCTGTTGTTCGTCTATCAGATCACAATGTCAACCTCATTCCAGCCTTCATCGAAGGAGGACAGCAATGGCACACTTCGTTCGCGGCCCTCCAAGATCCCAAATATGCCACCTCAGGTGCTCCGCACCATGACAGATGATGGAGCTCTCAAAGTCGACGACGCTTCAGTTTCCGGAACATCAAGGTATGCTCTTAGAGGCCTCCCGCAGTCAAGTCTATCACATAAAATTGACATATGCAAGTGGCCGGACCACTCCACTTCCGCCCGATGCTCCTCCGTCGATGCAATCAATATCCCAGGCGCGCCGTCAATTGCGAGCCCAACAGAAGCACCGAATCTTTCCTACTATTGAGTATGCTGCCCGCGTCTCTCATTTTGACCCAAACAGCGATTATCATGATTTCCGGGGATTTTTCGTCCTCTTTTGGATTGGACTGGCCATCATGGTCATCACCACAATGTTGCGCAATCTGAAAGACACAGGCTGGCCGATGCGAGCTCAGGTGTGGGGGCTATTTACACCGAATTTGTCCTCACTTGCTGTGAGTGATCTGTTAATGGTTTCGAGTACTGCTCTCTCCCTCCCACTCCACCGCCTCTTTAGGAGCAGCAATGGCTGGTTGCGGTGGCGTAGTGGTGGCATGGCAGTCCAGAGCATATATCAGATGGCCTGGTTGTGCTTCTGGGTGTAGTAAGTTATATTCCGGTTCTTTATTTCACTCAAATTTGGAGTTTACTAACTGTTGTAGCTTGCCATTTTTCCTCAACTGGACTTGGACTGCTCAGGTTTACTTCACGCTCCATACTCTGACCTTGTTCATGAAAATGCATTCCTACGCCTTCTATAACGGACATTTGAGTGAAACACAGCGTCGACTCTGGGAATTAGACAATCCTGCGACTGCCTCAACGGATGCTGTTCTCCGCTATCCCAGTTCGTCGGATCATTTGAATGAGATTGAAGATGAGCAAGAACGACGAGAAAGAGAAAGCAAACAACAATCGCTCGCAGAACTGCGCGAAGATCTCGCCATCGAGCTGACCTCCCCTCTGGGGCGAGTGACATACCCTCAAAATCTCACCACCTACAACTTTATCGATTACTTGCTCTGCCCGACTCTGTGTTATGAGCTCGAGTATCCCCGGACGGCAGGCATTGTATGGAGCGAGCTCCTTTGGAAGACGCTCGCTGTATTTGGATGCATCTTCCTGCTGACCGTAACGAGTGAGGAATTTATTCTTCCTGTGCTCGCCGAATCTGCGATCCGTCTTGAACATGTCGAGAGCTACACCGAATTCGGGCTTGTCCTGGCCGAAAGCATCAGCCTTCTTCTCTTCCCGTTCATGGTCACGTTCCTTCTCGTCTTCCTCGTCATCTTCGAATATGTTCTGGGCGCATTTGCTGAGATCACCTGTACGTCTATTCCAATTCACTCCATCCGATCCCTCACTTTGGAAAACTGACGTCTCGTTCCCAATAGGCTTCGCCGACCGACACTTTTACTCCGACTGGTGGAACTCGACCGACTGGTATGGCAAAGGATCTTGCCCCTCCTTCAGAGTCTCCAATTCTAATCACCGAATCAATCTAGGCTCGAATTTTCACGCGAATGGAATGTTCCCGTCCATCATTTCTTCCGACGCCACGTGTACGGCGTGTCGCGACCGCACCTGTCACGTCCTGTCGCCACGCTCATCACCTTTCTTATCAGCGCACTAGCTCACGAACTTGTCATGGCGTGCATCACCAAGAAGCTCCGTGGCTACGGCTTCCTGGCGCAAATGATGCAGTTGCCCATCATCCTGCTGCAACGGACCCCATGGATACGCGGCAGGACTGTATTTAATGTATGTTCCTACTCACCACAATCCCTTTTCCCCCTTTAATCCACCAGTATCATCAATCTCATGTACTGCTACTAACCTTCCTGACAGAACATTTGCTTCTGGATCTCGATGATCCTAGGCTTGTCCATGGTGAGTTTCACTACAATTCCACCTCTATTACCGATAGACCTTGGCGCTAATCTAGCTGTGTGATAGATGTGTGCATTATACGTGCTTATATAGATACCTTCGCTTCCCGTATCATACTTGGACTCCATATCGTGCTTGTACACATTTTCCTCCCTCCTACTTTCTTTCTTTCTTTCTCGGTTTCAGCTTTTCATTCATAGCGTAGCGACGAAGCGAAGCGACGTTACGGAGCCAGCATCTCATCTCAACCATTTAGCGTTGCATTGCATGCAACTGCCAAGAAACTCTGCTCTTGCCAGTATTCTTGAAATATCCAAGCTGATATGCTGTTTTGGGATTTATCCACTATTCATTGTAATTATTCATTCTCAACCTTTACTTATTAGATTACTATTATTCTACACGGGGGGCTATTTTCAAAGAAAAAATACTTGTAGAAAAGTTTGGTGCAGAAGCCGCTATTACCCAGGTCGTTGTGACCGACGAAGGTAATGTGAAGAAGGGGAAAAAAATCATACATGATGTCTAAACGGTGTGCTGCAATTCTATGCTAACTTCGGGGCTTAGAATTAGTCGAGACCCTGCCGCTGGAAACACGACTTTACTCCGGCCAAAAAACCCTATATCAAGAGAAAAACAACCTTTGTTCACCCAAGCAAAACCCAAAAAAATAAAAACGAGGACCCAGGGTCAGGATATGTTCACAACCTGACGTGTCCGTCGGTAGGACGACCGCCAAACCATCTCGCTAGACCGCCACCTTGATTACCCGATGAGCCGCCACCCTCTCCGTGACCTGTCGAGGAAGAGGAAGCCAGCCATTTGGGCTTCTTGAAAGATTCTCCAAGATTGGACACCCAGCGGGGCGTATCTGTTGTTTCAAAAGTATTTCGGACACGATGTGCGAAACCTTCGAAAAAGCCCTCGTCTTCTAGGGAGTCACGACGGTTGGGGTCGTCTGAATCTCGGTAGCGGTCTTGGACACGAAGACTGGTACCAGTATTTGGACGTCCAATGCCTGGCCTCCCTGCTTGAGCGCCACCGCCGTCTGCAGTGCCAGTAGTGCCGGCGGTACGACCAGAAGAGTAATTGCTTAGACCGGCCGATCTGGACGCGATGCCTTGAGTGGAAGAGTAGCCTTGGAGCTCACGTTCGATGAGTTCGCGGCCTTCTCGCCAGCCGCCGGTCCCGTAACCGGAGAGATTGCCCTCTTCGCCTTGGTCGTCGACTTCGAGGATGCCGAATCCAAAGAGATTCTTAATCTTTCCGTAGAGATTGAAGAGGGTCGCGAGGACAGGAATGAGGATTAGAATGGGGAAGAAGTAGTCGAAACCTTTGCCGAGAGGGGTGAGATTGATTAGGCGTCCGAGGAATTTGTGGTAAGTTGTTTCCTGGTAGATTTCAGGAGGTAGGAAAGTGACAAAGTTGTATGCCAGCGGCACTGTGAGCTTGGCGATCTGCATAGCGTACCAGCATGCGCTTTCGCCGTAGGTGTTGCGCCGGACGAGAGCGCGGTTGCCCCATACCTTTGCGTCGCTGATGGATGTGAGTGCCGCGGTGCACATGTATAGGAGCCACGCAGAGGCGATGCATTGACCAGCAAATCCGACAGTGCCTTGGCGACGATGGTGGACGACAGTAAGTGCAATTATGGAGAGTTTCGGGTTGGCAATCTTGACGAGTTCAGACCAGATGATGGATATAGAGGCCAGCGATAGGAATGTGCCAAGCATGAGCCGGATGTAGGGTATGATGTGGGCGTGGAGTTGAAAGCGTGTATAAGGTGTGAGGAGCGTCAGGCGGGATAGAAAGGACGAGGATGGGCTAGATTTGCCGAACTCGAGACGGTGCGACGTATGTGCGTCAAGAATAGCTTGGGTGTCGGCGGCTTCTTCCACGAGGTGATCCCATTCATCGATAAATCGAACGCGTGCATGGCGAGCTCGTTGTAGCTTCCGCGTCAGATCGGCTAGGTAGCGCTCCGTGATGACGGAGGGAATGGACGACCCGGCAGGATCAAGGATGCCGGTTGGAGCGGAGCCAACGCGAGATTCCGGGAGGGTGGACATTTCCGCTAGTTCATCGATCCAATCGTGAAATTGAACGGCGCTGCCGGTCTTGCGTCGGCGCAGTTGCTCGACTTGTAGTTCGAGGCTGCCTAGCTCTTCAATGGCATCGTTGAGCCTATCGTAGACTTTAGGAGCTTGGATTTGTAATCGTCGTAGTCTTCCGCTAATGCTCGCGTTTCGAAGAAGCCGTCTCGGAAGTGCAACAAGACCATGGCCCATGAGATAAATTGCGAGCGTAAGAGCCCAGCAATATGCCAGCGCCATGACTAAACCTTTGAGTGACATGAGATGAAATCCGGACTGCACGAAGAAATACACGAGACCGATCGATGCGCTTCCCAAAACTATCAATTGGTATCGCCCATTCTCACGCAGAGAGTAGAGAAATCGGTCTCTCAAGGTCCTGTGGCCGGAGTCGGCGTAACTTCCGAGCAAGGGTAGGATGAACCTGCCATGGGTGATCAGCGAGAGCTTGCGAAGACGGCATTTCAAGCTCAGTCTAAATTACATACCATGTTAAGGCAAATGTAAGCCAGTATGTGATACGCCATGATACTAGGACGACTCTTTCCGGTAACCAGATCGCCTTGACCTTAACTTCTTCATCCCGGGAACTTGATGCAAGATCAATAGGCACTAGAAGGATAATGCTTGCCGGAAGCGCCAAGGCGAGGAATATCGGTACCAGAAGATAGTCCGGAGTCGATCGTAGCGGGAGATAATGTCGCAAGAGTAAAAGAACGCCAAGAGAGATCACTAGTAACGAAAGCACGGCGAAGACATCGGAGCCCACTGACGATGCGGCTGCTATTGTTATGGTATTTGAAGCCATGATATTTGTCGCATGAATTCAACAAGCCTGAAATCTCGTCAAGACCGAGAAAACATTACGCCTGGGAGATTATAAAAGCCTTGCCGTAATGGCTAAGATGCTCGCTGGATGAGAGAATAAAGTGCGTGTCAATTCAAAAGATGAATGCTTGCATATTCCAGTTATACTGCATAGGTTGGATGATGTCGCCCGAAACGGTACAGGCGTCACTGCTCGGCTACCGGAAAGGCTGACGCCGATCCGGTTTCCCGCTTAGTCATCATTCTATACCCGTTTCTCACCAAGTAGAGAAGGGACTCGGGGGAAGCTTCAAAAGATCGAGTCTTTGATAAGATGTCAAGACACTTGGATTCAAACTTGGGGAACCGGTGACCACAAATATGAGCTCCTCCTCTTGTACCCTGTTGGCCGAGCAAATGAAGGGTTCCGCGGTCACTTCAACATCTCCATATTGTCTATGTAACATCACAATCTTATCATATTTTATCGTTGCATTGAAAGGCACATGATGATCATCAGCGAAGTTTGTGAAAATAGCATCTCGTAGGATTGCGGCCTTAAAAGTATTGAAAGGTTCCTGGACCCCTCATCCACCCAATATTACTTTCCCACCATCTGGTTAAACATTGGCCAATCCGAGCGAACCCTTATCGGTGGCAGTGTACTCCGTGGCTGGAGAGATAGCGCGGGGGAAGGGGCGAGTACCTCGCCAAAGTCATTTAGGGCTTGAACCCGGAACACACTCCCACATTCGCTTACCGACTCATCGCTAAGGACTCATACGAACCGTAGTGACCGACCGACAACGACGACGACAACGACATCGCGATATCTCGCTCTCCATTTCGAAGGTAGACGAGATCCGGTATAATCGTGCGGCAGATCATTGAGCAGGATGTCGACCTTCGATCCCGTCGTGAGTACCTCCTGAGGTCTCAGTTTGGAGTTTCAACGAGCGCAACGGCTGATGGATTATTGCGATACTAGGTTGTGATTGATGGCAAGGGGCATCTGCTTGGTCGGCTGGCCAGCACGGTCGCCAAGCAGCTCCTCAACGGCCAGAAGGTGGTTGTTGTGAGATGCGAGGCCCTCAACATCTCCGGGGAGTTCTTCCGTGTCAAGCGTACGTAAACCGATACACTACGAAATCGCGATTCTCGTTCGCGTGAAGACTGTCAATAGTCATGGGGAGTCTTTTTTACTTCGGCGCGCTGACATGTATTCTTCGAACAGTTAACTACTTGTCCTTCCTCCGCAAGATGACCCGGTTCAACCCCACCCGTTCAGGTAAGGACAACAAGAAACCCGCGAACTCCGAATGCCTTCCAATGGCGACTCCCTCGCCGGGAGTCTCAAACTTCGGGGCTCGAAATAAGAGAAACCGAGACTAAACGACCGCCATAGGTCCCTTCCACTTCCGCGCTCCCTCCCGTATCTTCTGGAGGACCGTTCGTGGTATGATCCCCCACAAGACCGCCCGTGGTGCCGCCGCCATGGAGCGCCTTAAGGTCTTCGAGGGTGTCCCTCCCCCCTACGACAAGAAGAAGCGGATGGTCGTTCCCCAGGCCCTCCGTGTCCTCCGCCTCAAGCCCGGCCGCAAGTACTGCACCGTTGGCCGTTTGAGCCACGAGGTCGGCTGGAAGTACCGGGACGTTGTTGAGAGGTTCGCACCCATATTTCCCGCACCCACAGAATATCTTGGATGGCTCCATGTCCAGTGGACATTTGCTTACGTGTTTTGTACAGACTCGAGGAGAGAAGAAAGGTCAAGGGCGCTGCTTACTATGCGCGCAAGAAGGCTGCCCGGAGACAGCTCGCTGACGCCAAGAAGAACGCCAAGGTTGACGACAAGACCAAGACTCAGCTCGCTGAGCTTGGCTACTAAATGGGAGGAAACAAAGCGGCGAGGCTGAGATAGCTGGCGACAATGCTGAGGCATGGCGCTAGGGGGATGTCACTCTACTATTCCAAAAACAAACTGTCTATTCTCCGTTTCAGCTTTCTAGGTGTTATGCCAATGTGAAGCGTGTTTGGAGATGATCGTGCTGGATTGGGTGGAGGTGCCTCGATCCCGCTTTCCGTCAAAACAAGCCGACATAGACATGTGTGTATAGCTTTCTTCTGATCGCCGGCAAAATATGCTCTCGCGATGAATCTAAAAGGGTTTTTAAGATACCATGGAGTAGTGTTGTTTAAGACTCATTTTCAGAGTTTGCGTGCATTTGATGTCGCTATTTCCCATGAATTATCGTTGTTGTTTATGATGTCAACAAGGTAGGATAATACCGCGCTTGGAGAAGATGATTTCGATTCCCCCAGGGACCGATGTGGCAACCAGCGACATTGACTGAGTGATAACTCGACCTGAATGATGTTTGCACGTGGCAGAACTGCCTGTATGAAACAACAAATCGGGTCAGCTCTCAACGCGCAGCTGTTTGGGAGCAGTGTAAGAACATCATTACAGTAAGTACTCTCTGAGTACTTACCTGCGCTGGACAAGTGGAGTTGGGAGAGATGTCGCAGGGTTCCCACTGGTCGTCTTGCCTCCTCGCGTAATCACAGTGGGCTCAACTCGGGCCAACATTTAGTGGATCATCGCGCGTCCGGACCGCCACGGGTACCCCGCATATACTTCTTTGCCTCGGGTCTATTTTGCCAGGGTCTTTAGCCAGGGCAACGGAAGGGTAATCCCCCTCAATGTTTTGCTCAATGGCTGGCTCCAATCCCTGCACCATCTGCCTGAATAATATGCGATCGCGGTGGAGTTATTAAAACGAACGTGGGATGTCCTTGTCTGGGCTTTTACCCTGCAACTTTTGATATTGTGCAACCGGTGCACCCTCCATCTTCGTCATGCATGGTCTGCTCCTCCCCCATTGCCTCTCTCACCAATGGTGATAAGAAAGTTGGGCATCCCTCTATAATTACTGCTTCGTGAATTTCCCTCACCGCTATCACGATGTCAGGCCCAAAATCAAGACTAGCTCGAATTGCTTCCCATTTCTTGCCAGCGTCCCCCGTACCAGAGCAAGTCACTACAGACACCGGAGCCCATCGGTTCAATCACCACAGTCTGTCGCCTACATTTTTTCTGCAGCGTGCGGCGGAAATTGAACCAAATGTGAGAGAAGCTATTGTCTTTTGCGAGGCTAGATATCACTGACTCGTACATTTTTACATTATCTACCTAGGCTGAAGCCATTTATCATATAACAGCCAATGGACAGCTTCTGAGACGCTCTTATCAAGAAGCTGCAGATAGAGCTCGTGGCTTGGCATACTACATTAAACAGCATGGTTGGAAGCGTGTCGGAATCCTCTGTCCCAACACTCCTGCGCATTATGAATCTATTTTCGGGATCGCAGCTGCTGGAGCCATTCAAGTCGGTCAGTTGTCCCTGCGGCCGTCACAAAGTTTGCTCAGAGCTAATGTTTTCGAAGCGGTCAATTATCGGTTAAAGGCAACCGATATAACATATATATTGGCCCATGCGGACGTAGAGGTAATCATTGTGGATGCAGAGTTTCTGCCTTTGATTGAAAAATACCGTGGCGAACACCCTGCAGTTCCTATCATTGTTGATACCGACACCGATGCATCCGAGGGACAATTGTGTGGTCCATTTGACGATGCCATTCGAGAAGGATTACTGCATGATCGGCAAAATGGCAGCCAGGGTTGGAGTGGGCTCAATGCCCAGGTGGCTGACGAAGAGGATGTGATTGCACTCTCCTACACAAGTGGGACGACTGCGCGACCAAAAGGGGTTGAGTTGACGCATCGTGGTTGCTACTTAGGCGCTCTTGCCTGTGTCATAGAGTCAGGTCTGAATGCACATTCACCTCGTAGCCGATTCTTGTGGACGCTTCCCATGTTCCACGCCGCTGGTAAGAATCATTCCTTGGTACTTAATACCTTGCAATGCTGACGGCTCAAAAGGATGGACCTTTCCATGGGCAGTCGCCTCTGTACGTGCAACCAATTACTGTCTGCGGAAGATTGATTATCCTGAAATATGGAGGTTGCTCAAAGAGGAGCATATCACCCATTTCAATGCTGCTCCTACAGTAAACATTCTTCTTTGCGCTGCCAAAGAGGCAGAACACTTGCCTTCGCCTGTTAGGGTCACTGTGGCCGCCAGCCCGCCGACACCACATCTATTTCAGCGAATGATGGAATTGAATCTGCATCCTGTCCACATGTATGGAATGACTGAAACTTATGGTCCTACGTGCAAAAGTTACCATCTTGAAGAATGGCAAAACTTGCCGCGATTGGAAAAGTTTTCGAAAATGGCACGCCAAGGCCAAGGATATATTACCAGCTTGCCTGTACGGGTAGTGAAGAGAGATACACCAGAGGGCGTCATTCTTGATGTCCAAAGAAACGGCAAAGAGATTGGCGAGGTTGTCTTCACGGGCAACATATGCGCAAAGGGATATTATAAAGATCCAGAAGCAACACGCAAGCTCTTCGCCGGCGGAGTGCTGCACTCAGGTGATCTTGCTGTCTGGCACCCTGACGGTGCTATACAGATCTTGGACCGTGCTAAGGACATAATCATCAGCGGTGAGTGCTTCTTGTCCTTCCTGTTGCAAAGTTGACACATGTGAGCTGACGCGTGATGATGGTGATTTTAGGAGGAGAGAACATCTCTTCTGTCGCATTGGAGAGTATGCTTGCAACACATCCAGATATCCTCGAGGCTGGTGTTGTAGCGGTAGCTGACTCCCATTGGGGAGAACGACCTAAAGCTTTTATCACGGTGCAGACTGGAAAACAAGTGAAGGGCGACGACGTCATCAGTTGGGCCAAGCATCAAAGCGCAATTAGCAAGTTTATGGTTCCGCGGGAGGTTGAGGTGGTCAAGGAGCTGCCCAAGACGAGCACAGGAAAGGTAAAGAAACACGTGCTACGTGAATGGGCCAAGGGGGGTGATCGAAGCATATGACGGCTTTTTTTTTCGCTATCTGATAATTGTTGTTAATCCAAAGAGGTATTTGTGCATGCATTGCTAAGGCTACCGGAGGGAGATGAAGCTGAAGAGCAATGGATGATCGGCCGCTCGCAAGGTGATTGATACATTTCGGGTCCGAAAGATACTCCAGCGACGGGCAGAAGAAGAGAAAAATGACCGATGCGCATGGACAGCTGTGGGGATCGACGTAACTTTTTGTATGGTAGGGCAAACGACATGAACAGTTTGCGCAGTTATATATACACAATGTGCAATGACGATAATGATATGGATCTGAAAGTGACACGAAAAGGATACAGTACAGATCCTTTCAACAAAAGAAGAGAATAATCTAAGAGAATATTTTTTATCTTCGAGATCTCTTAGTATTTATTTGGTTGTGAGAATTGCTGCTCAAGATTTTGTTCACTCCCCCTGGGTCAATAATTAAGGTCCGTCCCGTTCCCACTTGGGCTTTTCCCTTTTGTCTGCAAGCGTCGCTCTTCGGACTTCATCATCAGCCGCATTCCCGATTCATCCATCCAACGCCCAAAGGCGGCTTTCCAATCATTCACTCTCACATTCGAATTTCACCTTTGCCAAATTGTTGAAACTTATATATGGTCCACTCCGGTGCTTTGGCCGCTTTGGGTTGAAATCAAATCGGCTGCTCTGAACATCGCCAATTATCTCTCCTCTGCACCACGTCGACTCTCTCTCCTTTGCAGCCTGGACCTCCAAAACGTACCCAACCCGCTAACATCCCCGCAAAAGATACTTTCTTCTCTCATTATTCACACGCACCCCCCCGTTTGTTGGTGGCTCTGTGCACACTGCATTTATTACTGAGGCCTGCAGAACACTATCTACACCAACACGACGCATATCATATCCTTGTCTGCTTAGGTCACATCAAGCATTCCGACTCTTGCCTCGATATTGGTGCTCTCCGCAAAGGTTCACAAATCCAAATCGTTGTCGCGACCAGCAGTAGAGACTCCGTTGCGAAAGCCAAACAACAGCGACGCTGCAAAGGGGGCCCCGACGCCCACACGCCGCTTGGGCGTTTCAGAATCACGTCTATTGAAAGCTTGCTTACATTCGTCTCTTGCGTCCGTGTCCCGTCTATCTCACCCGGATCATACCATCTATCGGCTTCATTCCCTTGATCTCTCCTGCGATGGAAGAACCAAACATGGCTCGATCTCGATCGGCGTTCCGCACCGCGAGCAATGCGACCTCTGAATCATCTTCGTCGAGTTCACCGGAGCGCGCAGTCTACGATGATACCGACTTCTCCATGGCACAGGGCAACGACTCCGACTCGTCTATCGGTGCTTCGACATTTCGTGAGATGACGGTAGATACACGAGAGCAAGAGATTTGTGGGCCGCCGATCAGCAGACTTCCTCCCGAAATATTCATCGCCATATTTGCGAAGCTAGTGTCCCAGAACGATCTCAGAAACTGCATGCTTGTGTCAAAATCTTGGGCAAGGAACAGTGTGGAGCTCCTGTGGCATCGGCCTCTTTGCAATGATTGGGGTCGTCTGGAAAATGTGATTCGCACCGTACAAATGCCAAACGCATCTTTTGCGTACCACGAGCTTGTCAAGCGGCTGAACCTCTCGGAGCGAAGCTTGACGGACAAGATTAGCGACGGCACCGTGCGGCCGCTTCATGTTTGCAGGCGGGTGGAACGACTGACGTTGACCAACTGCATCCGCCTGACTGACCTCGGTGTTACCTCTCTGGTCGACGGCAATCGGTCGCTCTTGGCGTTGGACGTCTCGGGCGTGGATTCGATTACTGATATTTCATTGCTTACCGTGGCGTACAACAGTACACGGTTGCAAGGCCTCAACATTACAGGGTGCCGCAAGGTCACAGACGATTCCTTAATCACAGTCTCGCAAAGTTGCCGACATATTAAGAGGGTGAGTTTGAAGTCCATCTGTTGTTTAGGCCCGAAGAAACAAGACATCTCTAACATTCTCTATAGTTAAAACTAAACAAATGCGCGCAACTGACGGACAAGTCCATTATTGCATTTGCCGATAACTGCCCGCAACTTCTCGAGATTGATCTGCAGGAATGCAAGCTCATCTCGGGCGAGTCTGTCTCTGCTCTAATTAGCAGAAGTCATCAGCTTCGTGAGCTGCGGCTGGCCCAATGCTCACGTATAACGGATGATGCGTTTCTCCGCCTGCCTTATGATCGGACGTACGACAGCCTCCGGATACTAGACCTGACGAGCTGCGATCAGCTACGAGACGAGGCGGTGCAGAAAATTGTCACCGCTGCGCCTCGACTTCGCAACCTGACCCTCGCCAAGTGCCGACAGATTACAGACCGAGCCCTTTTGTCAATAGCAAAACTTGGCAAGAATCTGCATTTGATCCACCTTGGCCACTGCCAGAACATTACCGATGGCGCCGTAGTCCACTTAGTGAAGATGTGCAACCGTATCCGTTACATTGATTTGGCATGCTGCCATCGTCTCACCGACGTGTCGGTCCAGCAGCTAGCAACGCTGCCAAAGCTCCGACGGATAGGCTTAGTGAAATGTCAAAATGTCACTGACCGGAGTATCCTTGCACTTGCCAAAGCAAAGCCTGGGCCGCATGGATCCGTCCTTGGCGCTAGCTGCCTTGAAAGAGTCCATCTCAGCTACTGTATCCATTTGACTCTTCAGGTGTGTTCCCTTGTTGTCTATTCATTTTCTTTTCTTTACAAGTTTCTCTAACCACATCTCCACATCAGGGCATCCACGCACTTCTAAATCATTGTCCCCGATTAACCCACCTTAGCTTGACTGGCGTTCAAGCTTTCATCGCACGTGATGATCTCACCGTCTTTTGCCGTGCTGCTCCATCAGGTACGTCTCTCCTATAGAGCATCCTTTTCGTTCTCGCGCTTCTTTTCTTCTCGCCAGCTAACACCGTCCAGAATTCACCGACCATCAACGAGACGTCTTCTGCGTCTTCTCCGGCGAAGGCGTCAAGGATCTCCGCAACTACCTCAACCAAGCCGCTCTCCAATACGAAGCCGAGGGAACGCGCTTCAATGACGACGCAGACGAGTCAGAATCCGAAATCGTCATGGCCACGACCCCGCATGTCGCTGCCTCGCAACACGTCACGAACTTGCTCAATGCCACTGGACTGGGCGAGCCAGAAGACGCCGACGAAGATCTCGGCGAGGGCAGCGAAAACGGCCACGAAGAACAGGGATAGTGGATTGATTATCCTCCGTCGTCGTCGTCGTCGTCGTCGTCGTCGTTGTTGTCGTTGCGCTTATCTCATCTTGTTCCCTTTCTCGCGAGAAGACGACTTTATGAATGTGCAACTTGCATTGGGCCATATGCATATATGCATAGGTTCTAGGGTTTAGGGCTTATCACTAAGGGGCGTCGGCTTGGGTTTAAATACGATTGATGGTTCAAAGGGAAATTGGTAGCATATCCTAGGTATATCGTATCTGCTCCTTTCACTCCTCTTAAGGATCTTTCACCCCTCTTAAGGTCCTAAGGATTAAAGGGGGTACAAAAAGGGGAAGGGGAAATTTGCATTAAATTGTTTTATGTGTTCATGGCATTGCATGGGATGGAGTAGTCGGCGTTGCGGGTTTTGTGAGGGAGGTCGTCACAGATTATGGTCCTCACCCTTTATTTATTGGTTGACGTTTATCGTTTTACAATATTTCCGGTGTTGATTTTCCCGGCTTACCATTCTGCTTATTTCTCTCTATTTCTCTTTGACTTTTTTTCCCCTTCTTCTCAGTCTGTTTTCTTCTAGCTAGTTCTCTCTTTTTCTCTGCTCTTTATTTACTTATTTATTTCTCTTTTCTTCACGTTTCCCAATACTGTCCTTCTCTTCTTGAGAGCTATCTTCCATCTCGTGTCCTTGTCCTTTTTTTGCCACGGTCTCAATGTTGTTATCTTCCTCTTTCCATTTTCAGGCTTGTTCTTCTTTTCTTCTGATTTACGTTTGAATTGGCTATTGGCTATGCAATACCGGCTACTGGCTACTGGCTCGGGCATATATTTTACGTTGACCATACTTGGTAAACACTTTTACTTTGAACATCTTCTCGGGAAATTCTGTGCTGTAACTTTTCAATATTTGGGGGTCATATGTTTTGAATGAACGTAAAGAATGAAAGATACAGACGTGATGCAATACAATCCCATATCAATTTCTTTTTCATTTCAATTCAATTTCAATTTCAACTCAATTCAATTTCCCAGTGTCTTGGTTACTATCTACACTTGTCTCTGTCTCCATATCTGTCTTCAGCGCTGGTACATTGTTTGCTTGACGTATATGAACCGAGACATGGAACAAACGACAATCGAGACAGATAAAGAAACGGGAGAAGCCGTTGAAAAGGATGAGGAAAAAGAAATGAGAATAAAGTGACTGTATTGTATGTGACCGCGTCGCCGCCTGTGTGTGTGTGCCATTTCGAGTCAGCGATCAAAGATCAGAGATCAAAGATCAAAAATCCATGATCGACTCCCATTCGTCCGCCGTAAAGTGAAGACTCCGACCCATTCACTCCATCCAGACATCAATCCAGAAGTCCATCGAAATGAGAGATTGAATGAGAGAACTAACGGACTAATTGACTAAAGACTAATGGACAATGAATGTACTGTGAGTTTGTGGTAAAAGGTCGAAAGGACCGGCCGTCGTAGCGTTGGGCGGGTTTCGAGTATTGAGGATTCAGGATTAAGGATTAGGATTAAGTGAGATAGAGTGGAGTGGGGAGGGGAGGCGCGAGTAATAGCAAAGTAAGGAAGCAAAGGGGGAAAGATTGACGAAAGTGGAGTCAACGATAAAGTAAATAAAGCATTGACAAACGAAATTGAAACAGGAACGACTGAAAAACAAGTAAAGACGACGATAAATAGTGAGTGGAGATTTGTAAATCAAGCAGAAGCAGACAAGTCAAAGACAAGTAAGAAAGAATCAACGCAAGACTACCGATAAAGGAAACAACCGCCACCACGTCCCGCCATTTTTAGTATGATTTTATAAATTTCAAGTTTTTTCAGTCTTTTTTCATTTTTGAATTCATCCTGACACCGCTGAGCATCACCGCAAGCAACAAGAAAGTTGGAATCAATAGACTGCCACAACTTCTTGACTTGCACTTAATCTCGATCTTTCTTGGTCAATTGTTCTCTAAGATCTTTGATCTCATCTTTCCTGCTTTCTCGGTGCTCAGCAACAAAGTTGCCGGGAAAGACCTGGTCGAGAATGTTCAGAAATTTATTGATAAAGGTGGGTTCCTTGCGCTTGCGCTCTTTGCTTTCCAGGAATCTTATTCTTCTCCTGATTTTCTTCCGATTCTCGTCATCCCTTTCTTCATGGATAACGTTATATATGGTACTGTTTAGAACACTGCCGTACAGTCGGTGTCCCTCAATTTCTTCCTGAGTGACTGGGGCGGCAGATTGCGCGGCAGCCTCCGCCTCTCGCCTCTCCTTTTGCAATTCCCGCCTCGCTTGCCGGGCGGAACAATGCCGGCCCTCGCTGTCAACAATGTTCCCCGCGCCTCCAATGCCGTGACGACGAGTACGATACCCAGAGCGACCTGTAGCAGTACTAAAGGCGGTGGATGGCGCCGGAGAGCTAGGCCGGGGAAGATAAGTTGAAGATGCTCTTGACTCTCTTTGGAGCTTCCGAAGATCAGGGGCAGACACTTGTGGATGGACTTGAGAGTGTCCCCTGAAACGGGGACTTCTCGGAGGCGGCGGGGAAGGCTCTCGCTCCGGCTCTGACTCTTCTTCTTCCTCCTCCACATAAGCATTTCGAGTGCGTTCAGCTCTCGGCTGCTCACGACCGGCCGAAGGCGTACCTTGCTCTGACGGCAGCAGTCTGACCGTACTGGTATCGGTGTACGGACTCACCGGAGATGCCACCAGGGGAGAGCTATCAAGATGAGGAGCATGAGTGGCACCGGTGTAAATGTCAGGACCATTAAAAGTCCGGTGAGGTGTAGTAGTGGGTTCATTGTCAACAGTAAGTCCATTGACATTGCGAGAATTGTCATCCGCAGCACGATAGCGACGTCTGCGATGATCACGACCCTCATTATATTCAGTTCTTGGCTCAGAATTCTCGCTTTCATGGGGACCCCCGTGCTCCGCTCGGCCACTTGGGCGACGACCAACGTCAGAACGGCCGTGAGCTGGGCTGATTGACTCTTCCAGCTCATGATCCCTAGCGGGACCTGGAAAGGGTCTGGGGCCCGCAGGAGACTCATTACGGCGGTGACGATGACCACTTGGAGACCCTCGCTCACGACGAGCTCGATCCCGTGGAGCCCTGCTCTCAGCACGAGGACCAGACGGCCGCTGGCGAGAGTGTTTGTCTCTGCTTGAGGAATGCCTTTGGGACATTGTTATTGAATTTGAGTTCTTGAGGTAAACGGATCTTGGGATAAAACGGGTCTTGAGACGAAACGAATCTTGAGGTGAAACGGAAATAAAGAGTGCAGAAAGGCAAGAAATGCGGAAAATGGGAGATTAAAAGACGATCTTGAAAGGTGTATCTTAATAAAGTATCAGGGAGAGTTCTGAGAAGGGCTTGAAACGAGTCTGCAGAACGATCTGATGCTTGGATACGAAGAGTGGAACTGTTTGAAGACTTCGTGATCTCAAAACAACACTTCGCTTCGGTTGATTTTGAGATAGGAATTCATTGTGGAGGAAACAGCCAAAGGGAACCCTAGAAGAGGCTGGTTTGCCGAGAGAAAATTTCTCTCATATGTAGATGAAGAACAGAGAGCTGCGTGAGATTTGGACACAGTGTGTAGCTGGTGACCATTCTCTCGCAGGACGTACTTTGCAGTGCTCATCAGGCTTCATTTAGAGTAGGGGCAAGCACGCGGTGAAGTTGGTACGGTGACAACCAAAGCACCTGAACCAAGCCCACGATAGAAACCCTGGATACATTCAGCCCATTTTTAGGGGTCAATAAGAGCAGTCAGATGGAACCCTAAAGCTCAGTGAATCCTTCTTGGGAAATTGAATCTCGGCAAGACCAATTGCGGCCAAAAATTTCGACGAGACATATCAGCACGTTGTGACAGTCTAGTTGGCTTCTGGACATTAGCTTTGTCCAATGCTTCGTTTTGCAACGGCCAACAGCTCGTACGGAGCAAGGCCGCAATCGTCGATAATCTCCAGCTTGCCCTTGCTGGCGAATCTTTGCAATAGCGGGCGGTAGTCATCCCAGTCATTTCCTGGTCCTAGCCAGACAATAACCTGCACGGTCCCTCCACCGCACTGGTCCAGATATTTCTCCATCAAGGTAGGCTCTCGCGGATAGACAAACAACCAGGCGTCTGCTAAAATAGCATCCAGAATGGTATCCCAGGTGCCGGCAACGGTACGAAGCTTTTCTTTTGGAAGATAGACATTGACATCTTCGGTAACCTCAACTCCCAGCACGTCAATTGTGTTGTCATGCTGCGTTAGTAAGGCCTCTAATAGCCCGGTCCCGCTACCAATAGAAAAAACACCTTCTGGAGAATGAGGCAGAATAGCTGACAAGGTATCCAATAGTCTGTTTGACAAGGAAGCACAATAGTTTTGATGATGCTCCGGCTGATCAGTGAGCACGGGCAATTCTGGGAGGACCATGATTAGCAAAGTTGATGCATTGGAAGTCGAGATGAAGTGAAGATCATGTCGATATATCGGATAAATCCCCACAAATGCCGATGTTGACACCAAAGGCGGTGAGAGGACAGTCCAATCACCGCTTGATGTCGGCAGATTCCGTCATAGAGACCCCGACTGTCCGACTTTATCAATTCGCCCAACCTCCTCTTCTTCCTCTTCTACCCTTGCGGAATCCTCATTTGATCTTCGTTTGGCGGAAGAAGCTTAATTCCAAGGAATACTTGGGGTTGAAGCTCATACGTGGACGCCCCGCAGAAGTAGATCCAACAGGAGCGGTCGTCTTCTTGGTTTGGCCGGCCAAGTGAGCACGTGCCTGTCCTGTGTTGGACCGGCCTTGGCTGGCCAGAGTTTCGAGAGTTTACTAGTGGCAGCTCAATATGTCACCCAAATCGAGCAGCTGGAATCCTTTCCTCTTCAAACCTGTGTCAGTCACATTCTTTACAGCTTTGGTGTATGTTGGTCTGGTCGTGGGGTTATTAATCGTGCATATTGTGGTCCCTTCGGCGCCAACGAGCCCTACACCAATCAATGGCATCAACGTCACAGAAGCATGGTTGGATCTGCAGGAACTCACCAATGGATTCCACCCGTACAATAGCCGTCGAAATGACGAGGTTCGGGATTGGCTGCTGAAGAGAATCGATGCTATCTTATCAAGCAACAAAGTGGATTATTCCACAGTTGACCAATATGTAAAGACGTCTCCAGTCCGACCTCAAGCACATGGACAAGATGTTACTACAGCTGCTGCGGCTTCTTCAGCTGTCATAGTCTGGAATGATATGCTCTCGAATGTCACATTTTCCGCACCCGGCGCCATCTCTGGCAGTGCTCGTGAACCTGGAATTAGTGTTTATTTTGAAGGCACAAACATCATCGTATACGTTCGTGGGTCTGAAGACCCCGAGGGCGATTGGTGGAATCGACCCGCAGAAGATATCGGGTCCAGTGGAATCCTTGTCAATGCACACTACGACAGCGTCTCAACTGGCTACGGTGCAACTGATGATGGAGTGGGCGTTGTGACTGTCTTGCAGCTACTCCAGTACTTTACAACTCCTGGAAATGCTCCAAAGAAGGGCGTCATAGCTTTGCTCAATAACGGCGAGGAAGACTTTTTGAATGGCGCCCGGGCATTCACCCAGTCGCCCGTATCCCAGTTTGCTCATGCTTTCCTGAATCTCGAAGGTGCCGGTGCCGGCGGGCGTGCAACCCTGTTTCGGAGCACTGATACAGAGGTCACGAGATTCTACAAGAAAAGTCCTTATCCGTTTGGCTCTGCTTTGAGCGGGGACGGATTCAAACGAGGATTGATCCGAAGTCAAACAGACTATGTCGTTTTTGATGACATTCTTGGCCTCCGCGGCCTCGATGTGGCCTTTATGGAGCCCAGGGCACGCTATCACACTGATTTGGATGATGCCAGACACAGTAAGATATATATTATTTTCTTCCTCTGTAGTTGATGAATGCGCTAATTTGTGAGTAATAGCTGGCATTGATTCGGTCTGGCATATGTTATCTGCCTCTGTCGCAACGATGAAGGCCCTCACATCCGATACGAGCCCAAACTTTGAAGGGTCCAAGGAGGACGCTGAACCGGGCAAGGTGAGCAGCGGAAAGCGCTCTGAAGGAGTGTGGTTTGACAGTAAGTCCTATGATGAAGGGAAAGAGATAAACAGACCTAATTTTTTTCCAGTGTTTGGCCGTGCATTTGCCGTCTTCCGCCTCCAAAGCTTCTTCGCAATATCGGTAACACTTTTGGTCGCCTCGCCCGTTTTCCTGCTGGTCGTTGCACTGATTCTCCGCCGTGTCGACAAAATGTATCTCTTCTCGAAGAAGACGTACTTGCATTCGTCGGATGACGATGAGCCCATCAAGCTCTATGGATGGCGTGGAGTTTTCAGGGATCCCGTCGCCTTTGTGCTTGCATCCGCCGCTGCAGTCGGGCTTTCCTTTTTGGTGACCAAGCTTAACCCGTACATTGTCTACAGCAGCCCATTTGCTGTTTGGAGCATGATGTTGACTGCATGGTTTGTTGTGGCTTGGTTCATTGTCCGGGGCGCGGATTTTGTCAGACCATCTGCCCTCCACCGTCTCTATTCGCTCGTGTGGACGTATATTGGAGCGTGGGTGCTCCTGGTAGGCGTTACTGTCCTTGAGCACAAGTACAAGATTGCCGGTGGATACTTTATCGTGTTTTACCTCTTTGCAGCCTTCCTTGCACTCTTAATCTCCTTTTTGGAGCTCTTTGGTCTTGAACGCAAGTCGGTCTACGCAGCCAGGATTAGCGACGACCGGACCGCTACCCCAGGCAGTGCTCACTCCGATTCTGCGTCTGCCAGACTCATTGCTCCCTCGTCTGACGAAAACCCGGCCGCTAGTGGAGAAAACGAGGACTCGGGCCGGCAGTCTGAAGACAATGAACCCACAGAAAGGACTCCTCTCTTCCGCAATGCCGGGCAAACATCGTTTGCCAACTACTCTCGCGCAAGAGGCAGCGGCCGGCGCCACTCGAGCAGCAGCGACCAGGACGACAGTCACGGCATTGTGTCACGACTTCATTACGGCGAAGAACAAGCATGGAGCGCCCATCTACCGCAATGGACGTGGCTGCTACAGTTCATTCTCACAGCGCCCATTGTCATCATCCTGGTCGGCCAGATTGGCCTTCTCATCACGTCTGCTCTCCACCAGACCCTCGCAGACGGCAGCTCAGCCTTGCTCGTGTACATTCTGATCGCCGTCTTTTCCATTCTCTTGCTCGTGCCCTTGACTCCTTATTTGCATCGCTACACCTATCACATCCCGACGTTCCTCTTCTTCATTTTCGTCGGCACCCTGCTCTACAACCTGATTGCATTCCCCTTTTCGCCCGCCAACCGCTTAAAGGTCTTTTTCCAACAAGCCGTGGATCTCGAAACGGGCATCAACCGCGCCACTCTGACCGGCCTGGAACCCTACGTGCAGGGGATAATTCACCAAATCCCCAGCGCTGCGGGACAAGACGTTTCCTGCGTCGAGTCCAGCAGCAAGCTCGGCCTGGTCACCTGCTCCTGGGACAGTCTTGCCCCACAAGTTGTCCCCAACCTCGACGACCTTGTCCCTCCGGGATCGCCTCCCGAGATCGGATACGCCGAGTGGTTGACCTACAACGTGTCCCGTGTCACAGACCTGCCAAACACTGCGCGCTTCACCCTCGTCGGGCGAAACACCCGCAGCTGCAGACTCCTCTTCGACTCGCCCATTACCGACGTCCGCGTGCACGGCGCCGGCTCGGACCCCTATGACCGCTTCGACCGCGTCCCCGCCGAAGGCGGCACAAAAGAAATCCGGCTCTGGAGCCGCGAATGGGAACGGCCCTGGACCGTGGACGTCAACTGGCAAGACTCCGGCGACGGCCGCGGCCTCGATGGCCACGTCGTGTGCATCTGGTCAGACGATAACGATCCTAGTGCCATTCCTGCCCTGGAGGAGATTCGTCGATTTGCGCCCGACTGGGTCGCCATCACAAAGTTGGCCGATGGGTTGGTGGAAGGTCGTAAAGCCTTTATGGTTTAGTCTTGTCTTCATTTCACTTTACTTCATTTTGCTTCAATTCATTTCATTTCTACTTCCGTTTGTTCATTTCCTTTTCCGTTAATCTATCATTCCATTCATCCTTTACCTATGATTATCTTCGTTAGTATTTACGCTACATTATCGCATTATGCATTTACTTATCCTCTATTCTATATGTCAGTAGTTAGCTTCAATTCTCATTAACCTCAGTCTCAATGTCCCATCTAAACCTCAGTCTCAGTCTCAGTCTCAGTCTCATGTCCATCGTCCATTGTCCAATCTTGCGACAAAAGTGTAGTAAGACAGAAGCGTAACAGCCAAGTTCCACGACGTAAACGTAAGCGTAAATATAGCACAGTATCTCGAATCATCATTCATATTCATCAATCGTCACTCGTCACTCATCGTTCATCAATGCCAATTGTCAACGTCAAATGTCACCAGCTCAGAACATTACCCATTTTCAATACTTCCACGGTAGGAAGGACTCAATGCTTATATTGGCCTGGATTGTATTGCACTGTACTGTACTGTATCACATCATACTATATCACATTGCACTATTATCTCGTACAAGTGTACTCGCCTTCTAAGAATCAGAACCAGAACTATGATGCCTACGACTGTGCCAGAATAGACACTAAAAGAAAGAACAGACACTCGATAGAACACTCACTCGAAAGGAAAAGAAACAGAAAAAAAATAAAGAAAGGAACAGAAAAAAAGAAAAGAACAAGAACAAGAAAAAGGAAAAGAAAAAGAAAAAGAAAAGGGAAAAGGACGACAACAGGAAATCAATTTTCTTATCCCATGTTTGTTTGTGCCGATAGATAAAGGCGGTGTTGAGAAGAAAACATCCATTATGAGCAAAAGACGGACATGTTTTTAAAAGTCCTTGAAATAGAAAAAGACACAAAGTTACACAAAGTGAGCACAGTGAACACATTCCTATCAGAGATATCGAGACTAAAATGTTGAGACGGTCGAATAAGGAGAATGAAGTGGAGAAAGGAGGAAAAAGAAAAAAGAAAAGAAGAGAAAAGGATAGGAAAAAGGTAAGGAAATAAAAGAAAAGACACACCTTAACGAATACAACAGACTAGAATCGAGAAAACTGAATTTCCTGGCCGTATGCTCACTTTTCCAACGTCCAACGTCCAACGTCCCAAGTTCAACGTCCCAAGTTCAACGTCCCAAGTTCAACGTGCATTGTCCATGATCACATCGCTATTTCAAAGGGCGGGGGGGGAAGGGACATACGGAAAGAAAAGGACATCCGGAAGAAAACACCATCCGTAATGAAGAGGACTTCGAATGAAAAGAACATCCGGAAGAAAACACCATCCGTAATGAAGAGGACTTCGAATGAAAAGAACATCCGGAGTGAAAAGAGCAGAGGAACGAAGATGAGAATGACGATGAATGGGCAAAGAAACGACAAGACAGACGAGTCAGACAAAAGGAGAAAACCCGTATAATGAACCGAGATGACGGATAATCCGACGCATGATACTACTGACCCATAAATCACTTCCGATTCTTGGGCTTGGCCAACTCATTCAGTCTACTCAGACTCATGACTCGCTTGGCGATGGAGCTTCTGGGGGTAGTACCAGTCGCGCTGCGAGAAGAAGAAAAATCACCTTTCAGACCCATCTTTGCGCGCTTGGCTGCAGACTTGATTTCTTCTCCATGTCCGTCTTGTCCTCCTTCTGGCTGCTGCTGGCGGTGATCATGCACAAACTTGGTCCGTTTCGCGGCGCGGGGAGTGACTGGCGGCGGCGGAACTGCTGCTGCAGTGGGAGAATTCGACTTGTTGCGTTTATTGCCCTTCTTTCTCGGAGAAGTAGAAGCACCCTCATCATTCTGATTCTCGACATCAGAACCCTCAACGTCATTCTTGCTCTCCATGACGCTTCGGCGGCGCTTCTTGTTCGGCATACCGTGCGGAACGGCAGGTAGGTTCTGCAGTCTGGTGAGCGGGTCATCGGTGCCGGCGACGGCAGCAGCAGCGGTGGCAGCATCGGTAGCGGTAGTGGTGGCGGGAGAGGGAACAATGCTTGGCCGCACGTGGCGGATAGTGGCGCCCTTGGGAGTAGGGAACTTGATGGTCTGTTCGGTGCGAAAGGTAAAGTCTGAAATACCAGGGCGTTTGGGTTGGACTTTGACCGGGCTGGGGCTTTGGGAGACGGTGTCCAAGGACGGGAGAGCTGGGTACGCAATGGTGGGAGTGGAAGGGCTCTTGTTAGGAGTAGGTGTATTCTTGGAGGCCTTGTTCTTCTTCTTACTGCTGCTTCCGGTCTCGTTGCTGATGCGCTGCTGGGGCGTGGCAGGTGCAGGAGAATCGTTGCCGCCCTTTGCAACGAGATCTGGGGTAAACTTGACGTGGCGAACAGAAGGCGAGTTCAGCTGCGGCGTTTCCGGGGTGGCGGGTGTCTGCTCATGATTAATATCCTTCATCCCTTTTGGCGTCGCAACGTGCGTGCCAGAGGCTTGCTTTAGAGGATCGTCTGAGAAGCGAGGCTGAGGGCGACGCAAAATAGACCTCATGGCGCCAACCACGGAAAAGGCTGAGCGGAATCTGTTGGTGGTATCGGTGCGAGCAACGCGAGGGCTGCCAACAGGTCGACCAAGCTTTGGAATGAGCGAGGTCTTGGGCATCTTGACACTGGCGGCAGAACGGGCGAGCGACGCCTTTGTAGGTGTAGCAAATGAAGCGCTAATGTGGGCCTTTGATCGGTCGACTTTGGGCGTAGATACGTCGGTATCTATATGGGGCGTAGCCTCACGAGAACGCGGGCGTGCTGCAGAGACGTCATCCCCAGCATTGCCCTTTTTGCGCTTAGTGGGAGCTGCTTTTCCGGTTTCCTCCTCTTTGTCAGACTGCGAACCTGCCGTAGGCCTCTTAGCCTCAGGTCTCTTAGCCTCGGGCTGCTCATCAAGTTTGGCTTGAGACTTGGTGCGCTTCAATGTAGTGTTTGAAGCAGGAGCAGGGCTACGAGAAACTCTGGCGGAGGAGTTGGAGCTGGAAGCAGATTGCTGACGGTTAGTCTGAGAGCGGAACGAAGACGCGTGTCCTGCAATCGAATCCATCTTCTCAAACGCCGAGTGATGAGCATCACTGAACCTGCCCTTGGGCTTGGCAATCTTTCGTCCAGCCGCTGCAGCAGCTGACGATTCCGCCTCCTGAGCCTTTTCCTTTTCCTTTTCCTTCTGCTCTGCCATCTCAACCTTTAGCTTGGCTGCTTCTTCCTGGATGCTTTCACGCAGCTTCTGTGCTTCAGCGCTGAGCGACGGGCCAGGATGGGTAAACTTGAACTCGAACCCAGGAGAGGCCGGGCAGGCTGCCGTGCGAGACTTAGTAGGCGTTTCTTGTAGGAACTTGTTCTTTCCAGAAGCCTTGTCAGCAATATCAGTGAATCCCAGCCGAAGACCAGAGTCGGGTTGCTTTTTCGTGCTCTGGTGAGCCTTGCTTGGATGCATTTCTTCGAGACCGGGATAATATTTCTTTTCAGTACGAGGTGTCTGAAGAGGGGTTCGTTTGGTCGGCGACATGGTTGCTGGTGCTACAGGAGAAGAATCCTTGAGCTCCGTTGTCAACTGTTTGGAGACTTGTTCGTTCTCTTCTTGTTGTTTTTGCTGTTGTTGCTGCTCCTCCTCCACAGAATCGAGCTTGGGTTTGGGCGTGTTCTTCCTGCTGCGTTTGCGGTTCTGTATCAATTAGCAAGGCTGTATGGCACGTTGAACGCGCCGAAGACTACTGGACACACCTCAGCTGTCTTCTTCTTTGGGGTTTCAAACTCTACACCACTACCCGTCTCAGCGCTACTGCCGTTTGTCAATGGAGCATTGTCAGTGGGCTTTGCGTTGACAATGGCAGCAGCAGAAGTGTCCTCGCAGGCAGGAGTGGCACTTGTGCTCCGCAGACGAGCAGAGCGACGCGGCGTGGTCATGGTGATGCGTGAATGTCGTGTTTGTTTTGAGATCAAGTGAATCCTCGCTAAGCAGGATCCAGAATGCGATGTTCAGTCGTTGTTTCCTCTGATCGGTTTAAGGAAGCAGATTGATCAACAGCACGTCTTGGGGTCCAGAGCTAGACACCAGTCCCAATCAGCTGATCTGAGCCAAACTTTTTCTTCCTCAACTCGATTTTTCAATCAACTATCCAATCGCTAGCCAGTCTACTTTGTTCAATCGAGACGATTATCTGGTCAAATGAATCTCGTCCGAATACTCATCGATTCTCGGCCTCGATTTCGCGCGTTACCCGCTACGATGTCTGCGATTCGCGTTGTTGATACGGAGTATGTTCCTTCGTACTGCGATTCGCGTCTTTCAACACCTATTGTTTTGGGTTCTCGTACTGCGATTCGCGTCGTCGACAGGTATCGAGTATACACCGTATCCGTATTCCGTATCGCGAGTCGTCCGTTGATTTACGTCCGTAACGTGCGTTGTTTATTCCCTCGTCTTTCGCTCTCCTCTTTTCGCTCTTCCTCTTCCTCTTCGTTATTCACTACCGGCTATTCGCGTTCTGTCTCTGCCCGTTGACCTTTGCTTGTTACTCGCAACCTAGGTATCTAATCTTCCGTACGTGAGCTTAGTATTCAATTTCGCCCTCTTTGACCTCCTTTTCCCATTCTATCTTGGCCGTGTATCCCTTTTGCCCATCCTGATCTCCCTCCGTGAATCGTTTTGTGCCCACTCCGACCCGCCTCGGCGTGTACCTAGAGACGTACCGTGTATCTTTTTAAACCATAAGGTTAGGTAAGGTAGTTGACCTTTCTCCAACAAGTCTATCAGTAAATGTCGTATGGTATATCTCAGGACCGGGTGTACTGTAATTCGACGTCGGTGCACTAATTGTGTGCTGTGCGATGTGCAATTTCCATACAACGCATAAACGAACCGCGAATACAAAGTGACGTCGCACGTCCGAGATTTGTTTACCTGACACCTCGTACCCTGACTCGTTCTCCTCGAAAAGGACTACTATACGCGGTCTAGTCACTACTCTATATAGTATAGTGTTATACAGATACAATCTAGCGTTTACTACAAGTAGCTTAGACTGTTTGATTGTTTACACTACAAGGACGTCTGATTGGATGATTTAGCGATACCACGAACCGTGCCCTTGCTCCGCGCTCCGCGCGTCCGAGGTCGTGGACCGAGGGACACGACTCCACGCGAAACGTTGAAACGAGGGAACGAGGAACGGGAGTTAGGGTATGACGTACTGACGAGCTGGCGTCCGAGTCAAGCCCTCTGAATTACTATATACGTAGTAAGCCGACCTCAGGAACGAAATAACCGGTGTACAAAGTAATAATTTTATATCCAAAAGCAAAAAGCGGAAAAAACAAGTCGAAATTAAAGGGAGTTATAATCAAATCAGAGGTATCTATCCAGAAATTATCATCGTAATTCATCATCAGTGAGTCCCATGTCCAATGTGTCCAACATGTCCAAGACAATAAACTTGGGACGTCAATTTGGGACAACAACAACCTTGGGAGAATAAACTCGGGACAGGTTGAGGCAAGAAAGTTGGGACAATGCACTCGGAACAAGTTGATACAATCAACTTGGGACAACAAATTGAGGACATAAACTCAGACATCAATCAACGCCTGTCACTATCCCTGCCACGTCGTAAACGGCATGCCCAGACTATCCGGAATATGCTGATCGCCCCAAATGATCGAGTCCATGAGCGAGTAGGGCGACGTTTCGTCGAGTCCGAGCAGGGGCGAAGGCGCGTACGAGCCCGTGGCGTCAGAGGGTGTGCGATTTTGAGTTCTGTCCATTTCAATCCACTCGGGGGGCGGGGCGGATGTCGTCGACGGGGGCATACTTGCCATGGCGGTAGGCGGGGGCAGGATGGGAGTGGTACCAGTAGTAGCAGCAGCATTCGGGGGCGGGAAATTTGCGATTGGCGAAAAGGAGGGCGAGGAAGAAGAAGTAGGATGATGATGATGATGGGTGGGTTGAGGTGCTGATGTTGCTGCTGCTCCTCCTCCTAAATGTTGGTGTTGGGGAGGATGGAGCACCCGCTGCGGTGGATGGCGAGCGGTTAGGGGTTTCTCGGCATTCAATCGGCGCAAAGCGGCGAGTGATCGAGCCAGCGGACCCAAGCTCTGCGACGAGTGTCCCAAAGGGTTCCCCTGGTCCTCATTGTAGCCCTCGGCGTAGGCGAGGTCGGAGATGACGGCAATCATTTGGCTGAGGAGGTTTTTAATCTCTGGGCTGCGCTTTGGCTCCTCGAGAATGCCGAGAAGCAGTGCAGAACTCAGGGCGCGATGAACAGCTGCCCACGACCGCGTCGCGTAAATGGTCGTCTTGTACATTTCGAGAAAGGCGCGCACGGTGGTGGCCAGGTTCTGGATACCGGTTGTCCGGATTGCCCTGATTTCATCACTTTGCGCTGCCTTGGACCCTAGCGCTGGGCGACACAGATCGGAGAGTGTGTAGGAAATGTGGATATTGAATGCGCAGTTTTGCATGCGCTCCTTGACGGTGCGACATTTGGTGAGGTCTCTGAGTACAGGAGCTGCGTCCGCAAAGACGTCGTCGACTTCGGCCTGATATCGGGACAGTTGGGAGAGAGACATGTGGAAGCCGGGCGATTGCATGCGTGCGCGCACAATGTCAATAGAAAGCTGACAGAGTCGGTACATGGATTCGGTAAACGAGCGGTTGCCGGGGCTCGATGTCGCATCAAGAGGAATATTGCAGCCGAGAGTAGCAGTCGAGGAGACGCGGTCGTAGGATATGGAGAAGAAACTGTCTTGCCATACGACAGCCCACCTGGAAAAGTCAGGTAAATCAGTTTGTGATCAAGTAATAACAATGACGGTCGGGCCCAACGAACCAAATCCTCCTTCGAGCAAGCTGTAGCTTTGGAGGAAGAGAAGTGCGTTCAATGTGCAGACCGACGCTCTGCGCTACTCGTATAGTCATACCTGTATTTTCGTTAGTTGAGAGCAACAAATTTCGACCATATCGTAGAATCGTACCAAGCAGAGCCCAGGAAGCGCCCGGGTTCATGTTGTTGGAAAGCACATTGCCGATGATGAGCAGCGCCTGGATGGCTTCCATTGACGGCAATTGTAAAAAGTTGGTCAGACGAAGGCATTGAAATGAACAACAAACTGGTGGATTTCAATTAGCTGGTTTGAATCAATCTCAGGGTCGCATCTTTATCCTATACTCACTGTAAACTTGCGATAGTGCCAGGACCTCCTTCTTGGAAAGGACTGAGCATTGGGCACCAGATGCCAAAACGGCGAGTAGCAAGGCGAACCATGACAAACTTTTACCATATATAGCTCCGGTAGTGTCATAGGGCTCCACGCGGCTCAATTGACGCGCCCGTTCTGTCAAAAACGAGGTAAATTCGGCTTCAAGGGTCTCAATATCGGGTACTGCAGGGTAGAGCGCGTATGCGACGTCGCGATAAAGCCGGAAGAACCTAGAAAAAGCAATTGGTATGAGACTAGGATTTTCTTGCGGCCAAGTCCTTTGATCCCGTCTGGTGCGACACTCACTCTATACATGTGGAGTCGCTCGGCAGTGCTTTGGCTAGCTCATTCACATCAAAGCCATAGCCCGAGCCCGACCACAGGTCCAAAAAGGGGTATGCAGAGGTTTCGTCGCCGAGCGCAAGCATAGGCAAGATGCTCCCTCCCAGCTCGTCGCCATCACCTTTGCCAAGCGCCATGAGGAATGCCGGTAACGAGCTGGCGCCCAAATGTACCGTCTTGCCCGTGGCCTCATTGAGCGCCTGGACTCCCTCGGGATGCGTCTGTTCCGTTTTGCCATCCTGCGAATTTGTGACCGACGGAGGATGTGAAGGGCGCGAATTCGTCGCCTGGGTCAAATCCTGTCGCAGAGCCGTAATGGAACCTTCAATGGTAGCCAATTGGGAACAGACGCGGTCCCATGTCTCCCGAGGCACAGTGATGAATGAGGAGCCACTTCTGTCAGGACTTCTGCTCAAAAAGTTAGTCGAGGCCCACGAGGTTGTGCAAAATCAAGTAAAAAATACTCTGTCGCTCTTCCCAGTGCGCCCGTTTCGTGCTCGCTGAGCGCCGCTCTGTCTGGCTCGGGAGCTCCCCGTTTACGTGTATCGACACCTTGGTTCGCCGTCGGTGTCCCAGCCGATTTTCTCGTGCTGCCGGTTGCGCTACTTCCTCTTGCCGTTCGTGGGTAAATGGTGCATAATTCAGGGTGACCTCGCTCGACGCATACTCGGCATGGTGACTCATTAGAGCATTTCACTTTGCGCTGACGACACGGATAGCACGCTTTCAGATCGCGGGTCTTTCTTCGCTTGCGGAGGATCTCATTGACATCATTGACGTCCTTGATCTCGTCGAGCAGGGGATTATGAGCTTGCGGTTCGGTCCTCGGTTGTGGTGAAGTCGGTTGGTGCTGATTGTACGTCTGAGACGCCGCAGCGTTGTGCGTGGAGAATGATGCCGACGGGGAGCCGAAAGCCGCGGCGGACGAGGAATCATAGCCGGAATAATCGCCATTGTTGTCGAGGTGGCTCCTGCTCATTCTCCCACTGCCATTGCCATTGCCATTGCTGCCAGACATTTTTTTTTTTTTTTTTTTCAGGTTTTTGCGAAGACAATGCAGGCAGAGAAGAGTGAGCGTTGCGTTGCGCAGACTGCAGCTGCGACTGCGGATTTTGTAGGTTTCTTTATCTTTGGTGTTTGAGGTTTTGGTGGATTGAGGTTTCGGTTATTGAGGTTTATTTCGGTGTATTGAGATTTCGCCGGATTGCGGGATGACGGCTGGACGGGTAGAGTTTAAAGGCGGGATGCAGGTGGATGATGTTGCTGTGGAGGGGCGCGGTTTGGTGGTGGGAGGAAGGGTTGCTGTTGATGTCGCTGTTGCTGCTGTTGCTTTGCTTACATTGCCATTGCCATTGCCGATATATACCCAGCAGGCCAGGTTGCCAGCCCTTGAGCTGTTTCGGTTGCCCTGTTGCACTTTGTACAAGTTATAGTGCACGGCCAACTACATCAATGACAAGAGACCGGAACCATTTGCAACAGAAAATGGCTAGAAGATGTGATTTTCAGACAGGCAACCTTATGAGATGGATGACTGGGCAAAGGGGGACCGATATATTCTCGCGAGGGAATTCAAAAACCTCAAGGTTTCCAAACTACGTACAATAGCTCCGTAAGAGCGACACTAAGTTATATCAATTGCCAGCCAGTGCCAGGTGGCTTAAGCCCGAGGTCTCTCGCCCCGTGCTGCATGCTCGCTAACTCGCGGGCCCTGGGCCACTAAACCATTCCATCGGGAGACTTTCAAGAGAGGACCATTCAGTCGCAAGAGACGTCAGGACTCAGGCGTGGCAATTCTTGCTTAGGACGCGCGGGATGACGGGATGACGGGATGACGGATAAAAGAGCAAACAATAGCCTGATGGCATTGAAAATACTTCAAAACAAAAATATTTGTTAGAGATTATGGCCCAGGCAGCTCAAGAAATAAGTTCTAAATTGAACTACTAGAGTGTTATACATATATTATATGCGTATATATGCAAGTCTATTAGGGTATTATCCATCTACAAGTAACTAAGGTATGTATGCAATATCCAAACAATATATGCACCATCCAAACAATAAGACCTCCAGTAAGACCAAGGAGATCAACCTTGCCAAGGTATGTACAGGTCCATCTCTCGAAACTCCAGCTTTACCGTCCAAGACTGGAGAAAAAAAATGGGATGCAGGGAAGATGAGCAGAGGGGGAAAAAAAATTGATCCGATTCACGCTCCAACTCCAGTTCTATGCCAGCCGAGTTATAAAAAAAGAAAAGAAAAAGGAAAATCTAGAAGGTTTGAAATAAAGGGAAAAGGTCAAGGTGAATGCCCAACTCAATGCGCCGGAAGCTCCTTCTCCGTGCCGTTTCCAGGACCAAGATTTTCCTCGTCATCTCCACTATAAGCGTATTTGGAGTATCGGCGAATGGCCGCGCCCTTGAAGTAAAAGACATAGGGAATCAAGCAGCAGCCGAGGGCGATGAATGCGAGAAGGGTACCAGCCCACTCGTATCCGAGACGGTGATACATCTGAATAGTGAAAAGCACGACGCTGGCACCCCAGAAAGACCGAATGCACGTTTTCGCAGCAAGAGCAGAAGCAGCTTGGTGCTGATATGAGTCGACTATGAGAGTCAAAGTTAGTCCCCAGTCTATTTGAGAAGAGGGAGAGAAAAAGAGGGTGACGAACCAAGATAGTTGTTGGCAGCATTGTAGAGGAAAATGAATCCAAAACCCACAGGCCATCCGCCCAAGCAAGGACCAACCCAGACGAGGCGCGGATATGAAGTCCAGGCAAAGATGAAGAGACCAATTGGGATGAACCAACACGAGATCATCATTGGAATTAACCGCACCTCGGCAGGAGGCTTGCCGTCGTATTTGGCTGCGACCTTGAGGTAATGCTTGTTTACAAAAGGCGCGCACATGGCAGCCATGACCACGCCGACAGCAATCGGAATGAACATGAGACCAGTGATGCCAGCAGAGTAGCCTTTGCCTTCTTGATATACAACGGGAAAACTGCGAAGCCGATTAGTCAGAAAGCAAGTCAAATGTTCAGCAATATAAAAAAGGACTTACGCAACGAAGAACATGTAGAGTAGCCCATACAGGACAGACATGTAGAGCGAGATGAAGAACACAATCAGCTCCGTGAAGAGGAGCTGGAAGGGTCGAAGCAAGAACAAGCGGAGCCGCTCGGCCATAGGCCGCAGGTCCAGATCTTGCTCAGTAACGTAGCGACTGTTGCCCGTTTGTTTCCGAAGCTTCTTCGCTCGTCGGGCAAGCAAAGTCGGTGCATAGGTTTCGGGCACGGTAAAAGTAATGAGAACAAACGCAACGGCGGAGAGAATCAACTGAAGCCAGTAAAGCCATCTCCAGCCGGCCGCATCGGATAGGAAACCACCAACAAGGGGGCCAACAGCAGGACCTGGGCAAAGGGTTAATCATCATTGTCTCCCATACGCGACATTCGGAAAAAAGAACTTACCAATAAAAGGAGCGGCACTGAAGGCGGCCATGGGAACGCCGCGTTCTTCCGTTTTCCAGAGATCTGCGAGAGTTCCGCCCACAAGAGTCATTGGCGCGCTAAAAGCAATACCGTCGATTGCACGAGCAACGAGAAGGGTACCAATATTCTTCGCCACAGCGCCAGGAATAATGAAGAGAACTGCGATGAAGAGCGTGGTGGCGTAGATTACTTGCCGGCCAAGAATCTCGCTCAGTGGTGCAAAAGCCATGGGACCTAAAATGATCATGTGTCGATTAGAAAGACTTATTCCGAAACGTAGCTCTCGAAATGCTGTAACATACCGACACCAAATCCGATAACGAAGAGAGTAATTGTCAACAGAGCAACTTCGTCAGAAACGTGGAAAGTCCTTGCAACGCCCTCAGTGTCGGCCGTGACGATGGCGCTGTTCATAGCGACCACGAAACAGGTAAAGGCGACAACCATCGTGCACCACCACTTGTAGCCCTTGGACCAGTTCTTGGGGTTCTCCGGATCGCCAATGGTAAAGGTGACAAGTTCGTAATCCTCATCTTTTCCGGTCTTCTGGGATTTGATACTCTTGAGGATTTCTCCTGCGGCTGTTTCTTCCGTATATTCCTCGAGATTTGCGTCATTGCTCAAGATTCGACTGGGCAGATTGACCAGGTCCAATTCATCTAGGCCGTTCTGCCGGGCTGTTTGGTTGGTCCGTACCGTCCGCAGAGAGCGGCGGCTCTGAGTAGATTCGAGTGCATAGCCTTCATGCTGGTTCCTGTCTACTGTCCCCGGGGATGCGGCGGGTGGGTTTTGTGAATCTATTGGGGCCGCACCCTCCTTGGTATGAGCCCTTTCAGGTGACATTGGCGATGTTAATTTATCTTCCGGGCTGAAGTGAGAGTGTCAGCAAATGAACAAAACATATTGAAACATCTGCTTCAACTGAGGAAAAAAAAGCATACCTTGGAGTTTGTTGTCCGGCAAGTGTTGTACTCGAGCTTGATCTCGTTGAAGCCATCAGAAATGGTTCTATGTTTCTGTGTTGGAACAGACCTCTACGACGGAGGTAGCTGAAGTTGTGTTTACAATAGCTGTTTTATGGAACGTTCAAATATATTCTCTGCTTTGGCTGGGATAATAATTATTTTCCCCTTTTCAAATTAATGGAGGCAGCGAGGTGTTTTGACAGAAGCATATTTTGAAAGAACCCATCCCAATGGGGGGCATGGAGGTAACTATATATTGAACCCATCTTGAAAACAGATGATCAAGATCGGGTAAGTATGCCGTTGACTCGAGGCCTAATGAAAGCCCAAAGAAGAAGAAAAATCTCTTGAATCGGAATCTGAGCAGCTCTGCATGCAACCATGATTGCATGTTATGATGCCAAAACGGAGATTTCTCGGGATAGGGGAGTCGAATTCCGGCCCAGAACTTATGCCGAGAGTGTGTATTTAACTGATTTTGGATTCGATTTTCTGCTGATCCAATGACCGTTTTTTGATTTGGGGCGATAAGATAAGCGCTGGAAAAAGTCAGTGCATCATCCCCCTCGGAGACTTGTCGGACGAAAAGGCGTTGTGGCGAGACTGTACTATCCTGATACCTTCACCCCCGAGCTTTTTCATGTGAAATCTAAAGTCGCTTCCAAGTTTTCCCAGGATTCGGTTCGCATTGATCTCGGCGTGGGCTGGCGGGCCAGGCGGGGCAACAGTGCAACACATGGCGATCCAGCCTTGGCGTCCTCGGTCTGTGCGTTTTCCTCTTCCGGTTCCAAACGCCACCATGCCACTCGGACTTTACTCGGGATGTCATACACAAAGGTACCACAGCTAGAAATGCCTGGAGCGTAGGAACATGCAGACACAGCTTTGACATGGTGAAGCATGACATTATCAGTAATACAGGTACTCGGGTCAAGGGAAGCTTTCCGGGTCCAAGCAAGGGGACAAGGGGATTAAAGGGGGTGGCACGCTGCACGTCAACCGGGATTGGGCGACTTTTTGCCAGACACAAGATAGTTATCAGCCCTTTTTCAAACGGCAGCGTCGAACAAATGATTACTACTAGTCTTTGCCGTCTCGACACATCATCATCATCATCATCATCATCATCATCATCATCGGTCATCGGAGACAAGCCGAAACACCCGCAATGATTGGCTGGTACTCGTACTGTAATTCTTGACAGGCGTAAGAAGGCTTACCAAAGAGAGAAGACGTGTCATAACGCGTACTGTACTAGCGCTAAGGATCCATACTCCCTAAGGACCAATCTGCCCTCTGCTTTGTCTGACTCTTTCTCCACGTCATTGCTCTTCCCTCCTTTCGCCGTTTTGTCGACTTCTGCGTAGCTTCGCCGTGATAGTGAAGAGTCATATTACCCGTGGACATAGCAAGGAGCATAAACTTGGGCCGATGCATATATGCATTCTGTAATGTGCTAAGTATATTTCCAGAACCCAGAACCCAGAACGCACTATTGTACAAGTTGCCAATTGGGGCAGGGACGGGACAAGGTCCGCACGTCCTTTGAAAAGAAAATAAAACTAAAAATGTACCGAAGCTGACGCTAACGCCGGGTTGATGAGGACCCATTCATCCCGCTTGCTCCAGTTTGCTCCTATAATGATGCCCGAACAATAACAGAAGAAGAAAACACAAATGGAAATTTCAAAGACAAACCCGATCCTCAAGCAGCTCATGAAACCCCGTTTTTCTTTGAGAATCTCAAATGATGATGCGCTATCAAGCCTTCATACTGGCCAGGAACGAATCCAGGTTGTACTCTTCCTCGTACTGTTTATCGTCCCAAAGCTCGCCGAGATCATCAAGAAGGCCCTTTTTGCCCTTTTCGCGAACCTCACCAGTAGCATCGACCATGTCTTCCTCGTTGCCCACGTCACTCGGGTTTTGAATCCCGTCGGCTGTTTCACCAAGACTGAAAAGGTCGAGGATCTCGCCCGTCTCCATTGTACCGAGGCCGGCGTTTTGTTGATTGACCACCGTCGAGGCAACATCGATCTTGAACCGTTGAAGGCTAGACAGTTGGTCAGCATATACTACATAAGAGAATAGATGAATACAACGGGGAGAAAAGTCAAACTTACCTCATGATCTTTTCCTCAAGTGTACCCCGAGTGATCAACCGATAAACATTGACAACCTTCTTCTGTCCGATTCGATGGGCACGGTCCATGGCCTGCATATCCTTTTGAGGATTCCAGTCGTGTTCCACGAATATGACGGTATCGGCCCCCGTCAAGTTCAAACCGAGACCTCCGACACTTGTCGTTAGGAGAAGAACGTCGTAACTAGGGTCTGTATTGAATTGGTTCACGATGCTTTGTCGACGATTCGCCTCAACGCTACCGTCTAGGCGCAGAAATTGCACAGAGGGAAGCAATTTGCGGAGAACGTCATTTTGGACAATGTCGAGCATCTCCTTCATTTGACAGAAAATAAGTGCGCGGTGAGGGCTAACATAACTGGCTTCGGTCGTCAGGTCTCCTTCCGCCGAGGGATTGGCGCCAATGCCACAGTCAACGAGAAGGTCTCGCAACGCGGTAAGTTTCGGAGCATGTGCCGTGTCCCGAAGGTTTGTATTCCGCATAGCGAGTTGTTTCTGTACTTGGTCATACTGCTTATGGCCTTCCTTCATCACGAGCGCCGGTGAGTTGCACAGCTTGCGCATGTATTGCAATGCCTGGAATATGTGTTGCTTCGACTCCTTATCGCCACTAGCCGCTTTTTCGGCAAGAGATTTTCCTTCCTTTTTGGTAAAGTCCTCAAAGAGCTTTCTTTGAAGATCGCTCAAGTCACAGTAGTAATTCTGAATGATCTTCGGTGGCAGATCATCAAGCACTTCTTCCTTAAGTCTGCGCAAAAGGAACGGCAGAACTTGCTTGTGGAGGGCTTCGATAGCGAGAGCGCCAGCCTCTTGCTCCTTGGAGGAAGATTTGCTGAAGCGGCTCGCTGCAATGGGCTTCGCAAACCTGTCAAGGAAAACCTTTTCCGTACCCAGGAATCCAGGCATCAAGAAATCAAAGAGCGACCAAAGTTCCAGCACATTGTTTTGAATAGGGGTACCCGAGAGGATGAGACGATGGTTGCTGATAAGCCGCTTGACCGCTAATGTCACCTTGGCCTTTGGGTTTTTGATGAGGTGACCTTCGTCCAGAACGCAGTAGTTCCAGTTGATGGGAGCAAGGACATCAATGTCATTACGACAAATATCATATGAAGTAATGACGACATCGGCGTGAGCCAACTGTGACCGAAAGCGGCTGCGATCTGCCGGAGGTCCTACATAAGGAACAAAGGATAGAAAGGGGGCGTATGTCTTGATCTCTTGTTGCCAATGCCCGGAGAGCGTCGGGGGGCAAACGATAAGTGATGGTAACCGTCGAACATCAGATGCCTGTGTTTTGTTAAACTCCTCGGCGCGCATATGGTGATCGCTGGCGACCATGCAAAGCGTCTGCAGAGTTTTTCCAAGACCCATATCATCACAAAGAACGCCGTGGAGATGATAGCGGTTGAGGAAGGCCAACCAATTGACACCCTCTTGTTGATATGAGCGAAGCTCGGCTTTGATAGCTACCGGTATTTCAAAAGGCTCCACTTTGCGAGGGTCAAGCATCTGGGCAATGAACTTTCTCTCTCGCTCTCTACCTTTGAGCAGTTGCTCTGGCAGTCCCGGTGGGTCCGGAATACCAGCTTCTAGAGGTACCAATTTCACTAGAGTAGCAAAACTCGTGGTCGCAAGAAGTCGGATATCAGTATCAGAATCGCTCATACGACCAAGAACAGGGACAATCAAGAAAATGACGTAGGGAAGAATGTTATCTTCCATTACGTGAATTAGATGATAGATGCATTCAATAGCTCCCTGGCGCCATCGAATCTCGTGCGCGTTGTTAATGGAAGGTAGTACTTTCTCCACGAGAGTCGTCATCGCCTGGACGGTAATGACACTGCACACGGTGGCGAAACATTTGGCTGCGGCATATCGAAGGACCGAGAGGTCCGATTGCATACCCTTGATGACCAACGGTAGGAGCTCGAGAATGAAGGGGTGGAGACCGGCGTCGAACTTGGGTACTAATGCTCGGATAGTGGAGAGGCCATCGACGACCTCTTGGCCTAGAGTACTATCAGGATTCCTGATATCCGCTGGGAGATTTTCAGAGAACGCAGTCCTAAGAGGACTCTCGATCAAGCTCTTGAGGGCCGGAACCCTCTCGAAAAGTTCGGCTTTGAATATACCAGACAGCTGTTCGAGCGCTTCCTTGGCGCCACGTCGCATGATCCTGGCTTCTCTGGCTTCTCTCTCAAACTTGGCAGCATCGGGATGATCTCGTCGGTCTTCCTCCTTCCGTAGTGACAGAATCGCATTCTCCAGGTGGGCGTTTGGATGGAATTCGGGTGTCTCCGAAGTATCCACACAGCAGAATTTGACGAGATTGGAGACGACCTTGTCAACTGGCCCGCGTCGCCCCGAGGTGGCGTACTGCTCCATCATAGAGGCAACAGCATTTGCCGATCGCGTCTGAAGCTCAATGTTTTCTTCCTTCTTGATGCTATCCATGACACCCTTGATCAACTGACTAGGCTTCTTCGGGATAACCTTGTAGGAGATTATAGCACTAGCTGCGGCGGCTCTGATACGCATGTCCCTGACTTCCTTCATTGACTTGGCCTCCTCGATGGCGGTGATGGCGTTCTGTCGAGCATCGTTGAGTGCCTGGAGGCAAGTGACACGCTGGGCTGGCGTCAACAGCTTCTTCAGCCTATCGAAATCTTGATCCACAATTTTCTCCGCGTTAGCGATCGAGAAGGCGTCAGGGCCAGCATCGGGATCACCCTGGACGACAACTGCGATTGAAGGTATCTTTGAGCCCGAAATCCTTCCAACTTCTCTAAACGTGTTCAACAAGGAATGACACTGTGCCCGGGCGACTTGCGTGTAGCTGACCAGATCTCCATACGTCGGTGGCCGCTCGCCTTCCACCAATGGCTGCAGGGTTTGACTGATGGTTTCCACAGGGTTTTGGCCTGGCGAGCCAAAGTCATTGCACAGCCGAGCATATTCCTCGAGGATCATCGCGGTAGTGAGCTGTGTCGTAGAGTAAAGTGATTGCAAGTGAGGTAGCAGCCTTGGTCCGAAAACTTCAAGGCACGTGTCACTGGGCCACAGACTCATTGCTTTTCCGAGCGCTTGGGCGGCGTATATTTTTGATCTGATCAAGACGTCGGCGCCCACCAGATCGACATCGCCTTGAATCATGGCACCATCGATATTGTGCGCGGTTGGGGGCGGTTCTTCTTTCTTTTCTGATTTGCGCCTCCTCTTGGACGCTGGCTCGGTTCCATTTGTCGGTGACGGTTTCCGAGCTGTAACGCTCGGAGGCGCGTACGGCTGGCCAGATGGACGCATAAAGAGCGATGGTTCCATAGGAATGGGATGACGGGAGACACCGATAGGATGCAACGTCAATGTGACCAACGGATCGAGGTGCGGTCTAAACTCAGCGGCGAATCGAACGTGGCCTTGTTCTGAGAGGATTCTGGCCAAGGCAATCCAGACTTGCAAAGAGGATCTCAAGACTCCTTCGTTCTTTTCGACCAGCAAGTTCTGGAACATTAAGCGTAGGATTTTACCATCCACCCATTCTTTCGTCCCGCTGCCCTCAATGTCGACAAACGTGAGGAGCGCGCGAAGAACAGCAGAGCGGACGCTAGTAATTGTATGGCGAAGGAAAGGATAGAGCCGTGGCACCAGCAAAGCGAATGAATGCTCAGGATTATTGGCGGCATTCCGCTTCATCGCGTCGAGAACTTGAGGGAAGCTACAGAGCTTGGCAAGAAGATCCATGACCGAGCCAGTACTTGCGCTCAGGTCATCGGTGAGGTCGGAAAAGCAGTCCCAGACGATGTCAATCACCTTGTCTAGCGCAGCCGGTCGAAGAGTGACTAGTTCTTGAACGATAGGTATGAGAGTCGCAGCACTGACCGATCGGACGTCGTCATCGAAATTTCCTAAACCTTTCAACACTGCGCGAATAACACCATCGATGAGCTCATTGTCCTTGAGGAGGAGATCGTTTCGCACAGCAACAAGGTATCTAAGTCCGGTCATTCCGCCGTGGCAGACTTCCCAAATCGGAAAGCTCAGGCCGAGATCATCCTGCATCACCATCCTATAGAGGATGCGATACACAGCGTTGACGGAACCATCCGGCAGATGCTTGAGAAGCGCACCGAGTGTCTGACCAACTGTCTCACGTATCGGAGCTACTACATTGTCAGAGATATAGTCGCCGAATCGATCGAGCATCAGCACGCAGCAGAGGCGGCAAGCGAGGTCGTCGAGCCATGCTCGATTCAATAGGTCGTTCAATGCTCGACTCTTGCCATGTTCACGTCCAGCGCCAGCGCCGTGGACGCGAACGACTTCGCGTATCCCCATGGCAGCACCATGGCGGATTTCCCAGTTGTGATCAAACAAATCTACCATCAAAACCTCGCAGAGCCTTTCAAACGGCCATTGGAGCCCTTCTTCTTCGACATCGGCTTGCAAAGCGGACTTTTCGGGAACTGCCGCGCCTTTAAACTCGGAGACCACCTTGGTATCATCATCTCCTCCCTGTCGACCTATCGAGAAGTAGTCGACCGGTGCGGTGTCTTCTTCCTTTTTGACTTCGGACTCTTCTCGTTTGATGCCGGCTCGAATGGCGTACGGTTCAGGAGCAGATGGTGTCTGTGGAACATCCGTGCTCGACCGTCGCACAGCGAGGTCAACAACCCGGACCTTGTTCGCATTATTCTTGGCATTGAGCTTATTCTTCCGCTTCAACTGATTTAATTGCCGCTTGCTGAGCCCCGATTCGTCGATGGGCGTCTGTACTGTGGGATCATGAGGAGTCATGGCGGCAGGTGTCTGTGGACCGCCATTTGAGTGGCTCGTGTCTAGACGAGGAACGCTGGGCGGTTGGGCAAAAGTAGGCTGATAGGTAGCGGCGAAATCCTTGTCCGAGACGATATCCTCTTCAATATATTCGCCACCTAATCCAAGACGGGCGGTGAGGCTCTTCTTCTGGAGCGCCAACCTGGCGGCAGGATCGAGGGCGGCCAGTGAATAGTCGTATTCCTTGCCTGCGCTGCCAAGCAACTTCTTGCCATACTTAAGGATAGATTGAATATCGAGATCCTCGAGTCGAAGCTGGTCCTCGGAAGCGGGAAGCGCAGCCCCTGGAAGTTCCAATTTCGAAGCAGGTTCAACCTCGGATTTCACAAGAGTCTCGTCTTTCACGGGCGCCTCGTCGGCATTGGGGTCAAATTTCTCGGCGTGCTCGACGATGCCACCAATAGCCTTGGCAGCCGCAATTCGGGTGTCCCATGACTTTGATCGCAGGTACGGGACCACTTTTGTCAAGAGATTGAACAATTCATCTGGATGCTGCTTTTGAACATCGGCCAATTGCTGCGCTGCGGTGTTGCGGATAAGCTGGGTACTCCCAGTCTCGAGGAGACTGAACTACGGTCAGCAAAAGACACATCTAGGCCACTTCCCTTGGTTCTAGTCGACTAGATCATGAGAGCGCAGCTCTGATTTCCTTGGGGAGGAGTAAAGAGGGAAAGCTTGGGTCTTACGTTACAAGTCTATCTAATCTATAGTCACGTGGTAAGTTAGCAAGGATGTTTGGATTTCCATCACACGTGTGATATATAAATAAGGGACAACAGATTGACGGGAGTGCCCTTTTGGGTAATTTGAAGGAAGTTGTATAAGGGTGAGATAAAAAAAATTCAGGATGAGTACATAACAATGACCGTGAAGGTCAGAAAGGAATCAAGATGTTTTGATACAAAGGAGGAAATGGAAAGGTCAGGACACTTACCTTGAAGTCATGGTCGCGTCCAGCCCGTATGGCCATCAGCACTCAACACATGGCCAATCGCATCCAAGCAATAATTTGAAGGTGAAGGGATCCAATAAGGGTGAAGCAAGTCACTACTGAGTTGGTCAGTAAGCACAGACCAAATATCTGATTTGTGCAGTGCCAAACCAGGTAAGGGTGATCTCGGTGATTGTCGGAGGGAGAGCTGCCGTGGTTTTAACTCGTTTACGCGAACGCGCATGTATGACGAAGCTCTCGCACTCTCACACCAAAAGGAAAAAAGTGACGAGTACAAAGCCAAAAAATGAGAAGGGGAGCGGAAAATGCCTTTTGGGGGTGGGATCAAAAGGTATAAAGTAACATCAAATAGCAATGCTCGGCTAGACAGAGAAAGGAAACTTGCGCAACAGTGAAAGAGGCAGCTGCAAGGGGAATAAAGGGCGGCGCGTTTGATATGTGTGTGTTTCAGTTCTCGGGGGGGTTAAAAGGCAATAGACTGTTTTGAGTGCTGGTCGCAAATGTATAACTGTGATGAAAATACAATATAAAATAAAATAAAAAAGATAAAAAATAATAAAAAAAATAAAAAATAAAAAATATTTTTTTCCATGGAAGAAAAAGGGGAATGCGTGGGCTTTCAAGGGGATATTTGGGGGGCGGCAGTGGTACGGTACCTTATAAAGCACGTTTTGTAGGGACCGCAGAGTGACAACAATAAAGAGGAGCGAAAAGTTGGTGATCGGCTGTGTTGGACTCGAAAAACGACAATTAACACTGTCATGCTCGAGCGACGAGGGAGGATGCGCCTCGCGTTTATATGGAAAGCGTGTCGTCCCTGATGGGGTGGATTCGCGCTGGGATTGGCTCGCTTAGCCTTTCTGGTCCCGGGGAACCGTCGCCAAAGCTGCAAGTTTTGCTTTTTCGCTGCTGGCTGTAAGAAAAAAAGAGGATTTAATTTCATTTACTTTTGTACTGCCCAGAAGTAACTCCGGCGAGTACTTTATACTGTACGACTGTATAATAATGCATTTCAGGCACCAGGAAAATCACACAAAAGAGAGAACGCGACGACCAGACCCTCTAAAGTAAGATCTGACTCTCAAAGCCATTTCTTTTTATTTCTTTTCCCTTTTGTGTCTCCCTCCCTACCCGTGCGCATCCTCAAGGCACCGGGATAGAGAAGCCGTTCATTCACCACCACCAACTCCGCCACCTTACCCATCTGGTCGCTCCTTCCCTGTATATTCTTAATCACTGTTTTTGCTTCTGCATATTTACGGCACATGAGGTAAAGAGCTAGTTCGGATGGGTCTTTGTAGTCCTTGCTTAGATCGTTATCATTTCCAGAATGATCAAGTGTCACGAAAGACGGATTATTGCCCATTCGCGCGTCGCAAAGTCTAATGGACGACGACACGGAAAGCGGTTTTGTGTATGACGGGAGTGGACCTCACTAATCTCGACCTGGCGCTAGCGTGGGAATGCCAATTCTCAAACAATATTGCTACAACTCAAAGGAGTTGGGTACTTTACCTCGGTAGGTAGTATTTCGATCGTTACCGCAGCTTTCATACAGCATGCATTTCAAGTTTCGTGTTGGTGTGGAGTGCTTTGTTTCAGACCTTAAGCTTGGATAATACTGAGCTACCTACAGTACTACTGTACTTGTAATTTGCCTACCTACCGCGTATTTGTTTTCTTCGAGCACGTAGATTCTGAAGAGTATTTGAACGATATCCATCCATTTTATGCATTTTATGCTCTACTGGACTGGCACCCTCGCACCTTTTGTTGTATTTGTGAAAGGTGTGCAAGTACATTGCAGGCGCCCTTGTCTGATTAGTGTTGTCGAACATGGCCGGCCTTGATACCGTCACCCAATCACATCTCAGGCAGTACCCATCAGCCTTGTCTCGACCGCAGTAGCTGTAGATGGTCCATCAAGGGTATCAAATGTGGCGATCGAATGTCCTGTCAAGGTCTATTTGCAAGCGTATGTGAAATTTAGCACCTATTGCTTGTACTCTGTAAATAGAATAATGTAGAAGCATTTTCGAAATCTATATAATATTTTGTTTTGTTTTTCTATTTTATTTTTCTTTAATATCTTTTATTTTATTTTGATTTTGATTTATTAAAATATATTTGCTTATATATTCGTGACTACACTTGGAAATACATAGAGCAATAAGATATACATCAGTGATACAGGTAAAATGAGCATAAGAAATAAGTATTGATAACGCTACTAAAACCAAAGTATAAGCCTGGAGTAAAGTCAATCTCAGAACACAAACAAGTGAGATATGCGAGGGGCAATCGATATGATTGGCGGAGATGTGGAGTTGAGTACGTCGGTTCGCCAGAGCTCCGCCACGGGATGCGTCGCGCTAGTTCATGGCCAAGCGGACAACACCGCATGGTACAGTACAGGTATACCGCCTATTCATGGGGTCAAGCTCCTGAACTTCAACAGTTGCTCAGGACCCTTACGGAGCAAATCACACCTTTTGAACAAACAACGACATCGGCCGATCGATTTAGCAGATCGTCTTCACTGTGCGATCGGCCTCTCTCGATATATCCTCAATTAATCAATCAATGCCCTTACGATAGGCAACCCCGACCCTCACACCGCATCCTGCTCCCTGGCAGGACGGTGAACTGCCCTCGATGGCTGCCACATATAATCCTTCTCTTGCCGCCTCCGCGCACCCTCATCGCCAGAATGCCCCCAATGGCATAGCTTCAATGGCGGCACCAAACGTCCCGCCAGGAACCTTCCTGCCTGGTACCAAGGTCCAGGTAGGCAGTCACCGTGTTGTGATTGAGAAGTATCTCTCCGAAGGTGGCTTTGCACACGTCTATCTGGTCCGACTTCCTTCGCCACTGGACAAGTCCGATATTGCCGTGCTCAAAAGGGTTGCTGTGCCGGACAAAGAGGCACTGGCAAACATGAGAACGGAGGTGGAGACCATGAAGAAACTCAAAGGCCACCGTCACATTGTCAAATACTATGACTCGCATGCGTCACAACTGAAGGGTGGTGGATATGAGGTGTTTCTCCTGATGGAGTATTGCGCCGGAGGTGGTCTTATCGACTTTATGAATACTAGGCTGCAGCATCGGCTTACAGAGCCGGAGATCCTTAAGATCTTCGCTGACGTCGCCGAGGGCGTGGCCTGCATGCACTACCTCAAGCCCCCACTCCTCCATCGTGACCTCAAGGTCGAAAATGTCCTGATATCCGTCTCTGGGTCTTCAAGGTCCTACAAGCTGTGTGATTTTGGCTCAACAGCACCGCCTAGGCCAGCCGCGACCTCCGCAGCAGAAGGCCGTCTCATCGAAGATGACGTCCAGAAACACACTACCCTCCAGTATCGGAGCCCGGAGATGATTGACGTCTACAGGAGACAACCCATCGACGAGAAGAGCGACATTTGGGCATTGGGCGTACTATTGTACAAACTGTGTTACTACACCACTCCGTTTGAAGAACAAGGCCAGATGGCCATTCTCAACGCGAGCTTCAAATTTCCCGGATATCCAAGCTTCTCAGATCGTATCAAGCTATTCATAGGTTTGTCCTTTGTACTGTTATCTCTATACACCATGTTTTTCTGACCAAGTCAGCATCAATGCTCCGCGAAAACCCACAGAATCGACCAAACATCTTCCAAGTAGTCAGTGAAGTTTGCCGTATGAGGGGCACGAATGTACCCATTCGAGATGTAAGACTCTCGCTTCGCCACCTTGGGTGTCCATTTGGCTCCACAGGAACAAGAACGCTGATAATTTCCCCCAGATATATGCTGGAAGGTCACAATCAGAAGCTCGAAAAGCACAGCAACTACCGTCGCCAGAGCCAAAAGTTGATACCCCTCCCGTCGTCGGCGCATACCACTCACCGCCAGTTGAGCATTCACAGACCATTCCTGACATTGCTCCGATGCGGCGAGGGCGCCCTACCAAGGCACCACAACACCACACCAGCGCCAGTGCTAGACCAAGCCCTTCTCCGCTACGAGCGGCAGGTGGTGATCCATTTGCAGCGCTTGATGCTCCAGGTGGCTTTGGTACTCTGCCGCAGTCTGATGAGCTTTCATCTCGTTTCCCTACCTTGGACCAATTCTCGCTACTTCACGATACTGGTGGCAAGTTTGAGTTTAGTCCGACCTCGCCAACAAATGCCACTTCCGCGAGCAGCGATTTGAATCAGCGAGTGACTGAAGCTCTCGCAGACGAAGCCTTTGCACAGCCGCGTGCGCCTGCTCCTCAGGCATCCCCTGCCGCTTCTGCTGCTACTACTACTACTACTACTACTACTACTACTACTCATCCTACACATGTTCAGTCTGCTCCTGCTTTGACAGACACGGCATCCCTGGTCAAGCAGAAATTGCCGGAGCCGCGACAAGATAAAACTCATCCATCGCCATCAGCAACCATCTATCAACCTACGCCCAAGCGCCCAACCATGGTTTCAACAGGAACTATGACATCGGCTACACCTCCGCCCGTCGCTTTGACCCTGACAGTACCCAAGACTGACAATCGCTCTTCATCAACCGATAGCCCTACGCAATCGACGCAGTTACAGAAGCCCGAGTTCAGAACGATACCCCGTCCAGCATTGCTGGAAAGTAATCGCTCGAAATCGCAGACATCTACGTTCGCAATACCCAAGCCTGCGACATCTTCGCGCCCGTCTCTTGAGGGCCAACGTCCTTCGACGGCAGACTTGGGCGATGCTATCAACCGCTCAAGATCTGCAAATGCTCGACCACGTCCTTCAAGTGTTTATCTAGAATCCAATCTCGACTATCTTCGAGACCGCGAATCATCGCGCAACAGATCTAGCGGTACTTATCGTGCAATGACGCCCCAGCCAGCTGCAATGACTGGCAGCTCAGTTGATTCGGATAAGAGAATATCATCCAACGTCGAATTCCTCCGCACAATGGAAGAAGCAGAAGCGGCGAGGAAAAAGGAGAAGCGCAACAGCGGGACAAGTTCAAAAGGAACGACCTCGAAGCACGTAAAGCGTTCCAGCATGCCGTCAATTTCGCTTTCTGGCACCAAAAACATTCTGAGTGGAAAGTTTGGGGATGCCTTTAGACGATTTGAAAACAATGCTGCCAGCGGAGCCCGAACGCCTAGTCCCGGTCTGATCGACAAGGGTGCCCTGACACCTATTACAGGTTCAGAAACCACAGGCGGTCGTAGCGATGACGACAACGGCCTCGAAATCACAGAAGAGGTGCCAGCAGAGGTCAAGCGAGAGCTCGAACGGCAGCGGCAATCCATGGAGGAGCGGAGAGTCGCGCAGGGCGCAGCTGAGTACCGCCGCCGCCTCACAGAGCGGGGTGACCCCGGGAAGTCCGAAGCAGTTGGTGCAGCGAGAGCTGCTTCAATTCAGAACAAGGTCAGATCGCTCTTGGACGAGAACAGCAATGAACAGCGGGTTCTCACGCACAGTCCCGTGTCATACGGTGCCCTGTCATCAACCGAAGCGGAAGGGTTACCACCACGGACACGAACACTGGAGCCTCGCATATCGAACCCGCAACGGCCAGTCCCCAATGCACAAATGCGCGTTTCAGAGTCTCTCACCAAGGGATCACAACTAGAAGGTCAGCGACCGCGGTCGGAAATCACCATGGCCAAGACCCGACAACCGCTGCAATCATCTTCATCACCATCACTTCCTTCTTCACAACCACCCCCTGTCACTGCTCGAAATCCTGCTGGCGGAGGTATTCGTCCACCATCTCGTGGTGGCCTGCGCCCAAGCGCGCCACCTAAACCTAGATCCCTCCGCTCTGGCAGTCAGGCCGAGCCACCGCAGCCGTCTCCGACAAAGCCGATATATCTTCAGGGCAGGCCCCTTCACCCTCAACAGCAACAACAATTCTCCCAGCGGCCGCCGTCATCACGGAGTGCTGCTGAACCTACCAGCCCCAGCGCCGAAGACTGGGAAGCCAACTTTAGCAAACGTTTCCCGAGCCTTTCAGGCCTCGAAATGGTAGAAACGGAGATTGAGCGGGATCGCCCGCTTGGATCCATTCGTGTCAAGGACGTTTGATGCCAAGCAAGTTGGTAGTTGTCTTTTTGTGATCGGCGCATTTTTTCCCTCACTCTTTTCTTTGTCCTCTTCCCAAGTTAAAGGAAAGCAAGCAGATCATATGGGGAAAATTCAATAACCCCTGACACAATGCTGCTTCAAATCCGACTCACGGCCACTCTGATGTAATCAATCCATCCTTCCACCCCCCAACACTCATCACTTCTGGATTACAAGTGGGGTAGCATCATCTTAGTAGTCAACATTGTGTAGTAGTTTCCAAGGCATAATACATATTCTGTACATTATCCACCCATTTTTGAAGCAAATGCACGAAAATAATGATCCTCGTAGAAGTTAAACAACGGTGAATTACAAAGCACCCTGACCACCAACATGTTTGATGCAAAAACATAGCGACACCCCAGAGCTGCGCGACTGCGGGATTCTCCGCTATTATCCGCCGGATAAGCCTACGTATAGTACCAGCAAAACACCACAAGCATCTTGTTTGATCTGCCCTTGCGATTGATGCGATTGATGCGATTGGGAATTCTTCGACAAGCTGAACCCTTTTCTTTTCTTCTTCTTCTTTTTCTTTCTCCTTTCTCTCTCTTTTGAGGTCGATGCTCGAGCTGGACAATATACCCGACAACTATATTGGATTCCAAGCTCGTTGACTCTCATTCCCGCACCTCGAAACCCCTCCCCGAGGACGGTTATTTCGATCTCGGTCAAACGGTCAAACGGTCAAAGCTACTACTAGCTTTCTTTCTACGGTCCGGCACGGCATTGACGACATATCTATATTAGACATTAGAATACAACAGCGGTACGACGTTTCTGAATGACGAAACGTGAGGTTCCGCAGACCACGTCGAGACGAAAGTGACAATTAGAGTCGCCATATCCAGAATTCTCGAAACCACCGTGCACCGTGCACAGTGCCGCTCGAGGTGACTTCACCTGCTTGTCTCCAGAGTAGCAATTCCGGATATCACGCCAGAGAAGCCCGACGCAGGAAGCATAATCACTCAAGAGCAGAGTCCTGTGCTCGAAGGAAATCAGAATCAGAATCAGACGGGATTGGAAGATAGGCGGATAGGCAGATAAAAGGCCGGGAAACGGAAAACGGGAAACGGGAAAAAGGGAAAAGGAAAAAAGTGAACGGGAGGCGGCGAAACTGCGAACCAACGAACTGGCGAACTGGCGAAATAGCAGGGCCTGAACAGTCCATGCCATCCGTCGAGCGAAGAAAAGACAAGAGCCATACCGAACAAAGACAGGTCAAGGACAGGTCAAGGACAGGCTCAAGGACAAGATCGTCATGGCGCCCGTGACGGTAAATCTGGTCGAAGGTGAGGAACTCGACATCATTTCTCATTCCAAGGACATCCTGACCTGGCCATTCTTGATCCTGCTTCCATCGTTCTCCAACATTGCATTTGCCCTCTTCCAGGATGGTTTTCAGCTGTTCATGCATATTTAATGCTTGTATACCCCACGCAAATCATTCTCTTTACATCTACATTGCTATTCAACCATTCTCCAATTCGACAACTAAGCAGCTAATATCTTATATTTGCGTTCGAAATAGACCAGCTCAAGCGCGTCATCCATGCGCTTTTTCAAATCCAGCTCTCTGTACATGGATACCAGGCGCCGGAAACTGCTTCGTCGCTGAAAAGTCAAATGTTTGTTTCCCCTTTTATCTATATTCAATCCTCTCACCACTTTCCCTGTCTTCAAATCTCTATTGTACACTTCCTAACAGCCGACTCTAACGTGGTACCGATTGTAGCCAACACCTCGTGTCCACACTCACCGACCTAACGTCCACTGCGCCGGAACTCGCAGTCTCCATCCCGCCCGAGATCATCGCGTACGTCGAGGACGGGCGCAACCCGGACATATACACGCGCGAATTCGTCGAGCTCGTGCAAAAGGGGAACCAGTACCTCAAGGGCCGCGCCGAGGCGTTTGGTTCGTTTCGCGACATTCTCGCGGCGGAAATGAGCAGCGCGTTGCCTGAGCTCAGGCAGGATGTCGAGCGCGTGGTCCTTGCCACGAGTGGTGCGGAGACTGCTCCTCTCTCTGCTCCCTCTCCTGGTGCTGCTGGTGCTACTGCTTCTGGTGGTGGTATTATCTCCGCTGGCGCTACGGCTTCAAGTGGTGGTGATGGCGGCGCCGGAGGTGCACATGCATCTACGTCTGCATCTGCACCAGGACCGGGACCGGGTCCAGATAATGCAGCACCGGCTTGAAATAGATTTGCGATATGCGGTAGTTGGACTTGGATTGTTTATTGGTGAAAATGTGACTGTGTTCTCGATGGGTTGATGGCGGGGGCGGGGGTGGGGAAGGGAAAGGGGGAAGAGGAGGGGGGAGAGGAGAAGGAGAAGAAGAAGGGGAGGAGGGCCGTTGTTTCCAGGGGAGAGGGTAAGAGAACCATTACTATCATAGCGAGGCACCGCGAGGCGCATTGGAGTCTTGGGAGTTCTATTTTGTGGCGTTTTCATATGAGTAAAAACGGGGGGCGGTCATAAGTCATAGATATGTTGATATCCGGAGTACTGTTTATCCGGAGTACGGTTTCTCTTTCAGTCCCATTTGCTTGGGGACCAGGGGTGAGGGTGGCTTGTTTTCTTGCATTGGGGATATAGCATTGTAGAGGGAATGGCGAATGGTATTTACAAATTAGGAGCAGACACATGAGGCGCTTTTCAACGTGCCCAGTCATTTCCTATACAATTTTCATCATCGTCATCATCATCATCATCTGCACGTGTTCAATTCTTCATTGCATTCTGTGGAGACGACGAAGCATAGGGAAAGTTTTTATGTCAATTCAGGATAAAAATAACGTATACGTATCGATAAGAAAAGCGTTTTAAAAAGGTGGAAAGAAAAGATCTGTAGAAATAGTTGTCCTGTCCAGGAAAAGAAAAGAGGTTCTTTCTTTCGTTTTTTTTTGTGGCAAGCACACGCCCACACACGCACACGCACAGACACAGAAACCCGTCACCACATGACATATAAAAAAAATGTATGAATAGAATGGAGGAAAAAAGAAGATAAGAAAAAAGAAAAAACAATATTCATTTCAATCTTTCATTTCTCAAACCCCCTAATGACCCATTTGATTCAATGCCTCTTTTTTGACACCTTTCCCCTGCCCTCTTTTTTTTCTATTTTCAATTTCCTTTTTTCTTTCTGCCTTTCACTGCCCCCTTTTGTAAACAATGGGAAGAGGAAAAAATAACAAACAAAAAAAAATTTCCCCTCTTCCTCGCATGCAGAACACGCTACGCCACGCCACGCCATTGCCATATACATGCCAAGCCAAGCAAGTCCAGCCGGCCAAGCTCTAAGCCCTGCAAGCCACGAGCAAACGATCGGGATCCCATCACAACCGAATTGAAGTCGACGAGTTAGGTGGATGTAGAGGAGATAAGTATCACATTCACGTATGCGCGATAACGACGACGACGAGACGACCAGGAAAATAAAGGTGTTGTGGAGAGAATAAAACGGTTGGCGGCAGATGAGACCCGGTTGTTGCTCAACAATAGCGACGATGCGATAGACGGTTTAACAAGACGGAAAAGAGAGGTTGGAAAAAGGGTTGGAGAGCAGAAGAAAAGAAAAGAAAAGAAAAAATTAAAGAGAGGAAAAGGCGCATGATGGACGGATTTCGACGAGCGGGCACGCGCGCGAAATTTTTGGGGGCTTCGTATGGATGCGCTTAAGCGCCCAAGCTGGGGAAGGCGCTCTGGTCAGCAACGTTGACGGCAGCACCGCCACGAGGACCACCGCGAGCGCCACCACGAGGGGCACCACCGCGAGGGGCACCACGGCCCCGGCCACCACGCTCGCCACCACCGCGGGGACCACCACGGCCGCCACGGCCAGCGGGCCGCTCACGGGGAGCCTCGTGGAAGCTGTGGTCAATGTCGACAAAGACCTTGGCCTTGCGCTCCTTCTCGCGCTTCTGCTTGCCGGAAACACCAGACATGTATTCCTCCTCGTTGCCGCGTTCGAACTTCTTGGCGCCCTGAGACTTCTTGTCGCCGGCCTCACCGACCTTGCGGGCCTCGGGGATGCCGCCTAAGCTGGCCTTCTTCTCGAGCTGCTCGGCAAGGTAGTCGGCGTACGACTTGCTCTTGTCCTCGGCCTCGGGCTCGGGGGCAGCAGCGTCACGGTCGTCAGCGGCGGGGTGGTGACCCTCAGCATCGACGGGAGCCTCGACGTTGGCATCGAAGCCACCCTCCTTCTCCTCGGCCTTGGCCATAGCCTCACCAGCCTTCTCGTCGACCCACTCGTTCTCGCCCTTGCTGGCACCCCAGCCACGGCCAATCTGCTTCTCAGTGTCGCTATAACAAATATATTAGTTTGAAAAATTTCCATGTGACAAATGAGAGAAATAGGAGAGTTCTAGAACGTTCCTCTCTCCAAAATGAATGGCACTACTTACGCGTGAGCGGTACGGCTGTGACGGTCGTCACGAGAGCCACGAGCACCGCGGGGACCACCACGGCCACCGCGCTGCTGGACGCGACCACCACCGAGGCGGTCAGAGTGACGGTCAAAACGGAGGCCGTCATCGGTGGGCTTGCTGCGGTTGTTCACGCTGCCAGCCTGGCGGTCACGGAAGGCTGTCATAACCATCCCCAGTCAGCGCCCGAATTCCAAATGAAAAATGGTGAAACAAGTCCCAGGATAAATAAGAAACACGCGCCCTAGCGAATCTTCAAAAAAGCCTTGGCATGTAAAAGACATGCAGAAGAAGGGCGCGTGTATCTGAAACAAAGTGTACACATACCCCGCTCGCTACCAGTAACGGCGTCGCCACGTCGGCCACCTCGAGTAGGGCGCTCAAGAGAGGCATCGACGGCCTTGGGGGCGGCATCGGGAGCATTGCGCTTGGTCGTCCGCGCAACAGGCTTGTCGATAGCCTGGGTGGGGGGCTCAGGTTCTCTGTCAGAGTCCTGCTCGGGGTCGTTCCCTGCCAACATCGAAAAAAAAAGAAACGTCAGACGTCATGTCCCAGTCACGCGGCCCACGAACAAATTGGATAGAATGTAAGTACCGAGCAGCTCGTAGAGGTTCTGTTTCACGTATCGGTAGTTAGCTTAGAGTTCAATCAAACTATGAAGCTCCCTCAATGGTAGATAAGTCGATGTGGGTGAGGTGTGATGAGCAGGGTGAGGCAGGCTGTAGGCTTGAGGTGGGAAAGGAACGAGGTGTTTTGCTTGCCTTGGAAGCTACACCAGACATGGCGTTGACTCGTTGCGTAGATATCTCCTCTGGAGGAATTGTCGTCCCGGCAAAAACGTTTTCTTTAAGACGGGGGGCAATTGGAGAACAAGCGGGCCGATTTTGTTCTATGAAGTGCGCATTCTGCAGTCCCGGCTGATGATTCGTTTAAAGGGATCCTATTCTGCTTTACTGCAAATTTCGGATGCGGAGAGCAGATGGGTTCGCTTGCCAGTCTGATTCGCACACAACCGTCGAGGTCACAGCCCGCCAAGACCGAGTTAACCGAGGGAGCAGTCTCACCAGATACCCACAAAGCAATCTAATTAGGGTTATTGTGAAATAGGTTCATTCTCAATTGTATACTGCTGCAGCAAGTAACAGAAACAACGATACTTCTAGCGATCGTAATGAGCCATGTCTGATGCAAGAGTCATTCGATTTTCTTGCCGTATCATGCATTATTGTGTGTCTTTAGGCTGCCTTGTAGCTTTGAACCAAGCTGGTTACTTTGATTGGTGGGGGAAGGAGGAGCAGTGAAGCTTTGGCGAAGCTCTGCTCACCCGGAGCCTCGGATCCGTCCACACCCCTCAACGTAGAACCGTACCATTTCCAAAATCAAACAACGCATTGGAAAATTGGTCCCAATCGTCATGACTGCCTCTTTGGAAGCTGAGTCACTGGAGAATGCTAGAGGAATATACGCCAAAAATGATGGTAGCTCGTTAAACTTTTCAGAATAGCGTGGATATCTCATTATTTTGCTTTTTTTGCATGAAGCCTCCAAACATGGATCATGCGAAATGATATCAAAAGGAAAAAGTAAAAGATATATATATAAGCAGGCCAATGGATTCCCGAAGGCTGGTACCGTAGCCCAAGATGCTAAACGCCACCCAATGCAATAGTTATTCATGCACCAGTATGCATGTCCGTACGCCGAAAGGTAAAATGCAAAAGTAAAAGAACCTACTCCGATGCTTCGCCCAATGCCTGTTCCGGTCCAAAAAAAAAAAAAAGAATTACAAGTATGTTCAAAAATTATGCGTCTTCCAACGGCGAAAAATTAAAACAAGGCGGAGGTCTCCCTTTTTGTACAATGAAGCGTTGAGATGCTGAGCGACACGAGGCGGGTTTGTTTTCTCACGCTACCTCATTGAGCTCGTCTCGAAGGAGAACTGTGACGGAAAGTGCATGCTCGCTGAGAGACCAAAGGGATCGGCATCGAGGCTTGGATCAAAAGGATCAAAGAGCTGGTTGACGGCGCCAAAGACCGGTCCTGCAGCTTCAGACTGTGAAACCGGATGCGGTTGGGCAGATGGGTGCGACTGTGGTCGTGCCTGAGGATGCATTCCCGGAGGCATTTGCTGCTGATGCGGTGGAGGCGCGTGTGCATAATGATGAGGAAAGGGTCCTGGACCCGGTCCAAGGCTGCTCCGGGATTCGCCTTCGTCTTGCTCATCTACCATGTCGGCTTGGGCGTCGTATTCTTGTTCTAATTGCACTTTGTTAGCTCTCGAAGAAAAAAGGGGGAAAAAATCAAAAGAAGAAAAGACGGGGATGCTTGCCAAGTTGATCAATGTGGTTTTGGAAAGGTGACGGGTAGTAATTGGACGAAGGACCTCCAACAGCGCCGGGCAGCCCGCTTCCTGGTCTGCCCGTGGCGGGACCCATCTGAGATGGGCCCGACGAGGGCGGATATGCCTGTAGCGCCGAATAGGATCGCTTCACGCCCTTGTGGGGTGGCAGCTGGGGATGCTGCTGCTGCTGTTGCTGCTGAGATGTTGCGAGATCGGAACCAGGTGGTGTAACGCCTTCGCGAGGAGTCGTGTCTACAGACGCATTCGTTACAGGAGAGGAGTTGTGCGACGATGGGGTAGGCTGTAATTGAGGAGAGTGGCTCGGCATGAGGCCGTCGGCATGCGGCGGCGGATATGGATTAGCTGGGTCCATCCGTGGCATCGAACGGTGTACTTGGTGATGGCGGTTCATGATGGCTCGCTGTATTGGAGGCGGCTGTGTCGCGCTTGGTGGTCGTGGATGACCGAGGTGCGGACTGCCCGTTTGTGCGCGAAGTTCAGCTTGTACATCGATTCCTGTTAAATGAGTGAGCAGGCAAGCCCAATTTTTCTCAAAAGTCGCAAGTTCGACTCAATCCCAAAAGATATTGTTGCGTACCCTTTTCTAGTAAAATCCTTTCAAGAAGAGAGTTCTTGTACCGCAGCATCAGGCATTCATCGGCAGCATTACGATGACTCTGTCGCAGCGTCTGCAACGCCTCTTCATGTCGCTTTATGGTTGTCTCGAGCTGCTTAATGTACTCAGTACGGCGTTCACGAAAGGCGGCTTGCGCCTGTCGATTTCGCTGCTTCCGTTCTTCCGAGGTGGCATAAATCTGCAAACATGATAGCAGTCAGCCATGGCCATGTGCTTTTGGAGGTCCAGGACGAAGGGTCCTCACCGGCTTGCGGCCGCCTTTCCGTTTCTGCACCTGCGCAGCATTGTCTTGAGCAAACAGTTCCTGGTCCGGCTCTGGGGTTGAAGTGATTGAGGTGCTGTAATCCTCCCGTAGTGACTCTTCCTTGGTGAGCGGAGCGGTCTCAGGCGAGATTCTGTCCTCCATGATGGACTGTGGTCGGTGAGGCTCAGGGTCGGACGTTCGCCTGAGCCTATGTAAAGGTCCTTTGCCTCCGTGGGGGTGATTTGTGATTCAATGCTGGCCGTCCAGGAACCTCCAAGGCGGGGAAAGGGGGATCGGCGGCACGAGAGACCGCGTGGCTGAAGGCAGCCGGTGTGCTGCACGGGCTTCCTTGAGCAACAGATTGGCGTTGCGAGGCGTCCGGAGATATTTCCGGGCGTGGCGCAAAGCAGGAGCAGCAAGCAGCAGGTAAAGATGAATGACAGAAAGTGTTCCAGGGCAGTTGCAAGGCAAAGATGCAAGTTGCCGTGAGGTAACAGAAATATGGTAATGAAAACAAGAAGAAGAGGGGCGAGCGGATGATGTACAGAGGAGAAGGAAGGGAAGGGAAAAAATAACACGACACACAACTTGACATTGGCAACGCCTCGGGCCCAAAAAAGTTTACGTCCCTGAGCTAACGAGTCTTGTCAAGGTTTAAAAACTGCGTAAGCGGGCACGAACGCAGGCGTCATGTCGGCGCCATGGGACCGTGATCCAGGCATATAAACACCCCCCCGGGCAGTAAAATTTTCAAGGCTGAAAAATGTGGAGGGGTACGTGCGTCTGGCGGATAGGGAGGAGGGCAGGAACGGCGTGGTTTTGGTGGCCGCTTGTCATGCGGGCGGTGGACATTCTCTGGACGGAACGTTCAATGACGCTTCGGCAGTACTACGGAACAGCGGGGACCAGGAGGGAAAGAGAAGAGTGACCGGGGGGGGGGGGGGGGGGGGGTTTGTGCTTGGATAGTATGATGTGTGTGGGTGGCTTCTCTTTTCCCTCCGACTTTCCCTCGTCAGGTTTTGCATGGGCGTAGAAGGAGACAGCAAAAGGGAATCGGGGGCCAAAAGCATCAATCGGAAGCAAGAGCGAAACGGGGCATCACCAGAGCGAGGGGTCTGCAGACCATCTGGAAACGGTTTGGATTGGCCATTTCGGTCGAATGAAGGGGGGACCCTTTTGGTCAAAACTGCCTCGGAGCGAGCACTAGGACGTAGCCCATTTCGTCAGGGCGTGCAGCAGGAAGAGATTAGTTCCGATGAAATAGTTGTGGGTGGGTTGTTGTTGGATGAGGCTGCCAAGAATTGATCCAAGGGTCTGACGAAGTTACAGGATGGAAAGAGGGGTGTGCCGAGGGAAACTAGAGGGGAGTTCGTTCGGATCCGGACAACGGAGAGCCGAGAAAGAGAAGGGAGCAGGATGAGAAGAGACAGGACGGCTCATGAGGGGCGCGCTTTTGCGACCAGGGGGGAAGGTGGAAGGAAGAAGCGGGAGAAATTTCGATCGATTTGTGGGGCGTGGCAAGCAGCGTGGCCGAAATGCATCAAAAAGAGCAAGGGAGAAAGGTGGTTGTAAATTAGCTCCGAGAAAAGGCCATTTCTGCATCCTAGCCCTACCCTGATTGGTTCAATACCTGTTGCTGTGCCTCTCCCAAACGTCGTCGAATATAGTGGCCGGATGCTTCCACGCTTACCTCTTTACTGTTCCGGCACTTTTAAAAATTCCCCTTTAGGCAACCTCTTGTGAAGAGGTACACAGACTTTTGCTCGATACCTGGAGAGAAAACAGAGTATCGAGGATGCGTGTCCGGAAGGAAAAAAGATCTCTGCTCGCACTAGTTTGACAAGGCCAAAACAAGGAAGAAAAGAGGAATGCCATCGCGAGAGTGCTTGCTGAAGAGATCGTGAAACCAGCAAATCCTCTTGGTCGGCTTTGGGCGTTCACAATTTGGGAATGCCCTCCCGCTTTGCAATAATCGTCGCGGGAACCAAAAAAAAAAAAAAAAAATAAGAAACGAATAAGTCCAAACCAACAATCCAAAATAAACCTGGTCTCCATCATGCATGCAGAGAACTTTGGAGTTATATGAAACTTCAGGAATTAAAAAAAAAAGGAAAAGAAAAGAAAAGGCAGAAGCCGTAAAGACTGGGATTATGCAGGTGATGCGATGCCCAAAGAGGATGCATTGTGACAGTGTCAATACAATTTTCGGAGCTTCCGTCACTTCGCATTGCAACCGTTCCCTTGTCCTTCCTCGGCTTTTGAGCTTGTCATCGGCGTACCCCGCGTGCGGCACGAGGAAAAGTTTTTCCTGTTCCCCTTTTTCTCTTTTTTCTCGAAAACTTCCACCGCCGGTAACCGAGTAGACGTCGGACGGAAAGTGCATTTCCAGCCGAAGCTCACTGAGAATGATGAAACCTGCTTGGGTGAGGAAGGTATGAGACGGGAAGGATGAGATCAGAGTATGCTGTACTTGAAGGTACGCAATTTACCGCGCGCCATCGCCCGAGTGATGCAATGACGAAAGTGCATGAGAGGTACAGGGTACGGCTTAATAATCCCTCACGTCCATCCTAAACCCTCGGCTAAGGAGCCCAGGAGCGCTCAAGCTTTTCCAGTCTAACCTCTTTTGCATTTTTTGAGCTCTGTCTTGGCTCGGGCTTCGGCCACGCGGCAGACAAGGAGGGTGTCATCACTTCAACCACAAAGGGATTTTTTGTCTCCACCGAAAAACCGATCTTACTGTATCCTTTCCTCAGCCACGGCGTGGCCGAAATTAACTTCCGAAATGACTTTATTTCGACTGACATCCTGCGTCAAAGCTTGCTTGATAACATCATCATCACGACTCCTGCAAAAAGTAACTTACGTATAGGCTATTTTCCCTCTTCTTCCAAATCTGAAAGATAGCTCGAGCATTGGTTGGCTGCTCACATGAGACTAGATGCACAACATCAATGCAGGGTGAAACGATTGGGGCAAATCTTGCCCAGAAAAAATAATACTCCAGTCATCTTCGTTCGTGGTCAGAGGAACGGGCTAGGCTAAGGTTGATCTTGTGATGATATCTACTTACTCGTCAGAACTTGCGGTGACTCTATGGACTCTCCTTACCGTACCAGAGCAGGAAAATCATAGAGAAGTAGAGCAACGTAGCTCCACCTTGATGCTTTGCCCTTGATGAACGATAGTCTCAGCCCTGGTCGAGTTAGTTGGTCGGACATGGTACGGGTTCTTCCGAGGAGAGTTCTTCCGAGAATCCCAGTAAGGCTGGGTCTCCTAACAGAGTAGTGCGACGAAACGTCAGAAAAGAGAATGCTCGATTGAGCTCTTAGGCCCCTTAGTAACTTTTGAGCTATGACCATCATTGGCGATGACGATTACAAAGTCAAAATATTTTCCAAAAATGTTTATACCTGCGTGCTACTATAGTATTGATGTATCGAGAGCACCATGATCGATTGCATCATAGTGTGAAACATCTATAGACTCTGACCAAGTTAGTTGCAGCACTCCTCGAGGAAATTGTCTCATGGTAAAAGGAGACGGATCAATTGTTAGATTTAACAATCCGGACGAGCTGGACTAAGGTAGGCTTTTCCTGCCGATTCTTGCCATGGCAGCCTCTGGCAGACAAGGTAGAGCAGATCCACCACGTGGTTGCCCTCGTCGGCTTGTTTCATCTGGTCCACTGCCGAAGCCATTGCGGGGACGATGAGCCTTGACAGCTGCCAAATGAATTGGCTCATAGAGTCGATCCCCTAAAGAATCCGTCCCTGTTCATCTATCGGACCGATGTCGCCCTTGTCAACATCTGTCAGGGATGCTTCCTGCGCCAGCATGGGCCTTTATGGCTGAAATTTTTTTTCTCAGCCACTACTACCATTGGTTGCACGGGGCGTCAATTGGTCGGAGCTAGCGCCTGGAGCTTGAAACAGCAGAAAAAGGATCACAGATCGCGTAGGGAAAAATAGCAATTATCTAAGGGCTGTAAATTATACTTTATTGTTTTGTGAATCCCAGTTGATGACTCTCGGTTGGCGTCTTCTTCCCTGTCATCTCATGCAGAAGCAGCCTTTTTGAATTCATTGGCCCTGTGTTATTTGTGGTAACCTAATTGTCCGAGATAAGGCCATCCATCGCCACACTACCCTTGTTCCATATTCCTAGTTTGGGCCTTGAATCTCGATGCTGCACGTCTAACACCTGCAGGAAGCCATTACGGAGTATACCCGAAGTCCATGTGAAGGCCATGAGGCATCCTCTAAGATGAGAAAAAGTCCGCTTGGCCCGCTTGGGAGACTGACCGGCCTCCTTTCCCCATAAGGCGCGATCGCCGCGACCGGAACGGTCCGTCTCATCGTCCAGATTTCGTTGGTTGAATGGAAGTGGACCCTGAATTGTCAGGATGAGAAAGCCCATGTTCCAACTTGATGTTACACGGACAGCCTGATCATGATGCTGTCGTGCATTCTCCGTACTCCAAGTTATCTCGGGGCCATGCTGGTTCAACGATGGTTGGAACTGTTCAACTTAAAGTGGTTAAGATCGATCTGATAATGATAAGATTAGATCATCTGAAGCAATGCTTGGTCTGACAACCAGGTTACAAGCAACTTAACAATGAGTAATCCAGTGAAAGCCTCGTAGAAAGAGGAACCATTGTACGAGCATGTATTTTGGCAGCATGAAGCTTAAGCAATCCTAAAAGGGCTGTGATGCGGCACTCAGGTGCCCCAGCTGGATGATTTCGTGTGTTGGCTACGCAAAAGGATTAGTCAAATAGCTTCAGATCAACGCCAACAACTACGTTCGCGACGTGGTTCAACTGCAATCTCCCTCAGTCGCAAAGACCTCAGGTGTTCAAAAAGGGCTCCATATGGATTTCTTAAGTACAATAGAGTACCTGTTACTAAGGGAAACTGTCGTTATCTGAGGCCCAGAATTATAACAAACTCCTGGTTTCTTCTTGCCGTCTCAGGAAGCCACCTCTTACCTTCTCAACCCATCCTAAACGCCATTGGCTTCTTTTGAAAACAAAATGGAGAAAAGTAGCAGAACTGAGTGTAACAGCAGCTCCGCCGAGTTGTTCTGGTACTTCAAGTGCACAAATCATGGGTGGAGATACACCCTTCACACTGTCTTCTATGTTTCCTGTGAACCTCCCCCGCTTTAAAATATGCTGTGTAGTAGGCTAACGGCGGTACTATTGCTGCACTAGCTTCGAGATCATCCTCTAGAATTTGAAGCCAATTTGGACCGGATTTTGGACCCTACTCTGGGTCTTACCGACCCCGCGCGAAGAAGCCTGAGCCAAGGGCCAGCTGGTACGCGCTGGTCTTCCATGAATTCAGATAGTTTGATGCGTGATGGACATACATAGAGACTTGGAATGTGTAGGGAGCTGCAGGAGCTGACAGAATCTCTCACCAGAGACTTTTCAGACCCAAAACCGGCGACATTCGCTAGACCACCTTCGCTCCAGCTCGAATCGACGTGAGAATCTGCGAAGTAGTCTTGATACTTTACGACCAGCTACTGCCCATTCACGGCTGCCCTCTGGGCGACCCCTCTCAGACATTCGAGAGGATACGGAACCAAATCTTGCAGAAGCACTCTCCGGCCTCCAAGTCATCCCAGGTGAAGTCCAATTGGGCGCATCCAATATTCTGCCAGCCGAACAGGCCCGTGTTTATCCAGAACTTAATCCAAAATCGGACGCTCGTCCTTCCTTGCTCGATCGTACACTCAACAGAAGCAGTAGCAGCGTCTTGAGTTTACCATTGGCTAGCATACCTCCCCGCCGATCTTCGAATAGACTGTCCAGACGGGACAGCGTTGCGAATACGCCATTTCGTCCTGCAATAATACCGGCGCCTGCTTCGAGTACGGGACAAGTCGCGTCGAAACCCTTTCAGAGCGGGCCTAAAGGTGCTGAGGCCTATAGTTTCAATTACATTTCTCAACCAAGAAGGTCGTACAGTGAAACCCCGAGGACATTCACAAGACTCACGCAATACAGTGAGCTTCTGGAGTTTCCACAGTATCGCCACCCGAGAGTGGAGCTTGATATACGGATTCCAGCAACCCTATATATGGGCGGGGGGAACATCCAGGGTAAGGTTTATATTGTCATAGATGGAGGTTCAGAGAGTCGAGGCCATAGAGGAACAGGCATGGCGGTCTCAAGAGTTGCAATCGATCTTCTTGGCGTGGAGGAAGTCTCGAATGGTAGGCGATCAATCTTTCTGACTCTAGCCAACGAGCTTGTTGACTTGGAACATCCGCCACCAAGTCTCGTGCTCGCGGCGCCTGAGCTGGCGCCAAGGCAGGAGGTGTTTTGGATGCTTGCACCATCCAAGTTCAACCTCCCGTTTCGTATTAATCTGCCGCTAGATGTTGGTCCCGCGCCATTTGTGTCCCGTCACGCGCGCATTCGGTATATACTATGCGCGACAATGTTGATAAAGGATGCGGAAAGACAGTATTTTGTTCGCAAGTCTATTGATGTAGGCTTGTTGTCAGTTTTTGATCGTAAGTAACGTAGTATGCTCAACCGAGTTGCGCTTTTTTATTAAAACCCCCAGTGTTGCTTACTTGGATGGACAATAGCAGAGAAGACCCTAATCGCACTTCCAAGTCCCCTTAGTGCCTCTGACGAAACCATTGCTCGTCGATCACATCCCTCTGAGAAGATACAACTCACAGCAGCTTTACATCGTCAGGTCTGGATCAGTGGCACGAGTATTTTCGTGGACGTGCACATCGTTAATCGGACCCATAAATGGATCAAAAAACTCGACATTGAGCTGCAGAGAAATATTTCATTTTATAAAAATGTGAGTCAAATGAAGGGGAGTCGCGAGTACATCTTTAATAGTTTTCAGACTAACGGATGCCTTTCTGAAGACTCCGGCTAGCACGCTTGATAAGACCGTGCATCATCTGCGGGCATCGGACTTCACTGAAAAGGAGATAGCTGCTCGAGGAACGATCAAAAAAGGTTGGAAAGGCGTAGCACCTCTGACCAACGAGCTGCGAACGTGCGAGCTTGAAGTACCTAGAGGGCATTCCACTGTGAAATCCGGTGAGTATGCGTTTGCTTGCGTCACTCTCGCCCACGTCTACTCATGATTCAACTTGCATAGGTCGCTACTTTGAGGTTCGGTATTTTCTAAATGTCCTTGCTCGCTCCAAATTCTCGTGGGTTTCTTGTTATACATGGGCAAGAGGATATCTGGCTAACGTAAAATACAGGAAGCTATTGATGGTCCAACTACCGGTCATCATTATTCACATGGTAGCCGCATTCTGCCTGCCGATTCTGACATTTGCACAGGCTGACAGCAATCCTAATTTGTAGAATACTCTGGATGTCATTCCAAATTCTATCAATCAGGTGGTGGCGGCGATTGAAGACAATTCCGGTGACATATATCAGCATGAGCAGCCACCATTACGGAAACACAGCTCGCGGTCCGTGATCCCTGGGCGCGCTTTCTCAGCGCCCCGAAAGCAATCTCTATCCCGCCTGCAAGTGCAACAGCGGCAACAAAAAGAAGACATTGCCGAGCTCACTCGGATCCTTGACAGTAACCCTCAAAAAGCACCGCCTCGTACCCGCAGCTTTGTCGATACTTATGTTCCCATTATGGGTGATTGGAAGAAGACACTGAATACCACAGAAGGAGTCCCTCTTGTTCGCCGGACTCTTCGGCGAGCTTCCTCGAACGAACCTCCAGCAAGAAGAGCACAGAGTGGAGCATCAGCTCTTGGTATCAATTACCTAGATGAGACCGAAAAGGCTCACGGCGCGAGACGAGCATCCACTAGTCTCATCCGGAGAGGATTGGGCTGGCCAGGAACTCCTAGAGACGAGAGCAACATCTATGCTTCCCGCCGTTAGTCTGGGAATCAATCTGCTGAAGAACGAGACGGTTCACAGTTCTCTTTTTATTTCTGCCATTTTCTTGCATTCCAAGAACTGTTCACTTCTTCATGTTAAGATTTTACTCGAAAATTTTCGTGCTCCACTACTCCATCTACGGATGCCTTTTTCCCTCATCATCTAATTTCCCCGTCTTTACGCAATGACATCCCTCTTGCTTCTCATATCTTATATTATCTACAACGTGCACATACAACACTCTGTTTCTTCGCCCGTATAACATTGCATTGATACCCAGGCGCATCCAATTATTAGACCTATTTCTCGTCGATCCAGCCCTCTGGCTGGTACTGTAACTTTTTACTTTTACTTTACATTGTCCGTGCAATTAGATAAATGCTAATACGTTCATTATTATAATACATTCGATTTGACTAGATTGTTTGTCAATAACATGGCTGTGTTGTCTATGGAGATTTATCTTTTTATTTATTCATTACTTTATTTTATTTTATTTTATTTTTCTTTTCTTTTTTTGGCGTTGTAAAAATTGTAGTAGTTGTAGTTGGTGGTGTTTGGGAAGACAGAGCGCGGCCTGCTGTGTGGCGCTGGTGCCCCTCGGAGGAAGAGGAAGTGGTGGTGATGTTGCTTGCACCTCGCACCAGACGACCTAAAGCTACTTGATTTTCGGCAGGATATATACAAAAATACGCATAGTTCTAGTACATGCGACCATAGACTGAGGAGAACTGGGCATCCCGTCCGCTCTGCCATACATAAGCCTCAGATCGGCGGACTAGTAGTTGGGTCGGTGACGACCAGCGAATCCCCGCTGTTGCATGTTTTTTTTGTTTCTTTTTTTTATATATATTTATTTATTTCCGCCCTTCTTTTTGATTGATCTTTATGTTTACTTTTAATTTGTATTTTTCCATTCGTTCGTTCCTTGTCTTTTGGTTGTTCTTTCGTTCTTTTTCCTTTTTTCCCCCTTTAATTTTTAATTCTAGTCCCCTTTTTTTTTTATTTTTAATTATCTATTTATTTTTTCTCTTTCCTGAAAAACAAGACTTCCAACATGTATACTTCTTGTAATAGTCATCATCTTGTGAACAATGGACTCGTGGGTATTTGGTTTTTGATTGTTGTGCATTATGGTGGATCTTGGACCTCCAAAATGAATAAATTAGAAATAGTTGAAAAAAAAAAACAAAAGGGAAAAAAAAACTTAGATTATAGAAGCGAGTATAACAGAAAGAACATGCCTAGCAGTACTATTTGTTTTCGTATGATGCTATGTGCCAGTTATGAAACGTCCTTTGGTAGAAAGTGAAATGGTCACTTGGGTAGAGAACTGGGATGGTATATCATATATGCTGGTTTGACTATCACGAGCCTACATACAAGCGCACATGAGTAGCGTGAATAGATGCTAGTTAAAAATCCTTAATATACTGGAGAAGCTGAGTGATGATAGATAAAGCTATGCGTAACTACATGTAGAATTAGGGGTGAATGGGATAGCTCGCTATATATATATTTGAGGACATCAAGGATGAAAAGAAAGAATTTTGGTGGTATCATGAGAGTTAAAAAATCAAAGTGATAATAATACGTTTGATGCGAGTAACCTTTTTGGCGGGATAAATGGGGGAAGTATGTGTGTCCTTGGTTTCAGGAGACATGGTTGAGATGCAAGGAATAATGTAGTGGGAGGCTATTTTGCTGCTCCGTGTGACAGGTGAAGCAGATGAGAAGAGCAACTATCTCAGTTGCATAGACGAAAATTGGCCCTGGGTGAGTTGGGCAGGATGAGACAAGGAGAAGTGTGATGAAGGAGTAGGCGACAGCAAGGAGCCAGGTATAATGGTTTTCTCGGAGTCTATTCCTTTTCAGGACTATGATGCTGTTCTTGCGGATTTACGGGCGTGGCGCCTGCGAAAAGTAAAGTAGTCAGCATCCTGCGAAATGAATGAAGTCAACAAGGCACACGTACCCAAAACCCAGCCGATTCCTGATGCCAGTCCGCCAGTAACCATGTTGCTGACCACATCTCTCTTTCGGATCCTCTTCTCGCGCTCGCTGCCGGCTAAGCTTACCGAATCGCTGTCGGCATTGCTGATCATGCTTGCACTGAGATCTCTGGAATGAGAAGACTCGCGAGGTGTTGCGGTGGAGGCCGCGGCCATGGCACCGGCACCGGCACCGCGGAGTGGAAAGGCCGACCGACTCAGGGCTGCAGCAGCACCCTTTGCAACGTCGAATAATCCCATTGGTGCTTCGTCGTTGATGCGGCGAGTGGCAGCGGTGGTTCTATTCGTGCGCGTGACACCGGAAGACTCTATGAACCCACCGGGTACTTTGCCGTCGCCGCGGTCATCCCAACGAGTTTCTTCCTCGCTTTCTTGCGCTAGGAGCATGGTGAGCTCTTCTTCACAGCGGCGCCAGACGCCGAGGATTTCGGAAAGCGCAGCTGGCGGAGCCAGCATGAGTGCCTGCGAGAGCAGTTCCATTCGTTGCTCGAGATTGCGAAGTTCTTCAGGGCCAGCACTTGACCGACCCGGCCTATACCGTCCCGCCTGGAAAGCAGCTCGCCACGAAATGCTATCGCTCTCGTTAATCTCTTTGTCCCCGGTGGTACCAGCTGCAGGCCGCGAGAACGGATTGAGACGAGTTATGACGTAAGAGTATGCCGTCTCAAAATCATCTTCCGTAAGAGCAGCTTCAATGGCCATTCCGATTACACGCCTTTCCACATTGTGGGTCTGCTGCTTGGTAGAATGACCTGAAGGGGCCGAGTCGGCTATTGTATTGCCATCTTTGATTATGCCTGCGGCCACGAAATTGCGACTAATCTCAAGGAGATCATCTAAATTCGTATAGCTTTTTGGGTTTTGATCCAACACTTTATTAATCAGTGTCAGAGGGTCTTGTTGGACTCGGATAGCCACTGGCTGAAATGGAACGCCGTGTTGTAGGGTGAGAGAATAGAATGACAATGAATGGGTAGCAGCGATTAGGGCATTCGCATGGCGGAAACCACTGGAACTGGGGAAATAGCCCTGAAAGGCGCGAATTCTGAAGACAAATCAGCTCAGTTGTAAAAGGGAGAAGAGGGGTTTGCGGTATACGAACATGTCAGAAGCCTTTTTAATCCCGCCGCGCGTGCGATTTCCATTGCTAGCATTGTCGTACGCATTTAAGACACTGTCAAGTATGACTTTCTCGACTTCATCCTTTGTCAACCTTTGCGCAGAATCCGTGATGTATGCTTTTACAACAAGCTCATTACCTTGAGTAAAGCATTAGCAAAACATGTTGAGGATCACGATTTAGAAGAGAGATGACATGGCTTACAATTCTTTGATATAAGAAGCTTCAAGATCTCTCTTTCTAGGAAATTGATCTCGACATTTCCAAATACTCCTTGACCAGGATACCCAGCCTGAGACGCGTCCTCTGTGCCCCAACCCCATAGCCAGCGGAGGTCCTGAACAATCTGAGCCCATTCTCCCTCGTCTCTTTTTGGCCCAGCTGAAAGATTATGTAAAACTTTCTGGAGCTTTTTCTTTTGCTGATCTTTGCTCTTTGAAAGGATCAGCTCCGCAATTGCTCGCAAGGAGAGAGTCTCGCCAAGCTTTGTGAGTATATTTGCAGAAGACAGCACGGCCTCCATGAACTTGATTGAGTTCTTTTCTGGAGTTGTCAGAGGGTTCTTAGGCTGGAGTAAGGCATTCTGCAGCAGTAACATGGTAGACCAGTCTCTGATGCTCCCCGCCAAATCCCCGAATCTTGAAAGACTGCTATGAGGCGAAAATACTTCCGGAGGCACATCCAGCTGCATGAGCTCCGTTATTCGGACTAAAATATGATAGGCTCCTTCCAAAGCTGCGGGCGAAGCTTCATCAGTGGCGTAAACTGATGCTAGCGCGGTTTGCGCATACTGCAGTTCTAGAGATTGTTGAACACTTTCATCCAGATAGCCCAGACCTTCATTGTAGCCACCGCAGTCGACATCTCCGGGCCCATCCCAGCCTTGAACTGCGTCGACAGCGAGGCTGAATGTCGTCCTCGCCGTTGACAGGAGCCATTCAAAGACAAATTTCCACTCAGCACCGTCTGCGTCATTCAAAGGTTCATAAGGACGACCATTGTTCTTGTCCTCGTGATGCTCAGCATTCAGCTTCCGCCGCTTATTCTTTCCACTCCCATACATCCAAGGGCCTACTAAGTTTCTCAGGTCCCTCCCTATGTTCTCGTGGGCCCCAGTCTCGCCGCATTTAGACAAGAGATTATGGACCGCAGTTTCTCCGGATAACTTCTCAAATTCGGAGAGAGAGAATACCGTATAAGATTCTGGATAGTATTCGTAACTGAGTCGTAGTAGGGGTAGGACGCGTGAAATAAACCAGCATCGTAATTCGTCCGAATGGTGTAGAAATGGTTCGAGGAGTTGCGGCACTTGCGCGAGGAGACCGGTCTCGGAGTCAATTCGATGAATACGACATATCAGAAATCGAGTTATGAGATCTACCGAATCATCTAAGGCGTATGACGGACAAGCAAGTGGAAGAAGCTGGAGGCGTTGGACTCGTTTTCGCGACTGGCTCTCGGTCAATCCTTTGACGGGCGTGGCATCGAAAGAGCCCTCAGAGCTGGAATCAACTTCTTCCGTGACGAGACGCTGTATAAGCCAGCAGAAATTAGATGGGCTCGTGCTTTCCGGAAGATATGTTAAAAGTAATCGCAATAACAGCTCCTTGGGAAGAAACTGGGAATGTGAGTTTGCTAAAGCCCAAAATGAGGTCACTTCGGATTCAGAAGCCAGATGTGCCGCCAGCAGCACGGCTTGGGCCTCGGAGAGACCAGAAGCGTTTTCCATTAGGCGTTCAGCTCAGAAATCACCCAGGAGAATTGAAAAGAAAATCTTAATAAGATTGTTGTAGTGATTGTTGTTCTGGACTTGTGGTGAACCCTGAACATGGCGGGAGCTCGGACCACTCCATCCCAGTCCGCCTGGAGCTTGCCGATGTCATCAACTTCACGTTCCTGAACCTCTTCTCTATCACCATCCTCTGCTTTTGTGTCGTTGGGCATTCTCTTTTTCTTTGTTCTACCAATTTACATTGTAATCTATCTTTTTATATGAGTATTAGTTGTCTCAATGCAGTGCATGATACTGGAACAGCCTCTGTTCATATACCCGCTTTTCTCCCTACATTCGTCATTCTACGTTATGTTTCTTTTTGTGCATGACTTTTCAATTTCCTCAGTGCAAGACCATGCTATCTCAAAATTACAATGCTCAAGTCATCTGAATCTGCTTCTACCTGTTTACAAGGTCCAACGGAGGGGCTCTCTCACGCCCTCTTGTCTGCGATTTTTTCCAAGCTGTGTTTTCTGCAGTCGCTCGAATCAGAATGTGAATCTTTCAGCCCTGTTTTCTATGGAATTCAATGCAAATCTATATTTTCATTCATTACATTTCGTTAAGAGTTTCTCTTCGCGCACACCTTTGTGATTTCAGCGAAATACGGGAACATTATGAGACTGCATCTTCTCATGTCGAAGAGAAAGCTTTCATCAAAACGGCGAGAAACTTTCTTTTCTGCGACACCTCATAGGCCATTCACGATATCTGACCAAATCTAGGCAGGAGTCCATCTATGTCAAAGCTATGCCTTTGCAGCGAAGCTTATCCAGCCAGGATCCTCTTCTGACAAATAATGCAGATGGGCATTTAGATCATTGATTCAGCCACCGGGTGCAACCAAAGTAATACCAGTTGTGTATCAAATCAGAAGTACTGCACTTTGATCTCAATCAGAGTCGTGGCGAAACTCATTCACAAATGACCAACGTTTGATTTAAGACGCTTTCCATTGTTTATTTCAAATATTACACATCACTTTTTCTCAAGAGGCTGATCTTGTCCACTCTTCCTTTTCCTCGCTCTGTCATCTGCCTTCTTCACTTTTCCTTCGCCATCGAAAAAGCGAGGGGTCTTATTCTCATCACTTCAAAAGGCTCATCTCATTCCTCGAGGAACCAGGTAGCTCCGAAGATGGCACCTTTGTCTGATCGCAAGCACCAGGAGTAGGTCCTTTTCAATTCCAAAGAAGAAATGCAGCTGACATTACCCCTTCAGACTCCTCAATGGGCCGACTCTCAAAATTATTGTCGGTTCAGGCGTCAACTACTCCGAATTTCGCGTGCCAATGAAACTATTGAGCCACTACTCTTCGGTTTTCAAAGGTTATATTGATAAGGGGGTTATTTTCATTGAATTTGAGAATGGTTACCCAGAAATCATGAGATACGTCCTGGAGTATCTCTGTCGCGGCTTCTTGGGCACCATCCCTCGCTTTCCCACTCCCTCGTTGAATCTGCTGCGAGTGTATTTCCTGGCAGAGAAACTTGACGTGGGGGAGATCAGGCATGAGATCATGAATCGATTTGCTGCTGATCTGGCTTTCGACCCAATGGCCCTGGGGGTTCAGGAACTTCGATACATCTACAATCACTTTGAAGAAAACACGCCTATCAGGAAGCTAGCTGCAAAATGGCCTGCGTATGCGGTGCTGCAGAAGCTTGTCGATTCTGTCAGATATATTGTCCTTTTTGGCGAGATTCCCAAATTCGCACTGGATTTTGTCATGGGTGTTCGGGATGGGCGAGTAGCTTGGATGAGGGGCAGGCGTTTCTTCGTCAACCCTACCTGTCAGTACCACGAATATGCTGATACTCGTTTCTGCGGATATGGCAACCGTGAGGATGGCTTGGGAGAGACCATTCCCGATATCGTGGTCAGACCTGGCAGCGCAAGTCATGGAGCAAACGGAGTTCCTAATAACAGAGGAGCCCCAGGCAGACGCAGGAACCGAAACAATCGAAACAAAAACCCACCCCAAAACAGAGCCGTGCCGCAGCCGATGAGTTCTGCTATGCCGGCAGGTCATAGGGGGCTGCACTAGAGATGGCAGTTTACGAGCGTTTCGGCCCGGTATCTCTCACAAATAGTACTGGGCTCGAAGGCTCACTGACCAGCTGATTCTCGTAATTGCATCAAGTTTTGACTCTCAACTTTCCCTTTTATTTTCCGTCCCTGGCTATTGTACTGCCCAGGCAAAAACTCTCCATTCAGTTTCTGTTACATTTGGACGGGCCATCTGGTGCTTGTTAACTGCACATCGCCTGTGCTTATTACTAGGAATCTCGGTTCAAATCAATTTACCATATTTTTTTCCTTTATCATCATCCAATCGTACCTTTCTTTGCAATATCTGCTACTTGACATGATAGTATTTTACGCATGAGTATCTGCCACTGCGACTACTTTAGCACTTTGTCTTTATGCGTACGAGCTAAATGTCTTTTCTGGTCCCAGAGCCGTTCATACGCGCCAGCGCCCGTTACTCCAAACGTCTCCGGATTTACTCATCTTTGACAATGGTAAATCTTGTTTGAGATTTGTGGGGGTCCTCGCCATATTCATTCATCGAGCTCTCACATGATATAGCAAGTTAGGTCGTAGGCTTTGTTCCCCTTCTCCTCACCGCTCCAAGCATTTACAGTCGTGCCTTCCAAGTTAGTCCAACCCATGAAATAGCGCGTTCGTCCAAGAGGAAGCGCGACGAAGGAAAACAACACGATCACATTCGAAAAACGCCCACTTGATTCTATCCCGCTCACTTTGAGAAGCATCTTCATCCTGCAAGCTCTTTATTCAAGAAAAACAGTGTCTCAAACGCATTTGCCGCACGAATCTCACAAGGAACACTTGATCATATTCTCATCTTGGCAAGATATACGCGTTTCTCAGCCCTGAACTAACGCAGGAACTACCTTGACCAAGAATCCGTTTCATCGAAGCTTTCAAGAATCAAGAGCTTGCTTCAAGTCACTTTGCGACGAAGCTCTCATCTCTTTCTTCCCTTCTCACTTCACGAAACTGCGTATAGCAAAGCTCAAAGAGACAAATACGCGCTTTTCTCAGCTCTATCAAGGTGAGGAACTTCTTAAAGCACCTCAGTTTTCGTTATGTTAACTCAAAGACACTAGACAATCGCGAAGGTCCACACAGTTGGCGCCTTAAATCTGCAACAGAGCGCTTCAAGTGAAGCCAATACAAGATCTTCAGCATTTTTTTGAAGAAAAGAAAGAATATCGAGTCAAAATGTTCACCTCCAAACCCGCAAACGGCAGAATCAGCCAGCGCGATATTAAAAAGAGCGTGTTCTCGGTTGGCAACAACAATGATCGCACGCGCTCAGAGCGCTTCATGAGAATCCCTCATGCTCCCAACACCATGAAAAGGGGCCGCGACGAATTCTTTTCGCGCGAGGATGCGAGAAGCTCTGATAGCGAAGACTTTAGTATTCATGAGAATCAGTAAGTTGATCTGTCTCTGGTATCTTTCAGCTCATCGTGGCATACCTTATCTACCCTTCTCAAATCATGTCGATATAGAACTTGAGTTGATTTCTGACGCGGACGTAGTTTCCTGAATGGTGGCGGCATTACCCACGGCCATGCCCTGGTCTTGGACAGTTTCCCACTTAGCAGCCCCAGCAGTCAGTCTTTTGCCGCGTTTAGCTACCATTTTGGCGCATGGGGTAAGCAACCTGAACCTTTTCTCAAGCATGTAACATTTTCATAATAGAGCTGATTGTAACTTTTGTATGATTCGCAAACAGACCATTTGCCTGATTTTGATCTCATCTCGGAAGCATCGAGCAGATCTGATACTTCTCGCAAATCTGGTTTCGGATCACCCTCCGCTTCTCTCTCAAGTTCCCTTAGAAGCTTAAACATCTATGGTGCTGAATATGGTGTCGACGACTGGGCGTCCGACAAATCTTACCTTTCCAGCGAGAAAAGTAGCATGCTGGGTACTGACGAAGCGCCGGCCAGTTCTCCCATTGGCATGCACTCCGCATTCCATGGAGATCATGAATTCCAATTTGGAGGCACCTCACACTCAATGAAGATGACTGATGAGAATTTGAACGCATCGCTCTGGCCTGCTATGCCGAGTAACATTCAGCTGGTCCCGCCTCCAGGTGCCATTTTCAGTCCCCCCATTCGCACATTCGCGCAGAAGGTCGGGTCGCCAACAAAGGTAATGCAAGTGTCTACCCAGGAGGACTTGCTTAAGAATAATGTCAAGAAACTGGGCTCGATGAAGCATTGGCCTGTTTTGACGCCTACTACTATCCCCAACGCCTCAGAGGAGGAACCGCAGAAGAAGCGGCGCTTTATGCCCTCATCTCCGCGGAGCTCGTCTGTTTCTTCCTTGAAGCACCAATTGTCCCCTTGCTTGAACAAGGAGAAGCGTCGGGGTCTTTTGGCCAAAGGTTTGAGAATGAAGAAGGGAGGTGCGAAGAAGATTAGAACAGCTTAGAAGATGATGTGGACAAACATGGAAGAGGCGCGAAAGGCGTTCATGGGGAATTACATTGTTAGCGGCGTCGGACCACTGGGAAAAGGGGAAGGGGAAAGCTTAAGGGAGTTTTTACAGCGCGCACAGCTTCAGTTTGAAGTAGTAAAGGAGGGGAAACCACATTGATTATTGACTTGGAGGAAGAAAGAGTTCTCTCGTTGATTTTGTTTTTGGCTTTTGTTGTAGTTAACATTGACGAAAGGGAACGAAAGGGAACGAAAGGGAACGAAACGGATGACCGATGATTATTAGACGAATGCAAAACTCATATATATACTCTTATTCCTCCAATAAATTTGATAATAGAATCTGCAGTAGTAGTGAAATCATACGTATGATACCAGTGAGACCATGAGCGTATGGATTACAGTTGACATACAACTACAAACTACCGAATTTTCAAGGCTCAAAGCTCCTCGTTGAGAAAGGATTCTTCGCCTGGCTTCTTATTGACATCACTTTTACCTTGCGACGCTGGACGTCTCGCTGGACTTTTTCGTTCTCCTTCATCAAGGAAGCTCAGCCCCGCCATGACTTTGCCGCCACATGCTCTTTCAAGAGCCAGAAACGCAAAATGGCCGCCGACAACTGGGCGAGCGAAAAAGTTGGGGCCAGGAAAGCCGCCGGTTCCCTCCGTATCGTACAAGTCGGTCATAGGACGATCTGTGAAGATCACTTAGTATTTCTCACAAATAATATATCATAACGAAAGAAAAGAGAGATAATATGTACCGGTTGAAGTTTCGTTGACCCAAAGAGCTACACTATCCAAGATTTCTCCTCTGACCTTGTTACTGGTGACGGCGGCGGCAAAGAATTCCCAGTCACTCTTGGTGTAGAGGTGTCGGTTGTCAAGAGGAAGTCCATATCGCTGGCGCACTGCGTGATACCAATCACTTTGGATCTTGTAGATGTGGTTTGGAATGAAATGGTCGCTCGACTCATTTTTTTCTGGAGACGGCTTGATCGGCTTCTGGCCCTCGTCTGCTGCGGAGACGATGCCTTGGGACTCCGATGGAAGATGGAAACAGAGGAGGGCGTCTGCAAAGAGATTGTAGAGGGTGGTCCACGATCCGTACCAGTCGTAGGCTAGTTTCGCGTGGGTACCATCGCGTGAGATAGCATATTCTTGCCATTTTTTGATGTAGGCATCCGAAATGTTCTACAAGTAAATTTAGCAAAGAGGTATGTTTACTAAATGAGTAGTAAATCCCTACCTTGTACTCTTTTGCATCAGGCTTAATACCAGCGATGTCAGCCAGATCGCTCATTGCTTTGATACCAATGATGCCTTTGAGGGCAAGGTTGGTTTGGAGTGCAAGCCATCCGGCGAAATCATCAGTTGACACTGCAGGCTGTGGGTTAGAGTAAATTGTGAAGAAGGTCCAGACTCGACTTACATTGCCTATGCGGCTCCAGAGAGAATTCGACGAGGTAACCAGTCCACTGTTTCCAAAGCTTGTAGCTGCGGGTGACCCACTGTTTTGCTTCCTCGATGCCCGTGGCACCCCCACCCCATTTGCCGTCAAGGCCTTCTATCCCGTCTCTCTCTTCCAACTGTTGTAGGGAGAAAATACCGTTTGCAGTGGGATCGACAAAAGCATTCTTTCCCAGTGCAGCCCATGGAGACCCCGCGTCCGAATCCACATTATATCGGAGTGAGTTTACCAAAGCAAGTCCCATAATGAGAATATTTCCGCACTCTTCGACTGGCATGTACTCATCTCTGCCATCCGGATGGCCCGTAGCATTTGGAAAATGGTATCCTAGATCATGCATTGCGTATTTGTTCGGATATTGGCCGCTCAGCATATGCTCGATGAGAGGCTCAAGAAGATACGCGAGCCATCTGGGGTTGGTGTACAGGAAGAAAGGGAAGGACGGAAAGATGACATCTATCGTTTGAAAGTTTCCATTCGAAGAAATTTCCTTGAGGAATAATATGGGATCCTCGCGCGTCCCGGCGAATGTCGTCGCACCTAGAGTTTGACGAGCAGAAAGAGCGACTATATCCACATATTTGTCGGAGCCAGATTTATACGCGTCCTTTGCCAGCTGTTGGGAGTAGTTGGCAGCCAAATTAAAAGCGTTCCGGAAGTCAAAGTAGTGAAACGTAATAAGACTCTGTACGGAAGCGAACCAAGACTTCCATAGCGGGCGCATGTAAGTTAAGCCACGGGCAGAAGCAAATTGGACCACAGGATCCTGAATATGAGATAGTGTGAAAAGAACGTGCTCCTTGTTCGCACCAGACTCAGCAGAGCTAGTGTTTAACTTGAATGATTTCGAAAAAGCAAAGACGGGCTCTTCGTCCATGATACTGCGAAAGGAATCATCAATGGCGTCCTGCAATGTGCCGGTCCTTGAGAACCTTTGTCTCAGGAGCGCCGAGGTTCCAGCTTCATGGCGTACATTCTGTATCCACGGGGAATCAGAATAAAATAATGAATTAAAAAGGTACATGTCGGCTGCATGTATATACATACCGCGGGTCCTGTGAAATGTAAGGCGCCCCATTCTGCCTGATCTCTATATTCCGTCAAGAGTTGTTCAGTTTCACGCTGTACCTGCCAAGTCTTCAACGAGTGTTCTGAGTCGCCCAGATTAGTCTGCAATAGCTGCCATGTGATTCGACTTCCTCTATCCCCGCTAACCCACTGCCCGTTGACGTCAATATACAAATTGACATTGAAGTTTCCTTGGACATGAACACCGAGATACGCAGCAGGAATAGATTGACGAAGTGTTGATGTTGGAGTTACCGGTGACAGAAAAGATAGAACGATCTCAACAGGCACACTATCACGAGACTTGTTCGAAGGAGCAGGGATTAGATATGTCAAATTCGTGGTAGACGCATCGTATGTGGCACCCTTATAGATAGGAAAAGAAACGTTATAGCTAGCATGATCAGTCATTCAAAATTTACCATATAGAGAGATGTTTCGCCTTACACGTCATCTTTTCTTAGAGAATCATGTGGCCTTCCAAGCAGTGGATAGACCTTATCCGTATCAGGCACAGATGCTAACACCGAGAATCCAATCTATATCCAAGATCAGAAATTGTTTTTTGAGGGAATTTCAAGAAAACACATCCAATCGACCAGAGATAATACAAAAGCTCAGAAATCATGGATATTATCACTCAAAGCGGCACAAGCCTAACACATACCTCTTGACCAGTCCAAAACATGGGCCATTTATTCCACGGCGGATTTCGAGCATCATTCAACCATGTGCTTAGATACGGATTTCGTACAATAAGAGGCAAGACAGGTGGATGCAATACAGAGGCTTCCATGAAGCTTGCTAGCAAGGTAACGTAAAATATTACTGCAGGGACGTGCAAGCGCATTGCGGCTATCGGCTCAGAAGTTCTGATTCTGAGCTCCAGTGAAAGTAGAAGTGAGGGGCATCAACGCATGATAAATATACGCTTTATATCTTATGTAAATTTGTGAGCAATGCCCTAGATTATGCTCGCTGGTTAGAAGCTCCAGCTGGTATAGCCCCGGGATATGAACCTCGGGAAGAGGTCCGAGAGGTGGTTCTGGCAATGATGCTGGAAGGAGCAGTCACTTACCGCATTTGGTATCTTGGCCCTGCAGACTAGCCGGTCAAGTGACGCAGCCTCATTGTGGGGAAAGGAACCCGGCGAGGGGGCTTGCACCTGTGGGGGTACTTTAATTTTGGTATTCTACTGCGCTAGTTAAGCGGTAAGATACCGAACCATCAGTAGAGCAATGAGGCAGTTGCTCTCGCTCATTCAGAATAATGCGCAGGAAATGATAGTTACTACCGTCTGCATACGTAAACCTTGGGTTCATGACAAGAGTTTGGTGAAAATTACGCGCTGCACAATCCTACGAAGAGTGCCGGTCATAGTGGTACATAATGTATATTACTGGTTTCAACCGTAAGAATTGTTGTATCGTGGTCGTCTCTAGCAGGACAAAACCCGGAGATCCCGCGGTATTCATGCGGAGATGAAATTGACGGCCACGCCCAGAAGCAATTACGAGGAGAAAGGTAGCGAATGCAGTTCGATAATTAAAAGGCACCAATTGCGCGTGCTGGGAGGATTTCACGCGTCAGAGGTGTATGTGTAGCAACGACCGCGATGCGCTTTTAGCTCTAATTATTGCCCTCCGGTTCTCCAGTTCAGACCAGTGTCGAAATTGGGGTTGAGTCGGCGGCTGTCTCGCTAAAGCCCGCAGCTAACCCCCATGCCTCGGCAACCCCATATGGGACTGGATCACGTCTCCACCTGCTGCCGCCCAACGGAATACGCAGGTCTGTCCGTTACACTTCCTCTGATATGGCTTCCGGATACGGTCTCAATGGCGGTATGTAGACCATGTTATTGCGAAGACCCTTCATTGTCATATTTCCTGTCTCCTGCATTCACCGAAAACACTCCTCTGAACCCCATAATTGCGAGCTGAACCGTGAGGTCTGCTCCACTATTCACAACAATCACTGATCGATCTTTATATAACATTAGGTCCTTCCCGCTGCTTTCCCTTTTGGCAAGATCTTCTTGCTTGTTATGTTGTCAATACAACGGCCGAGGACGACTCCGGGAAGAAAAAGTGTGTACCAGCTTTAGAGGATTACTACGAATGTCTACATCACAAGAAGGAGGTAAGCATCACCAATTTCCTAGAGCCTTGGGCTTCCTGTGGTTTAAATATACATCCGGATGACCAATTCCTAACGAGTCTCCTGCAAATACAGGCTGCAAGAGTCAGAGCTCTACAGGTCGCCTATCGAAAAGCTCAAGCGGCACATCCGAGAGAGGATGCTCCCAAACCCGGATCAATACGTAACCTTGGATTGCTTGATGCTGAGGAAGATACGAAGAATGTACTCGGATAATGATATAGAACGAATGTCATGTTGCTTTAACGACGTTGATGCTCTCTTCCGCGGGCTTTATTGCTCAGGCAGATAAAACTTGTTCCGGACACACTGCGATTCGCTGTCTCAATCTTGATAATGCACGCATCGTGATATGGGGATTTCGGACGGGCTCTTGACCACAAGCTAATGCTTGACTGCTATATCACGGTTCCCATCAAATCAGTAAGAGAAGCTCGATTTCAAGTAGAGCCTGGTTTGAGGTGACAAGACGATAAGCACCGTGGCCTATTTATACCCGCATCTCGTATAATTATTGTCGATGTAGCTGCTGTCATTCTTTGAGAAAAATGCCTAGTTAAAGAATTGTTTATATAAAATTCTCATAGGGTATTTCACCTAACGAAAATTTGTTCTTAGATCAATTTTGCTCTTCAGCCAATAATTTTGTTGGATGATTTTGGGATACTGCGATAAAGAGCTGCTTCTTGGGTGACGTAGCTGTTGAGCAGGATAGATGTGGACATGAGGTTGAAGATAATCCATTATTCCGTTGAACTTTGTCTAGACCGATTATGAATGACCAAAGAACTATAATAGAAAGTTTTTCATGCGTTCAGCGATTGGCAAGTCTGAATCTTCAAAGATGCTATCAACCAAAGACTCATTCATATCACGTGCTGGTGGTGGTCGCATGTAGATCGATGGACAGCGTCAAAACCCTACGCCTCCTCGCATAATACCTCAGCAGTATAAACAGAGGACTCAGCCACTTATCGTGAGTCATGCTTTTCTATTTTTGCTTTCATGTTGATTTGCCTTCTGCTGCCGTCATCGCAGAAGCACATGCTATGGTAAGTACTATCGAACTCTGAGTCAATCTGAGTCACAAAGCTGCGTGACACCTTGGCTAAATTTTCCCAGTGTCTGGAAATATTTGGCTGATCCAGGCGTTTACCCTTTTATTTTGGAGTCTTGTTTGAATAATATCATTTAATATCGTAGTTACTATAATTTTGTTGCCGTATTAGCTACGACAGAGGTACCTCGTTAGGCAGCATTTCTATGTTGTTGACATTATCAACTACCTTAGCTATTGTTTCACCGTTGGCAGCGACTTAGGCGCCGGGAGATGCATATCGTGTATACAGTCAAAATAGTTCGCATCCTTCAACGCTTAACAGATCTCTCGGTACTATCGTGCAAATATGCTACACAAAAGCGACAAGTTCAATTTAATTTTCCTACTTTACCAGGACTATATTTCTAGAAGCAAGAGATTTGACAGAACGGCAATTGATCAGCCAATGAAGTCTCAGAACAAATCCGCATATGTTCTTATCTCCGCAGACATGGGGAAAAGTATTGAAAGGTCCCCCCGCTAATTTGGTTGCCGTAGTCTTGTGCCAATGGAAGTCGAATATTTGGCCTATTAATGGGCGCTTTCCCGCTGCTAGAATGAGTTTGTCCTTTCTTAATCTATCTGCTTACCGTTTCGCATAAAAGAAAGTCAAGTATTCAATTATTAATTATGAGAAAATTGTGGAATGTTCGTTGATCCAAGCAGGTCGTATCCGTGACTGCGTCTATTGGTATCCTTGGCGGTGAGACCGAAATAATTTCGGGCGAATCACCATGGAAACGCACTCGGCCTCTGAAAGCCGTACTAAATTGCAGTCCAAAGCCTTTCATTCGGATCTTCCTTCTAACGCCGATCGCTAGCAAAAAAGTGGCGGCAGATCTCACACACTCTGAGGTCATACATAACAAAATTTCCCAAGTTTAAACATTCAACTTAATTACTAGGATGAAGCATTCAGATACATTGCGTACATTCAGGAACAAATATCAAATCGCTATTCCAGTCAGGAAATTTTCTTTTTGCTCAGTGTCTTTCAATTTCATGCGTGTGAAAAACTTATCAGTTTGCACACTTCATCGTGCGTGTCACGTCCGGGGCACCCTGGCGCCGTCATAGATGCATGTACTCGGTAGTTACATTACAATCAGTTCACTTGCAGCCGTTGTGGGATCAGGGTAGGCCCTTTATCGACTAAATGTGGCTAGGTTTGAGCCTCAAACCCACAGCGGTCCACCCTGTCCACAGTCGAATTCGTCTGTGGACAGGTACGTTGATACGTGGTATGCGGGCGCACAGCAATCTGTAGACGTAGAAGCGGAGACCTGACATCATGTACCAGTAGGGTACCACTCTGCTTGGTGCCTTAAGCTGCGAAGCGCTTTTGACGTCCGTTTTTGGATGCCCCGCTGAGTGCGAGAAGCACGGACAAGGTGGCGGGACTGAGGAAAAAAAAGAGGGGCCTAAAAATTGACACGGGCAGGCGCTTATGGAAACGATCGAGCCCTAGGTTTTTCACATTCCCAGAGCTGCTAATGCGAGTGGACAAGGGCATCTTGTGAAGTGGTGGGTACAGTGACTGATTAGCATGACTGGCATCAAATTCTTTTGACTCACGCTAAGTCATAGAAAAATTTGGTGAGGGGTACATGAATTTTCGAGACCACTAAACCTTGACCGCCCAGTGGAAGAAAATATGTTAGGTACTGGTGGGATGACAATCATGGAGGGGGACAACGAATTGCCACGAAAGGGAGTTCGCTAGGTTCTTACTAGGGCCCAAAACCAACCGATATCGAAGATTTTGAAAGCCAAGGTGGGGCTAGTCCCGGCTGAGGAGGGGTGATTTGCTCGCTTAGCTGAAAAAAGCCCACCTTGCTCCTCGCCTCTCATCCTCTGTCTCTCTTATAAGCCCGCCTCACCACGAAAACTCTTCTCTTTCTGCTCTTTGTCGCACAGTAAGGCTTCCTTCTCGATATATAACTTTGGACTTCGAGACTGACGGATCATAGCACCTCCACGCGTTCTGCCGTAGTCCCTGTGCAAGCTTTCTGAACAGTCTCTAGACTCTTCTATCACATTTTTCACGAAACACATTCACCATGGGGTAAGTCCAACCATTCGACATATTCTGTATCCTGACGATGGACATGGTCGATGACCATAAACATCTCGGATCGATATGAAGAACATCTACTGACTCTGATATCCAGTAAGGAAAAGACTCATATCAACGTCGTCGTCATCGGCCACGTCGACTCCGGAAAGTCGACCACTACCGGTAAGATACAAATTTTCGCATAAGTTTGAAGACGCATCAACTTATACATTGTCACAGGTCACTTGATCTACAAGTGCGGTGGTATTGACAAGCGTACCATTGAGAAGTTCGAGAAGGTACGTTAATTTATCAGTACTCTCTTTCAACTGCACATGGTAGTGGGGGAGGGGCATGTTCTCGCTTTAACCCAAAATTGGATTGCGACCGTGCTCGGTCGCTTAGCGAGGCAGTCACACTCTTCCCTACGCAATGAACGCAGTCTTCGAGGGAGATTTGGACCACCATTTTACGATAAGTGATAACTAATGCATTCAACAGGAAGCCGCCGAGTTGGGCAAGGGTTCCTTCAAGTACGCGTGGGTTCTTGACAAGCTCAAGTCCGAGCGTGAGCGTGGTATCACCATCGACATTGCTCTCTGGAAGTTCGAGACCCCCAAGTACAATGTCACTGTCATTGGTAAGATTTACGGTCTTCAAAGAGTAGCTGAAACAAATGCTAACTATTTCCCCAGACGCCCCCGGTCACCGTGACTTCATCAAGAACATGATCACTGGTACCTCCCAGGCCGACTGCGCTATTCTCATCATTGCTGCCGGTACTGGTGAGTTCGAGGCTGGTATCTCCAAGGATGGCCAGACCCGTGAGCACGCTCTGCTCGCCTACACCCTCGGTGTCAAGCAGCTCATCGTCGCCATCAACAAGATGGACACCACCAAGTGGTCTGAGGAGCGTTACAAGGAAATCATCCGTGAGACGACCAACTTCATCAAGAAGGTCGGCTACAACCCCAAGAACGTTCCTTTCGTCCCCATCTCCGGTTTCAACGGTGACAACATGATTGAGCCCTCCACCAACTGCCCCTGGTACAAGGGTTGGGAGAAGGAGACCAAGGCTGGCAAGGCCACTGGTAAGACCCTCCTTGAGGCTGTCGACAACATCGACCCCCCCAGCCGTCCCACCGACAAGCCCCTCCGTCTTCCCCTCCAGGATGTCTACAAGATCGGTGGTATTGGCACTGTTCCCGTCGGCCGTGTCGAGACCGGTACCATCAAGGCCGGCATGGTCGTTACCTTCGCCCCCGCTGGTGTCACCACTGAGGTCAAGTCCGTTGAGATGCACCACGAGCAGCTCGTTGAGGGTGTCCCCGGTGACAACGTCGGCTTCAACGTCAAGAACGTTTCCGTCAAGGAAATCCGTCGTGGCAACGTTGCCGGTGACTCCAAGAACGACCCCCCCAAGGGCTGCGAGTCTTTCAACGCCCAGGTCATCGTCCTTAACCACCCCGGCCAGATCGGTGCTGGTTACGCTCCTGTCTTGGACTGCCACACTGCTCACATTGCTTGCAAGTTCGGCGAGCTCCTTGAGAAGATTGACCGCCGTACCGGAAAGTCTATGGAGAACAACCCCAAGTTCATCAAGTCTGGTGACGCTGCCATCGTCAAGATGATTCCCTCCAAGCCCATGTGCGTTGAGCCTTTCACCGAGTACCCCCCTCTCGGTCGTTTCGCCGTCCGTGACATGCGCCAGACCGTCGCCGTCGGTGTCATCAAGGCCGTCGAGAAGGTCGACAAGGCCGGCAAGGTCACCAAGGCCGCTGCCAAGGTTGCCGGCAAGAAATAAATGGGTTCTTGATACGAAATCAAAAAGTATGTGGTGTTTGCGGACAATGGTTTTGTCGGCCGGTATTTAGACAGTCTTTGTTTCTACCAGGTTATGAGGATCATGGTCCACATTCGCTGTCGACCTATTGATTTCTGCTAAGGGTCATTTGTTTCTTTCCCTCTTCTGCATCTCGTCTTCGATCATATGAGAAGCGCAAAGATTACGATTTCTTTTTCTTATGTCTATGGGAATTGACGATTTATGGAATGGGATTGCTCTACTAGCTTCGTAGAATTCTAGTTTAAAAATCGAGAAGTAGTTTGGGCATTTCATATTTTTCAATGTGATATCGTTAAGTGATGTTTTGATCGGTTCCTGAAACAGATTCTATTCTGCAACATGACGCAAGCAGCATCGCAATTTATTTTTCTGGTTGTCGTAGGTCAGTTTCACCCCTGGAGTAATTTCGCGATGTCCCATTAGGGTCACGTGTCGCGGTTGTAGTTGAGACATGCCAAGTAAAATGGTTCTGCCCCTGGCGCAGTAGAAGAGGACATGTAAAATCGAGGTTGCTATGCAACAGCGCGTCGCCTTCTGGGAGAAGTCTATTTGGTCTTTAATGAAGTGATACATGTGAGATAAAATGGTGCGCGGCCGAATTGAGTTTTGACGTAGGTGAAAACGGCTAGAAGTCTAAACTGGCGCGTACGGTCGCCAAGAGTCCGGAGAGAGCAGGTATAGTGGTATTTGCCTTAGGAGTGGCACCCGTTCCGGGACCGTATCAGAAGTGCTTACTCCTATGAAGTCAGAGAGACTGCCACTTACCCTCTGATTTTCCTTTGAACTCTCTGGACGTCGACTCAACCCTTTCTCTATTACTGATTTGCCAAAGGAACTTGGCAGAGATTCTTTGTTCCAGCTCCATGATAGGGCCAGTGTCATCGCGCTGTCCTGCTTTAACGTCCGCTCTGCCCCTAGCGGACTCAACTCCAATTGCAATCAACCGCTGGCGATTGCTTTCTGTCCGCTGCACAAATGAACGCCGTTCGCCAGAAATGCCGACCAAAGCATCAAGTCCTGGTGCTAAAATGCTATCCTAAGCTGCAAAAGAATGCAGCCGAAGTCAAGCCCAACTCGAGTGAACTGAGCTATTTGTTGTATTATGCGAGCACCAGACGCAGCAAGGTTCAGAAAGTTGGCGTTTTTCTTGAAAAGAGAACGGCTAGTGACCTCTGGAGAGGCCGCATCGCGTATGTGTATCTTAATCACTGCCAATTTCGACCCTGATGTGCCTTCCTATGCAGACTGGAGCAAATCTGCGCTTAGACGTGATGGCCGGAGATTGCTTACAATGAAGTTCACTAATTGTCTTTACAGAAATGTACAAATTACATTGCAAATTCTTCATGCGTTAATCGAAAAGTCTCCCCGGGACCTGTCTCTTTTTGCTTCTTCGGTCCTTCGAATCTTGAGCAGTATAGTGGGGTCCAAAGACATTACGCTCGTGGAAGACTCGCTCCCCACACTCGAGGCTCTATGTCTGCATCAGGATGCTGCCACTCTTGGCGCAGATCAAGAGTATAACAATCAATTCCAAGACTTGATTGCTTCGTACGCTAGTTTCGCAGCCGACCACCCTCCGTCCGAAACAAAAGGGCCAATAAGTGCACCACTTGCTATCAGATGGCGAAACGTTGGACTGAGAGCAATCAAGACTCTGACATCCTCAGAAGGTCTTGCCGTAGATGCTGGAAGACAATTCGGACGTACTATCATGCCTGTGATCCTCCGAAACTTGTGGTCTGACAATGACGAATATTTAATCGCGTTGGACCAGCGAGAGCAAGCACAAGAGCAGACAGACAAGGACCAAGCAGTCAGGCGCAGAATGAGTGTTGCGACTGTGAGAACAGCAGATCAGACAGATGCGAACGTTGCCGTCGCTTCCGGAACTGCCGCCGATGCCGACAAGGAAGCTGAGGCAGAAGTTGGGGTCTTAGCTCTTCAGAGTCTTAAGCAGATTTTCACAGTCAACAATAGGGTGCAGGTTCGCGCTGCCACCGATGCTACCTTGAAGTTTATCGTTGGCAAAGCATCTTCAAGCAGCACACATAAAGAAGATTCAGTACCTCAAAGTTCACGAAGCTTCAGAGGATGGGGCACTACCTTGATTGAGATGATTGCAAAATGGACTCCTGTCCAAGACCGTTTTGTGATTCTTGTAACAGCTATGGAGAGCATGGTCAAGAGTCCCGTCGCGGAGGACGATTTTGAACGTCAAATTATATTGGCGACTTTGGTGGGCTGGTTGCTGAGCTCCAAAGTCAACCTCATTGGGCTCAGCGTCATGGATGTTCTACTGGGTCTGATACACCATATTCAACTCGTTCTTCAACTAGGCGGGAGAGGTTTTGAGAATGTACCTCCTGTTCAACCAATGGATGAGCTTGGATCAGAAAAAGTCTCCGGAAACGCTCCGCGCCAAGGTCCCTCAGCCCCTGGTTTCTCTACGGGAGAGAAATCTGATGTTATCTGCTCAGCATCTCCACTGCGAATTGAGCTCTTAGCCAAGCTACAAAAGTGCATCGGGGATTTGGCAACGCATGTTTATTATACTGATCAGATATCCGATATGATTTCGGCATTGTTGGCACGATTGAAGCCCAATTCTGCATCCACGGTGATCAATGTCGTATCTGCAATCACCAATCCTACCGCTGCAGCTAACGCCATCTCGAATTCTTCTAATCTGCAAGAAAAACCAAATACGGATGACTTTTTCTCTTTTGGGACGGCCCGATTGACAGCACTTCAAGCTGTCAAGGAGATCTTGGTCACTGCAAATCTACGCACCTCTGCCGCAGGTGCATCCGGGATCGGAAGAAACAAAGTCAGAGCAAACGTTTGGGATGGCACGCAGTGGCTGCTGCGGGACAGCGATGTCAAGGTCCAGAGAGCGTATGTGGATGCTTTGAATACTTGGATGAAATTCGAAGTGGACAAGGCGCAACTCCAAGCTCTGAATGAACCGTCCCTGGCCAAACCTGCGCAGAAAGCCGAAAACCCTGATCCCGAAGGCTCGCTGGGTACTACCAGACGGGCAGTTTCAAATGCCTCTCGTCGTGATCGCTCGCCAAAAGCGCATCGAACTAGCTTTGTGGAACTTCTCCACTTTGCAATCTACGAGTCGGCGAGAAGAGCTGATGGGACAAAAGAAGATTATTTGGTGCTCCATCTCTTGCTCTGGTCAATGCTTGAAAATTTGGGTATTTGCGCTCTCAAAAGCGGTCTACCGATGATTTTCCGCTTACAGGAGGAGATCCAAAGTATCGATAATCCCTCAGCCAAAGTCAAGCTAGGCAGCCTGGTGCACGGTTATCTGTGGACTATCACAGAGAAATACGACTTGGACACTTCCTGGGTCGGAAGGGAAATCCACAATGAGATTAGTCGAAGAAAACATAAGGGATTATGGCTCGACGAAATAAGGGTACCAGCTCTTCAGCTGGATCAAATTCGCAGAAGGACAGACGGTGCTTCTGCGCTTAATCTCCCACCGAACGTCCTTCATGCTGAAGCGCTTAAGCCGTTTGATGATCGACCGGCACTCGTTGAATTAATCGCCGCAGCGTACCCAGCGTCTGTAGCCTCACCCCCCTCAAGTCCACCCAGCTCGCCCGGACGCGCATCGGTAAGTGCGTCTCGCAGCTACTTTGCCGATCGGCGGGAACTGCCTGCAAGGGTTAAGGAAAGAATGCTCTCCACATGGAGCCAAGAAGCCATCATTGAAAGTATCGAGAAAGAAAACAGTCGGGCGTTTTCTCTGAATGGCTCCCGCGCAGGCACTAGCCGTTCAGCTACACGCAACTTTCTCACCGTCAATGGTGGGACGGAGAAGGGATCTCCTGATCAGTTTGCGGGCCTCATCAGCCATCAGACATTTCTCAAGAGCAGACCTCCGTCAATGGCGTACGGGCTTGTTGGTAGTGGGTGTCCAGCACTCCGTCGGGCGAGTGCTCAGGAGAACCCCCCAACACCAATCAGCAGCTCTAGCAGACTGTCAACGGTGCGAGTGGATGAACTTAAACGCTATCTTTCCGGTGATACTCGCGCCATTTCTTCGCCCCGGCACGATCTACATCATTACATGAGCAATGACGCCAGCAGCGAAAGTATGGTCAGTGCAGGCTCCTCAGAGTCCCAGCTCTCATCAGGCCAAAACATGTCTACTGCTGTGCATATCGCCCCTACCACTACCAAAAACGTGGCGCCCGCGGATCAAGCGAATGCAAGCCAAACGCCCGCGATTCCTCGTCCCACGAGTGATCGTCCGCGCTCGACGTCAACCTCATCAAATGAGCCGCGCCGGGAACACTCGAGGCACTCTAGCCGAGAAGGCTCCATTGCTGCTCGCCGCTTGAGCGGTGGTGGTCTTGCCACTGCAATTGTCGACGATGCACAGGTTCAATTCGATCCAACCGCCGATGTCGTCCCTCCGGTGCCGCCGCTGCCGCCATCACTTTCGCTTCCGGGATCGTACCCTGGTGAAATTATTCGCAGCCCGTCCTCTGGAAATATTGCTGTTACGGCTGACGGTTCGGCCGTTCCACTTACGGGCACTACCGCCTCACAGAGCGATGAAGCTGGTCGCACAACCAGCCCCAAGACGCCCAAGCGCGAGAAGAGCCACAGCCGCAGCAGCGGCACGACCAGTGGCGGCGGCGGCGGTGGTGGTGGCGTCCTCATCAACAGTGCTCTCCGAAGCCCAACAGCTAGCAATACCGTCAATGGAGACAAAACCCGTCGCCACAGTCTGAGCAGCTCGAAAAGAAAAGGTCCCTCGAGCGGAACAGATGGCAGTTTCGGCATCGATCTAGATGGTCTCCTGAATGGAATTCAAGTTCCCACCACCTCTGCGCGCGTCAATGACGCCAAGTGGACCGCCCCTCTCGGACGGCCACCATATTAAATTCTTCTTTTCTCCTCCTTTCTTCTTCCCCGCCTTCTCCTTGCGCCCCATTTCCCGTCCCTGAGACCTTTTGTCAGCGTACATAACACGAGCGTTTCCAGATTTTGACCCGATTCAGCTTTTGTACTTATTTTGTTGATTTGCCCCTACATCGTTCTCCTTTCCTTTCCTTTCCTTCTCTTCGCCCTTTCTCTCTTTCCCGTTCTTTGCTTCTCGCTCCCTTCGTTTGGCTTTTGTATTCTTTTCTTTTATCCCGATCCTTATTCTGCATCGTCGTGTCGTTGCTTCCCCCCTACCCTTTACTCCAATTTTTCCCAATGTCAATTCAGCATCTCTTCCGTATCCTTTTTTGTCTATTTCTGTCTATTAAAGCTCTTGTTCGTATTCATATTGTTCGTTACTGTCAATGCACATATTATACCTCCCTTTTTATTTTTACCTTTTCTTTTCCTTTTTAGTTCTTTTGTTCTTGCTTTCGGCCTTTGTCTTTTGGCTTTCTTGATCACCTATTTAGCTTGGCTTGGCATGACTTGGCTCGGGCATCTCGCTCGCACCATTCGCACTTGCCCGCCCCCTTGTTGAAAATTTGCCCCGTTGAACATACATTTTGTGAAACATAGTTAGCTGTAGCTTTCTAATTCTCCTTCACTCTTATCCTATCTGTGCCTTTTTTTTTCGGTCGGGTGTGGTTTAGCTCATCTCATCTCATCCCACTCTTGTAATGTGTAGTACTCTTTTAAACTCCACTTGTGTTCGAATTGCGACTTGTATCTACCTACTTTACTTCTGATGTTGCTTGGTCGAAGCCGCTATTGTACATATCATTGGTTGATTGGTCTTGTAGCTCACACGGAATCAATGTACAAGCGATTGCATCATAATCACTCTACTGAGCACTTGATGTCATTGAATAAGAATCAGTACAAGGAACTATTGTATTGCTAAATTTGAATTCTCGATTGTTAATGACACTAGCAAAGGAAGATTACGATAGAAAATATAAATGTGACGTATTGGGTTTCGAAAGAAAATGTTACGGGAGCTCAGGTATACCAGATCGCTGGGAATAGAAAGAACACACGGAAAACGGTTTCAGTCATGTCCGAGAGCGATTGATATTACCATCTCGAAAAGAGACGCTCGAGCAGCACTAATCTCCAATCTTTCATCCGTATAGTGGTTTGCTTCCTAATACATTTCATATTTGATGGGAGCATATACCCGTGAAGGATATGATCAAGAGAACGAGAACAATAAACAAAAGCAGCATTTTGAAAAAATTACTGTCAAAGGCGGGTCTACTGACGACCGTGGCTTGGAATTTCGAAATTAGGCACCTGGCGGAGGTGGTGGCGGAGGCAAGTCGCTTGGAGGCTGAAAGGTGTTAGTATCAAATGTTCTTCTTAAAAGAATTTATTTTTTCAGATAGACACTTACCGGAGGCGGGGGGATATCGCCCGGCGGGGGCGGAGGAGGCGGCGGGCTACCACCTGGTGGCGCGGGCGGTGCAGGAGGCGCGCCATATCCAGCATACATTCCACCTAAGCCAGGCGGAGCACCCACGCCTGGAGCACCTGGAAGTCCGGGCGGAGCCCCCATGGAAGCTGATTGGTACGCAGCTGCAGCATCGCCATAGCCACCGTAGTTGTAGCCGCCATAGCCGCCATAGCCACCAGAGCCACCAGGAGGCGGAGGAGGTGCAGCAGCTGCCTGCTGCCATGGAGCAGCCCCACCTGGAGGAGCGCCGTATGCACCATGGCCACCGTAGTGATCTCCGCCCCTGTTGCCTTGGTTGCCGCCGGCCCATGGAGGAAGCGAGGAGCCTCCGTCACGGTAATCGTCGCGAGGACCACGATCATCACGACGCTGCCATGGGGCCGGCCCGCCAGTTGGACCACGTTGCCAGGGCTTGAGGTCACGATCTCGGCCATAGCCATCAGGGCCCTGTTCCTGTTCGCCAGGGCCAGCTTCGATGGCTTGTTGGGCGGCACCAGGTTCGAGCGGCGCACCGCCGGACAGCTCATTCATGAGCGACTAAAGGAAAAGTGTAAATATGCATTGCACGGCTTATGAGTAAATATTGGGGTCTTGACTTACCTCGTACTCGCGATCAACGGCATCACCAAGACCTCTACCGGGAGGAGCACGGCCAAGACCGCCGCGGTCATCGTTGCGCCAGCTAGCGCCCCTCTGGCGGTCAGGACAATCCCTGGCCATGTGACCAGCATTTCCACAGACGCGACAGATGATATTGGCAGTGAAGTTGCGCTGCTCGGGGCAATCGTATTTGCGATGTCCGATTTGTCCGCCTATTAAACATTAACCGGAATTCTCGCATACAAAGGGGGAATTAAAGGTACTCACAGTTCTGACAAGCTTGATTCTCATCATCTCGCAGAGTACCGTTGAGCGCCGCGAGTTCACGAAGCTGGTTCCGCTTGAGCTCGTTTTGTCCTTCAGGAATCGAGGCGGCCTAGAACCAGGTTAGATGAATGCCCATAGTGAAAATAACAAGAGACGCCAAGGAGGATTACTCACAGTCTCAACGACATTATGAATCAACTTTTTAGCTTTGTTAACCTTCTCTTCAGTATCGGCCATGATCAGACAATGCAGATCTTCTTCCTGGTTGCTGGTGTGAGCAGCATCAGAACGTCCTTTTCCTTCTTTGACGGAGCCTTTGCCACGAATGGCAATCTTGGCACCAGACTCCGTTTCCATCTTCTTAAGGGTGTTGCCACGAGGTCCGATAAGAAGTCCAACTTTAGTAAGAAAGAAGTAGCTAAGTGTTAGTCTTTGTAGGTCAATCAAGTAGAGCAATGTGTGAGTAAAGCAACCGGGTTAGTGACAAAGCACAGCCGCATCCTCCGAAGAATGCCGCATGCATTGCCCAAAAAGGAAAAAAGAAAAAAGATAAGAAAACAGAGGGCAAAAGGTTAGAGAGGTTAGAGGTTAGAAATTGAGGGTTAGCAATCATACTGAAGTTAATTTCCGGATAATCGTTGACCGGCACATAGACCTTCTCCTGAGTCTTAGTAGGACGTCTGTAGTCAGACGGCGGGTGGTAGTTAGGGATCGCCTTCATAGCCTTCTCGATAAGCTTATGGCGCTCGTCTTCCAAACGCTTACGATATCTGTACTCGCGCGTATTGACACGACGACCAAAGTTATCATACTGCGGAGGAGGTGACGGAGACCTGGTACGCTTAAATTAGTATTGAGAATATGAAGGAGCGAGAATGAACGCTTACCTGTGGCCATCCGCCGGAACAACATCGTTGATGCGCAGTTTCTGGCTAATCTCTTCGATACGCAAGTGCAAGGTATATGCTTCCAGCTGTTCGTTGGTCATGTTGGCCATGATCATAGTGGGCAAGCCCATCAGACCAGCAGCCTTATTCTCCTGGGCATCACCCCATCGGTTTCTCTTCTTCCGCTTCTTTGTGCCATCGACCGGATCAGCTGGATAGGTGTTAGTATATTTTCAGCTCTTTCACAGAGAAAAATTGAAGCTAGGAGGACTCACATCTAACTGGACTCCGACCGCGCTTCAGGGCCACGTCGACCTCGGCGCCGGGTGAAGGTCGGCCATTGCCATCTTCATCATCACCAAAACGGCGTCGACTGCCGAGAGGGATGTTGTTCGAGCCTGTCATACCCTGATTACGCCACGACATCTTGCTCACAAGGCTCAGCCGAGATATCGGGTTAGAAAAACAACGGATGTCGCGAGATGAAGCTGCACTGAATAGTTGAAAGATCCGCCACTTCTCAAGTTGTCTCCGACAAATGGTGAATCTATTCCCAATCGAGCCAAGTACAATTCAAGCAGAAAAAGTAAGTGCGCGAATCATGTGACCGATTTTGTCAAATTATGAATTGGATAAATTTGTGCTATGCATAGGGGTCTCCTGTTGATTAGATCAATATCATAGATTAGATAATAGTGGATCGGCCAGTTACGTAGTACGCCCGCCGACAGAGCCAAAGCTCAGAATTAGTTATACCATAGCTACCTTAGGTTGTAATATGAGTCAACAACGCAGATATGTATCATATATAATATGTGCGTTGCCTAGTCAAGTGTATCTAAGGAGTTTGGAAGACCTCAGAGTGTGATTTTACTACAAGCTCTATAAGCTAAGAGCAATTGTCATCAGTATCATAGACAAAACACTCCGCATTGCGGGGCAACCTCCTTCCGTCATGCGAAATGTGCTTATAAATCCGATGGCAGGGTCATGAGTATGTAATCCGTGATACCTTCGCAAGGAACTGCATGAATGATCAACTTGGAATTGTACACGTAGCTCTTTTCTTAAATATAAATACCACCGTGTATAACAATTGGATTCCTCTGACCAAACATCCTCTCTGTTCTGCTCCTTTCATGCTAGCTTTGTGAATGCTTGGCCGCGCTACTCAACTAAGTAAACATATCTTGTCCGCCATGTCGACCCGCAAGACTTCCGACATTACACTCTACACGGCTCAGACGCCCAATGGGATTAAGAGTAAATCTTCCTCTTCTTTTATTTTCGGATAATCTTCCTTCGAAATGCGTGGGCTAACGGTTGATTCACATATAGTTTCCATTTTGCTGGAGGAGCTAGGGTATTTAATTTCCACCAAACTATGATGCTTTGATTCGGCTGGAACTAACCCTCAATTTAGTCTCCCATACCGTGTCGAAAACATTGGCATCAGCACGAATAGACAAAAGGAGCCATGGTTCTTGGAAATTAACCCAAACGGGCGCATTCCTGCCATCACTGACACTTTCACTGATGGCCAGAAGATCAACGTTTTTGAGAGTGGCTCTGTTATGAAATATCTTGTGGATCAATATGACAAGGACCACAAAGTCTCATACCCGACAGGGACCAGGGAAGACTATGAAGTGAACAACTGGCTCTTTTTCATGAACTCAGGCGTAGGCCCAATGCAGGGCCAGGCAAACCATTTCTATCGCTACGCGCCGGAAAAGATTCAGTATGGCATCAACCGGTACCAGAACGAGACGCGCCGTCTCTACCGCGTTTTGGACACGCATCTCAAGGAGAAGTCAAAATCTGGGTACTTGGTGGGTGACCGGTGTACTATTGCCGACATTGCACACTGGGGATGGGTCGCCGCGGCGGGATGGGCCGGCGTCGACATTGAAGAGTTTCCACACCTCAAAGCCTGGGAGGAGAAGTTGCTAGCGCGCCCAGGATTTGAGAAGGGTAGACATGTACCTTCACCACACACGATCAAGGAAAAGATCAAGGATCAAGCTGCTGCTGCACGCGAGGCTGAGAAGGCAAAGCAATGGATTCAGGCGGGTATGAAGGAGGATGCACAGAAATGAAAGCATTAAGGTTGCTCACTGGGCTAGTATAGGGAGGAATGAGGTGCAGAACTTTTAAGCTTAAAAGCAAGAAGGCATTACAGGAATAAATTTCATTAAATTCGATCTATCTAATCTGATTGGAGATTGAAGCCGAAATATAGCGTGAAGTTCAGCTCAGTCCGGCCTGCCTACTATATGCCTTGGCAGATTAAGCCGTTGGTGAAGCCATTTGAGCATCATGATGTGCTTCCTTATTCTCTGCCATTTCTTCGTCGGTACCATTGGCAGACTGTGACAAATGTTGTGTGTCAGGCTGTCGGTCTTCATACTTGTAGTCCTTGTCAAAGAGGATGACAGCGGAGTAGGCTGCTTGGACAAATCTTCCAAAGTCTATATGGGTATCATTCTGAACAACTTGTGCGCCTTTTTCAAAAGCTGGTACTGCGGTGGCCTCCGGCTGATCCGCTGAAGCAGAAATATCAGTGTGCTCTTGCTCTACGGCATCCGTAACACTGGGAATATCGGAACTCTTTTCCATTGAGAGTCTTAACTCCCCGCGTCGACCGCCGAACTTCCCGGCCTCAATGCTAGTATACGATGCATTCCAGCCTTCAAATGGGAAGTGAATGGACTCCCTGTAGTCTAGTCCACCAAATAAATAATCTACCTCAGTCTGCTGAGTGCTCGCCGGTTCTGAACGTTTCTCGCTGTTGGTGTCTTGAATCAGCCAGTTTGGAAGAGAGACTGTTAATGCTGAGGGCGTGCGGAGCCGTTCTTTGCCCCTAATATTGAGAGAGCTTTCATTGAGGAACCTTTGAAACTGCTTGTCGGTTCCAGGATTTGCCAGTTCAACATATGATCTGGTAATGAATCGAGCATCTCCCGGCCGCTGTGGCAGCAGAAGGTCTGAGACCCGTTCTCCTATTATAGCCCTGATGCTCTGAACTTGAGGCTGCTCTGTCGTGACTGGAATGGAAAGCACGATCTCGATGGACGGGATGTTTTGGAAGAGATTTCCACCTCGCTCAGACCATGGCGAGGGAATGAGGCGAATCTTGATAAATTCTGCCGTAAGTGGGATGCCTACGTTAAGCTCTTGTAGGAGATTCTGGGTGGCCAAGAAAGAGCCTGAAAGCGGTCTGCGTGCGCTACCAGTCTCTGATATTTTCTCTGCCGGGCATGGTTGAGGGTCAATTAATCTTGGAGTTTCATGGATAATCTTTCCAATAAGAGCAAATGTCTCTCGAGTAATCTGGCTCTCCCATCTAGCAATCGAAAACGAGTTTTCTTGCTGTGTCGCATTTTGACCGGTCTTTGATTGTTCAAAGGATTCAGTTAATGTGTCATCAAACTTGATGTCGGCATTCTCAGGGGTTTGTGATCCTATAGGTATAGGTGCACTCGCATGAGTCTTTTCGAGCTTAGAAACGATCGTCTCTGGGATCAAATCTTCTCCAGGTGGTCGGGTCTGCGCATCCTGCGTTTCCGCGGCCGGTTCTTCCTTCGTAGTTGCATAGCTCCATCTCGACCAGACTTTCTGTCGATCATTCCAAGGCAAATTCACGTGCGGTGGTTCGGGCACTAGAATGCCGCGCAATCGCTCATGCTTTCCATGCCACAAAAGCTGCTGCTGACAATTCAAATCAGATTGTACCGATGATAGAAGAAGCCGTCTTGCGTCATCTGCGTCGTTCGCGTTGGAATCGAAATAGTAGATATCGAGCTATAATGTGTTAACATTTTCCATGAACAATCCCTTGGAGTTGAACGTGCTCGAACCTTTTGTGTGCCTGGAACATCTTCGATCAAAGTTCCAGTAATCTCGCTGACCATTTTCTTTGTTAACTCAGAAAAGGTGTGATACCCAAGTGGTTCGTCCTTTTTGAGGACCGACTGCAAGGGAGTGAGATCGAGCTCCATTTGGCGAACTCTCTTCAGCGTCGTCTCAATATCTCGAGCTACAAGCAGGGAATTTTCTTTGTCTGCTGTCACTCGAAGGAGCCCACCGGAGCGCGATACGTCGATCTTTGCGTTTCTCCTTTCAGCAAACTTCTTTAGGTAGCCTCGACCTAAAGGACATCAGTATGAAACCTAGCGTTCAAATCCTTGCGTGATTACCCACGTTCTCCCAGAAGCATTGCCAGATCCGAAGACTGTAGTCGCAGATAGAGTTCCCCTATAGATTCGATCTCTTCCCGGATCTCCACTTTCCATAGCTTGCGAAGGATTCGCGTTGCCAGCGCGGCTTTAGTTTTAGAGTCATCGCTAGCCGTAGGAATATCGAAAGGATAACTCAGAAACGGTCTTTCGCCGAGAGTCCAATTAGACATTTCCAGGATTTTGGTTCGCGCCTCCTCTTTCTTTTCCGGCTTCTCCTTGTCTCGGACACCCTCGGACTGAGTCTCATCGAGTGGCGGTGGAAAGAGGTTGATATATTGTAGTAACTGACTTGACGTAAACCCATCTTGTAGGCTTTTCAGGATTTCGTTAAATGTCGTTTTCGGGATAAGACGTGAAGATGTTGGAGGACGATTTCTCTCGATATTTCGTCTGACTCCATCTTCGCCTACTAATCCCCTCTCCGCTTCGATTGAATCCAGTAAATCTGTCCCCGAGAGATATTTTTCGTCACTTTCAACAGAGAACGGTCGTTTCCTCCGGGGACCTAGTTTTGCGTCTCGAAAAATGATAACCTCGGAGGGCTTCCCTAACGAATCGATTTCTAAAGGGGCCGACGCTTCGCGAACACTACCGCCGCGATGCCTCCTCACTCCTCCGCCGGGATAGAATGTTCTGTATGGTCTATAGCTTCGCGATGACCTCCTTGGAGGCGGTTGTTCTGGCGCCGCATCAGTAGAGGAAAGCCGGGTAGCTTGAACAATGTTTGGGGTCCATTGGCGCTGAAGGGCAGTAGTCGTGCGGCCGCTGGCCAGTCGGACTTGACATCTCAAACAAATTGAGACATCAGAAGCCGAACGCACAAACATGGAGGTCAGCGAAACTCCCGAAGAAGGAGAAGAGTGAGTTTATGTTGTGTACACCAAGCAACGTGCCTTGAACATAAATTTGTTTCCTCATGTTCCTTATTCTTGTCTCTCTACTTTTAGAGCGGAAACTTCCGCGGTGATGTTCCGATTCGCCAATACCTACGTTATGAGAGCTTTATTGTCCAAATAAGTTCAAGCTTGCCATATATCCTGGAGTATTGTTGAGATTTGGTCATGCCAGAAGCAAATGTCTAGTGTTTTCATGTAAAGCAGAGCTGTTTCTATCTACGCTCAGTATAATTCTAGTGTTTTTCACGGAATTTGGGAAAAAATATTTCTTTTCCTATTTATTCTGGTATATATATATTCGGGGGCTTCTAGGCCGCCACATTGAAACGCGATGAGAGACAGGGGTAGGCACTGAGTTCAATAATCCAGGGGAAGGAAAAAAAAAAGGAAATTCGGGAATAGAGGTAAGTGTTGAGTAATAAAATTATAATAGCGGACATGGTTGTGGTATATTCATCTGGCAAAATAGGTCAATCGTGCGATGGAATTTGCCAACTCCGCAAATCTTCACGAGCATCAAATTCATCAACAACATTGCGAGCCTGCCGTCCTAGCCTTGGTGGGCCACTGCTCTGCTGACTAGCGGAAGTTGTCGTGGCATCACCTTCAGCATCCAGCCGAGAGTTTGACTTTACGCTGGAAGCGCCGAAGCCGGAATTGTCGCGCCGGTGGCGGCTAGATCTTCTTCCTTCACCATCGCTCATTGAGTCGCTGCTCTCTCCAATACTGGTCTTGCTTCGCTGACTTCGATGCGTGGGTTTTCTCTCCCAACCTGTACCACCCGCAAAGATATTCTCGACACACTGATCAGCGGGCAACTCATTGGCTGGCGCTGACCACCACGCGGCCAGAGTCTGACGGTATATGTCTTGTTGTGCCTCAGTCTCGCGGGATTTGGCGATGGACGGGATTTCTTTCCTTTAGATTAGCAAGAGAGAAACGGTGGACAGGGTGCTATTGCCGACTTACGCCCACGCTCGTCCTGTTGCTCGCTTTGCTCGTTGGCAATGATGCCAGCGATACCGCCAAACACCGGTGCTGATCTCAATGGTGGACTAGACAATGTTAGTCCTGCAGATTTTGTAAAAATTTCTACTTTATAGACGCACGCAATAAAGTTCTTCTCGCCCTCAAGAAGTTTCATGTAAATGGAGATCTGGAATGCCGGCGGTCAGCCTCCAACCTTGTTCCTCATTACGTCGTTGAATTACCTTTAGAGTACTATTTATCTTGCTGTCTTGCATGAGATATCGTCGAACCATAGCTGATTCATCATTGGTGTCGCTTTCTGCGACGTACTCGGCTAGATTGAGCTTCACGAGCCCAAGCGTGATGCTCTCTCCCTTGCTTCCAGAAGCATATACTTGGACAACTTCAAAATGAATCTCGGAAGATTGTAGCATCCCATGTTTATCTACGACTAGCCGGACATGTAAAGTCTTCTCATAGTCCCAGATCACCTTATGCTCCTTGATCATACTCTTTGAAGTTCGGCCACGGTGCTCCGCGGACGTCGACAGGGGAAGGTGCCATTTCACATAAGAGGTTCCTGAGACCAGGGGGACATTGTTGAGATCTAAGATCTAAATATGAAATATATGAGCGTGGGACTATGGACGAGGCGGGTGGGTTATGGTATCATACCTTGAGGCGAAGCTCGAATTTGGGCTTTGTTTTTAATTAGTCACTCATTGCACGTAGTTTTGAAAGGGGACTCACACGACGAGCCTTGGGTACTAATAATTGAAATTGATTAGTCTATGACATAATTATATAAGAATATATAGGCTAGATCTCACCAAAAGCCTGCATAATGTATGAAGGGTTGCGGTGTTTCGGGGAGGCAGCTTCACCCGAGTATCGCTCCACGAGTCCTAGTCGTTGACTGTACCGACAATATTCTGTTCGAAAAGTGTCGTAAGCTCTATCATTATGACTTTAGAAAAGTCGTTAGGTTGAATCATTAAAGCATCCCGCCAAACAAACTGCGCACCATCGGCGTTGCGGCAGATGGATGTCAGCTATGATATAACTGACCATTTGTCGGAGACAACGGCAACGGTAAATGCCGTAATATTGTTCGATCGATCAAGATGATCAGATAAGCGATAACCTTAATTCCCTTGTCAAGCTGCATTTCCAACCCGGACCACTTCATATGAAAATACGACCGACAGTGAGCTCTGCAATGTCTACCACTCAGCTCCGAGATCACAGAGAACGCCAATAACCAAATAATGACTCGATTCGAAGACCAAATAGCAGACACCGTGCTGGAAACTTTCGACGCTCTTCCAGCAAAGCGCAAACCCCGTCAACGCGAGGATGGATCGCGAGAATGGGTCCCTCTATCAGGCATTGTGCTTTCTAAAGGTGCGCGTTCACAGTTGAACCGGTTTGAGGGAGAGCCAAAAAGAACTAATGGATTTCCTAGAAAAGGTAGCAATGAATTAGCATGCGTGTCACTAGGGTATGTCCTATGCCTCCCTTCTCGCACTCCATCACCCAAGTCACCTGCCCTTCTCAAAACACTACGTCCCCGAAACGCAACATTGAGACTGACAAATGCATTGTACACAGGACAGGCATGAAATGTCTTCCACGATCGAAAATCCCACAGGCCAATGGCATGGTACTACATGACTGTCACGCTGAGATACTGGCCATCCGCTCATTCAACAGATTTCTCATACAAGAGTGCCACGACCTAGTTCTCGCCGGAGAGCAGAGCTCCCGGTTCGTCCGACGACGTAGACAGAGCGAGATTTCTACGACTTCATTTCAGCCATTTGCCATGAACAACGACATTCGTATCCACATGTTTAGCTCCGAAGCGCCGTGCGGAGACGCCAGCATGGAATTGACCATGTCCGCGCAGGAAGACCCAACACCATGGGCTGTACCGCCACCAGCAACAATACCAACCGATGCGTCACTGGATCAAACCTTGTCTTCATCAGCGCAAGCACTTCCCGGGAGAGCATACTTTTCGCAACTCGGCGTCGTGCGTCGAAAACCATGTACGTTCCTTTTTTTATTCTTTCTTCTTCCATCAGTGCCATCCCCAGTCCTAAATCAAAGCGCGTTTACCCATTCAAGACGAAAGTACTGACAATTTATGCCCCCAGCGCGCCCTGATGCGCCGCCAACGCTTTCAAAATCATGTAGCGACAAGATGGCACATATGCAATCAACCTCTCTCCTCTCGTCTGTCGCATCCCTCCTTATCCACCCTTCTTCTGCATATCTCTCAACTCTCGTCCTTCCTGAATCACAGTATTCCGCCACCGCATGCACGCGAGCCTTTAGCCCCAGCGGGAGGCTTAAAGCTCTTGCGGGACGTCAGTGGGAAGGCGGCTATGCATTTCAGCCATTCGACGTCCGGACCGCGACGCGGGATTTCATTTGGTCGCGGAGGAATCCTGCCAGTGTTACCGCTTCTTCAATAGCGCCTGTGACTCCAGCAATCGGGGACGGGCGCAGCAGCAGCAGCAGCAGCATCGAAAGTACCGGCCCAAAATACATTGCAAGTAATCTTTCTGCAGTACATACTTCTACTCCGCGCGATCAACCACCAAGTAAACAACTGCAGGAGACCCTCATCAATGGCGTCTTGCAAGGCCGCAAGATCTTTGACCCGCGCGGCGCCAGCATTCTGTGCCGCAAGCGGATGTGGCGCGCTGTCGTGGACGTGTTGGCCCTTGCAACAGCCGCAGCAGCAGGAGCGGGGACAACGGGCGCCATATCCTCGTCACATCCGTCAGGCCCAAGTTCAAACTTTGACCAAGCTCAATATGAAACATACGAGACACTCAAATCGAGAAATCCGCTCCTTGAAAGTCGACGGAAAGTCAAGGCAGACGTACGCAGCGCATCGGGCCTACCGGAGTGGGTGCGTAATGACGGGGATGAAGATTTTAGATTAGATTAATGTTGAGAGATTAATTGTACATCAAGGATAAACACAAATGGTTTTTCTTGGTTTGACATGGACATATTGTCCCAATTGTATTTTTATATAGAGTCCTAGTTCCTTTCCGGGCCAAAATGCTCGTCGAGATATCCAAGGTAGATACATGCAAAGCTTAAATAGGAGGGAGTGAACAATTCGACGACATGTATGAAATGCGAACACCTATATACATATACAGATATATTTTCTTTCCAAAGCGGCTCGATGTTTTGGCTTCAGCAAAATCAGGACCGAGAACTATGCTGACGACTGTGTTAAGGCAAGTCCGGCGTGAGAGCACTACGCTGAGAAAAAGGAAAGCTTCGCCTGCCCTGCTCAATTCGGGTGTATTTTCCAGATATTGAGTTCTTGGTCGGCAGGATGCATGTTACATGCAGTGGCTAACGTCAACAGGAACCCCAAAGCTGCCAAAGGCCTAATACCCAAAAATCATCCGTGAACGCCATTCCGTGATGCAATATCGTGTCTCGTAACTTCAGACGCGAAGTAACGTTGCGGCAAATCTTGATGAGAAATACTCAAGAGTGAATAAGATGAGACGTGATCGAAAGCCGCGTTAAGAATATAGCAAACAAATCGGCGAGAAATGCGAGCTGAGAAGCATGGTGAAGATGGTGGGGCCGGATAATTAATTCAGAGATTACTGCTGATGTTGAACATGGAACAGGATCGACAGGATAAGTTCCCTGATAAGAGCAAACATGATCCCCAAAAGGCAAATTTGTCGCTGTTCAAGGTTCGGCGAAAGAACCATGGCCACTCATAGTAGCCGTATGGATCTTCTCGCTTGGATCTCTTCACGGACAAGAAGTAGGAGATTCCTGGCAAGATCATAGTGCCGAGAACAAGCTGCTGCGTGAGGACAATAGCGAATCCGCATACGATGAAGTGAGGCGTAAAAAATTAGGACGTTGCATGAGTGCGGAATAGTGGTAGAAAGAGACCGATGTCCTATGCCGCGGAAATGCCTCTCCGACTGGCCAATCCGGTCTCGAAGTGATGCAAAGCCAAGACCAGAAGGCAACTTTAGCCTTCTGTTTCATCCATTGCATCGTCGAAACGCCCCTTTTCCAGCGGCGCTCGTAGGGTATCGTTTTTGGGACTAGGTTGTGGAGAGGACCTTAAACCGTTAACAGTTGGGTCTAAGGACAGAGAAGGGGGCACAAGAGAGTCGCACGACTTACCTCGAATGTATGCCATTCTCCTGGCCATCTATTGCTCTGACTTTGGATTTACTTTCGTCAGTCTCACCGTCTTCAAACTCCCGTTCCTTTCGTTTTCTGCTCAATAGAGCCTGCTCATCCTGGATATCCTCTTCGACTGGTTTCATCTGAGGAGCTTCATTGATTGATCGAGGGAGACCGTTCTCTTCTTTTTTGGCTTGTTTCGCCGCCCGTTGTGCGCGGGATTTCTCCTCCACTTTCAATTCAACCTCTCGTTGGGCAACGAGTTCCTTTATGTCTTCCTCGACACGGTCGTCGTTTTCTTTGCAGGCTGTAAGCCCGCTGACAGCGTACCGGAGCAATTCCTCGACAGCTGCCTCGTTGACTCCTCGGTTGGTGATGTCGCCATATTGATCTTGCAGTTCAGCAAGTATTTTGTCATAATGTTTCGTCCCTTCCTTGAGCACACCGCCGTAGACAGATCCGCCTGGGGTTGTCAACTTCCTAAAGTAGGGCCCGGATACCATTTTGTTTACCGGGTTCTCATGGACGCGTCTTGGATCATCCTCGTCGAGCATAAGTCCGTCGTATGCGACATCGCCGTGTATGTCATTCATGTTTGGTTCCGCCGAGGACGGCGCCGCAGGTGTCGCAAGGGTTAGGTCAGCCATGCTTCTTCCGCAGTCCTAGCGGATAACTCTCAATGGCGACCTGCGCCCAGCAGTAACCCTGGTTAACTTAACAGACGTCCGAGCTTCAACAGTGCTGTAGGTTTGCGCGCTTCTGACAATTATTGATGCTGAGTGCCTCTCGAGTAACCACACCTGGATGATGGGCTATCAGAGCTTTGGCGCTCACTGGCCTCGGACGAGTTAGCCAATAAGTCCACGTTCTTGACAAAGCAAGAAGGGAGAAAAGATAAAGCAAAGAGATATCTGCAGCAGAACATGACACGAGGCAATTCGAAAGAAGCCCTGATCGGAGGCTGCAAATGAAGTGAATTAGGTGCTACACGGCGAAGACGGGCAGAATTCCGCTTCCATCTCCGCAAACAGCAACGCCAAATGCAGCTCCACAACAAAGCTGGCCTTCCTCTGCGAGTCATCGTCGAAAAATGACAAATTACAGATAGTTTGTAGTACAACGGCAAAAGACTAACTTACAATTGTTTTCACTGGCCCAATTCTTGAGGGCAAATGGTGTGAGAAGCTGAGGGATTGAGTTGATGGTCTGAGGACGACCGGGGAGTCTCAGATCAACCGACTCTGGTCGCCCAGGTGAAGACTTCTCGGCTATTCGACCAAAACCGATAAGCGAAGGCGGTGAGCTTGATACGTCAATCATCTGTACTGTAATGCTGTAAATGGTACTCAGAGGAGCCGCGCTAAACTAAATCAAGCAAACGCTTTCGTTCTGCGCCATCGACTCTTCCCCAGAGCCAATCTTCCAGCCCATTTCAGCTTTCAAGCATCTCCAAGGTCCTTGTAACTGCCTTCCAGTAATCATGGTACGTGCCCCGTTATTCAACTATTCATTGTCCTAAGCTAATACTTGTCTTCCTCTATTAGGCGGACAAGCTTCGCGCACAGCAGCAGCTCGAACAGTTGCAAAGTCGTTACGTCGGTACCGGCCATGCTGATACGACCAAGTTTGAGTGGACCAGCAATATCCAGCGTGACAGCTACGCAAGCTACATTGGCCACCCGCCATTGCTCTCGTACATGGCTATTGGAATGGGGGAACCAAAAGAAAAAGTGCGGGCAAAAATGATTGAGGTGAGTGCGTTTCTTTCCGCCGCCCAAGCAATCCAGCTGACAACGCGAGCAGAAAATGATACAACCAGTTGGAAAGCCGCCAGAGGTATGTTACTTTTAGAATATCCCGAGGGAACATTTCCCGTCATTGTTTCAAAGATAGTCATTCTGACCCCTTCTCTTCCGTGCAGATGCAAGATTGATAGGATTATTTGTCATTCTCCATGTGTCGAGTTTTATGTTTGGCAAGACTGGACAGGCGTTGCCGGCGATTTGTCTTATATTATCAATTTCATTTAATCCACTGTAAAATACCGCTTTCAGACTCACGATATAATGGAAAATATTTTCTGCATCCCCCCGTCGTCGACAATATTCTATGCACTTTATCAAGCACAGCCAGATATCCACCTTCATGCTCGAGCGGAGATTGATCTCTTTTCGAACGATATTCTTTAATAAACATCTTTCAGCCTTCCACAACGATTGACAAACCGATAGCCGCAACAAGATGCCACCGCGACCGCGTCAGAATCCGCACCCGCCAGCGCTCCCATCCCATCTCTCCTACAAATCCGCACTTGTCCTACTTCCTCCAGCATCCATAACTCCACCAATACAATCGCTACGGCGTGTGCATGACCGCAATTTCCGCCGCTGGCCACCGCATATCAACCTCATTTACCCGTTTCTCGCCCAGCCAAGCGCGCAACTCGAGTCGAACATCCTACCCCGTTTGCAAAAGACTGCGCAGTGCATTCCGCGCTTTACAGTAAACTTGTCCAAAATATCTCACTTCAGACACGGGCCTAAAAGCGCCACCATTTATCTCGCTACAGGCGATGCAAGTCAATCGTCTTCAAACGCTTGTTTTCATGCCATTCCTGCCATTTCCGGGAGAAACGACGCTGTTACAGGAAACAAGGTCGAGGATCAAGCCCAAGCACAGATTTCCACCTGCTCAGGCCCTGAAATCCACCCCCAGACTATCCCATCAAATCAAAAATCTGACGAGAATACGCGAGACGAGAACGGCATACATGCGCTTCAGGCCGCATTACAGACCGAATTCGCCGAATGTGATGCAGACAAGAGACCATTTACTCCGCACTTGTCCCTAGGTCAAGCCAAGGCCGAATCGAGCGTGACAGATTTCGAAAAAGAGGTGGAGCGTGTCATTCGGCGGTTTGTAAGTGGCTACAGTGTTGACACTGCTCCAGACCGCAGCGAACAAAATGCGGAAGAGAGTGAGAACATCGTTGGAACCGCCAGTCATGCTCAACCTGATACTTCTTCGGATGATCTAGGCGGTTCGAGGGAACTGCAGTTTCCCATCGAGCGTATTTGTGTTCTTGAACGGAGTGGTTTCGATGATCCTTTCCGAGTCGTTGCAGATGTGCCTCTTGGTAATTAGTCATTATAACTCGACTGAGGAATCTCTGTAAGCCTCGAGTATCTCTGATTAGTCGAATTGAACCTGATTCCATATTATTTTCTGTCGAGTTTCCTCTCAGACAAGGACGTATACTCAGTCCGTGAATGTATAATACTGCTTTGGAACTGCATAGCGCGCCATCAAAAGGCATTCAAAATCCTAAACTCATCCTGCGTGAACAACATTCATCAGCTGTCACTTCCCCGTGCCAACATACGTAGTACTAACACAAGAAACACACCCCAAAGGAGACCAAAACTTACCACCACAAAAGCAGACCATCTCCCCTGTCTAGCACTATTTCTGTCGTCAAGGACTTCAATCACATCCACCATTTGCGCATCATGACCATTCGATCGACTGCCCGCATACACGACTTCTGCGTCTCGAATCCCCTTCGGAACCCTCGACAAGAACAGATGCGTATCCACGCAATGAGCGAAACTCTTTCCCAGAGCTGGTTTTCCCGGCGTAGACGCAAAGATGGACACGCGGCTGCCGTCATCGTCATCGTTGTCATCAAAGTCTCCATGATTGTTCTTCGGTATCTGCCCGCGGGAAGCTGCGTGGAAGGTGAAGCTTTCTTCGTCAGATCGGAAGGCTGATGGCGTGGACCGCTGATGAGGATAAGGATATTTCTGTGTTTGTGGGAGGACAATTGAGTTGAGTAGAATCGTGCAAATGTCGTAGTCGTGCGTCAAGTGGCGCAGGGAACGGAGAAATGGCATCAGAAGGCCATGAGCTGGCCGAAGTATCAGTCATACCATTGGTAATTGAGGACAGGGGGGCATAAAGTGACAAGTGATATTCCTGCGTACCTTGCACATGGTCATTTTTCATCATGGGCGATACGACATGCACAATGTTGTCGATGATGATCATGCCGATGCCGTTTCTATGGCCTGTAGCGTTTTGCTCCGTTGAGGCACCAGGCTCTGCGAACTCAGGGGTGTGATGTTCTTTTTCTGATTCCATTTCCTCGTCTTCACCTTCGTCGTCCTCATCTTGACTGTCTGCGATTTCTGCTTTTCCTGCTACTTCTCCAACTTCTCTAAACACTGTATCTTCTGCATCTTCTGTCTTGAATGCCGGAGCATCTCCACGTACTTCTGGATGAGTTGGTATATCCAATCTCATCACCGCACTCAGTTCATCCACCGCTTCAATGACGCCGAAAAAGTCAAATACGCCCATGACCTTGACCCTATCTAGCACCGTATTGATCTTGGCGTCGACATGCTGATGCTGATGCTGATGCTCTGACAAGACCGACTCACTTTCAAGTCGTGCCCTTAGCAGTCCCGCAAAGAACAAGACGTCAAAGCCACCCGTAGTATCAATGACAACGCCATCACTCAGTGGATTTTGCAAGAGATGGTTTGCAAGCGTATGCAACGCTATCTATCAATCATTATCAGCTCTTTTCCCTTTCCTCTGAGTGCCCTCCCAATTCCCAATTCACAGTTCCCCAATTTCACACTTTCCACAACAACTTCAAACAAAAGAAATACGCATTGAAATAGACACATCTTCCCAGCAAAGAAACAAATAAAGAACAATAATAAAGGTCGTCACTCAAGTAAAAGCACACCGAGGCTCAATTCAAAACACGGCAGGTAAAACGAATAAAGACAAACAAAAATACATACGAGCGTCCCTCTTCCATCTTGCCTTAGCAATCCTCCGCTCAACGCGGCGATACTGCCGTAGTCGAACCCGCCATCCAAGACTTCATCATCGATAGCGGAACAACAACCAGTCCCGATCCGAGACCCTGTATTAGTGCTGTTGTCGCTTCGATTGCGGAGTCTCGCTGCTTCTTTTTCTTCTTCGATTTCCAGAAGCACGTGTCCGAGAATTGGAGATGCAGGCTGGACCGCGTCGTTGGCCATTTTTTGCGGCCCCGTGTTGTTTACAAAGCGGAACCCGGCTGGTGGTATATAAGGTATGATTAACTATTGGTGGTTGACCTTGTTGCCGTGGTCCGCTAGAGTTGATTCAACATCGGGTTCCTACGTATATAAGATATGCATGGGAATATACAGTACCAGGTCACAACAGCGGCATAAGTATGGCGTCGATAGAACGTATCAATTGAACAAGCAACTTTTCCCATCTAATACTTCCTACACGTAAGTTGTTTTTTAATTTTTCCATATCTCACCAATCCTAGAACATGTTCTTCCGACTAGATCAAGCGATAAGCATTGTCAACGTCGCGTACATTTCTTCCCGGATCGCGGCGGTAATCTACATTGGAACATCACGGCTACAAATTGTGAGTGCATACAGTTGATTAAATAATTACCAAACAAATAATAAAAAAGAAGGGAGCTTCATTTCGGAAAATGAGCTCGACTTTGTGTGTGTGTGTGTGTGTGCTTTCGGATATCCCGACCAAGAAAATGTAGTTTGGTGACAATTATAAAAGGAGAATAGCAATGGTGGATTGAATTGATAAAGCAATAAAGCATTGAGAAACAGGTCCACTGCTCCAATGCGCGTTATCCTGCCAGAATAATAAAGACCCCGATCCCCAGACCCAGACTATCCTGCAGCAGAAGAAATTAAAAAAAAAAAAAAAAAAAAAAAAGGGAAAACCAGACAAACTGATATTGATAGACGGAGCCTCAAGCAAGCCACATGAACAACCTTATTCATTAACCCAAACCAAATGGCAAAGAAGGGAAACCAACGATGTTGCCGACGTTTTCCAAGTCGTTAAACAACGCACTTCCCGAGATTACAACGCTGGAACGCGAAACACCCTTCTTCCCCAGCTCCATGGCGTGCATGTTCAATGTAGAATAGAAGTAAGACCTCAAATGGACAGAGCAAGGCAGTAGTTTTACCCCGTTCACGGGTAGCAATGAACACTCAAGTATGGCTTTAGGCGCCCCGCTCCGTGAACATGATTGCCTAGTCAACAATGCACTCACCGCTCAGGCCGGGAGCGACGAGGGCCCTTAATACTCTTGACACGGCTCAAAAACCCGCTCGGTTTAGACTCGGGCTCTCCATAGCCGTCCGAAGTTGACCGCCTCTCTAAACCTCTCATAGGCGAGCTAGGTGTTCGAGCTCTTCCGGTGCGCTCGTTCTCTGCAATCTTGATGCTGGCGCCCTTCTTTTCATAGGCATCATCGTAGTCGTGAAAGAAGGGGTTCTTCTCACTGAGTCGACTCCTGCCACCCGCACTTTGGACCGTGATCGGCTGCCTGGGGGATAACTCGCCTGAACCACGGAAGTCATAGCGAGGCTCCGGGGACACAATTCGGCCATTGGAGTGTGGATTCGCCGAAATGCCACGAATTCGCTGCGCCAAAGACCGCTTGCGTTGAAGACCACCAGCGAACTGCGGGGCTGTACCCTCAGTCTCAGATTGACGGCGTTGAATCGCAGATCGAGACGCAGGTGCGCCTTCAAGAAAGGTGGAGGTGCCGAGACCCATGCTCTCATCACCATGCACTTGTGTAATACGCTGATTAGCGTTGAAGTCCTCCGGACGGTCTGCACCCCTTGGACGGATTCCTTCAGGTTCAAGGCCTGCCGAGCCAAAGTCCTGTGTCGCATCGGCAGTGCGACCGTGGAAAAGATTGAGGTCAATATTCTTGTTTAGAGGACCCGGCCCGCCCAGGGCGTTGTTGGTCGAATCTTCCGGAAATGCTTGCATGGGAGCCCGACCATCCTTCTTACGATTGCGGTGAGGATTGCACGCATCAAAAGGCCCATCGTGATGAAACTCTGTAAAATTGTCAGCCATTGTTTTCTGGGATGCGGCTTCAGCCATGACAACTTACGCCCTGGTCCATAAAGACCGGTGACATCAAGCTTGTCGATTAGGTCCAGGGTTTGAAGGTGCCTCTTGCTCCGCGATGAAGAACCCTTTTCGCGTCGTCTCTCGTCCTTGTGACGTGCCTCCCTCTCGCGACGCCGGCGCCTTCTCTCTTCCTGCTCCGTCTCAGCAAAGATTTTAGAGGCGCGATCCATGGCCGAAGACTCCGAGTTTCCTCGGGGTCGACGATTCTCGCGAGCACGAGAGACGTCAATGGGATCGGCAAAGATGTCGAGAGGCTCCTGAGAGGGCCTTTGTGGCCGAGCAGATGGGGGCAATCGGCCGCTCTTCTGGTCGCCGGTGGACCTGCTGGCGCTGTGATTAGGCACAGTAGGATTTCTCGTGAGGAATTGTCCTATTTGTTAAAGTCAGCAGGATGATTCAACGCCAGAAAGATCTCAGGCTTACCGTTGGGAGTCGGGCGATCGTTAAGCGTCAGATTGTCCTGCATGGCGTGAAGTCGGTCAGCAAACGGAAAAGGATGTTGTGGTCAAGTGCGGCCATTCAAAGATGAGGTGGGGTTAGGCCAATGTATCCATGGCGACCCGTCTGGAATGGAGGCCCCGCGAAAAGGAAATTGCCCCTCCGCTTGTGATCATATCAACAGGTTCCCCCCACCCCCACCGGCGCCTACAAGGATATCGACGTGGATAGAGGAAAGGATACAGAGGGCGAAAAAGGGAAACAAGACGTACAAAAAGCCCCGCCGTATTGCCCATCAAGGCGGGCTCTCGAGACGAGGCGGGATTGCCAAAAGACATGGCTCTCGTTGATGAATACGGTGGCGGTGGTCCTTGAGGAACAGAGGTGTCTGCGTCGTCGGCGAAAACATCAAGAAAAGGGTTGCGGCCGACAGGTCGAGCTGGCATATTTGAAGGAAGAGGTCCGTCCGCTGACGGCATGCGTTGGAATGTGGGCGGCGGCACCATTCGGTTGCGAAAGGGGTTATTGGAGGACAGATTCAAACCCCCAGGTGAGGGTTGCCTCTCTACAAAATCGTTCAACAGTTAGAAAGCAGCCCAAGATCCAGGTACGTCTCCGTCGATGGCGGAGGCGCCAGTCATGGACAAAAACAAATGGTGTGCCGACGAGAGCAAGCAAGACGGGTAAACGATGACCACGGAGGCGCTTGGAAGGGAGATGAGACACACCTGGAACTGCTGCCGGGGCTAGAGACATATTTATTCAACTAAGGTCTTCTTCCACCCCTGCTGTTCGAGTCACAGATTTTGGGTTGACTGCGTAAGTGGACGAGAGGGCCAATCCCGGTCGACAGAGAACTTCTGTGCGCCTTGGGTTCAACCGAGCGTGGATAAGGAGCACAATTTCGCACTGGAGGGTGTGAATAGGCAGGTAGGGATCACCAGAAAGTGTCCGTTTGAGTAGTTTTCTTTGTCGAGAAGGCTCACGCTGAAGCGAAAAGGTGAAACGCAGCGTGGGAAAGCAGCTCGGCGTCAAATGCCAATGCCTGTCAGGCGAGGGGGTTTGTGTCGCTCCAACGTCCCTTTTCGATCCAACGGGGCGGTCGGATTTTCAAGTCGCAATCCAAAAGCAGACGGCGGCAGTGTTGCCGGCACCTCGATCCGTTTTCTGTAAGAATAGTAACAGAGGTCGACCAGTAGGATAGTGATGCCGAAGATTTTGCAATCGACGAATACCGTTGTATCTGAAATGCGAGACGAATGCCGGGCGAATTGATGATTGAGCTTGGTCCCTTGTGGTGGGGGATAAATGCGAATGTAAGTTTTGTTGCAGTATTGATGGAGATGAGGAAGGGGCAAGAGGGTTCACAGAAATCGACTAAAATCGATTAATGTTCGACGGGGTCAACCCGCAACGCCCAACCAGAATAGTGGAGGGGTCTCTACTCGGTGACGAAAGGTACTGTAAGGGATCGGCGGGCGGCTCTCGTGGGTATTGGAGCAGGAAGGTCTGCCTTGCTGTTGATGGGTGCGCGCTCGCCTTTCTATTGTAGCAGAAAAGTACTCTTTCTCAGGATTTGTAACGTGGAAGTAGATTTTGGGAGGTCAAGGAACAATTAATGATGGCAAAAACCATTTACTGTGCGTTGAAGAAGGAACGTTTGCCCCAAGAAAAGATGCCAAGGAGCGATCCGAGGACTTACCAAAGTCACTTGTTCCCCCTGCTCACCTCTCTGTCACATCCTCGCACCCTTTTCATGGTGGATCCTGGACCCTTGATTTCGCGTGGGCGCGAGCGAGGGGAAAGGGGGCGAGAGGCGTCGGCCGGGTGGTCGGCGACGACGGAAGAAGGGGAAGGGGTACAGATGAATAAAGTGGGTAAAGGAGGGAACTAAAGTACCTTGGGTACGGATATTACCACGGTATACTTGTATGATCTAGTCGACTGTACCTTTGTACGTTTGATTTGCTTACAAGACAATAATTAAATCATGGGCAGCCATTGGACGATTTTGTCTTTCCTTTCCATGCTACGCTTGCCCATTATCAATTGCTTTTGCGCTGCCGATCCTACGAGTCGTGCGAGATATAAATAATGGGGACAAAAGTGCACACAAAGAGAGACCTGCGACTCCTGTCTCAACTGGCTTCAAAATAAGTTAGTTAGTGCCTTTGGCGGACTATTGAGAGACCGCCGGGCTGCCGGTCGGGTCTGATTAGCGAGTTGGCGATGGAGTCCAGCTGGCCCACAGTAGAAAGAGCCTTTTTTCGACCCGAATCGACCTCTGATCCAACTAAGTGGCTTTACTCCGGAGAGTGACCAGGAGCACCTGCTTCGGGCCCTGCCGTTCCTGCACCTCAGCACCTCTGGTACTTTAGGTACCTTCCTACTCCACAGTGGGATGCTTTCCCAGGCGGTACGGAGGTATCTTCTGTCGGATTTGGCGTCATCCCATGGCGTCTCGCTCCGCCGTTGGGAGCTCGAACTGCAGACAGGAGGTGCAAGTTCAAAAGCATGAAAGGCTCAGTCTCCATGACAATGCATTGCATTCTTCTATCCATGCCTTCATCGCTATCCATTGAGGGAGATACAAAAAAATAGTACGAAGGTAAATATCGTTCGAATCAATGGCAAAGCAAGATATCGATCGAGTGACAATCGAAACTGCCGACAAGAGTGAGAATGAGCGGCAACGTACTCCGTAGCGTAGCGATCCCTTGCGATCGCAATGATTGCGTCGCTTCCACCACCGAGCCCTAGTCTGGCGTGTCAGGGGATAAAAAACAATCACAGAACTGAGGGTGCATGCCACAAATATGTCGGATGCTTGGCAGTGGAAGGAAGTACCCTTAGGTATGCTCTCGGTTCAAGGTTACCTCATCCGTAGATCTCATGTTTCGGCTTAGAGAGGTTGACGTTGCCTTTAATCTTCCTAGATTTTCTTTTATCTCTTTACATGCTCAAGATCGTCATCGTTAACAAGGCGGGGCAGGTTGACAGTTTGGGTGATGACGACGCCGCCCATTCTGACCAAACCGCTTGCCCCAAATTACTGGGAAAGGTGCAGGTCAAGCGAATCGAAGGCGGCGTATCGATCCCGCTCTAGCAGGGAATGCAAAAAATCAAAAGAAGCAGACATCAAAGGAAAAAGGAAGAGCATGTGAAGGTCCTCAATCAATGGCGGGGCAAAAAAAGGTTCACAAGTTCAAATCTGGACCCGAATGAATCGATAGCCCTGTAATTGGCGTTCGCTGGGCTTTGTCTGGTGACGCCTCGTATTATTTCCAACGGGACGAAAAGAACCAGCCATCTTTCAAGACCAAATCGGGAAACCACCCAGGGGTAGAGCTGCCACAAAATAATGGTCCTGCCGAAAACTCATGATCTGCTTAGCATGCTCTAGATCCGCTTGTCAATTATAGAGTATCCATACAGGGTCGAGAAAGCTTGCAGGTTCCTGCCGTGACGTGACCCTTTGACTGCTTGATCCATGCTGTGTCTGAACCGTTGAAGCGAAAATCAATCTAAAGTACTTTTGTAGCTCCGTAGATTTTACCTGTACACACCTTGTTCTGGAGGCAAGAGGGTGTAATTCGCGTTCCTGAGTCGTCTTGGCTCCTCGCTCGAGTAACTTATCCGCAATCGAACAGCTCAGTTCTCCCCGCCTTTCTGAACCTTTACCGAGAATGCGACCCTTTCAGTGGACGTGAACCTGTGCTGACGCCTTCGCAGCGCCAGCACGTTTTAGGTACACTTACCACCAGGGCCCGCGCGGCACCGTCCAGCTTCGTTTTATCTGTCCGATGCTTATCGAAGTTTTGACTCGATACTCTAGATGACCTAGCATCTAGTTTCAATCTACAATGCGATACTACATCTCCCCAGGATGAACAACGAGACTTCAGCGCCATCCGGCGAGCCCGAGGCGGCAGGTGCGACAAGGCACAACGAAGTTCATTATGGCGGTTATACCCGTTTTGAGCTCGAATTGGAGGTAAAGGACTTCTTTTCTGCAAAAGCCCTGATTCTGATGCACCTGCTTATTTCCACAGTTCGTTCAATGTCTTGCCAACCCTTGGTACCTCAACCATCTCGCCACGCAGAAGCTGCTCGATAATCCCTCCTTCATTGCTTATTTGAGCTACCTACAATACTTCAGCGAGCCGAAATATACCAAGTACTTGACGTATGGTCCCTAGCTCTTGGTTGCCTGATCCGTGTACGCTGATAGAAGTTCATTATTGAAGATACCCGGGACCGACGTTAAGGGCATTGCAATTGCTCCAGCAGGAGAGTTTTAGAAGGGATATTCTGAGCCCCGAGACAGTCGCCCGACTGATTGAGGGAGGCGTTTCAGCAAGTTTGAGAAACACAAAACAAGTTGGCGCAAATGCGACATGACAGATCTGGGATCACGACCATTTGATGGCATCCAAATTGATGATATTGCATTTTCTGGCGTTCATGGATGATATCCTCGCAAAACTATGCCTATAATACTCATAACTGAATGGAAAAGTTGTAGCATCCCATTGCATGCATGATCCAATTGCCGTACGCCGCACCCACACAATAAACGCCTCGCCAAGATTTAAGTATATACCCATCATTACCAGAAACACCTTGTCTAATTCTCTTTCCACCGGTGACCGCACTTGCAACACTTTTCAGAGCGTTAGCGCCTATGTTTTATGTGCTGGTCTCATGGGAAAGGCACGTACCTTTAGGAAAGTCGTCATAGGTTCGTCTGCACTTCGAATCTGCACCATGTAGAAGTAGGCTTTGTCGCCGTCGCAATCCTGAGCTGGACATTGCGCTGTCCCAATGTTAGCAACCATTCTTGACGCCTTTTTGATCCACTTCCGGAAAAGGAACCCCTTACCATCAGTGCTGTCGACATTGTCCCAAGCGCCAGCACCGCCCATGACATCCTCCACTTCCTTTCTCTTCATCTCGGTCCTCTCAAAGTAACGATTCTTCAGCACGAACTGATAAGGGCATGTTCGACATTCCAAACGATTGATGCCGTTGGGAAACCCGTCCGAATATAACCTCGACACGGTTAAGCTATTCGAGCACGCTGGACAAACTGGCCAATCATTAGATATCGTAGATTTCTCAAATAGAAAATTTAGAAAGCTTACAGAGGAGCATTTTGGTAACCGTCGAGAGGGATACACAGGCGCTTTCAGCAAAATGAATCTTGGCAGTTGGGTTCGAATAAGAAATTTACGGAGTACTTGAGGCCCCTGCGACGAACTTTGCATAACTGAATTCTAGAGTCTACCGTAGCGGGGTATCTGTGTATCGGAGTTTATGCGCCGCTTCGCGCCGTGGATGTTTGGAGCAGCCGACAAGCAACACAGCCACCTGACAGCTAACTACCTACTAAGGATTCATATTCAACACTGCGGCTTCATTTACCAAGAGCATTAATTTCGTTATTGGATTTTTCCGCATCTTTCTCCTAAGTCCAAATCCCATTTGTGTATTCGACAACTTGCTTCTTTACTCGCATTCTCTCTGTCGTCGTGTCGCTTGTCACCACAGACCAATTCTTTCTTAAGATCCGGCTTCACGCAACTTGAAGATGTCAGACGAGGTGAGCTTGATATAAAGTTCCTTAACTATAGTCCAGCCTAGCACTTCCGACAACTAACTGTGTGCACTTTCAATTAGGGAGCATCTCCGCGAGAGCTGCTTCTCGAAGCATGCCGACGTAACAACACAGAACTGCTACATGACGTGTTCAACGACATCGCCAATGCCCTTTCTGAAAAGGGTTCGCCCTCAGAAAGAACAGCAGACCTGATAAACAATGCCAGGGATGGTATTGGCAACAACTGCCTTCACATCGCAGCAACCTACGGGAGCTGTAAGTCCCTCAGATAATATGGATCGAAAGAGCGCGAAGTAACCGGGTTAATCTTTTCGGACAGACGACGCACTAGATTTAATACTTGACCAGGAAGGCGTGGAGGTTGATCCTGTGGACCGACTGGAGAAGGATACGCCTTTACACAAATCCGTGAGGTTCGTTAACGGATTGTCGAAAGACGAATGGGATGAGGGAAAGTCTATTGTTGAGATCCTCGTGGATGCGGGTGCAGATCCAAGGTATGTCCTTCGAATTAATCGTTGATTTCCAGAGTCCTCCAGCATGCTCATTAATTTTTAGGATACGTAATAAGGCAAATTTAAAGGCCATGGATTTGGTGGATCCTCGGAATACTGAGCTGCGCTCAATGTTGCAAAGAGCAGAGTTCGCAATGACTGCTGGCGGTGATGTCGTTCAAGAAGATGATGAGGAGGACGGAGCTGGCAGTGCGAGCGATAGCGAATGATTTCACGAATTATAGATAGCGTTCAGATTTGCTTTCTTTTACGATATTAGATAGCGGGAACATCAGCAGCACATATCACCATTAAACGTAAAGAATTAAGCGGATAATAAACCCTACGATTCAAACAATCCTATTGTATAGGAGGTTTTGTCGTCTTGTAACTCCAAATCATGATGAACCGTTAGCGGTGCGGGTCCGGTTGGATCTAGCTTGCGGCCCTACGGTTCAGTCGCAGTGTCCTCGGTCCCTTGAAATCAATTTTCTAGGAGAGACGCGAGCCGCGTTCACCGCGTCGGTTGCCTGTTCCGCGACTTGCCCCGTCTTTGACTTTCCGTCAACGTACTTCCATCCACGTTGGCTTGTTAATCTTGTTAAAATACCGTCATTATTAATTGTCTCATCAAAGCGGGATAGTTATCTATGCACTAGAGTGTTCAGACTTCCGGTAGGAAATTTGTTAAGAAAACAATTTTCGCAATGGCGGGCGCGCGAAAGCGCCGTGCGGTAAGTTTGGGATGATTTGCAATCAAACCCAGACCATGCCTTCATGAGGACTGAGAACATTAGCTAATGAGATTGAATGCAGTCCCGGCAAGAAGAAGAGGATGAAGTGGCCGCCGAACTTCTGACGCAAGCCTCAACACGACGCCGGCAGCGGCGTGCATCAGATTCATCGGCTGGCGAATCCGCCGGAGAATTCGAGGAAGTGTCAATGACCCAGGGGGATGGCGGAGGAAGCTTGGAACAAATGACCAAAAATTTGGTACGGCTGGCTTTGGCATCAGAATACTCGCGGCAGCCCATACGTCGCTCCGATATCAGTGCTAAAGGTACGTGTTTTGGTTGCGAACTGTTCGATGCATCGTGCTGTTTCTTCAAAATAATCTCGGCGCCACTCATCTCACATACTTCTTTGCAAGTCTTTGACACCACTGACTGACCTTTCTCGCCGGCGAAATACAGTGCTTGGATCCCATGGTAGACAATTTAGAAATGTCTTCACAGAAGCGCAAGGCGAGCTTCGTGATAAATTTGGGATGGAGATGGTCGAACTCCCGCTCAAAGAGAAAGTGACGGTAGCTCAGCGTCGAGGTAAGCTATCTATAAGGTCTTAGTCTAAGAGGACAGTGTTGATCTACGGATTAATCACTATACTGCATCTACCCGGAAAAGGAATCGATGGCTGACGTTTAACTATAAAGCTGCCCAAAGGAGCGAAAAGACTGCAACAACAAGTAATTCCTGGATCCTGCGGTCAATCCTTCCGCCTGCTTATCGATCCAATACCACCATTTTACCGCCCCCCAAAGTCCCGACAGACTATGATGAGAGCACATACATTGCCCTTTACACCTTCATTATTTCACTGATTTCTCTAAGTGGTGGGGCAATAGCCGAAGCAAAGCTTGATAGGTACCTCAGACGCACAAATACCGATCAGTATACGCCCCTCGACAAAACCGAGAAACTGTTGGCGCAAATGTGTAAGGATGGATACCTGGTCAAAGTAAAAGATACGTCGACAGGCGAAGAGTCCATCGAATACCTAGTCGGGCCTCGTGGAAAACTTGAAGTTGGTGAAGCTGGTGTCACCGGTTTGATCAAAACCGTCTACGGTGACAGTGTCGAACCAGATGACATGGACAAAAGAATCAAAAGAAGTCTCGGTATCCAAGAAAATGCAGCCACGAGTGCTGAGAATGGCGGTGCCACCGAAATTGCACCGAACCGTGGACCCGGGAGACCAAGGCGCGCGGCAGATGAAGAAGACGATGATGGATCATATGGACGTTGAAAGAAGTAGGGATGGAACAAGTGCAAGCTCTCACTCGTGGACGGCTTCGATAACAAATTTCTCGATCTCAAGTAGGATGGTCGTTGTAATATGTTCAACAATGGACGTGTGCTGGCAGCAAGTTACACTTGCTATATTTGGAAGAAGTCTCTGTCGGCTTTGATGAATGAAGATTTCCGACATTTCCATTTGCGGTTGGCTTTGCCGCTTCGTCATTCTCGAGATGCCTCCCAACATAGATTGATGACAGCTGTCCGAGGCCTCTGATATATTTTTCAAGGAATATAGGGCCGGAGATGCTCGCTGTCTCAAACGTTGCACTGGCACGGAGCGGTTCCATCATACTCATATGAAATGTGGTACCTGAAACGTCTGTTAGGATCGCGTCTGGATTGAGCTTCGATCTTTTGCAATCCACAGTTGGGAACCATGGCAAGAGGTGCTCTTTCTGTAGGGTGAATATGGTCTCCACCGCGTGGGCAAACGGTGTTGATGGGAATGAGATATCAATTTTGAAGGGGTTGGTATGGAATCCGATATCCAACCACGCTAAGAGCGCGCGGAGAGCACTTCCTTGACTGTCTGGCTGTCTTTCCATTGAAAGCGACAAAGTGTGTTCAAGGGCACGTGTTTTGATTGTAATCTTTTTGAGAAATTGCATCGCCTCAGGGGGTATGAGAAAATTTCTCGAATGAGTGTCCCAATGGAAAACATTTGAGCTGAAGATTGCCTCAATATCCTCTGGGTGTTTCTGACAAATCTTAAGGACCTTTCGGAGAAGTATCCCTTTTGTTTGAGGGGCGGCAGGCAAATGTGCATCAAAACAGTAAATGTGGACCTCCTCTGTTGGATCCTTTAGGATCTTACGGAGGGGACGCAATTTTCCGGCCCTGGGATCTCTCATCCTGATGAAACAATTATCTAATAGCGTTGAGATAGGCAGTCTGGTGGTCCGGGGTTTGCGCTGATCCCGTCGTGTGATGAGATGGGCCGTGTCGATTTGCTTGTCAGTATTTGGCAATCAGGTTCGGAAGGATACCAGACGAGATTTAATGTAAAGTGTTTTCCTATAAAGTGAAGGTAAACAGTGATTCATGTTCAAAAGGTGTATCCTACGTATTTGGTCGCGATGTAAACAAAGATCCGGTTATGGCCGTGTCCGTTTTCGGCGATTGTGAGGATGTCCTAATGGAGAAGCAGCATCCTTAGGGCTTCCCTTTTCCAGAAATTGAGAGACTACCATAACTACACACTGGAGACGCGACGACGTTAAAGTGATATCAACTGCAATTATCCTCCATATAGATTAGAGGCCTAGAAACTCCTGCAATAGGGTAGGCTGCGCGTTCAGTATGTCTTTTGGCGGCCGATGGTTATCCGCAACAACTTGACCATGCCATTTTATCCTATGCGCTCTAAGCTCTCCTTCTAATACCTCCCATAATCAGACGTTGCCAATAACGGTCTGCTGACCTCCTAATTGATCATCCACTCAATGTCTAAAACCCATCACTGGCTCGGTGCAAATGTCCGTTACTGCCTGAAAGTTTGTACGGAGCTGTCTTGTGATACCTGGCCTACTGCATGCATTGCATAGTCTAGGGCAAGCTCTCCCGGCAATACGTTTCATCCATCATCAACCATCCTCCATGTCCCTCCCCAAGATGTCAATTATACCTCAGTCATCCCTTTCCTGTCTGCCCATCATCTACTAATGTTGAGTGGTTGTCCACGGTATCCATCATGTCGTTCACATTGCCAGAGCTTTTGAATCCCAGCCCACAGCCAGAAGACACTGGTCTCCAGGGGGGAAGAAAGTCGCCTTCGCCGCCAGCGCAAACTCCCTTACAGCGGCCGCAGCTTCCCCCGGTAGATTCGATTCGATTGGAAAATGCGCAGAGGGTAAATCATAGACCTGGCGATAACAACAACTTTATCGCATCGGCGCATGATGCTGCCGACGCGCTCGCGTATCTGGCTAACTCCGCTGGCCCACCCTTGCCGCGTGTTGGATCGCCTGGAAGATTAGGACCAAATTCCGTTCTGGAAAATCCAAAGCATTACGTCTCCCAAGATTGTCAGGAAAAGCTTCCTGGAGATTCTTTCAGACCGATCGCAGCACCTGTCGAACCATCACCGCCACACGAACCGCGCCGGGCTTCGACTTTATCGACGTTAGACCAGTACCACCACCGAAACCATTCCTCTGCAGAGCAGCTAGAACAGCGGAGACACGCCATTGAATTGAGCTCAGAATTACCTCCGCCTAGACTGCCTCCTATTCGGCCGACATTCTTTTCTACCCTGGATGCTCGAATGCCTGAGCAACCTTCTGAGCGAACCGCTTCACCCCGAAATGAAGACAACCCGCCCCAAACATCAGCCTTTGCTGATGCCACAATGTCGGACGCAACTCCGAAGCGGGAGACGCCTGGAAGTGACGCAATAGACAATGAAAACAAAAATGAGGCATCGAGGGAAGCCGCGAAAGAAGCAAAGGCTGAAGTCGGTGCACCGACACCCGGCCAACTTGCCCCAGACGCACGGGAGCCTACTTATACCCACACTGAGCCTGTCACTGCTCAGATACGCCAGCCTTCCCCGGGGCCTTTACCCACGCTTCAAGAACCTTCTATTACATCACCTCCCTCGGTCCAGGTAAAGGCAGAACCCTCTGCCACTCCAAGGGAGCCTTCTCCATCCTCACCTCTCCCTCCTGCTGTCAAGGAAAGCAAGCCATCAGGACAAGATTTGGGCATGGAACAATTGTCTGTACCTGGGGAAGCAGGTGAAGTCAAGGACGAAGGCAGTATCAAAGCGTCATCGACTCGTGGCTCAACTCCGGCTCAGAGTGCCATTGGGACGACAGGCTCAACGAAACAGGGCGAAAGTAAGAAGCGTGCTGCTCCAAAGTCGACGTCAAAGAAAGGAACAGCGTCAACTATAAAGAAGCCCGCAGCAAAAAAGCGTCGTCTATCCACCGAGAGTGTCGAGGGGGGCCGGTCAAGTAAACGTTCTGCAACTCCGGCAAGCTCTCGTGCCTCCAAAGGTCCAGCCAATCGCAAGTATTCCGCCACGCCGCTTGCCAGTTCCCCGGGGCCAGACGAAGAAGATGTAGAGGATGACGGCCAAATCTTCTGCATCTGTCGGAAGCCTGATAACCATACATGGATGATTGCTTGCGATGGCGGGTGTGACGATTGGTTTCACGGGAAATGCGTAAAGATCAATGAGGAAGATGGAGATTTGATTGACAGATATGTTTGTATGCGCTACCATTCCCGATTCCTCTCATCCTCATCTCGATTTTGACACTGACCTATATTGCGCCAAAGGTCCTAACTGCTCGGAAGCTGGGTACGGACATACCAGCTGGAAGCCCATGTGTCGCCTCAATGGATGTCGACAGCCAGCTCGGCTTAGCAAAAACAATCTTTCAAAATATTGTTCCGACGAGCATGGCCAAGAGTTTATGCGTCAGAGCATGCTTCGAATCAAACCAGACCTGTCAAGCACCACATCCTCCAAGGGCAAACGATCTCGGGCGGGCGCCGCAGGGGCAGCAACAGCAACAGCAGCAGCGTCATCACATAATGCGGCTCATCATGAGACGATCGAGGCTGAGACCAAAGGCGGCGTGCTTAAGCCCTCTGAAATAAGCACATTAGTGAAATCCGCCACATCGATAGACACTTTCCGCCGTCTAGGGGAGAGCATTCTGCCATTATCCCCACCCGCAACCAACACCAGTCCTCACTCCTCTCCACCCCCTCGTTCCTCTGCCTCAGCAGCAGCAGCTGCTGCTGCTGCGACCGTGGCAGCGGTAGCGCCACCAACCCTCGCTACACCGAGTCTCGAACTCACGCCCCCTGAAGCTCTTCAACTGTCGCACATTTCCGCGCAAAAGGCATCCCTCAAAGACCGACGCTTGGCACTACAAGACCGCGAACGTTTTACCCATCTCATCAAAGACGCTGCACGACGCCATCTGGAAACCACTCATGGCGGCCAGAAAGCTGCCAAGGATCTATGCGGTTACGACCCCCGCCTCGCCTGGTCCGATGACGAGTTTGACGAATGGCGTCTCTCCGAAGCAGGGCGCCGTGCATTCTCCACGGATATTATTGACGAGGAGCCGCGAGCCAATGAGGCCGAGCCCGGTGCTGGTACTGGTCCCGATGCCGATGGGCCTGTCATGGATGGCATAGAGACGAATGCTGTTTCCTCCAATCCAGAATCTGCTCCTGCAGCTCCCGCCGCCTCCAACACCACCACCACCAACCCTTATGATCGTATATGCACTCGAAAACGCTGCGAGCGGCACAAACAATGGCTCAAAGTCGCAATGCAGGATCTCAGATTCGAAGAGGCAAATCTCGCAGATGACATGCGCAGGCTGGAACGCGAAGAAGGCGGTATTCGTGAACGAGCTGCCTTGCGTGCTCTCGGGGCTGGCGCGGGCGCTAATCCCAAGGAGGGCAACGTCGAGGTTGTTGGTTAGATGCTCTGTTGTTGTTGTTGTTGTTGTTGCTGCTGCTGCTGCTGCTGCTGCTGCTGTCGTCGTCGTCGTGTACGTCCTGTCTTATTGTGTTATTGTGTATTAATATTTGCTTTGCGTGGCGTTTATGTGCATTGTTTGGTGTGGTGTGGATTTTTCCCATGGGCTTTTAGTCTCGACATGCAATTACTCCAAAAGTTTCTTTTTTTTCTTATTTCTTGAAAATGGCACAGTACGGATGGGTTTGGGTTTGGGGAATGGATATCTATTTGAATTATGGAAAAAGTTTCTTCATCAGTGGCGTAAAATGAAGCACGTTACTCTCAGTATTAGTACTCCACAAATAAAACGTACAGAAATGATTTGATATTCTCCTAGCCCACGTCCATGCAACACATGGCTCAGTACGACAGGGTACAAGTTGCTATGCATTCATTCCCCATCATAACACCTGTCAAGTCAAATTCAAATCCCAGCAGCCTGATAAAAGTCATTAATGCCCGCACGCACCCCTTGTTCAAATTCCCAGACAAAAGGTCCTGCTTGACCAGACTCGAGAATCCGTTTCCGCACCCACACGTCGAGGCAGCCAATCTTGTCTGCGCCGAGGCCAGATAACCCAAGGCCCTCTCGCGCCTGGAAGAAGACCATGGCGTCTGAGAATCCCACGTCCCAGCCGGCTGCGTACCGCCAAAACTCAAACGTCTGGCCTGGCGCAGCGTTGTGCCAGTAGTTCTCGTGGCCGGTGACGGAAGCGTCTCGTCGGCTCTGGCGCTGAGACTGAGCGGTGCCGATGCGCGACTGGACGTCTTTAACGGCGAGTAGCAGATTCGGCGGAGGTGTAATGGCCGAAGAGTTGGTTTGTTGTACGAACCCCCATTCGCCGCCGTCCATCCAGTCCTGCTCAGTGCTCATGTTAGCTTATGTTTCTTGCTATACAAAATTTGAGTAGAATGCACTTCTATAGGCCGAAAAAATGAAAATGAAAATAAGAGGAAATAACATGAATCATGTATAAGGGGAAGAAAGGACTTGCCATTTTATATGTCCAAAAGTAGCTTCCACCAGCCTTTTGCTGCCAAGTTTGAGACTCGACATGGCCAAACTGCTCAACGAGCCCTGGCCGATCGGCGTCGCTGACTTTGGCCCACGTCTGCCCGTCCATGACACAGCTGTATTCTCCTACAATGACCTGCGCGGCGCCGTGAGTGAAGACATCGCCTTGCTTGCCGTTCAATTCGCCCAGCTCTTGGGGCACGCCGGCGATAATCTGCTGTGGGGTCTCGGCCTTGTTTGCGTCAGAAAAGCAGTAATACTTGTGGGTATCCACGATGATGGGGTTCGTGAAACCCGCAGCCAAGGTGTTTTTGGTGTCGCAATAGGAGACGGCCTGTCTCAGGTTCCAAGCGTCGCTGATGTACAAGGGCATGGTGTTGTCCACGTGCAGGATGGCGCCAATGACGCTGTCATACCAGGCGTACATGCCCGGAGCGTCCCAAATGGCTTCGTTACACAGCTGCAGTCCGACCACTCCGTCCATGGCCCTCGCTTCTTGGGCCATGAAAACTAGGCATTGCTGTGCAAGTGAAAGGTTGCCGCTGTTTCCCCATAGATCTGCCTTGCCGCTGCTGGTGCCGGAGTGGGCGTCCCCATTCGCTCCTCCGGGGAGAGCATGCAGGTCCAGCAAGACTCCGATACCATGGGAACGGGCTCGCGCAACAAAGGTCTTCACCGCATTCCATGCATTCACGTACACTTGGGCTGGCGCTCCAGCAAAAGGCGTGTTATTGGTAAAGGCTGGCCCAAGTGTAAAGTATCCTATGGGAAGTCGTATGGTAGTGCCTTGATAACTATTAGCAATCAAACTTATATTGGCAGTTCCTTCTCATGTTACGCAAGTGGTCCAAGTCATCTCAATGTTTTCGGATGTATACGAGAGTCTTGTCAGGTAGTTGAATCAGGTAGTCCTTACAATGAGCAGTGTTCACGAGCCAGCTAAAATCTGAATCTGAAACCGCATTGGACCAGTGGTTTTCCCATTTTGCTCGAGTTGCATCAAGTCCTTGACTCTTCAAGCATCTGTGAGTTACTGTGTCAATCTTTATATATTTGGTTGTTTCTTTTGGGGCGGCTCAAAATATGAAGTGCAAAATGGTGCAGTCTTACGCGTTCACGGCGTCGAGTTCGCTTCCCCCTGCAGCTCCCTCGACGAACATGCTGGGCGTCAGCCATTGCTCCAGAACAAAGATACTGCCAAGATTTGTCCCGTGATGATAGCGGTATCGTAGAATATCAGTAGGGGTCGGAGGCTGGATCCTGGAAGGCGTATCTTGTTGGTGGATAATCTGCTGTTGTGCTTGGTTCCCTTGGGAAGAAGGAAACTGGGACTGCACATCACGTAAAGAGGCTTTGGCTTTTTTAATGAAGCTCTTCATTCTGACACTGTCGAATATCGAAACTCAAGGTTGAAAACTGCTCCAAATAATAATAATGCTCTGCAAAAAATGGAGGTTGAAAACAAGAAAACCACAATCTATTTCAGCTATAGGTAGTATTTATCTGCAAGGGCGACGAAAGATTCGCGACGATTTGCGATCGTCAGCAGGTAGAGCAGTTGCGGATGTGGAAGGGCATGACTGGACAAGACACGAGTCATTCATTGGCTTGGTCAGTCGATGGATTGCCAGCTGCCAAGAGGACGACCAACCCCAGATCTTGTGACGTAGCGAGAATATAAATGCACTGGCAACCTTGGATTGGAGGGGAAGATGGCGATCCCTCGTGCGAGAAGGGAACGGTCAGCTTGAAGACAAAACCCTGAAGAATCAATAATTGAAACTCTATCTGAGCACATTAATGATCTTCCCTAACTCATAGTGATGCAAAATATGGTTGGTAGAGATGGTTTCTGCAGTACAATGATATCGCGCTAAACTGAAATTGCACACGGGATAGGTCACGCCTATCGATAAGAGCTATATCCTGTCCGTCAATATAATAACCACCAAATACAAATGAATAATGACAGCCCCAACAACATCGCCGTAGAACGCCCTCTGCTAATGCCTCTTGCAGATGGATGCTTTATATCAGACAAAGAAAATTGATGGGTAAAAGGTCAGCAAAAGATGGTCAAGGGCACTAAAATGATACATCATGTTGAAACATTTTGTCGCAACGTGGCCGTCATCCCCCACATAACGAGCAAATTTACTGCATCTCCACCTCCATTTCGGGCCGAGGAGGGCCGGGGCTCCTAGAGCCTCGTGGGCCTCGTCCCTTACCGCTCAGGGTCAGCCCTGACAATCCACTCCCGAGACTGGCCACACGGTTTGATGATCGCATACTGGGTGCACCAATGTCGGGCACACCAGCACCTAAGCTCGTTTCTGATGTTTCAACGCCAGTCAAAACACCAGGCGAACTTCTAACAGAGTTAAACGTCGGCCCATTCATCTCCGCATCGGTACGGCCAAAAACTTCGTTCCACCACCGAACCTCGTTGACCCGGGGCAGGAGCAATCTTTCGTGGCCCTTCTCCCTATCGTCAATAAGAGGGTCGTAATTTTCATTTATAAATTGCGCTTTTCGGGCTAGAAAATAGTCCCACACGCTCCTTGTTCTTTCCTTGACCTTGGCCTCCACGCGATCCTTTTCATTGTTGTAGAGAAACGTGCCATATTGGCACGAATACAGGTGATACAAAAGCCTGCGAAGAAACCGCTCGTTGAATTCAAAACGTGTCGGATACTGGTACAGGAGTTGGTACGTTGCATCAAGGAATTGGTGGAAAACGGGGCTGGTTTCCTTCACTTTGGTGACCTCTCTGTCGCCTTGTGCACCTTCTTTGGCGGTTGCGTTTCGTTTCCTCGAAGAAGGTGACACGTCAAAGGGCGTCATTTCGCCGTCGGACTCGGCGAGAGAATCGCGGCTCGCGTTGTCTTTGTTGAAGAATCCCTTGGCACTTAGAAGAGCATTCTCAAATGCATTTCCTCCTCCACTGGGGTTGAGACCGCTTCCGCTCCCTGCGCTTCCAACCCCCCCGAGCCTTTCATTTTCGATGACGAACCATTTCTCGCTGTTGAGAAATCCAGATCGGTGACGAAACATATGCCCAAATGAAAGCCAGTCCTTCTCCACAAGAACTATGAAGCCTTCAAGTGTTCGATAATACGGGTCTAAACAGAGTTGGCTCAGAGAGCTGAGCTGACTAGTTCGATCCCAACCATCCGAGCAGTGAATCAAAACATGCGAATGTTGGAGCGCTATCTGTCTCGCAATCAACGCAGCCCCTTCTAGCATGCTTGTAATATGTTTGAGCCAACCGCTTCTGGCAAGCTGCTCACGGTTGGGAGGCAGAGGAGTGAGATCGGAATCTTTCAGTGCATCCATTACTTTATTCAAAGAATCGCGCATGACATGGATGTTGTCAATTCCCAAATATGCCTTTGCCGCAAACGGATAGTGATCCATGTTCTCCGAGCCTAGTCCGACAGCCTGCATCGCATAAGCGTTGACAGTGGGCCGAGCATCGACAATTAAGTTATGCTGTTGAGCCCCATAGGTCCGATGTTCACTTGAGCCAGACCCTGCGCTCGCCCGCCATAGGACCTCATCCTCCAGAGCCTCTGTGTCGGTCATACTATTCTCCAGGCTAGCATTGCCAGCTTCCACTTGGCTCGGCTCAGGGCTCGAGTCGAATTCAGTCTGGGAGGACTGCGTAGATAAGATTCGAGGCTTCGAGCTTGCAAATATAGCTGCAACAAGCTTTTCATCCTGAATGCTCCGGTTGCCTCGAACTCCCACAAGAGGCTGAGAGCTGCGCGTTATAGTGCAATTGTTTATAGGATGGAGGTAGGTCAGTACTGGTATTCGAACCCTCGAGCGATATTTCCCAGCATAATTGAGCACATTATCAGATATCGTTGCTGGCACCGGCAGGAGTGCTGGGTACGTTGGTGAATACTATTGTCCACTCAGTCAATTTCTGGCTTTCAGGTAATATCTTTTCTGTTTTTCCAAAGAAAAAAAGCTTACTTGGTAATCAGTGTTGATGTGCGATATCCTCCAGCCCGCGCCTGGGGCTTCCTCGGTGACTCCCATTCTTTGCCATTCTTTCACAGGGTCGTACACATCCCAACCGTTGACATGCTTCTCAGGGGACTGAGGCCTGTAGCTAAATGCGTAGAGCTTCTCTATGCGGCCGAGCTTGCATGTTAGAGATCGGATTGTCTCATAAGCGTCCCTCGCAGGCCGTTCGTCTAAGAAATGGAAAGCAACGAAGACAAAGTCACGGCATCGCAATCTGATTGAAGGCTGTTGGTGGGACGCTGTAGGAGCAGGCCTATATGTGCATGACGCTATCATAGGATAGGTTATCCATAATTCTTTGGGCCGTATCTTCTGCGGAATACCCGAAGCATCTTCAGTGGGGGATGCGGGGATGTGACTAAATATGAGGTGGTGAGGCGTGAGGTGCAGAGTTCCTTGCAATGTAATGCCGCGGCGGATGATGTTAACATCATCAACCTGTAAAGCCCATCAGACTCTCTTGCGCCTATGCAGCGTATCAAACAATGTCCTACCTTGGAAATCCGTATCTTATCCATGGCCCAGTTGACGAAGATTCTGCCCAACTGCTAATCAACACCCAAAGAGAATCGGTCGAAACGATGATTAGCTAGTACATTGTAGCAGTTCTAATGGTTATCATAGGTGAAAATCAAATCTCCTCTCGAGTTAGTCTATATCATTGATATTTCTCTTGTTGACATGTGGGATGACGGCGAGGTATGATGCGACCCAAATCGGACACGCATTGTACGCCCGGCAACTCCCGCCGATATCAATCCGTGCCATACCTATCGTGGATGGTTACGTATCTTGCCGACAGACAGTGATTACATAAGACGATACTACCTACCTAGAGGTACATGGGCCAGGTTGATTCGCGAAGGGTACAGAGGTACTTGGAGGCTCGGGGTCTTTGCCAACACACAAAGAAGTGCAAAGTGTAAAATAATATTGAAAAGCTCGCTTAACTGCCAGTCCTAGCCCTACTCCCCACGTACAGTTTCGCCTGACCTTCAATCGCCAACCGGTCAGGTAACGCAGCGACCAGCCCCATCGACAAACGACAACCCGTAAATTGGACCTCATCGGCAGGTGCAATAGTTCGACAACATCGCAAATATGGCTGCCGTTCAGGGAGGTGCTATGTAGGTTATATGAAATCGATGCCGCCTGTGGGAATGACGGTGCTAACATTATCTCAACAGCTCGAAGCGCAGAAAGTTCGTCGCAGGTACGAAACCCAACACCTATATCCAACCCCAACACCCATTTTATGCCGATTATCACCCCGAAAACGAGTTATCTGAGGGCCAGTAAAGAGGAGGATTTATGTTTAGCTTGGATTACGACTTCGTTTGGCAAGCGGGATGAAAGGGTCAAATGGTCTAAAAGAACTCGGGCAACAAGAATGGCGCGCGCAATAGACGAAGCGCCAGTATCATGAAATGACATGATTGTCGAACAAACGCTGATATTTTGCTACTGTAGACGGTGTTTTCTACGCCGAGCTGAACGAGTTCTTCCAGCGCGAGCTGGCTGAGGAGGGTTACTCGGGCGTTGAGGTCCGCGTTACCCCGACTGTCACGGACATCAGTAAGACTTCTCGAAACCAGCGGTCATATTAGCAGGAAACTCATATTCGTTGCCAGTCATCCGTGCCACCCACACCCAGGAGGTTCTCGGAGAGCAGGGTCGCCGCATCCGTGAGCTCACCTCTCTCATCCAAAAGCGATTCAAGTTCCCCGAGAACTCCGTCTCGCTCTATGCCGCCAAGGTCCAGAACCGTGGTCTGTCCGCTGTCGCTCAGTGCGAGTCCCTCCGCTACAAGCTTCTTAACGGTCTTGCTGTGAGAAGAGCATGCTATGGTGTCCTCCGTTTCATCATGGAGAGCGGTGCCAAGGGCTGCGAGGTCGTCGTTTCTGGCAAGCTCCGTGCTGCCCGTGCCAAGAGCATGAAGTTCACTGTATGTTATAACAGATGAAGCAATGGCTATGCCAGGAAATTTTCTGACGCGCGGATTCAAATAGGACGGTTTCATGATCCACTCCGGTCGTCCCGCTCACGACTTCATCGACTCTGCCACTCGTCACGTTCTCCTCCGCCAGGGTGTCCTCGGTATCAAGGTCAAGATCATGCGTGGCTCTGACCCCGAGGGCAAGTCCGGCCCCCAGAAGTCTCTTCCCGATGCCGTCACTATCATCGAGCCCAAGGAGGAGCAGGTTGTCGTCCAGCCCATGAGCCAGGACTACGGTGCCAAGGCTCTGGCCGCCCAGCAGGCTGCTGAGCAGCAGCGTCTTGCTGAGCAGCAGGAGCAGTCCGCTCAGGGTGGTGAGCCGGCGCAGCAGGAGTAAAATATAACGAAATAGATAAGAGGGCTCTTGTTGTTGGGCTCAAATATTCTGTACCTTTAGGCCGAGTATCAAAAAAGGCTTTTCTCGGATCAACAAGGCGTGTGATTTAGTGGGCTCCAAGAGCATTTCCATTCGAATTGATATTCATGAGTGATAAAAAAACTCAAATTTACTTCGCCTTTGGATATTTGTCGTAGTGTGAAATTACGTACACAGGCTGAACCTTTTGTAGCATCATTTAAATGCCACTAGCTCCCTCAAGATCCACAGGTTTGAATCGATCGGCATGAAACAGAAGGGCAGTAATAAAACCAAAGAGATTCAAATGAGAACAGACATTTATTCCGGGTCTAGCTCTAGGGAGAAGTATTCATTGCATCTGCAACGCTGTCTGCAGAAACCGTAGCAAAATACCTCACATCCACATCATCGTCCTGCTGCAACTTCTCCAAATTCGGGAGGATCCGCTCCTGAATCAGCTCCTGGCCTCTGGGTGAGGGGGTAGCAGTCTCCCCACTCTTCTCAATGGCGAGAATAGTTCCTTGAGCTGGCAATCTTCTGAGGACGCCAATCAGAACGCCGTAGGATTTGGCAACATTGAATCGGATGTTGGGAATATCATCAGAAACAAGCTTGTCCATCATTGGAAGAATCGACTTGTCAATAACATCGAGACTGACAGCGGGTGCTAGTGTCTGCTAAAGTATCAGCGACCATCCCGGTCACAACACAAGGGATGGATAGGGGTAGGACTTACAGAGATCGCAAAACAGGTAGTCATTCGGTAAAGATAGTTGGGATGTTGGCCCATTGCCATGACCTTGGGGATAATCGCCTCATTCGCCCATTCAACGCCGAACACTTCGGTCAATTTCTTCAGGTTCTGAGTGGCTGCTTCTCGGATGCTGAAGACAGTATCACCCAGCCAGCTCATGCAAAGGTTGCTTAGTTTCTCATCAAAAAACTTCACGCCCAACTGGCTGGCCAGAAGTGGGATATATTCAATTATTGCCAGCCGCACACGCCACTGTTTGTCCTCGGCAAGTTGGACAATGGCAGGCAGGAGCGACTGAGAAAGAAGGTCGATGCCAATGACTGGAACAATCAGCATCCGGAAAAGAAAGTCATAGACACAACTTACCGTTGTTGACGAGTTCGAGCTTTGAAATGATATGTAACCGGACGTCAGGGAATTCATCCTTCAACATTTGCAAGAACATAGGAAGCAGATGGGAAATAGTTCTATGATCGTCAGCGCGAGTAAGAAAACAAATGATAAAGAACAGCTCACTCTTCTTTGCCGAGGAGAGGGGCCAATCCGCTGATCTGCGTACCAAGCGCAGCACGAACATGTTGAGAAGAATCTGAAACCAGATCCTCTACACTCGTCATAATCTCGTTGAGGAGAGTCTCTCTATCGAGAAGGCCACAGAATCCTGTCATGAGTTAGCTACTTATCTCGGCCATTTCACAATTGAAGAAAAATGAGAAAACAAACCTGGGATTTGGCCAGCAATGGCCGTTCGCACTTCAGCTTCAGTATCTTTCAGAAGCTTCACAAATGCCGGTACAAGGTCTCGGTTCACGACCTCCTCGTCGACAGCTTTGGCAATCTGTATAGAGAAACACTCATCAATAGAATTCAGTACTCATTGGCGCACCCAAGCATACCTTCTCAAATCGGTCGGCCACCATATACCTGACCCTCCAGCTCTTGTCTTCAAACAGATTCCGCAAGGCCGTCAATAACACGCCATGACTGGATTGTTGCTCTTTAGGCACCACTTCCGCAATTGCTATTAAAATATCAACGGTCAAGAGCCGTACACTATCTTGATCATCGCTAGCTAGATGTTGGAAGAGAGGAATCATCTCCTCAATCACAATCGTTGCTGGCATCGCTTTCACGAACTTTGCCAGGTTGTTTGCAGCTTGTCGACGAACCATGGGAGTCTCATCATGGACTAGATGGCCAAACTGTGTACGGAGAGCTTCTTGAGAAGGCGGCGTAGCCTTCGAGTAAGGCACGTTGTACAGGCCGGTAGCCGATATTTTTGATGTAAACCAGTCTGCCTTGGACAGCCGAACGGTTAAAGGGATAAAGTGCTCTTCGACCTGCTCTTGGGACAATTGCTCGCAAATCTTGTTCAAAGAGTCGACGGCCTATTCATTCGTTAATGGCTACCAATGCGCTGTTTCGAGAGGCTAATATACCTTTTCCCGGACCAACGGCTCTTCAATTGCCGCAAGGTTCTCCAAGGGAGACAACAGGACCTGCCCATACTCCGGTCCGCCCACGTACTCAATAAAGTTTCCTAATTCCTCGCTGAGGGCGGTGAGCACCTCATCCTCATCCTCAACCGATTCTGCAGTGAAATAACTTAGCGCTAGTGTAGACAACTGGTTCCCAGGCTTGTGTAAACTAACCGTCCAGGAAGGGGATGAGCTCATCCCTGGTGCGTTCGGCTCCAAGGGCCAACGCAATAGTAGAGAGGCGATGAATAGCATTCAGGCGGAGCAGTACGTCATCATGCTATGAGAGATTGTTAGCAATTCATCCGGTCATTGCAAATTTTCTACCAAAACAACGAGGAAAAGGTACCTTGAGCTCATCAATGAGGACAGCGATAGGAAGGAGCTCATCCGTCTGAGTTTGGTTCTCCATTGTGCTCGGCTACTTCTTAAATGCAATTCTCCTTCAAATTTTCGTAATTGAAATAAGAACGGTTAGCTGTCACCTCGCTGATGACAGAATACCGTGTGGGGGTATCAAGGCCCAAAGGGTCTACTTCTGACGCCACGACAGGCGGGAGCTCTGATTCCGACTACTTCTGCAGCGTAAGTGTCAGCAATATAATATCATACGAGTTGAATAGAAATCACGACTTCTATGGCACTGAAAGAAGATAGAGTCACCAACTTTCACAGCCAAATCTATACGCTCTGCTGGATTGCGGGGCGTTCAGGGCTTTGGGGATGGCAAGTTGGAGATCAAGACAATGAGTGCAAGAGAAGCACAACCCACCTCCAGGAGAGTTTCGACCAAAGGGATCCACCAAAGCAGTAGACGAGAATTTAGGAAAAGTTGGAAGCTGACAGGCTCAAAGATGAAATGGTTGGTTGTGTGCGTGAGTGCGTATTTCGGGGGTGCGTTATGATGGAGCTTGGCACGGGCAATCGCGACGGTTGAGTCAAGCCACAAAGTTGAGATGGTGAAGTGGTTCACATATGTGGCTGGTTACGGCCTTTTAGCGAGGCTGTGGCTTGGATCTCAAAATTCCCCCATGGCGGCTCTGAATGACTCCTCCGATCCCGCAATTAGAGGAACCCCGCCTCGAACGTTCTTCATTGTCTACGTGGAATACTTCATAAGTCGGGCATACTTAATTAAGTGCCCGCACAGAAAGCACCAAACTACAGATCGCAACATTTGGTTGAGGGCGGCAGCAAGATGCCCACCATCACCGTTGACAAGACCGAGCTGTTTAAGGCTCTCGGGCAGGAGTGAGTCTTGCGCTGGGAGAAATTTCCTCTGAGATTTTGAACCAATTAATTGACTTGAATAGGTATACCACGCAAGAATTTGACGAGCTATGCTTCGAATTCGGTATATAATTATTTCCCTTCTCACTTTTGAAGCGCCTTACTGACATTGAAAAAGGTATCGAACTTGATGAAGATGTACGTCTTCTCTGACATGCCTACCTTCAAGTCTAACTGATGTGCAGACCACGGACCAACCTCGCCCGATCGTCGATGGCAAGCAAGAGCCGCCGCAGCTCAAGATTGAAATCCCCGCAAACCGGTCAGAGTCCACATGCGCAATTCGATTATACTAGTAACTGAGACTTGGAGTAGATATGATATGCTCTGTTTCGAGGGGATTGCCCTCATGCTCAACATTTTCCGTGGAAGAGCGCCAGCACCCAAATATCAGCTCGTTGCGCCACCCAACGGTGAGATGCAGACGATCGTCGTCGACCAAGAGGTAACTCATGTCGTCCGCCAAAAATCTCAGACAAGGCTAATTCTAATCTGTCCAGACGACGAGAATAAGGCCATATGTTTCTGCCGCTGTCTTGCGTGGCATTGAATTCACGCCCGGGCGTTATGAATCGTTCATTGCTTTGCAAGATAAACTGCACCAAAATCTTGCCCGTCAACGCACTCTAGTCTCAATCGGAACGCACGATCTCGACACGATTAAGGGTCCTTTCAGTTATGAGGCTTTGGCCCCGGAGCAAATAAACTTCGTTCCACTGAACCAGACGCAGAATATGAATGGTGCTGAATTGATGAAGTTCTATGAGGTACGGAGTAATGAGTCAGAGAGCCTGAAATTATTATTCTAACTCATCGGCAGAATGACAAGCACCTGGGCAAATACCTTCATATTATCCGCGACTCGCCTGTTTACCCAGTCATCTACGATGCCAACCGGACTGTATGCTCTCTGCCGCCCATCATAAATGGAGACCATTCAAAGATCAGAATGAGCACCAAGAACGTTCTCATTGAAATTACCGCGCTGGATAAGACCAAAGTAGAGGTTGTCAACAATATTCTTGTCGCCATGTTCTCTCAGTACACGGAGCAACAGTTCACGTAAGTGTATTGGTCCATGCTTCTGTTGGTTCGAGCTCTGACGTAGAAAACAGGGTCGAACCAGTTAAGATTATCTCAAAGCACAACAATGAGACTCGCGAAACACCAAATCTCACGCCAAGAGAGACACAGGCAGAGCTCTCTTACATCAACGAGTGCTGCGGCTTGTCTCTTACTGCCGAGGAGGTCTGCAAATTGCTTGAGAAGATGTCATATCACGCCTCACCGTCGAAATCTTCGCCCGATCTCATTGACGTTCACATCCCGCCCACTCGTGCCGATGTACTTCATCAATGCGATATTATGGAGGATGTGGCAATCGCTTATGGTTTCAACAAGCTGCCACGCTCCTTCCCCAACAAGTCAGCTACGGTTGGTCAGCCGCTTATGATCAACAAACTCTCTGATATTGTTCGTGTTGAGGCTGCAATGGCCGGATGGTCAGAAGTGATGCCCCTTATTCTCTGCTCGCATGATGAGAACTTTGCCTGGCTGAACCGCAAAGATGACGGAACAACAGCTGTCAAACTCGCAAACCCCAAGACGATGGAGTACCAGGTCGTGCGCACGTCGCTTTTGCCTGGCCTCCTGAAGACTATCAGAGAGAACAAACACCACAGTGTTCCTATCAAGGTCTTTGAAGTCAGCGATGTTGCCTTCAAGGATGAGTCTCTTGAGAGAAAGAGTAGGAATGAGCGCCACTTTGCCGCAGCTTGGTATGGAAAGACTAGTGGATTCGAGATTGTTCACGGGTTGCTCGATCGAATCATGTTGATGCTTAAGAGTGCTTTCATTACCCACGAGGATGGACTCGAAAGAACAGGAACTGTTGACGGCTACTGGATTGAAGAGGTTCAAGGTACGTGCACAGTCTCCTGTGGACCTGGCAATGACTAGTCTAATGCTTCTGCAGATTCTACCTTCTTCCCCGGACACTCCGCCTCAATCCATTTGCGCGTCAATGGAAAGGACCGTGTAATTGGTGTTTTCGGCATTCTTCACCCGACGGTGCTCGAAAACTTTGAACTTAGGTATGTTGGATACCTTGTGCACTGTCATCTAGAATCCTGAAAATTGGCTAATTTCTCCCTTCAGATATCCCGTCAGCACATTGGAATTGAACTTAGAGGTTTTCCTATAGATGATTTTCAAAAGCGAACATAGACTAGTATGATCTAAAAATTATGAATATCCTTGAACGAAACGACAGTCTTGGTAGATAAAATATAAAGCAAAATACTGTCGCGTGCCATTCGATTGATACCTGATATAATATTGCGTGACATCTCTTTTACGTAGGAGCCGAGAAAGCTTTAGTTCTCACATAATTTCCTTGTCCTTTTCATATTATCCTTTTACAAATGCAATTGTTCTATCAAATTGATTTTCCCTTATGGTAACTAAATTATGCAAAGAACAATATGCAAATTAATCTTTAAATTCCCGTATATATTTCTATTTTTTTTTTTTTTGTGTTTTTTATTAAACCATATATATATGTTTTTCAAACACTTGAAATATTTAAAAATCAGTGATTCAACGATCAGACCATCCCAATTGTGCGGGGTTTCGGGGTAAATAAATATATTGCGCTGGTTGTGAGCCGCGATGTGAACCGCTCCCGCTCCAAGCATAGTATATAGCGGGCTTGTCGGCGCTCGGTACTAGCCACAAGGAGGTACGGATAGCTTCTTTAACTATCCGTGACACTTAAACTCACGCCTGAACACCACAGGGCGAGATATTCATAATCTAGTGTCTGGATATCCATACTCGGTAAATCGAGGTTTACATCTGCCTTCGCCCTGTCGCTCGCTATATCTCTCTTCTGTCCGGAAGTAAAGGAAGGGTCTACCAGTTGCTCCGAAACAATCATTACATTATGGCCGCCGAGCACCTCGACCCCAGCGAGCTAGGCACGAGGAAATAGTACGTTGACAAGTTTACTTTTTTTTCGCTATATTCCTGAGAAACATCTGTCTTTAGGTCTTCATGTCGTATAATCGCATAGAGGCGTAGTCGCATAGACAGACTAGCTCTCTACAATGGCTTTCTTTTTCTCTTCCCTTCCCTTCCCTTCCCTTCAGGACAGAATCACGGAAATAAGAGAAAAAGAAATAAAACGAAAGGGAACACCAAAAAAAGAGATCCAAAAAGAAAAGAGAAAAAACCAAGCTGACTATGGAACTTTCTAAAATAGCTGGGACGATGCTTACGTTACCGAACTGTCCAATTTCGAAAACAATCCTTCTGACGAAGGCACGATCTGGTTCTCGGATTCCGGCGCCGAGGAGAAGATTTTAGAGTATCTGACCGAGGAGCTGTGTCTGGACACGACTTCGACGAGCTTTCTCGACTTGGGCACGGGCAATGGGCATCTGCTCTTTATGTTGCGCGAGGACGGCGAATTCAACGGTCGAATGATCGGCGTGGATTATTCGCTGCCGAGCGTGCAGTTGGCGCGAACGATTGCGGCGCAGAAGGGTCACGGCGGAGGTGTAGGTCAGGAAGAAGATGGAGCTGGAAAGACTGGTGACAAGGAGGATCGGGAAGGAGGAGAAGAGGAGGAGGACGAGGAGGGAGAAGACGCGGAACCGATTACGTTTGAGACTTGGGATATTATCCACGAGCAACCGGGTGAGTGGGCGGATAAGGACGGCGGATTCGATGTGGTATTAGACAAGGGCACATTTGATGCGATTTCTCTGAGCGAAGAAGTGGATGGGTCGGGGAAAAGAATTTTTGAGGGCTATAAGGGCAAGGTGGAGAGACTGGTGAAGCCTGGTGGGATTCTGTTCATCACTAGCTGTAACTGGACAGAGCCGGAACTGTGTCGCTGGTTTGAAGGTGGAGAGTTGGAGTTTGATGGCAAGGTCAACTACCCAAGTTTCACATTTGGCGGGCACAAGGGGCAGACTATTTCTTCCATTTGCTTTAGAAGAAAGAAGACTTCGTCGTGATGATTGTTCGTTTCATTCTAAAAATGTGCAGCGCTAATATGGTGTGTTTGACGCGGGTAATATGCTAGAATCGCTCATGGTATATATGCTTATGCATTCGGAGAAACAAAGAAAAGAGATGGCAGAAGCGTGAGAGCCGTTGCAAGTCGCATCATCGCCTTCGCCGCATGATGGCTATCACAAGCCATCGTTTCAGCATTGCTTTATCTTCCGTTCCAACGGGCTTCTCTTTGACAAACTCGCGTTTGTTGCCTTCTGCATCCTGTTCGTAGATGGTCTCAACCTCCAGTCCTTCTTCTGCGGCTATATTAAAGAACCCTGACACCTTCAGCCGACCAGTATGAAAGCCTGCGATGACAAATGCGCGGGCATCATCGTCTGCGGATAGAAAATGAAGTATTGATCGGGCCAGATTTTCATGTTGCCATGGCATCCACAGGCAGTCTGCGGCCAATACTCTCGAGAAGCTATGCTTACGTGAAACTGAGAATTCATCCGTAAGAACGCCCCACTCGTGGCCTACTACCTGGACCCTTGGTACGTGTTTCGTGACATTTGTAGAGATTGTTGACAAAATCTCCGGAGCGGGATAGTCAGAAATAACAACCTGTAGAAATCAAAATTACTCATCAGCACAATTGTTTTCAAATTATTTGAATCCAAGATGTATGTTGATTCATATGTGAGTGGCTCATGATCCAAGCAAACGCTCTCGTTGTTGTTGAGTCATAAATGTGGGAGGAGTCCAGTTGTCGAACCCAACGTACCTCTTTGGCTCCAGCCAGAGCGGCGATGATTCCAGCTAATCCGGTTCCTGCTCAAAGTATTTAGCATTAAAACCCCCCTCCCTAGGCCAACTAAAGGCAAAGTTGGCAAATGGTTCTTGGGGCATCAACAGACCTGCTCCAAGCTCGAGTACGTGTTGGCCAGTTATATCCCACAGACCCTCGCCGCGCTCGAAGAAGTCTGCCACTTGCACGGCTGAATTCCAAAGATAGTGGCTGAAAAGCATCCGATCATCTACATTTTCTGGATTCGAGCATTGCAACTCGATATCTCCGAAGCCGGTTGATTTGTAAACAATCCGAGCTCCCGGCTCGCCATAGGAGTTGTTTAGATCATCTGTAAAAATGGTACCTAAGGCAGCGGAGAATATATCCTCAGGATCTGGATCCTCAAGATCGCAGACGGGCCGAACCTTGTCGGTGAGCATGGATGGGAGGTGACAATCGAGAAGAATAACAACGAATCGAAGAGATAGGGACGATCAGGAATTCTGCCATGCCAAAATGGCGGGGATGTTTGCTTTGTTTGCATAACCGTAAGGCGGTCAGGCTCTAGCGCAGGGTACTGACTAGTTAGGAAACTCGGCTGTATAACATTACAAGTGCTGAATGGTGAGTTTGCTGTTGCTTCTCCTTCTTGGATTATGTTTACATTGATCGGAACATTTCCTAAGGCGAATCGATACGGTTGGACCTCTACCTCATGTTTTTGCATGTATGGACTGTACATTATTTTACACTAGACATAGTATGATGTGAATCGCATTGAGTGCCATGGTGTTACAGTGCAGTCAGGAGCATTCGTCAACAGTAGAGATAGGATAGGCCGAAGAGCGCTCTTTCCGGATTATATATCTCATATAATGGACTTGCACGCTCCTAGGAAGCAATTCTTCTATAATTGAGTAAAAAGGCCCGAAAAAATGGACATAGCTCCGTCTAACAACGCCTGACAGTGCTCTAGTAAAGATTTGGAAGAACATTGGCTGATCGTTTCTTTTCAAAGGTAACTCGCAGAGGACATGATAAAGCTAGCGGAGATCTCTGCGATTTCAAGTTCATTATTTCCCTAGGAGGAAACAATTCGTCGTCTATTAGTTGGCTCCAGCGTAGGTTGAAGTGGACGAGGTCGCTTGAGAATTTTACCATCGCTTCCCTCGGGAATGCTCCTGCTGAGTTCGGAAAATTGTCGTTTCACTGGCATTGAGGCTAATGAAGCCAGAAGATCCAGTGGAGACTTGTCAAATTCTATTGCTTGTTTCTTCACAGTGATAGCGACACTGTCCCTTGAAGTGACCGGGAGTCGTGCTTCCGGAATGCTTGGTTTGGCAAACACACCATCCAGTCTCTCGTTGTGGTCCCAACAGCGTTGACTCAGCCCAGGAACTGGAGAAAGATTTCGAATTGATTCCCATGTCCACCGAGAATCCCTCAAAGTAACAAAAATCACAGGCAAGTGATTCGCGGGCAAAGATGCTGCGCATGACCCCCTCAGAAAGGAAGCGTCCCACGTATTGCTTTCGAAACTTTCAGACAAATCATTTCCAACTATCAGGTTGGAGATGCCATTCGTAATTCGAATTTGTGCACGAGCAGGCACCCAGCGCCGACCTTGCAATACATCGTGAAATGCAGAATCAATGCTGAGCATTATTGAGTGCTGATCAGGGCCGGAAAATATAATCCAACGAAAAAGGCCCCGCGAGCGGCAACGGAGGTCAGCGATGTCGCCGGGTTGGAATTCGAATGTTGTGCCAGGGACGATAATAACATACGCCTCCCAGGAGTTTTCTGAAGGAGTATTGATGCTGATATTGGTGACGGGAAGCTTGTCGAAAGGTCGAGTCCCCATGTTCTTGGGCCTTCTGGACCTGCGCTTACTAGGACTAGGGGCCCTAGGGCGATGATCAAGCTCAATTTGCAGGTCTTCAACGCGAAGCTCCAGATCCATAGAAGCATCGTCGATACACGCGACCCTCTCCTTGAGTACTTTGAGATCTTGGTATAGACTCTGCGCCTTGTCGATGGCGCCGTCCAGCTTGTCCTCTAAGTCCAATAAGCCAGTCCTAGTAGACTCATGAACGCCATTCATGTTGTGATAGACGCCTGAAATAGATTGATAGATGCCTTGCATGTCTTTTTCTCTTTCCGCCCTTTCCTTCTCTAAACGTTCAGAAAGTCCGCGCACCATTTCTGCCAGACGCACATGCTCCTCCATTGAGACGGCCGGCGACGGCACATCTGGAACATGATAGCACGCTTGATGCCCACATTCGCAGCTTGAATCAGGCACCCGCGAATTTAAGACATATCCTTGACAAGCACAGCGTTGACCAGTTACCTGAGGATGCAGCAGAATAAACCGACATGCTCCGCGTGGTAATGAAAGACTGGTACCCACATGATTCGAGGACCAGGAACCAGAAATTGAATATAGACGAGGAGACCCTTCGAACATTTGCGTGGAGAGAGGTTTTGATTTCGTTTCTAGAGTATTATCATCATCATAAATTAAGAGACCGCATCAGCATAAGGAGCCCAGCCCTACGCTGGGAAACAACAACGGGAACATGTGGACAACAAAGGAGAGTGAGGAAGCAAACTTGTCGATGTCAAAGAGCGTTTAAGCTGCCCCTCTCCCGTTCTATATAGCAGGTCTCGGGTACGGACGATGCAGCGCCAGCTTTTCTTGCTTACGCGATAAGCCTTCTTCAGAAGACGGGACAGAATCTCCTTCCAGTCCAAGGTCAGACAAGGCTCCCCACGACAAAAGGGTGTCCGACAAAGACATCAAGGGGTGTGAGGAGAACCCGCTTTGTGTGCCGTAGGAGTGCCTGCTACCTGGGGGGTTTAAATTGGATTGGGAACCCGGGCAATATTATCGCACGGTGGACAAGAGCAGGTCTTGCCTCCTAGCGATAAAGCTTAGTTGGAGGTGCCGACGAGTGGTGGTAGTGGTGGTGGTGATGGTGGGGGGTTTGGTTGGCGTGGGGTTTTAGCTAGGCATCCGCTATCTGCACCTCTGTACAGTTTAGTGATTAACTCTAAACACACACAACTTTTAACTGGAAAGAGCCGGGATCACAATCCTACAGTAATGCAAGATCAATGACAACCCGCCAGGCCGCCGTCAAAAGGATCCCTGGTGGGGGGCAAGAACAAATCAAATCATCGACCACTATCTGGAGTCCTTTGTAACGCTCCCGCGGCCACGCCCCGCCTGCCGTCCACGCACCAGACCCAATCAATTTTGCACACCTCTGCCTGTCTCGTGGCTAACTCACGAATTTCATTGCAATGTGCGTGAGCAGCGCCTAGAATTCGTTTCAGTGATTCGAGCTCTTTCATTTGTCACATCTGAGCTGTTATTCGCTGCAAAGATAAAGGCTACTAGGGATACAAGCAGTCACTGCCATCTTTCCATGCATAGAACCGAGTCTAGACGGTAAAAAGGAATTTGTGTCCAATGATGCGGTCATCCGGAAAGGCCGACAGCCACAAATCATATTCCGGCTCCATTTATTATTCACAACCTATTAAGAATTGATTTCAGCGTACGGTCACTATCATAGTAATGTTGGCAGGGTACAGTGCCTGCGTCCGATTTAGAGATATGTCGAAGAAGCCGAGTAGCCTTCTGAGGGCTGTAGGATCACAGCGACCCCAGCCATGGGAATTTCTCAGTGATTCGCGGAATAATGAAAAATGAAAATAAAATAAAATAAGGTAACCCCAGTCTTCACATGAATATCGTGATAAGCTCGCCCCGATCAGCACCCTCCCCCACGCTTCCGAGTTTATGGATGTCTTTGTACTACAAAGGATATCTCATCAAATGGTGTGGTGCACACAGAAAGGGGCATTTTCGGGAGTGATATCTGAGTCCTGTCGTCCATTTAAGCCCAATGACTGTCACATGTGTCTTGCCGCACTGCTTTGTCGTACCTATATTTTTCCGACCTACCTTAGCAAGTAGTTCCTTGTTCACGTCTTCGAAAGATCCAGTAGGCCAGCTCAGCCTTGGCGATACAACACGTCTCTCGCTAAAGTCACTGCAAATCAGAGTTGCTAGAGTTGACAAAGTAGCTTACAAAGTACTGAGCCTATCGGCACAAGCCTCTCCGATTGAATATATGAGAGGAATAGGAAAAGGAATGACGAAGGCAACGCTTCAAAGTTAGCTCTATTTGATAGTGCAGAGACGGCCATGGACCGAGAATTATATGAGATTCTTCCCCAGTTGTTGATAGATCACAACTGAAAGTCAGGAACATTTCGAGAATTCTGCCGTCACTAACTGGCATCTTATAACTGCGTTCAGCTGTTGATGACCAAAAGAAGATATCGGTTGTTTTGTCTCCGATCAATGCCTTAGAACCGCAAGAGATAGGTGTTGGCAAAGAAGTGGGTTTTGTAACTTGAGTGCAGTATCCTCAAACCGAAGCCGTCGCGAAGGCCGCAAAGCTTTGTCTATACCGTCAGGAGAATGTTGGGCAAATAGCTGAAAAGAGGTATTGTGATCAAATTCAAGACTCTCCCGCTCATGCTCGACCCTTATGATCCTCTGCAGACTCACAACGTATTGAAGAAGGGACGAAGATATATTACGTGTAAGGTCTTCGCCAGTCCAGGGAAGCGGAAGTGGGTCCTCAGGCAGTATATTGATTGTATTTTTCACTTTCGACCTTCGACCATGATGATATGGTATCCAAAACCCGTTTTCACCTCGACATATTTAGGAGAAGAAGTTGTGCTCGGCTCCAGCTCGTAGGCGGCCTTTTCGAAGGTTGGATCTAAACTACCTCGGACCTTCCAACCTAATGAACCACCTGCGACAATCAACCATTGCTGTTAGTCAAATTGAAATTCTTTGAAAATTTCTCTCTGAGAACAGGAACAGACCTTGTCTCGCCTTGTCTTCGGAAAACTCGCGTGCCACGTCATCGAATTTGGCTCCTTCTTGGAGCTTGGTCAGAGCGGACTGTGATTTTGAATATTTCTCACACTATCAGGGGCCGTCAGTCTATGTCGAAGCTCCAATACGTCCAAACTTCCGTGTTGGTAAGACAGGTTGGATTTAGGACCCCCACACATCTACAGAGGATTGTGTGCATCGGCGTCAGAACTCACCAGAATATGGCGGACATTAATGCTTGTTGCTGGCTTCAGCTTGCTGCCGCCGGATGCATCGCCACCGCCACCGCCACCGCCACCTTTCTTGTTCTTAGGTGCCATGTCTTTCGCTGGAAAATAGTGATGAAGAAGCTAGTTCGTGGGGTCGAGATACGGCGACAACGCTACAGGTAAATTTCCAGTGAAGCTTGTCCTAATGATGGTGGGGTTCGCTAGCCTAACCTCCGGTGACGTTCCGCGCTTGCGGGTTACCGAAGATACTGGAGCTTGTGGGCTCATAACAAACATTGGGTAGTTTGCAACGATTTTCGATTTAAATTATACATAGCTCTAATTGGTCCAGCAAAGGGCACTGAGGGATACTGACGCTGATCATAACGCGGGACGCCGAGCAATTTGAGTTCTCATGAGCGAAATGGAGGCCGTCACGAAGAAGCTGGAGCTTACCCGTCACCAAGTCTCGAGCATGCCACCTTCCACGATTTATATCCCCGACTTCATCACTCCTGAGGAGGAGGAGCAGCTACTCAATAAAGTATGTTTAGATCAAATATTCCCATATTCATCCGTCCTTTCTATTTGTTCAGTTGGTTTTTAATGCTTGGGGTAGGTTGTTCGGATTGGAACATGTGGCCCTCGCTTTTTGGAAATCATGGACTGCAAGATGAAAGGAGGAATATACAGCTAAAACAAGAACATTTAGATCCGTACAGCGCCCCTTCCACGTTGGGCTCAGCTTTCTCGACGTCGACTGCAGACCTGGCCGTCCAGTCTCAGCTCTTCTAATACACTGCTTGCCGCACCGCTGCCGGCTTGGCTTCATGATCCCATTATTCCTAGACTAGAATCTCAGACGGGAATCTTTATGGATAGTCCCCACGGTGCTCCAAACCACGTTTTGATCAATGAGTACGCGCCAGGACAAGGCATTATGCCACATGAAGATGGTGCCGCTTATCATCCCGTTGTTGCAACTGTTTCCCTCGGTGCTGCAATTGTACTGGATATCTACCAAAAAAGGGAAACAGGGGAACGAGAAATTGAGCCGACATATAGGATTCTACAAGAGCCTCGGAGTCTTTTGATTACTACTGATGAAATGTATACGAAGCATCTACACGGCATTCAAGAAATCACAGCGGACCGAGACCTCGGTCCAAAGACAATCAGCAATTGGGATTTGCTGGGTCACCAGATTGCCTTTACAGACGGCCAGAACGAGAGGCAAGTGCGGACTAGTTTGACTTATCGAGACGTGCTCAAGGTGTCGAAGTTAGGTAGTAAAATGAAAATTTTTGGCAACCGTTAAACTGTTCCGAAAATGACCAACTTCCGCTCTTCTTGATTGTTGACATATCATGGTGAGGACCTTGCCAAAAGCTGTAGAATATTTCCCGCCCGAAAACACCATGGCCTAGTAGATAAATGGTATCATTCTCCATTTCCCACGCACTTGCTCTTCCCCAAACTTTTGGACATACCACTCTCTGGTAGTCCCCGCTGTTACGCCTAGGTTTATAACAACGAATATTAAGCCAGCTAAAACGGACTTATTGACTATTACCCCCTCCGGAGCAGCGATCAAAGAGAGAGAAAGATAAATGAGACACTCCATGGTGTAGTGGGGGCATAGAAGAAAGCGGAAAATAGGATGCTTTGGAAATGTGTATTTTGGTAGCGACGCCAAATATACATGTGCGTCATGCTGGATCCCCGAAGCGATAAGGAAGAGTGGCAGACAAAGAAACGTCCGCAAGGACGGAGCCGGGATTTCTAGTAATGAGATGGATGGTTCAAGAGAGCGCAATTTAGCTGTTGTCAAAGGCATTAGACCATTTGTCGTGGAGTCTTATTTAAATGGCGAAACACCTACGCAGTCCTTCGACCCAGATTGAGATTCCCATCGCAATGTAAAATGTAACGCCTAGCAGCCAGTGCACAAACCACATTGTTGAATTTGATGGTTTTGATAAGACAACTGACTCGACCAACCTTCGTATCCCCTGAACCGTCATCAGAAGCCATGCCAATACGACTTTTTCAATTGTCATTGACGTGCTCTCTTGGCGCCATGTTGAATTTTGACTGATGATTCGAAAGACACTTCCTTTCGTGACAAGCTGAAAGGCCCAGAAGATTGATGAGAAAACAGATGCTATATAAAAATGTGTAAAATAGCTGTGCGGCACACGGTAAGTTGCCAGATGGTCCAGTATCTTGTTTAGCCTGTTTGGATTTTTTGCTTCATTGTCTCTATCATTAGTTTGACCAGAAAGAGAATTCCGTGATCCATAGACTAGAAATCGACTCCGAAACGGAGATATCGCATTGACAGTGACCACCTAAAGAGATGTTAGCCATTACTTAGCTCTGTCAACCAAAAAAAATTGGTTACATACCGTGGAACTTGCAAGGAGGAAGAAAAGCTGCAGGGTTTGTGCAGGGTCTATCAGGCCAGCATGTGACAGCATATTGTGTGTTATGATGTTTTGATAGAGAAGGCAAACACATATAACTTTAAACCAAAATCAGAAGCCTTCAAAAAAAGAACAAACTATATAAATGGATTTCAGGACTGTAATAACCAATTTATCTCATTTTAAAGCCTCGAAGAACTAGATGTTCGGGGTGAGCTTCCCCTCGTTCGTGTTGGAAGTGGAAATCTTCTCTGTTGACGGATGGCTTCTTTCGGTATGGTCGGTGGAGGGACAGCTTTGATTACATCATCCATAATCAGCGACAATCTTCACCGTACTTATATGTTCAGTGTTGTCGTATATCTCATCATGTGCACCTCCTATTCGTTTCACCCGAACAGTGAGACTTTCCCAATTAAGTCAAACTCTGTTTCCCCCCAGCGAAGGCCAATCAGCGCACGAAGTGGGATGGAGATGTTCCTTCGTCGTGCGCAAGTACCGCAACCGGTTCGCAGTACTCTCTGTACACTGACCATCTTCTCATTAACCCCAACACCCACGGCTTGTTACTCGGCACGGTTGTCAGACAGCGCTGACGATTGCCTTGTGCTTTCCGTCCATGTTAATCAGCGACACAAGAAGGAACTCAAATTGATTAAATATACCCCAGAGTTATTCAGCTTCAGCTGCGGCTCAGTTTCGCCTGTCAGCCTTCCCCGCCACTCACTGTGGTAGTCAGTACACGAGGATTGGGCCAACGTCCTTGTCCGAGTCACGCTGAGTAAATCACCCGAGAGGTGTTTCTAGCCACGTCGGCCCAGCATGAGGCAAGATCGTTTGACGGACCAATCTCTATCGTGATGAATGGCATTGGCCGTCCGGAGGCATCACCCACAAAGCCTGCAGGTGCCGGAGATGGAAATAACGAGGGCCATGTCGGTGCTGCTCGAGAACCTGCCCGCAGCGATAGGTTGACCGACAAACCCGAGCTTGTTTCGTCGGCATCAGACAAACAGGATTCGCAGAAGCCAGCCATGACAGTCAATGATCAAGATTCGAAGGATTGGGATCCCGACAAAAGCGATTCTGAGGCTGAGACGATCGTGCTACCGGAAGCTCAAGCAACTCGTAAACGCGAAGGAAAAGAGATTAAACATGAAGAAGATGTGGAAGTGGAGCGATCAACTGCACTTGCAGACATTGAAATGGCCGATGCTGTACCGGAAAGCAGTTCGAAGTACCCTGTATATGACGAGTCCATGGGACATCCTTCTGTTCCTTCTGAACAGAAACCGCCCGTTTCAGCCCAGCCCGCCAAACAGGAAAGAACGACGCACGATAAAGCAAATTCAAGCGGGTTGAGTTCGATTCCATCTTCGCCCATTGCGGAAACCCAGTCGTCAAAACATGATTCTCCTTCTGATCATTCGCGCTCGTCGCCACCACATGTGGGGGATGATAAACTCCGAACTGGCGAAGGGGGGTCGCGGAAGCGAAAGCTGGGCCAGGAGGAACCTCGAGGTAGCAGTGAATGGAAAGAACCAAAACCTAAAACAAAACATGCCTCGGACAGCGAAAACAAAGCTCGACGTGAACGACAGAGCTCAAGCCATACCCACCGCGTTTCGCGCGACAGATCATCGTCACCTCGATTTCGGAACCATAAACGAGCAGCCTCAACACAGTCCGCATCAAGCCAACTGACCAACGGCCATAACAACAAGAAGAGAAGAGTTCCCGCGCCTTTGCTCTCCGGTCATGAGCGGAAGCATTCGGAAGATGCATATTCAGACACGTCCTCTCGTGCCGACTCTCCCCACCTTCATGGTCATATAAGAAATCTCCATTCCGCGGATTCAACCCTCTCGCCTATGAAAATGCCCCACAAAAAGCATCGAGATCAGATTGGCCGAACTTTCCTGGCTCGGGCTTGTGCTAATCGTGAGATTGACAATGCCCGAATCCGTCTCAACGAAAGGCCAGAAGACATTGATGTGGCGGATAACGCCGGAAATACTCCTCTCCAGATTGCCGCTCTTGAGGGATGCGAGGATATCGTTCAACTTTTGATCGAGGGAGGGTGCGATATCAATTGCAAGAACAACGACAAAGATACTCCTCTCATCGATGCCGTCGAGAATGGCCACCTAGCCGTTGTGAGGCTGCTTTTGGACGCTGGCGCTGACCCTCGTCAAGGAAATCTGAATGGAGAGGAACCCTTGGACCTTTTGGACCCGGAAGATGAGAATTATGGGGGGATCAAAGAAGCTTTGGAGCTTGCTAAGCGCAGGCATCATCCACGACGCGCATCAGAAGAGCATGGTCAGGAGAAAGATCATGGCCGATATTCCCGTGGCACTTCCGCTATAAGTCCGCGCGATTCGCCGCCTTTATTTGCACCGCGCAGTCCGCCAATCCACTTGCCTCCGCGTCGAAGAACCGTTAGAAGTGAGGCAACTCGAAATGATCTATTATGGATGAAGCCAACTCTAGAAAACCTGCGGGACCGAGCGGGGAAAGGTGACATGGCGGGTGTCGGAACCATCCTGAATGTTTTGCCCCAGGCCGACACAGAATCCCTCATTGCCGCAGCAAAAGGAGGCCACGACGAAGTAATCCAACTGCTCCTTGGGCTAGGCAATGCTAATGCAGACCCTGAGCCACTCAGATCGCTGAATTACAAACCGGGCTTTAACACCCCGATGCTCGCTGCAATCGGTCGTGGGAATGAAAAAGTTCTGCAACTTCTCTTGGCTCAGCCAAACTTTGATCCTACCAAGCGAGACTATCGTGGGCGAACATACTATGAAATTGCGGAAGAACGTCAGGGATCACGAGAGGAGTATGATTTGTTGAAGGAAGCCTATGACAAAGCTATTGCCAGCCGTAAAAAGGGCCGCAACTCTAATGGTTTGAAGGTGACTTCATCTCCTGAAACTTCTCGTAAGCATCGAGAGAAGGATAAGATTGCAAAGCACCATGACAGAGATGATTCCCCTTCGCATGGATCGGACAATTTCGAAAGTGGCAAAATACGTTCACTGAGTGATCGTGATGGGTCTACTAAGAAATTAAAGCACGACGATCCAGAACGACCTCGACCCCGGAAACGTTTGACCAGGCCCGAAGGTGCAAAAGACCCATCCGCCGTGGTTAGCGATCGTGAAACAACATCGTTAGCGCCGCCGAAGACAAAGCCAACTGTTAGGAGAACTGAAAGCGACACTGCTGTTGCTTTGTCTGAAGATGACCACCCCAAACCGCGACGCAAGCTGATATCTGGGAAAGATCTGAAAAGCGATCGAAATCGCCAGCGCCGTGGAAGTATTCACTCCTCGACTTCATCTTCCTCGAGTAAAGACGCTATCAGCGCGTTAGAAAAGCCGGAGATGACAAAACAACAAATAATTCCTCACGCAAGTTCATTGAGCCAGAAGATGGAAAAAGTTTCATCAATCCCGACCGCGATAAAATCAAGCGCAAGTGATTCTGAGATCGCCGGGGGAAGTCACCGTATCAAGCGAGAAGAATCAAAAGACAACCCTGGCGTCAGTCACGATGAAGGTGGTTCGAAAAGACCTCGTGATAGCCCAACTCAATTTCGATCTCGATCCCAAGACCCGGAATTCCAAGTGTCGCCTACAACCGAAGCAAAGAAGAAGCGGCGACGAGTTGAAAATGAAGCTGATTCGAATGCAGCCTTCAGCGGCCAAACTGCTAAGCTTATTTCGCGCGAGACTGTTGAACCCGTTGCTCAGCCAGACGAGCCCATGGAACTTGACCGTCGAGAGCCTAATGATCCGACGAATAACACCGCGGAGAAGGGAGAGGACGGGGTTCGGAACCGCCCTGCGTCGGGAATGGGTTTGGCAGTGCGTCACGATGAATCACAAGACCAACGCCAAACGTGTCCTGCCAATTTAGACCATGGAGCCATAAGGACGCAACGTCCCCCGGAATTGAAGGACCTAGATACAGATAACCCCAGAGACCTTCATCGGAACGCTCAAGCGGACGAGGATACCAAACGCGCTGAAGTCGCACGGGCAGAACGAGAGGATGAGGAGAGGAAGCAAGAAGAGGAGAAAAAGAAGCTGGAAGAGCAAAAGAAGAAGCAGGAAGAGGAGAGAAAGAAGCAGGAAGAGGAAAGGAAGAAGCAAGAAGAGGAGGAAAGGAAGAAGCAGCAGTTGGAAGAGGAAAGGAAGAAGCAAGAAGAGGAGGAAAAGAAGAAGAAGAAGAAGTTGGAAGAGGAGAGGAAGAAACAAGAAGAAGAGGAGAAGAAGCTGGAAGAGGAGCGTCGAAGACGTGAGCAAGAGGAGCGCGAAGAAGAGGAAAGAAGAGCCCGTGCTGCGAAAGAGGAAGAGCAGCGACGGCTTGCAGAGCAGAAATTTCAGGCCGAGGAATTGGAGCGCAAGGTTCGGATTGCTCGGGAGGAGCAAGCGCGGGTAGAAAGGAAGCAGCGTGAAGAAGAGGCACATCGACGACGTGTGGAGCAGGAGCGCCTTCGGCGGCTTGAGCAGGAGCGGAAAAGAGCGGAGCTCGAAGAGCGTGAACGGCTACTTCTCAAACAGCGGCAAGAAGAAGAAGAACGACTTCGGCGAGAAGCATTGCCCAACAGCCTTGCACGAGCAGCGAATTTAGAAGAATCCAAGGCACGATCGGCAGCGGAAGCGAAGAGGTGGCTCCCACTATTTACCGTAACTACGAGTCAAATGAACCGCGAACAGCCGGAAAATTTAACAGAGGAGCGGTGGGTTGTAAATTTCCAAGTTGCTCCAGTACTTGGTATCAAGGATTTGGAACTTTCGCAATGTAATTCCATCGCCCCTTTTCCCCGCTCTGTTCCCAGTATTTTTGCTGACACCCGAATAGTCACAGCCTGGGAGAAGCGGTCCTTAACTGACAGACAACGGACCTGTATCTGGCGTGTGGCTCGCCGCATGCTCGCTGAATCGGATGAACCAACGCCTCTTAACTCTTCTATTCAGGGCCTAGCAAAATTGGACGCAGCGACCGCTGCTAAATTTTTCGATATGAAGCATGTCTTCTGGATTAAGGTAAGATGATTTTGTCATATCCAAGGATCGATCTTATGCTAAGTTACTCTTCGCAGCTCTCCGATTTCATAGATATTGTTCCTCGCTACCCACATCTTCGGGACGTTCCTGTTACTACTCTGCCAGTCTGCCTTGAATATTTGGATGGTCCCAATGGACCTATCTTTCCCGAGCGCAAGGTGACACGGCAGCGTCCTGATAATACCTTCCAGTCGCAACTGAACGATGCACAGCCTCAGAGAAACTTCAATAACTCGATGGAAGCGGTTATGCATCAAATGCCGCAGCATGCACCAGCACTTCCCAATGGTTTCATTCACTAAAGGGCGTGCAGCTGGCTGATCTTCTTTCTATGTTAATCTTCGTTCCTATTCAGCTCGAAACTGGCTGACATTACTTGGACCTCCCGCTGGAACTCGTTGAACGCCTTTTCTTCTTCGACTTCTCTTACGCTAAGCTAGCGTTCCTCCATATATGCTCTCTTTCATCGTCTACGACATATTTAACTTCTTACGCTGTACGATATGAGCTGCTCGGTGTTACGGTTTTTGGCTTTCTTTTGTCCGGTCCGGATTTGCAGAGCATTTGGCTGAATCTTGTTCGATTGGACTTTGCAGCTCGCTTATTGTATATCAGAAAGGGTAAACCTTAAAATAGATATTTAAATGTGTGTCAATCGAATATTTTCAAACTCTTGATTTCAGTGGGCGGACCCCAATGATTGTCATCGCATTTTCTTTGCCCTTCGCACTGTTTCAGAGCAATGTCATGTAGGCGTCTTAGAGGGTGCTGTTGGACTGTCAAACGGGCGTATTATGTAATCCGAGTCTAGGGCACACAAAACGCACAAAATTCTAGCGAAGCGAGCCAATGGGTGGGGACGAAGCATTTCGGTATCAAGAAACACCAAATCGAGTCCTCAAAGTTTCTCTGCAATTTAAACATAACTTACCTCTTCGAGGACTATCCGACACTTCCAGTCTAAAGCTTCCTCTTAGCACAAGAACAAGATGGTGCGTATTTTTGTCATTCCCCCACAGCCCTTATTGCACACTACAACTGGTCCTCGGTCTGGAGAAGCGCATATCCTTTTTGCTGGATTCGCGGGGTTCAATACCGTTTCCCATTCTAGGACATGGTGTTTGGATTTGTTTTGCGGTCTGAGGGTCATGTTGCCCAAGGAGATCACTGCGGTTTAGATATATCTGCGGATGGAGACAATATCAGATCGACACTCATCATGCAATCGATGGCGCATCAGAAAGGCTGACATTTTTTTTGGCAAATGTGTAGTCGGACGGAGAAGAGCCTACTGTTGAGGTCGGTGCGGCCGAGGAGGTCGAAGTCAGTGCCGATGCTGCCGCCGAGAAGGGCCAGATGTCCGTCCTTGATGCTCTCAAGGGCGTTCTCAAGCTGGCTCTGATCCACGACGGTCTCGCCCGCGGTCTCCGTGAGGCCAGCAAGGCCCTTGACCGTCGTCAGGCCCACATGTGCGTCCTCAACGAGTCTTGCGAGGAGGAGGCCTACAAGAAGCTCGTTGTTGCTCTGTGCTCTGAGCACAAGATCCCTCTCATCAAGGTCCCCGATGGCAAGCAGCTTGGCGAGTGGGCTGGCCTTTGTAAGTTTCCTTTTTCACACCCTTCACTTCTGCGAAATGAAGAAATAATATAATCATACCCAAGGGCCAATGGCTAATACGATCTTCTCTTTCAATCAGGCGTTCTCGACCGTGAGGGTAACGCCCGCAAGGTCGTCAACTGCTCTTGCGTTGTTGTCCGTGACTGGGGTGAGGAGTCCCAGGAGCGCAACATCCTCCTCAACTACTTCCAGACTGAGCAGTAAACGTCTTCACTTGAAGACCAAGTCTCTGCTGGCTTTCTAAGAGACGAGCTGGTAGAGTATTCGGTTGGACAAGGGAAAGGTCAGGTCTGAGTTGGAGGAGCGCATGAGGGATCTGCTGCTGGGTTGGCGAGACCAGGCGGTGGAATAGCAGTCCAGGGTCTTTTGGTTCCGCCGTAGCCAAAGGCTTGGGCTGCTTGAAGTAAAAGAAAAAAAAAAAGGAAATAGCTGGCAACGATATGTGTAGTCTAGTTTCTCTCGCGCTGGATAGCGAATTGTCTAGCTTAAGAGGAATAGAGGAAGCTGTTCCAGTCATTTAACCAGTCCTGTCTTTTGCCCGTGATGTAAGGAAATTACAATGTGTGATGCTTGACGCTTTGCCCTGCAGATGCCACAAGGACCATGCATTGAGTGACGGATGTTAGAGATCCTCTTCATTTCTTCTCAAAATCTATGTACTCATGCACGTAGAAACGAATTTCTCTTCCAAAAATAAAGAGACCAAGCACAAGCTCGCTGAGAGAACTGGGACCAGAAAAAGCTCGATTCAAATTGATATCGGCAAAGATCACAAGACAACGTATGATGACATGTATGTACTCCCGCGAAAATTCCATATGCAATTAGAGCTACCAAAAAGCTCACCCAGTAGAACGCCGAATATATGCAACGCTGTAAGAGAGGAAAAAGAACAGAGCATAGTAAAACAGAAACCAAAAAAATTTTGATGAACGAAGCAGGATCATGCTTCTGAGCGTTTGCGCTTGCGGATCAATTGCGTCCTCACTTTGGTAGTAAGTTTAAGAAAGAAGACTTGGCCTAACGGAACTGATATGACGGGAAACAAGGCTTCTGCGGACGCAGGACGAGGTGCTGATACGGCGAACTTGAAGGATCATAGTATAGCCCTTCGACGTGGCCAGTGTCGCGGCGCATGGAGATGTAATAGAAGCCGGAGATGGTCAGGCCAGAGCGGTGGTCAGAGGGCGTAATAAAGCACTTCTCTGTTGGATCAAAGAAATCAAGAAAAGAATAGTCAGCGGGATTACGTGTTCTGAAGGATCCAGTCTCCCATGATATATATAATCTTCTTGGGGCCCGCCAGGCAGGGGAAAAAAAAACAAATTAGGACTTGGTGACATACCCTTCCAGCGCATTAATATCCAGTTTTTAGCCAGTTCCTCCTTGAGCCATCTCCTGCTGACGAGATTGCGCACAATATCATCGTCGGATAGATCCTTGAACGGCTCTAGCTTGCTCCAATAGGTGCCGTCAACTTTTGCATCAGATTTGAAGCTTTTGGTTTCGAGAGTATATTTGTTGAAATCAACGAGTTCTCCTTCGAGAAAAGTGACAATACTGGACTCGCCAGTCGCGGACGACTTGTCTGGAACGTTGAATGCTTCCATTGTCCCAGAAAGCGTCATATTCTCGTAGTCAACGCTATTGATGGTTACTTTAACAGGCCACTCTTCATCGCCCTTGGCGACGTAGCCGCCATGTTGTCTTCCGGCGCTACCCGAACTAGACATGTTCCCCCAGGGGGACGGCTGGGTTTCATTCGTGGTAGTGGCGGTCCCAATCGTGCCGGAGGAAGCGTTTATAATAATAGGCAGGTTTGTATTCCCGAATATATTCTGCGTGGCTCGGTGGATGGGACATATTGCAAGCGGCGCCGCTTGCTGGGAGCCGGAAAACACGCCGCCAATCTGCAGCCACGAACTTTCCGCTGGAGGGTCAATATCCGTCGTATCGACAATGAAGTCTTCCCGGTTCATCGTGAAGAAGTCGCCCCCTACTAATCCTCCTGCGGCGGCAGAGACAATGCTTTCTTCGTATGAAGTTGAATATCGGAGTCGCTCAAGATACTTGATAGCCTCTTCCAGCCAGCGGGAAGCGGCAGGTGGGTTTCCTGAAGGGTTCTGAAGATAGCGTTGTCGGTAGGCATCAACCCTGGCCCGAATGTCACGCTGCGTTTGTAGCTCCCGCGGATTGCTGGGAATGATAGAAGAAGGTGGCCGAATAATTCTGGCCGAACTCGCCCGATCTCTATCCTCCGTTTCGTGGCCTATGCGTTCCCGGTCCAGGATATAACTTTGCAGTCGATCTCTTGACCGAGCGGAGAAGCGCGGATGGCGGCGAACAGACTGCAAGAGGGCCGCTGTTCTTAATGAAGACTCGGATGGGAGAGCATGATTATGTTGTTGTTGCTGATGATGATCCCCTGCCGCCCTGGATGCATACGACGCAGCAGATCTTGATGTTCCCGCGCCAGGAGGTCTATAATTATCCCTGTGTCCTCTAATGTTTTCAATATCAGAGTTGGAGACGAGTTGCGAAAGAGCATTGACTCTTGTTGAGTTGTCATCCTCGTCCTCGTCCGATGTCCCTGGCGCCCAATCGTACAGGGATTGTTGCTGCGGAACACGGTTTCCATATGCCGGTTGGGGATAATCGCCAATTTCCCGCAGTTGTTCAGGCGTATACTGGCGCATTCGGCGCAGTCGGCGCAGATTGGCCATCTCCAGGAGCCGCAGCTGCTGGTTCACGGGCAGTTGGGGATCTCTGGAAGACATATCACCGACCGAGAAACCTGTGCTGGGTTCATCGTCGAGTTCTACCGGGGGAGTCCGCAAAAAGTTGATGTTGGCTTGATTGGCATCTTCCTCCGCCTGGGTTGTAAGCGTCGAGGCTAAATCCAGCACCGGGCTATCTAGCTGCTGCAGTTCGGAAATGAACGAGCCAGAACCGGCGCTCGCATTTTCAGAGGGTGTATCCTGCATCTGCGTGTCAATTTCTTTGAAGCGTATGCGCAAAGGCTGGTGGATTTGGGCAATATCGCGAAGTACAAAGAGACGGTCGGCCGATGGAAAGCACGTACTAAAGGCGAGTTCGCAGGAGGCATCGCATCAAAAGCGACCGCGCACACACAACCCTAGAAGCGCCGAAACCAAGAGATTTCCTTCAAAGTCACGAGATATTTGGTGTTCTTGTCGAGTCAGGCATGGACGTCACGCTCCATCGCTCACATTCATTGCCAGCAACTGTGAGTGAAGGAGAGGGTGTGGCTGGACTGAAGTGGGATGGTGAAAATGGCTGAAACCGGCCGGGGCGGTTGTATTACCCTTCGGCGGCTGGCGTTCGCTCTGACCAGGCGAGCGTAACGCTATACACAAGCCCAGGCGCCCAGAGAAGTATAACAGTAGTACAGAGAAGCTTCTGCAGCAATAAGCCAGAACCAGATGCTTAATTATTTTTCTATACAGTGTCGACTACATACTCATCAGTGTGTTCGATTGAAAATCAACATCTTCAGGTCCATTATCTTTCGTGGGCTAAATCGCGACTTTTGTTGCGTCATTTCCATTGACTAGACAATCATCATGTATCAAGCTCAAGGGGTTATGCTCCATAGAATATGCGTTTCGCACAAGATCTATGCAATAGATTACTGATATTAGCTCCTGGCATTCATGATACAGGTTTCTCACAGGCACGTATCATTAGACATCAATGCTGATTTTCTCTCTTCTTTGAACATCCTCGAAATCTAACGTGCAGGTTAATTCGTGGATGGCAATACGGTCTCGATATCGATCTCTGTAGGCATTTCAGCTCTGCAAGCTGAGCAATCCTCGTCCTACGACTGCCTGGAATATTTCATGTTCGATTGGCAATTCGGTGGAAGGTGAAGGTCGCCAAAACTCCCGCCATATGAAAGGCGCATGACGACATTCTATAGATGCGAGAGATCAATATCGGGAACGGGCAATGAGGATGAATGGATAAGAAAAGAATGGCTCGAGTGCACGAAATGAAAGAATCACACGACAAAATTGTCGAAAAATCATAATCTTCTAGTAAGAGACCAAACACCCTCAAAAGAAGACATTTGGGATTTATCTCAATCTAATATTTGCATCATTGTTGGAGGAGCCCGCACAATTCTGAGCTGTGTTACAGAGCGTTTGCAGTCGGTTATCATGCACTTCTTCTACTTCAACCATACCTCCACTACTATGGAGAGATACGCGTTGAGGATGAGTGAGAATTAATTGACGGATGATATTCACTCATTTACGCGTAAGTGTGTCATGGGCATCTTCAGCGTATCGGGCAGAACAGGAGCGGTGGGAACGACCGACCCACCCTTTTTGAGACATTACCATTGAGGTCTCAGTATTACCGATCCACTGCGGATCACGCGAAGTCCGGAACTGATCTCAAAGAACTCTGGGATATCTCTTCCCATTTACAAAATCTTGTTAGAGAAGCTGTTAGGTCTCGCTTTCTCTTATCAAAAGTTTGAATATCTCCTGGAGTTTATGATAAGGTTATCAACCTGATGCAGCCTTGCACATAATATGTAGTGCCTACTATAGGATGGCAGTGAGAGGGAGGAGAGACTCAATCATCAGTTCTTTCCTCTTCTGATTGAAACAACCGAAACATGTCCGAAGGGTGCTTTCCCAGTGCAGTTAAGCGGATCTTCATCGAAGGGGCGGGGCCAGAACGGCCATGTCCAGAAAGAGGTTGGGGGGGGGGCATACGATGCGATGACCTGAGCAGAGAGAAATTGTGCCAAAGAGGAAAGAGAGATTGGAGCATCTAAGAGAGGCTAAACTTCCTGGATCGTACCTAATGGTAACTAACTAGGAGCCATGTCCGAAAGAAAAGAGCATGGGGAAGGAGCGATAGAGACCTGGTGGCCACTGCAGCCCCCTCATTGAGAGGAAGAGCCTCGCCTCTCTCACACAGGAAGAGAAGGAACTAAGGGCTGCAGAAAAGGGCACACAGCGAAAAGTGTCTCCGAAAGGGTAATCCGTCTTTGAGGCTAAAAAGGTACTGGATATGGGTGATCCGGCCGACTTCCCCCACTTTTTGGCCCCTCGTACGTGTACTTTTTGTACGAGGGACTGAGTAATGGAGAAGACGACATCCCTCGTCTCCTCGTCAACCCCCCCAAATAGCCTGCCGTCCCAGTTATCGGTACTTTATCGGTATCGCTACTTGGACTCGCGTCCGTCTTCCCCACCATATTATAGCTGCCGTGGGGCGGCCAGACCGGGACTAACGGGGCGACTATTGCCGGGGAAAAGTCCAGAGTACCCGTCGGGTACCCTTGGATAGACCCAGAAGAAAGTCATCGATTGATTATGCCACTGCACTTTCCCCCTCTAGGACCACGAGGTCGAGCTACGAATTAATTACAACACCCATCACCACTTGGGCCTGACCATGGCGCGGTGCTGTTTTTTTCTCCTCACACAGAAACTCGTTTTCTCCTCCTCTTTTCATTCTCTCTTGACCTTATCTTCCCGTCGCTCCTCTGTCTCTCTCTGTGTGCTCGTTGTTGAAACATTTGGGGGTTCTCGCTGCTGACCTGAGTGACCCACGTGGGCATCACCCTGAATCCACTTGTCCGGCTGATTTACGCCCGGCGACCGAACAGGCTGGGATTTCCTCCCCTATCGATAGCGATTATCGGTATCTTTCGCCCACCAACAAATCCACTCTATAAACCCCCGCGAACTTCAAGGCGAGATCATCGCACACGGATTGCCAGGGGCGCATCGGCTCACTTTTGTTTCTCTGATCAATTTTGCCATTATATTTCTCAGGCCTGGCTTTGTGTCCTACTCCAGGTACATGGTTTTAAGAGTGTGCCCCGGACCTGGGTCCTGCTTGTCCTGCTTATCCTGATCAGCGTCTTTCGCCATTTACCTGTCTTTGCCATGTTCTGGACAAGCGCAAAGTTCCTGTGACAGCAGCTCTGATATTCGACTAATCATTCTCTTGGAGCGAAACCACACGAAATCCTCGAGATTATCGAATCCGTTTTGGCCAAGAGCGCATCAATCATTTCTGCTTACTTGTTAAAAGTTAAAACCGCCCCCAAATTTCTCCTTTCTTTGAAAGTTGAATTTTCAAGACTCCTCGAGCAGACTGTCGATATTCGGTCAGTCGGTAAAATGACAGACTCAATTCGTGAAGTCATGGCTGGAGCAACCACGATTTCTCCAGCCTCGGATCCGGTCCAGATTCAAGCCCCTGCGAAGCTCAAGGGACGCAAAAGGATACTCCAGAGCTTGCACCGGATCTCTTCCTCTCCGTCATTGGCGAAGATGGGAAGAACACCCTCTTCAGGGTATAGAGGTGGAGGTCGAGGCTCAATTTCATGCGTTTCTCTTTCCTCTTCAGTCTCGTACTGTCATTCGTACGGCAATTCTTATTCCTCTCAGTCCTCTGGTGGATTCTCTACCGCTCCCACCTCCGTCGTCAGCACACCCGGTCAAGACAGTCCCTTTTTGGACCCAAAAGCCCGCATTCGATTCATAGGTCTTGACGCAGGTCAAAACGGACCTGCTAGTGTTCCCGTCCCGGCCGAATTACGACCCACATCTTCTCGAGGTGGCCCATTGCCTGCTACACCAGAGCTCTCGGAAGTGGTGGATGATTATTTTTCAAGACCACTCTCTCAGACAGCAAAGTCTCACAGGCGGCCGAGGCGAGCGTTTTGGGCCGATTTGCCCGACGAGATCAAGATGCATGTTCTTGGATACTTGAAGCCCAAGGAACTTGTCGGCTGCTCGAGCGTCTCCAAAGCGTGGCACAAGATGTGCTTTGACGGACAGCTCTGGCCAAGCTTGGATACAACGGAATTCTATCGGGACATTCCTGGCGAGTCCTTGGCAAAGATTATCACGGCAGCTGGCCCGTTTGTGCGCGACCTCAACCTCCGCGGCTGCGTTCAGCTGCGTGAAAGGATTGGTACTGAGGCCATGTCGGAGGCTTGCCAGAATATTATCAATCTTTCGATCGAGGGATGTCGTCTGGACCGGTCGGAGATTCACAGCTTCCTTGTCCGCAATTCAAAGCTCGCCTATCTCAATGTCTCGGGATTGGCCGTGGTAACCAATTCTACGATGAAGGTTCTCGCGCAGTCATGCCCACGTCTGGAGCATCTAAACGTGTCCTGGTGCAACAATGTTGATACCCGCGGCTTGAGAAGGATCGTGGAATCTTGTTCGCAATTGAAGGACCTCCGCGCGGGCGAAGTTCGCGGCTTCGGCGACCATGAATTTATGCTTGAGCTTTTCCAGAAAAATAATTTGGAACGGTTGGTATTAAATCACTGCGATAGTATCACCGATGAGTCTCTGCAGATTCTCCTGGAAGGAGTAGACGCGGAGATTGATCCGCTCACGTCAAGAGCAATTGTTCCTCCGCGAAAGCTTAAGCATCTGGATCTAACTCGATGCCGTGGCCTAACGGACGATGGCATCAAGGCACTGGCAGGAAATGTCCCTCACTTGGAAGGTCTCCAATTGTCTAAATGCTCAGTGCTAACCGACGCTGCACTGTCAGAACTCTTGGCTTCGCTCCCAAGACTCACCCATCTTGACCTGGAAGAACTGGAGGAATTGACCAATAGCACCTTGCAAATACTAGCTCGTTCTCCCTGTACGAGTACCCTTGAGCACCTATGCATCAGCTACTGCGAGAATCTCGGAGACGTCGGCATGCTGCCCGTTATGAAAAATTGCACTCGCCTGCGCAATGTGGAAATGGACAACACACGTGTCTCCGACCTCGTGCTTGCCGAAGCTGCTGGTATCATTCGTCAGCGTAACAAAGCTCTCCATACAGCCACCCAGAGACGGCCCGTTGTCGGGCTTCGCATGGTAGTGTATGACTGCCAAAACGTGACCTGGACCGGCATTCGCGAGGTGCTCTCTCGCAATGCTGAGATTACACGCCCTGGAGCCAACTCCAAATCGCCATGCTACCCAACCGAAGTCATTCAGCTCAAATGCTTTTACGGTTGGCAAATGACTGTCGATGAGCACATGAAGCGGGTGCTCAGGGGAGATCTTGCCTCTGCTAGTCGACTGGAGCGCAAATGGGCAGAATATATGATTGCCAACGAGGAAGCTGGTGTTGGCGGAGCTGGCAGCCGTCGGAGGAGACGACGTGCGAGAGAAGCAGCTCTTCTTCACGCTGACGAAGAAGAAGGCGGCATGGGACTTGCCGGAATTGGCCGCAGAAGGCGTGCCCGAAGTGGCGGTTGTACCATTATGTAAAATTTTTTTCCTCTTTTCTATTTCTTCATCTCCGAGAGATTTGTCAAGCCATTTGTACGAATACACACAGGGGTGAAGTGGATTTCGAGCACGGGACTAGACGTCTTTATCGGTTTCCGTATATGAGATCTGGTGGAAATCAGTGCGAGAAATCTTCAGGGTGTTGGCAACTTTTCATTGTTGAGTGGAGGTAGGAACAGGCATGTTAGGTGTTATGTGGGCGCTCGTATTACTCGTTGATGGGGTGGTGATTTTCTACCAGCATGTTTCTCTGCTTCAATTTTTTTTCTTTTTCCCTCCTCGAGCCATTTCCAGCGCCTTTTGCTGTTTATATATATACTTCCCTTTGCTGGCCTTTGGGGTTTTCTCTGCGAATCTTGCTTCATCTGCTCGATTCTTTTCCAAATTCTTATTCTTCTTTTCTTCTCACTTGTCTTAGATGGAGGGATTTTCAACCTTTCTGCTCTCTCCTCTTCCTCTTCTCTCTTTGGCGTCCGTCCGTTGTGAGCAGACTCCATGGCTCACTGGTTGGCCTGGCGCGTGGATATTTTTTTCAATCTTAGGGGGCTATTCTGATCTTTTGCTTTTTTTCTTTCTCTTTGTGCTCCGCCCATCTCGTCTCACTATTTGGCGTACTGTGTGTGGTGTAACTGCATAGACGTGATATTCTTTTTTATCTATTTCTCCGTTTCTTATTTATCGTCTACGCTTCTTTCTTTCTTTCTTTCTTTCTCTCTTCCTCTCAATATATAGGTACTTTATCTCTCAATCTATTATATTTTACTTTTTCAAGTCATTTAGGGACATACTTTGTGGGTTGAAACATGCCTTTTGGCTCTATGCTGGGCAAACAACGTAGTGCGTTTAAGACTTGTCGTCGACTAGATGGTGTGTAAGTGGCGTTTATTTGAGACACGTCTGAATGACTACGAGTGCTATTTCTTGCCTGATGGTAATACTCGTTGTTTTGGTGCTGGTTTAGCTAACCACGTGCGCACTCTTTATGTAGGCTCTTTCGCATCAACCCCAAACCCAATTTCGGAGCTGACCTATGCTAGACCCTTCACAGTTCTAAAGGAGAGCGCGTAGATTGAATGATAATATTCGTTTCATTGAGTTAGCTGATTGTAGCGCCCCTTCGTCCCAGTTGAGTGGATTAAAAGGACGTTGATCGTTAGGGTAGACCCAAAAAAAAACCACGTTCAATATATTATGAAAGAGACCCTGGAGGGAAAGGCAGAAAGGAGAGAGAGCCAAAAACAACAACCAAACACCGCACCCATGCCGAGCTCTTTAAGCTATTTTCCAGACTATGTGAGAATGCTTTCAGCAAGATGTATTCTCTTTTTTCGTGGTTTCTTGACCGGCATTCCTCGCCGGATATGCTGAGATAACTCTCGAGGTATCATCAAGGTTGTTTGCGTATGCAAATCGAATATAGCAGTGAAATGAAAAGGAAAGAGGAAGAAATGGAACCAAAAAAGGCGTTTATCAGAAGAGAGAGAAGAAAATTAGAAGGTTCCTTGCTGAGTGAAGATCACTACATCAGAGTATACGGCCTGACAGCTTAGTTAGGCTGCGGAATTCTGACTCCAAGTTCGGAGAAGAAGCTGCATTGAAGCACATGGCTGGATTTTCCGGTCTTCTCGTCATACATGTGGCAGCCAACCTTCGCAGCATTGGGTGGGGTGTACACTGAATATGTCAGTACTGAGTTGCGGATGTAGCTTATAAACGCCTCGGGGGCATTTGAGGATGCCGTGGACAACTATGGGTACTTACAGTGAAGAGAAATCGCAGGGGTATCTGTGCTAACGTTGGAAATTTTGTGAAGACCAAGCTGTAGTTCATGTCAGTTGTCTCGTTCCATATTATAAGATCCCATTGGAGCCAACGAACATTGTCTGACATGTACGTGACCTGATTTTCACCGAAAACAGTCTCTTTCTTAATTTCCAATGGCGAGGGAATGCCCTCATTTGTCTTGTTGCGATCTGGCCAAGAGTAAAGTGATTCTTTCAGCGAGCCTCGAAGAACCTGTTCAATACGTTAGCTTTGTGCTTCCATATTTCTGGCATAAGTCTGAAACATTTACCTTCATAACGCAGTGAGCGTCAGCATGGTCATGGATGGGGCTGCTTTTGCCTGGCGTCCAGACGAGGATTAACTGCAAGAGAAAGTTAATTTTATCTGAAGTTTCAGGATCTTTCAAGATTGAGATCGCATACCAGGTTGCTCTTCCCATTACCCTGGTCGACCAAATTTCTGGTGTAAGCACGGCTGTTGTCTCCAAGAGCATATTTCTGCCATTCCTTGTCTCGAGAAACGTAGCCCTCCATGAGCTTTACCAGGTCGTTTGGATCGACGTCGTCTGAATTGATTCCAGAGGAAGGGCCCAGAACCTTGCTGAGGTCTTCGACTAGCTGGTGGAAAGCATCTTTGGACTGAAGCTTGGTGATAGCCGGTTCCGGCGTAGACAAGACTTCTTGAGCAACGGCGGGCATAGTGAGGTTCTGAATATCGGAATAATTATACGCAGGATCGCTATGAATTGGTCTTGTTCGTTATGTTACCCCGCAATGCTATTTTCCAGCGAGCCGTTGATGGTCACAGTGCGTTTCACGCAAGTGTCAGGCCTCAGAAAAAACAAATGGACCAGTTACACGAAGTGCAAGCCCGGAAACGGAAGTCAAGGAGAGCGCTTTTATATTACAACCATTGAACAGATTGAGCAAGTTGTTCTCTCTCCTGATTAAGCTGGGAATATCTTTTTCCTTTAACGTTATCGAAGGGCATAAATCAGTCACACAATCCCCCTCGATCGGCCCGACATGGCTACACTCGGTAACTTCATCGGGGCCAAGGCCGCTGCTCTTTTCCTTTCCAGGCGGACGCAGGTCCGGAGAGAGTGAGCGACGGATAATATATTTTCCACTTCCGATCCCGGTAACTTCCCCACTAAACTTTTGACGTTTCCTTCGTCATAACTCGAAATCGTCAATCCCATTTTCAAATTCAAGAACAGGCTAACGGCCACTTCAACCCATCGCATTTCGAACCTTTGTTACTTCAATTGTTTGACACATACCACATAGAGGCAAATAACTTCAAGGGTCAAGTGGAGACTTTATCATCATGGCGACCACAGTAGATAAGGTAAGACCTTTTTTTTTCGTCTCTCTCTTCTGTGAGAAAACTGAGTACTAAAATTATTTTGATCATTTATAGATTAAAGAGATTGAGTCCGAGGTTCGTTCGACACCGGATACCGTTAGCAAAGACTTTTGTGAGGACTAAATAATTGCGTAGATGGCCCGGACTCAACGGAACAAGGCCACCTCGTTCCACTTGGGTCAACTCAAAGCCAAACTCGCAAAGCTGAAGCGTGAGCTGCTCACTCCGTCAGGAGGAGGCGGTGGTGGCGGCGGTGGTGAGTTTTCGTCTTTCTCCTTCATCATTCGATACGTCATGCTCATCCTTTTTTCCAGCTGGTTTCGACGTCGCCAGAACAGGTGTTGCTAGTGTGTAGGTTGATTCCTTTTCCACCTAGATTGTTCAAAACTAAGCGGGTTTCAGTGGTTTCATAGGTTTCCCATCAGTCGGGAAAAGTACTCTGATGAGTAGATTGACTGGACAACACTCTGAAGGTAAAGCCTTTTAGCGCAACTTGGAAATCTCAGAGTAAATAATGCTAATGATTTCAGCCGCTGCTTATGAGTTCACAACGGTAGGCTCATCCGCCTTCTTACCCACTGATGAACTGGGCCCTGACCAAATCACAGCTTACGACGGTACCGGGTCAAGTCATTTACAATGGCGCCAAAATCCAAATTCTCGATCTTCCCGGCATTATCCAAGGTGCAAAGGACGGCAAAGGTCGTGGACGTCAAGTCATCGCTGTTGCCAAAACTTGTCACCTGATATTCATTGTTCTGGACGTGAACAAGCCTTTGACGGACAAGAGGGTTATCGAGAACGAATTGGAAGGTTTCGGTATTCGAGTCAATAAGGAACCACCAAATATCAAGGTTACCAAGAAGGACAAGGGTGGAATCAGTATCACCAACACTGTGCCCCTAACTCACATTTCGCCTGATGTAAGGTCTCTTTTGAATGCGACATCTTGGTATATGGGTATGCTGATAATTCGCAGGAAATCAAAGCCGTCATGTCAGAATATAAAATCTCCTCGGCTGACGTTGCCATTCGATGCGATGCTACTATTGATGACGTTATTGACGTTTTAGAAGCAAAGAGCCGTAGCTACATTCCCGTCATCTACGCGCTCAACAAGATCGACGCAATCTCAATCGAAGAACTGGATTTGCTTTACCGAATTCCCAACGCTTGCCCCATCAGTTCTGAACATGGATGGAACATCGATGAGCTTCTAGAGCAAATGTGGGACAAGTTGAACCTGCGAAGAATTTACACCAAACCGAAGGGCAAAGTCCCTGACTACACCGCGCCAGTTGTGCTTCGCAAGAATGCTTGCACGGTTGAAGATTTCGTATGTTTCCTTCTCACACCCTCATTCATTTTTAAGATTCTGTTTGTTGACACAACTCTAGTGTAACGCCATCCACAAGTCCATTGTCGAGCAATTCAAGATTGCCATTGTGTATGGACGCTCTGTAAAGCACCAGCCACAGCGTGTTGGTTTGACCCACGAATTGGCAGATGAAGATATCAGTAAGCGTTTTACATCTCCTATCATTCATTACCAGGTCGTCAATCTAACCTGCAAATTAGTCACTATCATTAAACGATAAATCTTAGCGTTCAACGAGACATGCATGTTAGATTGGAGTATCCATGAGGTGGAGTCATTTTACCAGTCCCTTGAGAGGGCAGGGGTTGAAGGCACTTGTGCCTTTATACTTTTTTTGTTTTATTTCGGCAGTTGCAAAGAAAAGCTTGTGCTCTGTGTTTAATGAAATCACTTTTTTCTTGAGTTTTGGATTGGAAGTGTGGGTTTGGAGGTGAAGAGACGATTACCCAGTCAGCTCCGCTCTACGACAGATCTGTCGAGGCTGTCACCTTAATCAACGTTCAAAGGAAATATTCCTCTCAACGGCGTTGGTGCAGCTACTTTCACGGACCACATTAAGGTCTATCGTTGGTTGAATGCCGGAAGACGGTCCGGCTCGGACACAGCCGAAGCCGGCTTATCGAAGCGGGGCCAGCCGGTGTAAGCACCACAAAAACCACCTTGAAATGACGACGCCCAATCAACCCTATGGTCACTATAGAATCTCAAACTCGATAGGCGGAATTAGAAAAAATCATTTCAAATCCAATCACAATCAAATGCGGCATCAAATGGAGTCATGAGTGGAGCATCGGCTACACAAACAAGTATGAATTTCAGCTAAAGCCTTTAGCTTAGAGGATACGGCTTCAATTATGGAGAGGTTATTATGAGATTTTCATCAGATCCCTGGTCATGTCTTGGAAAAAGCCATGTAGTGCCATTCTGAAAAACCTGTGTCCAGGAACTAATCTTTCTTTTAACCTTTCTTAGGTCGATGGAATAGAAACTTGCTATTCGGATCCACCTATAAGCTTGGGCGTTTTGAAAAAGCAACTTCTTATAACTAGTGAGGGCCCACAGCTTAACATTCCGACGTGAAGATGAGACGATGGGACTCTCGGCTTCTCAACTGCCGAGATCGGCCCGTTCAGCTATGAAAGATATAGAGGACTAAATTTTGAATTACGTTGGACCCAGGCTGGTGATTCACATGTACCAGCACAAATGAGCAGCACCCAGACCGAACCTACTAAGCTATGATCATATCTTCGGAAGCCAAATTTGGTATGATCCATTGTCCAGAACGGAGTTTTTTTTTTTTTTTTTTTTTTTTTTTTTTTTTTTTTTGGCATGAATCGTTGTAGACTTTGCCAGAATCGGAGGTTGGGCAGCAGTTATCTTGGAGCTTTGGAGAAGGCGTTGCTTATTGGAAGTTGGACACTGATAGCGTGCTTGAAAAGATGAACTGTTTTACCTTGTAATTCAGCCATTTTCGCAACTTCTTCCTCCGGAGCTCTTCCGGCATCTGCCCACTCAAGCATAGAGAATCTGGCAGATTGAAAGCATTAGGGAGCCTAAAGGTCCTCTAGCTGCCCATTAACGATCCCACGGCATAGCTGATCAGGGAATTCGCGGTGTAGTAGTGCCATGTACCAGTACGATGAAATGGGTCGCTCCACGACGTTTTTGGGTCCCCTGCTGTTCAGACATGAACAGATTGGCTAAGTCTAGGGAGCCTGGTTAAGACACTACATTAGTTGAAATTGCTTAGAGATCGTATCTCAGGGTTTGAGCTTTGTCTGTAACACAGCTCGCGGTAGACCCCAATAATCCTGCTCCTGTTTCCGCAACTATTTCCTTGAAACCAACCAAGGCCCTATTCCTAGGGCGGGCCGTGGGCCGACGATCCCGTCTCCGGTCGCTTCGGACACTGAACCTTGGTTCGTAGGAATAGTTTCCGTCTCGCTCATCGCTTCTTAGCTTGCCAGTAAGTTAAAAGGTCCTTGACTCTTCTCAAATAAACAAACACCCAATGGCTTTTTGAAGGTAAACAATCTTAACTCCAAATTGGCTGAGCGCTAAGCTCTAGCTTAGTAGAAAACCTGGATCAAATTGTCTCCTCTTTTTTCCTTGCAACGTCGAAACCAGGCTTCTTGGCGTTCGATTCAAAGGCTGTCTACTAACTTAGCGGTGACCCTTTTTACTACTATAACCGTGAGATCTGGCCTCAGAACGAGCTTGGTGAGAACGCCAGTCCAGTATTTTGACAGCCAGCCAGTCGACTCAGCCGTCGCGGCCCGGTCGCTCTAACTGTTTGGCATCCTAACTTGGCTTTAGCTCTCCCGAATCAAGGTCTGAACAGACAGAAAATTCGCTGAAAGCTGTTATGTAGGATCGGCCATGATGAGCACACGATCCTCGTCAGCCATTTGTGCCGGGCCCCACCGCTTCCCGGCCATTAGTCTATTACGAGCCGTGAGGCTTCCCGAGCATTTGTGTATTGCTCCAATAGCCACAGGGCGATTTCATTGATCATTGTTGGCAGACGAAGGGGTGTAAAGTCAGTCGGGTTTTGGACATCAACTTTTATAGGATCGTACAAAGGCTCTCCAAAACAGAGACGACATTGAAAGGTACCAGTACCTGCTGGGACAGAGATGCCCTTGAGACCTTTTACCCAGCCACCAACATGCATTCGATGGCGCACCCCATGCATCCACGGATTCATCATCCTGCGCAATGATTGCTGTGGTGGGTACTTCTCCCACCGCCGAATGCCCCCCATGGTGGAGAGCAGGAGGCGTCTTTTTCGTTTCCTCCTAAGCACGCTAGTGACCTCGCTCCATCAAAGTGAGGAGTGAGGTGTTGGCCGTAAATGCGACCACCCACGCAGGCCCCATGTTGCCATGCGCACGCCCAATCCATCATCCAGCCCGGCCTGGCCCGGGCGTCTCTCTCGTCTTGGCCACGACCCTTTTTCGCTCATTTCTGGCAATACATGATGATGATGGTGGAGGTGATCATGATCATCATGCTCATCATGCTGGCCCCCTCCTCCTCATTTCCCTTTCCCTTGACACATTCGGCATGCTCCCTGTACCAGAGAGGGCGTTCAGATTCCGATTAGTGGCGTTACGGTGCACGGGCAGCCTCACGAAATATATACTTGCCCATGAGATCTCATTGCTCAGAATCGTCCCTTCTGTGCGTCGAGGAAATAGAAGCCGTTTCCCCCGCCTTCTCGCACTACCCACCTCCCATTGCGGTCGCCGTCTCTCATTTGACAAGGGACTAAGTGGCCTAATCCATAAACCTTCTTTTCCTTCTTCCCGTGTGCATCTTCCACTTTCAGGGTCTTCCGCTTTGACATGAATCGTCGGCCAGTACCTGTCCCGTCTCACCTTACCTTCCCTGTACTAATGGAAGACTTGTGGTCTCTTTCTCTCTCTGTATTTTCTTGCTCACAATCGCGGCGACAAGGAGCCCTTTCCTTGACATGCGGTCCAGGGCCGCCTCGTCTTGGGGGCTGCCCTCCCCCATGCTCTACGGACCATTGCGAATCCACAAGGTTACAGGATTGTAAAATCAGCACAGCACTCAACCCCCCCTCCCGAAAGCAGTCGTACATTTAATGGAAAGCACGTATATCCACAGACACACAGACACCGACACAGACAGACAGACAGACTGAGAGCGACAAACCCACCCACACCTCTTTCTTGTTTCTGGCGTTACCTGTCGTACCGGCCATGCGCCTGCTTTCCCGTACCTGACCGCAATCCCTCCTCCACCTGCCGGATCTACCGAGGATCAAGTGGAACATGTATGACGGATTCATGATCCATGACCCGTACGCTTCCAGCTGGGAGACAGCGCCCACGTCCTTGGGCTCTTGTGCTCCCCTTGGCACATCATCCACTTAGATGGCAATATTCATTTTTCCACTTGCTATAGGGGAAAACCATCCACTCACCCAAACGACACTAATTTGTTTTTCCCTCCCACACGCCCCCATCTTCTTTCTATTCACACCACACATGCACTAGACACTGTCATCCTACCTATCCGTATCTCCTCCATCTCACTTACCTACTGCCTTACCTACCTACTTATTTCTTCCCTTCTGACACCAGGTGCACCTACATTCTCTTTCTGGTCCAACCCCCGTTGCCATCCACGCTCTAATCAAATCATGGTTCCGCCACATCTCCTTCCCCTGCTCCCCTTTCT